CTAGGCGATTCGTGGGGTCAGCAAGGTCAACTAACCTTGAAAGGTTTCTACACCAAAACCGACATGGTTTACGTTGAGTACCAAAACAAGGTTGTTGCGCAACTTAAGAACAACCACCAGGAAATTGTCGGAGACTTGATCAACTCCGTGCTCAGTCCTGAACTTCAGAGCGAAATTGAAAAACAAATTCGTAAAACGCTTGAGCAATGAGACAGTGCGTCTGGAGCAGAAGTCGTAATTGAGATGGCGAGCGATGAATACAAAGGTATCTTGACGCTGAAAATCTTTGTGAAAACTTCCGCACGTGAGTACCCGGCTGACGAAATCACAATTGGTGGTTTTAAGACTAAGATTGACGCTTTCCTAGAAGAGTTTGACAACAAACTGAGCAAAGAAGTTTCTGGCGACGGCCAACTAACTGCCAACGACTACCGAGATGACAAAAGTCTGATTCAAAAACTGTGGGAGCAAATTAGACCCGATCTAAAAAAACCTGAAGGCGTAACTTTAGAATTGAGCGGACAAGCGTTTGATTATTGAAACGGAAAATTTGAACTGGTTATCAAAATACTTCACAACGATCAATTACTAGCCACACACAAAATCTTTGTTTCGGAACTAAAAAGTCGTGAACAAGAAATTCTAAGTTGGATTAAAGGTTTTGAAGGCGAACCAATTGAACTTCTCAAAAAGTTTGTCTTTAAAGCGGATCCAACCTCTCTTCCAAGCGAAAAAATCGCCGAAATTCAGAAAACAATTGGTGAAACTTTAGGCAACCTACGGGATATATTAGATACATATGGATTGATGTTAGGCATGCTAGGTGTAAACATTGAATTACCCGAGGGTATTGAGTTAACGCTCGGTGATATCCAGGCCGACGACGAGTTCGGAGAGATCACGGTTACCATTAATGTTTATTACGAACACAAGCCAGGCGCAGATAAGTTAGTGGATAAATTTGTGTTTGTGCTAGACGGTTATCGTAAGTTAAGTGAATTGGAAGTCAAACAGAAAATTGCCAAAGAATTAAGAGAAAAATTAGTCGAGATCAAAACACTTGAACTAGAAAACAAAAACATCTTGCCTAGTTCTTGGCAAAACATGAGCCGTATAACTGAACAAATTAAGCAACTAATCAACTTTGAACAAAACTCTGATGGACTTAGTCTACTAACTAAAGTTGTTGACGCCGACGATCAAACCGGAACATTGACCATCGGTGTTTGGGTTTTGGTCGGTGAAGACGACACTGAAAATCGCATTCCTGACCATAAAGTGACTATTGGTGGGTTGCTGAACAAGAAAGAAATAGAAAATAAGGAAAAAATTGAAGCAGACCTGAAAAATTGACTGTCCAAAGTCCAAACTGAACTTGAAAGTAAAAAGGATCTTAAACCTAGTCAGTCTGTTGACTTGGTTCGCGAGTACTTTGAAAAATCGCTTGGCGAAACGTTCTCTCTTCCAAGCAACTTAAAACTAATAATTGATGTTCGTAGCGATGATGAAAATGACCAAATCAAAGTTACTTTCCAGTTGGAACGAGCAGGTAAGTTCTGGACAAATATTGGTAAGACTACAATTACTGGTTTTGGAAAGTTAGAAAAACTGGAAAAAATTGCCGAAGGTTTTCGCAAAGAATTAGCCAAGATTGAAGCACCTAAACTAGCAAACCTAAATGTGTTGCCAAGTGAGGTTAAAAATGTTGATAAAGGATGACTGGACCAAATCAAAAAATTAATTAACTTTGAAAAAGCATCTCAGAACATTAATCTAGTCGCTGAAATCGTTAACGCTAGCGACAAAGAGGGTAGTTTAACAATCGGAGTTTGAATCTCAATTAAAGGACAAGATATTGATAGTCAAAATCCTGACCAAAAAATTAAGGTGGAAGGATTGTTAAGTTTAAAAGAGTTAGAAACCAAAAATCAAATAGAAACTAGGTTACAAGATTGATTGCCTAAGATTCAAGAAGCGCTTCTGCCTGAGAATCTAGGCAACGCTAGCGAATCTGCGCAAGGGATTCGGGAATACTTAGAGAGTTTTGTTCGTCAAGCACTAGACCTTCCTGGTCACATGGATTGAAGAGTAGAAGCAACTCATGACGATGAAAAGCAACTGATTGAACTTAATTTCAAACTTATGCGTCACGGTCAGTTTTGAACTAGCGTAGGTAAAACTACCATCACAGATTTTGGACAAAGATCCAAGCTAGAAAAAATTGCGCAGCAATTGAAAGAGAAACTAGCTGAAATTAAAACGCTTGAGTTGGAAAACAAAAATGTTTTGCCGAGCGATTTAAAAATCGATAATTCTAAGTTAACTCAGAAAGTTAAAACTCTAGTTGAATTTAACTCGTGGCAAGAGGGAATAAACCTTGCTAGCAAGGTAACAGAAATCAATGATGAGAAAGGCACTTTAACAATCGGTGTTTGAATTTTGATTGGTGAGGAGGAGATTAAGAATCGTGCTCCGGACCACACATTTACCATCGATGGACTGCTTAACCAAAAAGATGTGGAAACAAGTGAGCAAATCAAAGCGCAATTAAAAGAGTTAGTCCTAGAAGTGGAAAAACAACTAGAGAATGAAAAGTCTTTCAAACCTAGTAAATCCGTTGAATTAATCCGCGAACACTTTGAAAAAACGCTTAACAAAATGCTTAACTTGCCAACTGGTTGGAAAATGATGGTTACAGCAAAGGAAGACGACGAAAATAATCAAATTGAACTTATTTTCCAGTTAGAACGAGCAGGTAAGTTCTGGACAAATATTGGTAAAACCACAATTACCGGTTTTGGAAAGCTAGAAAAACTGGAAAAAATCGTCGGTAGTTTGCGAAAAAAATTGCTTGACATTCAAACTCTTGAAATTGAAAACCTAAATGTCTTGCCCAAAGACTTTGAGAATGTGGAAGAAAACTGAACCAAACAAATCAAAGAATTGATTGGTTTTGAAAAAGATACTCAAGGCATTAGTTTGATCTTAAAAATTGTTAATACTAGCGACGAAGAAGGTAGTCTGACAATTGGTGTTTGGATTCACGTTGAAGGTCAAAATGTTGTTAATAAAAATCCTGATCACCAAATTAAAATCAAGGGATTAATTAGCCTTGAAGACATTAGCATTAAGAATAAAATAAAAACTAGGTTGCAAGACTGATTGCCTAAGATTCAAGAAGCACTTCTGCCTGAAGGTCTAGACAATGCGAGTAAATCAGTCCAAGAAGTTGAGAAATACTTGGAGAGTTTTGTTCGTCAAGCACTGGACCTTCCTAGCCACATGGATTGAAGAGTAGAAGCAACTTATGACGATGAAAAGCAACTAATTGAACTTAATCTCAAACTTATGCGGCACGGTCAACTTTGAACCAGCGTAGGCAAAACTACCATCACAAATTTTGGACAAAGGTCCAAGTTAGAAAAAATCGCGCAGCAATTGAAAGAGAAACTAGCTGAAATTAAAACGCTTGAGTTGGAAAACAAAAATGTTTTGCCGAGCGATTTGAAATCCGGTAATGACGAGTTGAATAGAAAAATCAAAACCCTAATTGATTTTGACCCAAATCAAAAAGGAATTGGCCTTATCAGCAAAGTGGTGGAAATTGATGACGAAAAAGGCATCTTGACAATTGGCATTTGAATTGTAATCGGCGGAGAAAATGCCGGAAAACGGACTCCTGATCATAAAATCACTATTGAGGAATTGGTTAATCGTGAAGACCTTGAAATCAAGGAACGAATCAAAACATACTTGAAAAATTGAGTTCCCAAAATCCAAGACGCGCTTGGAAAGGAAAAACATTTTAAACCTAGCGAATCCGAGCAACTTATCCGCGAGCACTTTGAAAAGACACTCAACAAAATATTGAATTTGCCAAGCAATTGAAAACTGGTAGCTGGCGCTAGAAGCGACGACGAAAATAACCAAGTTGAAATAACTTTTGAAATGTTTAGAAATGGCTTAAAGTGGACCGTTATTCACCAAACATTAATCAAAGGTTTTGATCAAACAACACGACTAGAAGAATATGTTGAAAAACTGCACCAGAGACTTTCCAATTTAAAAACACTGGAGTTAAGCAAAAAGAACATCCTACCAAGTAGTTTTGAAAAGCCTGAGAATTTGGAACTTTTAATTGACCTAGTTAAAGAAAGCATTGGCTGAGACAGTAAGACCGCCGGGTTGCGTATGCGAGTTTATATTTTTGGCACCGATGATGAAAACGGAACTATGTCAGTGTTAGTTTGGGTTGGTTTTGAACACCTTGCTCTAATACCAGAACACAAGATTGGGCCAGGCCAAGATGGATTCGTTGCTTTCCTAGTTGTTGAAGGACTTTTAAAAAAAGCAGAGTTGGAAACACAACGTAAAAACGTCCAAGAAGCTAAAGCAAAACTACTCAACCTAAAAGAATTGGAAATCAAACACAAAAACTTCTTGCCGAGCGAGATGCGGGAGTTAGACTACGATACTGTTGAAAATATAAAGAAATTACTGGGGATCAACAAAACTAGTCTCGACCCAAGAACCAGCATCAAAATTATCGGTCACGATGATAAAACCGGCAAGATAAGAATTGGGGTATGAATTTTTTCAGACGGATCGGAAATTGATCTATCTAAACCAGACAAAATTTTTGATGTAGACGGCTTTGTTAGAGAAATAGACCTAGAAGACCGTGTCCTTATTATTCAAAAACTAGGCGATTGAATCACGCAAAAAAAAGACGGTTTGGAAATAAAAAATAAAGAAAAGCAAGAAATTGAAGATTCTATTTTTAAGGGTTTGCTTGATGATAAAACAATTGAATTACCAGACGGGTGAGGATGAGACGTCAAGTTGGAACGCGATGATCAAAGTGATGTGGCACACATAAAAATTAGTCTGCTCAGAAATGGCGATCACTGGTGCGAAGTTAGTCGCATTGAAATTAAGTTGAACAAAAAAAGCGCCTTGACGGTTTTTAACCAATTATTGAATTTACCGCTTGAAAAAATATGACAGACAACAGGCCTAAGAAGTTAATTGCCAACTATTTTAAACCTTCAATATACATTAGGTCCTTCAAAGATGTCAACTTAACCCAACTTAAACGCCAAGGGATTAGACTTTTTATCAGCGATCTTGATAACACTCTCGTTCCCCATTACACGCGTTTGCCTAACGCTGACGTGATCAATTTCATCCAAAAGATTCAGAGCGCCGGAATAACCTTTGTGATTGTCTCAAACAACACCAAAAATCGCACCCAACGTTTCGCCGAAAAAACTAGCGCCGACGCCTTTTACGGTAACGCTCGTAAACCATTCAAGCGAGTTGTGCGCTCCATCATTGAGCGCTACCAAGTTTTGCCTTCGGAAACAATTATCATGGGCGATCAGATCGTAATGGACATATTGGTGGCTAACAGATTAAAGTGCGAATCAATTTTGGTCCAACCGCTTGTTTCAACCGACTACAAGATGAACTGGTTCCACATGTTTTTAGAACGAGTCATTTATTCGCGTCTAGCAAAAAGAAACATTCTTGTCAAAGGACAGTTCACTAGCAGCGACCTTAGCGATCGATTGGAACTTCTTTAATGAAAACCCTTACGCTCGGGGCGGTTGAATCGCTAACGGGTGGTCTTTTTGCTAGCAAAGTTGTTGATAATCCAAATGCCTCGCATTATTTCCGTGGTAGCCTAGTTCTTTACGCTAAAGATTTAAAGGCTAAAATCGGTGTTAATGTTGAGCAAGGCGTAATTAGCCCCCAAGCTGCTTTAGAGATGGCTAAACAAGGTCGAAAATGACTTAACGCGGACATCTGCGTTGCTTTTACTGGTAACGCGGGTCCTACTAGTCAGGAGAATCGTCCCGTCGGAGAAGTTTACGTAGCAATTAACGAAAAAGTCTGGCATCTGAATTTAAAGGGCGACCGCAATCAAATCCGCAACCAAGCTGTTGACTTTGCCTTTAAAAAATTAAGTAAAACTTTTAACTGACCAATATCTTAGTAGATATGTCTAAAAAGTCTACCGACCCGAGTTTAAAGGCACTTGTGCAGCAGTTTCGCGACAGCACAATCATTTTGCCTGGTGAAACCCCCCAAGAGCCGAGTGCAGTTTTTTCGAGCGGTTCGCTCGTGATTGATGAGTTAACTGGAGTGGGCGGCTTTGTACGAGGCAAAATCGTTGAGATTTACGGTCCTGAATCAAGCGGAAAAACCACGCTCGCTCTTTTGGCGATCAGTCAAGTTCAAAAAGAAGGCGGTAAATGCGTTTTCATTGATGCTGAACACGCTCTTGACTTGGAATTCGCCGGAAAACTAAACGTTGATAAAAATAAACTCATTTTCGTCCAACCTAGCTCAGCTGAACAAGCTTTGGAGATTACCGATGCTTTGGCAAAGACTGGCGCGGTAGATTTAATCGTAATTGATTCGGTGGCAGCTCTGATACCGCAAACCGAACTGGAAGGTTGTTTTGAAGACAACACAATCGGCCTGCAAGCGCGACTAATGTCAAAAGCGCTCCGTAAAATTACCGCTACGCTTGCCCAGTCACAAACAAGCGTTATTTTTATCAACCAAATTCGCGAGAAAATTAACCACTTTAGCGGGCCAACCCAAGTTACACCCGGCGGAAGAGCACTTAAGTTTTACGCCTCGCTGCGTCTAGAAGTTCGTCGGATTGGCTACACAGGTGTAAGCGAAGCTCCGAACGGGGTCAACCTGAAAGTTAAGTGCGTCAAAAATAAATTAGCCCCGCCTTACCGAGTTGGGCAAATTCACCTCAGTTTTAACCACGGACTTGATCAAAATAACGAATTGATTGATCTACTAATTAGTCAAGGATCGCTAACTTCTAAGGGAGGCTGGTACCAGTGAAAAGGTGAAAACATTGCTCATGGTCGCACACAATTGCTGGCGCTAATGAAAAATGACCCTGAACTGAAAGAACAAATGCGGCAAACTTATCAAATGGGTACTAGCTCTTAGCTTTTGAAATTAAAGATTTAGCGTCCATTTGAGGCGGAATTTTTAAACCTAAGTAATCAAGCAAACTCGGGCTGACATCAGCGAGTTTGCCGGGTTTAAGTTTGACCAAAGAATCGCACACTACCAAAGGAACGTCGCTGCTAGTATGTTTAGTTGAAGGTTTTCCTTGCTGGTCAAGCATGATTTCAGCGTTGCCGTGGTCAGCCGTAATTCAAAGCGTTACCCCCTTTGATTTACAAGCATGGTAAAGCTGACCTAGTTGATCATCAATTATTTCGATTGCCCGAATAGTTGGCTCGAGCTCGCCGGTGTGGCCAACCATATCGGGATTAGCGTAGTTAGCGATAATCACATCAAACTTACCTAAGTTTTTAATGATCGCATCGGTGATGCCTTGGGCACTCATGCCTGGCAGTTGAGCGAAGTTATCCACTTTATGCGAAGGCACCAAAATACGTTTTTCCAGCGGATAAAGAATGTCCTTACCGCCATCAAAGAAAAAAGTGACGTGTGCATACTTTTGAGTCTCAGCGACACGCAACTGCTTAAGATGGTTTTCGGCCAAAGTTTTACCCAGAGTTTGATTAATCTCCATTTCCGTAAATGCAACGCTCGCCCGGTCAATTCCTTCGTACTTCATCATACTTACCAAATCAATGTTTTTTAGGCGTTGCGATGGCTTGTAACTATATAGCGAAGAGCCGACTAGAAAGTGACTTAACTGACGGGCGCGATCGGGCCTGAAGTTGAAAAAAATCACCGCGTCGCCTGGTTTAAGAAAGTGAGTGTTAACGTTGTCACTAACCGCGGGTTCTAAAAACTCGTCGCTGAAACCCTGCTGATATTGCCGGTCTAGGTAGGCAAAAACATCGTTAAAGTGATGCTGGCTTTTTCCTTGCAGAGCCTGGTAGGCTAGCAAAGTTTTTTCAAAGCGCTGGTCGCGATCCATTGCGTAGACTCGCCCCATGATGCTGGCAAGATGGTAGTGGTACTTGCTCAGCAAAGAAGTTAACTTTTCAAGCGAGAGTCTAATGCTTTGTGGACTGACATCGCGGCCGTCACCAAAGACATGCACGCTAACATTTTTTAGTCCGTGGGAATGAACCAATTTTAAAAGTGCAAAAAGATGGTATTCGTGCGAGTGAACTCCGCCAGGCGACAGAAGCCCCATTAAATGCAAGGTGCCACCAATTTTTTTAACTTTTTCAAACACTTTCAAAAAACTGGCGTTTTTTTGAAAATGTCCAGTTTTCAGTGCTTGGTTGATCAGCGATAAACCAGTGTAAACCACTGTCCCAGCCCCGATGTTAAGGTGGCCAACTTCCGAATTGCCCATTTGCTGAGCGGGTAAACCGACGGCTTGACCAGCAGCTTTAAGCAGTGTGTGCGGGTAATGCTGACGCAAATAATCTCAGTTAGGAGTTTTGGCCAACGCGATCGCGTTCCCCCCACGCTCTTTTCGCTCGCCAAACCCGTCTAGAATAACCAGCGCGACTCGCTTAGGCACGCTCGGCCTCACGAATAAGTTCAGCAAAGCCCTTGGGATCAAGCGAAGCGTTACCAACCAAAACACCGTCAATATCGGGCTGAGTTAAGAAAGAAGCAACGTTTGCAGCGTTAACTGAACCCCCGTAAAGAATGGTGACGTTTTTAGCCGTTAATTTCCGGATTAAACGGGCGACTTTTTGAGCTTGTTCGGGCGTAGCTGTCTGCCCCGTTCCAATCGCCCAAAGCGGTTCATAAGCGATGATAATATCATCAAACTTTTTGAATTTAGCAAAAATTGTGCCTAACTGTTCGCCAATTACTTTTTCGGTCTGATCTTGCTGGCGCTGAAGTAAAGTTTCGCCGACGCAAACGATCGGTTTTAAACGGTGAGCTAAAAGTTGCTTGAGCTTCTTACGAACAATTAAATCGGTTTCTCCGAAGTATTGACGGCGCTCGGAGTGACCGATGATCGCCCCTTCAATCCCTAAACTCGATAACATAAGGGCCGAGGTTTCACCAGTGTAGGGTCCATCGTCAAATTCGGAAACATTCTGGGCAAAAGTTTTCAGTCCTTCTACGCCCGATCGGCGAATTTTTTTGAGCAAGGTGTAGTTAACCGCCAGGGCATAGTTAACTTTGGTGCCAATCAGCGCTTGTTCAAACCGTTCCAAATATGAGTCAACCTGTAAATAGTCCTGGTTCATTTTCCAGTTTCCTATCACTCAGAGCGGTTTTTTCATGCTTTCCTCTAGGCGTTTTGAATTATGTCAATGGCTGGTAAGGGCTTGCCTTCCATGTATGCCAAGGAGGCGCCGCCGCCGGTGGAAATGTGGGAAAATTTGTCTTCAAAACCTAATTTAATCGCCGCTGCGGCTGAATCTCCGCCACCGATAATTGAGAATACGCCCGGTTGTTTAGCGATCGCGTGAGCAAGTGCCATCGTTCCTTGCTCATAATTAGAAAACTCAGTTACCCCGGCGGGTCCGTTTCAGACAACTGTCTTAGCTCCTTGCAAAGTTTTTTCGAACAGCTCTATTGACTTACGTCCGATATCAAGCGACATCCAATGGTCGGGAATGTCAACACCTTCGGTTTCTTTGCGCGGCGCATTGGTAAATTTAGGGGCAATCGCAAAATCAATTGACAAAACGATTTTATCCCGGTATTTGTCAAGTAGACGGCGCGCTAAATCTACGTAGTCGTTTTCTACTAGAGAATCGCCTATTTTGTGACCAAGTGCTTTGTTAAAGGTGCTAGCCATGCCGCCGGTAATGATCACCTTGTCAGCTTTTTGGAGTAAGTTTTCAACGGCTTTGATTTTGTCTGAAACTTTGGCTCCGCCGACAATAGCTACAAAGGGATGCTCGGGATAGTCAAGACCTTGTCCGAGCATTTTTAATTCTTTCTCAACAAGATAGCCAAGGGCTGACACCGGAATGTGTTGGGCAATGCCTACGTTTGAAGCGTGGGCGCGGTGAGCGGTGCCGAAAGCATCGTTAACAAAAACATCGCCCAAAGAAGCTCAATATTTGCCTAATTCTGGCGAATTTGAACTTTCAGCGCGGTTATTGAGATCTTCAAAGCGAGTATTTTCTACCATTAAAACTTGACCGGACTTTGAATTTTTAATTGCACTTTCTAATTTAGATCCACGGGTTTTGTCAATGAAGGCCACTTCTTTACCGAGTTTTTTACTGAGATCTTCTGCAACAACCTTCAAACTGTGTCTTTCTTTGTCTTTTTCGGTTTTAACGCGGCTCAAGTGCGAGAATAACACCAGTTTCCCACCACTGTGAATAACTTTTTCAATTGAAGGTAGTGCAGCGGTGATTCGCTTATCGGACATGATTCGCCCGCTTTCAATCGGGACATTAAAATCAACTCGCATTAGAACTGTTTGATTTTTTAAATCAATATCATCAAGTGTTTTTTTTGCCACTGGTAGTTCCTTTACCACTGTTTCTAATTATAACTTATCCAGCTCCAGGTAAGGGGCAGGTGAACTCTTGCAATGTAAATACTAACAAATGCCTAGATCAATTGCTTACTAGCAGAAAATTCAAATCATGATAGAAGGCTTTTGAATTCACAAATGTGACATTCTATATTTTCAGCACAAAAGCTATAAAGTGTATGAAGTATGCTCAATTAACGTCTTATGAAAATCCTTTTATGAGGTATGCAATTTTTTCAATTCATCTTTCATAATCGTTAATTATCACTGTGTCACTAGTCAAAAGTTTCAATTTCACCAAGCTAAGGGATAAATCGTTTTCGGCAAAATGTTTAATGTACAAATCTTTTGTAGCATTAGATTCAGGATAAGGGAAGTTTTGATTGAATTCTACCAGCATCAATAGAGATTTAATGGGCATATGAAAAAGTGTAAAACTATCGTCTCGTGATAGGTCCCAAGCTTTCAATTGTTTTTCATTAATCTTTTCCATTTTGTTAATTTTTTCTTTTTCACTAAAGTTTGGCATCCTTTCTAAAAGGATCGTAAAGTGAAAGTAGAGACAATTTTGACCATGTATATTTGAAGTTATTCCTAACAGATTCTCAAAATGGTTGTTTGCATTTTTTGCAAAACTGCTTAAATGGAATTTGATCCCTACTGCCGCTAAAATCTTTGCATTTTTCTTGACAACTATATCTACTTTTTTTTCAATATATTTACCTTTTACTTTTGCTTGCAAAACTATTTCATACTCGCTGCCCAGGTGTATTGATAAATGTTTTTTAACCAACCTGCGTATGCGTTCTACTTTTTTTGAACTTTTGCTCTTATTTTCCGGCAGTGAATATAAAAAACTTTCTTTGATCTCATTTAAAATTTCTTTTTCCATAATTCTGCATCCTTTTTATTTTCTCTTGCTCAAACTATAAGAGATGAATCTCATTAGATCTTGAGCAGAGTAAAAGTAATACTCATGGTTTTTGTGCTTACCCAAAAGCATGAGATAGTCTACGAACTCTTGTGATTTAATGCACCGCTGTATGACCCTTAATAAATCTCTCTCTGATGATGTAACGTAGTAACCCGAATAAACTACTGTATTTTGCGGGATAACTCTAATCTTTATATCGTCTACCTTTTTAATTATGTTGTTTATCACCAATCTCTCCTTGCTAATATCTTTAAGGCTCTGCGTGCGACCAAATTCGTATCATTGCTGTTTTTGTAAATCCCTACCTACAAGTTTTTCCTTGTTTTCAATAAGTTTTTTAAAAATACTGGAGTTTTTTCTCTCTATTTTGTTCAAAGGATGCAATTTTAACTTATTGTCGTATGGAAAAAAGACTCTAGTGTATTCGCCTTTGGATATTTTATAGGCTTTTGCTGTAGCAAAACCAGAATGATTTTTTGAATAGAAAAAAGAATCAAGGTTAGTTGAGGCGCCGTTTCTTACCTTTATAAGACTATCGTACACTGAAGATGAAGAAAATATCTTTCTAAGCTTAGCTAATTTTTTATCGGTGGAAAAATAAAACTGACCATCTATAACGTATTGTTCAGGTTGTATAACGTTAACTAGTCTTTGCGTTTTAAGTGCCTTATTGTATTCAAAATATGATGTAACAAAATTTTCACTCTTTGTCAAATGTGTAATAGCGGTGTAAGTTGTGGTATTTGAAAATGGATTATAATGTTTGAGATCAATCACATTTTTTAGCATTTTTTTTCTAAAAATGCTTCTTCTCAAAAGCGCTGCAGCTTTACTAGTGAAGTATGAATTAGGAGTTATGTAAACAAGTTGCCCATCGTTATTAAGCATATTGATACCTATTTCAAAAAATATTATGTAAAGATCTGTCATACCATTTTTGCTGAAATTAAACTCACGATATTTGATATTAGATAAATTATGCACTCTTACATAAGGCGGATTGCCAACGACATAATCCATTTTTTGGTTAAACTTTCTTATCTTCAATGCGTCGCCCAACACAATGTCTCATCTGATTTCTTTAAAAATTTTGAAACCCGCTAAAACCGCATTTAAGTTATTTATGCATTCATTTTTAGCAATCGTGTCTATCTCAATGCCGTGGATATATTTTTCTAAGTGTTTCTCTATGTCTCTAGTCGAACCATATTCCTTTAAGTATTCGTTAATATATCTAGTCACGACTTCTACCAAGAAGGAACCTAGTCCACAGCTATTATCTATAACATGCCTAGTAAGTATCTTTTGACCTTGATAATCAATTAAATCCAGCATACTAAGCACAATATGTTTAGGAGTGTAAACCACGCCGTTTTTATTATTCTGCCTTATGCTGTGTTTTTTTATACAAGAAGATGTAGTTCACACAGAGTTAGTGTAAATAATTTACGGACCTCCCGCGGTAAAAAATATCCATTAGCGACATTATAACTAACAGTTGATACTAGTTATCCGATAACCTGTGCTAGTCGTGAATCTCTCTAATTGTGTCAATCTAGAGATAGCGATATACTAAGCAAATATCATTAATACTCACCCCTACCTCCAAATTTGAATAACAACATTTTTCCTCGCCAGGTTCGTATTTAATAAAGTAGCTAACATGCCCAGAAAAACCAAATTCACAAAGAAGTTTTTCTAGGCTAGCAATTAGAATGATGATAGATCTTGTGTTCGTCACACTGGAGTTCGTTAAATGTTTGATTTTGTTTATGATTGTTTTGAGGTTAAGAAAATGAGAGAAGAAAACATTCTAATAAAAGAAGAAATAGCAAAGTTTAAGAACAACGACTTTATAACGATGACCTTCGGCGAATTTTCAATTTTGCAGAAAATAGGGAGATTAGATTTCAATCACCCAACCCAAAGGAACGGAGTTTGAGATCTAGAGCAAGCAAATAAAATGATTGAGTCAATTTTTCAATCTTTCCCCTTTGAACCCATTTATCTAGTCAAAAACAAGGACAGATACTGAGTAATTGACGGTAAACAACGTCTTACAACAATGCTTTTGTTTTGTGGATATTTACCAAAAGAACTTGGCATAGAATTAAAGAAAAGCGTGAAAGGACAGATAAAAGAGAATTTTGAATTAGGAGAAGAGTATATTGATAGTGATTTGTGATCTTCTCTAAACAAACTTCGTTCAAAAGAAAGCGAAAAAGTCAATTACAAGTTCCTTGTTGATAAAGTTCCAAACTTTAACAAGCATTATATAGAAGTAACATTTCCCGTGTACGTTTTGTTCAGCGAAAGCAATGAAGAAAGCAGAGAAGAAAATGCGTACGAACTTTTTAGAAAATTGAATTCTTCGGGCACACAAATTGAATCTGGGGAAAAACTAAAAGGCATGATTTACGAAAGATTTTCAGGCAAAAAACTATGAAATACCGAAAAAATAAAAAATATAGTGAACTTGTATAAGAAAACCATCATGCCTAAAGGTAAAGTTAAGACTAAACGTGATAAAGAATGATTTTTCTTCGCAAGAACGATTTGAAATCTAGCTAATTTTAAAAAATTAATATCCGGAAATTGCGATTCATGCAACATGGAACAAGAAATTGAAGATTTTGTTATGACTTGAGAAGAAAACAAATTTATGGATTACCTTAAAAAGATGAAAGAATACTGCGAGCATATAAACAAAGCAAAGGAGCAATTCTGTAATAGCAATAACGAAAAATCGATATTTAATAAAAATGGCAAACAAGGAAGTCCCTTGAACATGTTTTTATCTGCTATTTATGTAGGTGTGTATAGAGCAACAACTCAAAAAGAGATTGATAAGACGGAAGTAATCAAAAGAGTTGTTGCCTCCGTGAAAATACTTAGATCTATAAGTGACAATGACAATGCAGAATACAAGTTTGATTACATAAGTCAAAATGAAGAAGCGAACGCAAAAAAGCATCTTATTAAAAAATTTTCAAGAGAACCTCAAAAATTTAAACTCTACAGTTTCTTGGGAAGCTTAATAATAGGAGATGGAGTACTTGATGAAACAACAATTAGAATTAAGATATACGAAAAGTTTTTTAAAGGAGAGGCTAACTGAAATTTCCCAGAAAAAGAATTCAAACGAATATCTGTTGTTTAATATTACTGCTTCCATTGAGAGATACGTCAAAGAAATTTACCACTTTATATGAAGGAGTTACGAGAAGGGTAAAATCAATAGCAAATCTTTACAAAACGAAATTGAGAATCGTATTTTCAAGCGTATGAAAGTTCAATTTCAAAGAAATGATTTAACTGAACATTTTAAACAATACTTAATAAACGGACTAAAAAATGAACTTTCTGCAAAAAATGCATCGCCTACTTTTGAAAAAATTTTTGTCATAGGAAACTGATCAATCGTGAATCAAATGGATGAACATTTAGAGTTTTTAGGTCTTAATACAAATTGTCCATTTTTTTTGAAATTGCATTCTAATATGATGAAGGAACATCGTCATTCTGTTGCTCATGGTGAAATTTTTGATTTTGGTAAAATGTGCGGTAAAACTAGCAAAAAAGAGTTAGTCTTTTTATTCTCGAAATGGATAGATGAAACAGAGAAAAAAGTATTCTCGTATATCGCGATCCAAGGATCACTTTTAGCGCACTACTAATGCTTTCTAAATTAGTTCTCTGATATTGTAAGTTAGTACAAGATGCAAGAAAACTCAAGAGTATAAAAAGTTTAATCTCAATTTCCGAATATTATTCACACTATTAGTACACAGGCAATTGACACTACGAGGACAATCATGAATCATCAATACATAGTCATATACACCAAACATGGGGATTATAACAGATATTATAATTAGTCATAGCCCCATGTAAATACATAATTTCCAGTAGACCCAAATATTGTTCTGATGAGTTGTTGTTAAACAACTGGTTGTGTTGACTAACATTAGTTATTTTTTACAGTGCGAAAATATTTGGCAAAAAAACACGCCCAACGTCGGCTAGAACGTTAAGGCGCAAATCTGTGTGAACAAAAAGTATTTTATTTAGTGGTCGCAAGAGCAACTTTTCATGTGCTCACAACCACAAGGACAATGATGACGTTTGTCTACTCCGTTATCGGATTTACTCGTCGTTACTGCCCCCCATGTTGCCGCGTCCGCCATCATGACTTCCGTGGCTTCCCCTTCCTTTGTCGTGGTGATCACCATGTCCGCGATCGTGACTACCGTGGTTGTCACGGTGCATGTGGTGGTTTCCTCGATTATCGTGTCCTCCGCGGTTATCTCTACCACCGTTGGTGTTAGAGTGTGAACCGTGGTCACGATTGTGTTGGTCTTTCATTCTTATCCTTTCGCTGAACATGAGCACGCGTATGGAGCGTTTTCACGAACTTGGAGGATTGGTTCTACAATTGTAAACCATTCATTTCTTCATTTAGGATTGATGGAATAGACACGCTTTTCTTCAACTTGTTTGTACTTTAGTACGCCAAATTTTAACAACTTACCAAGGTGTTTTGAAAGGTTTACGCGGTTTATTCCCAGTAGGTGCCCAATTTGTTCAACGCAGTTTCTTTCGCACTGACATTTTCAAAAATGGGCGATAATCTTCGATTTGTTTTCACTACTCAATATTTTATTGACTTCGTAAATAGTCAATGTCACATTACTCACCTTTCGTCCTAATTATAACTTTAAAGTTTTTAATTGAGAAAAAAGGCAACATTTTTCCAAAATGAAAGATTATTTAATTGAATTGGTTCAGTTTAAAGTGCGCTTAACCGCTTCATTTCAGCCCTTAACTAAATACCTAGTTTGCCCACGATTAAGTTCCGGTTTGAAACTGCGGTCAACTTTAGCAAGTTTTTTAAGATCCTCAATTGACTTCCAAAATCCTACTTGCAATCCAGCCAGATAAGCCGCGCCCATAGCGGTAGATTCAGTATTGTGTGGTCGAAATACTTCTAAACCAGATATATCGGCTTGAAATTGCATTAAAAAATCACTTTTGGCCGCGCCACCGTCAACTTTGAGAAGTTTAATTGGATGCTTTAAATCCTTAGCCATCGCTTTTAATAGGTCATTGCTTTGGTAAGCAATTGATTCTAAAGCGGCTCGCACAATGTGCTCTCGTTTAGTTCCGCGCTCCAAACCAAAAATAGCTCCGCGCGAATTTGAATCTCAATAAGGAGCTCCAAGTCCTGTAAAGGATGGGACGAAGTAAATTCTTTGATCATCTTGCTTAACGTCGACTAATTTAGCGTAGTAATTGCTTATTGGAGCATCGTAAATCATTCTTAGACCGTCTCGCAACCATTGCAGAGCAGCCCCAGCCACAAATACTGAACCTTCTAACGCGTAAACGGTTTTCTGACTACCAATTTTTCAAGCAATCGTAGTAAGTAATCTGTTACTTGAACTTACCGCTTTATTGCCAGTGTTAACCAGAGTAAAGCAACCTGTTCCGTAGGTATTTTTAACCTGCCCAATTTGGGTGCACAATTGACCAAATAAAGCAGCTTGCTGATCACCGCAAACTCCTGTGATGGGCACTTTCCCAAGAGCTGCTTGGGAAAAATGAGTCGGTTCGATTGTTCCGTAAAAATCACTGGAACTTTTTACTTCCGGCAAAATTTGCATCGGTATGTTAAGGAGTTTACAAAGTTCTGAATCTCATTCAAGCGTGTGAATGTTAAAGAGCAAAGTTCGTGAAGCATTAGAAACATCTGTGGCGTGAACTCTTCCGTTGGTTAACATTCAGATTAACCATGTATCAATGGTGCCCGCCAATATTTCGCCTTTTTGAGCTCTTTGGCGCGCATTAGGCACATTGTCTAAAATTCACTTTAGTTTTGTGCCACTGAAATAAGGGTTAATTATTAAACCGGTTTTACGTTGAAATAGTTTCTCTCTGCCAGATTTTATTAGTTTATTGCAGTATTCGCTGGTGCGACGGTCTTGCCAAACTATAGCGTTATAAATTGGTAGTCCAGTTCTTTTGTTCCATACTACTATTGTTTCGCGCTGATTGGTGATTCCGCAAGCTACCAATTGAGTTGACTTAAGACCATTTTGACGTTTAGCATTAACCATCGTAGTTTTTTGAGCGTTTCAAATCTCAATTGGATCGTGTTCAACTCATCCTGAACGTGGGAAATACTGGGTGAATTCCAATTGAGAAACAGCCACGACCTTGCCTTGCTTATCACTTATTAGAGAACGGACTGAAGTCGTTCCTGCATCCAAGGTTAAAACATACTGTGGTTTGAGTTCCATCGCGTGCTCCTGTATCTATATCAGTCTTCCAAAAGCACCGACGATAATTCCTGCGATCAACGGACCAACGACCGGCACTCAACTGTAAGACCAATTAGCGCTGGTTTTTTGTTTGTATGGGCTTAGTTGGTAAACAAGACGCGGCACAAAGTCGCGAACAGGGTTAATAGCGTAACCTGTTACACCGCCGAGCGATAAACCAATGGCTAAAACTACTAGTCCCATGGTTAAAGGGCCGAAATATCTAATCATGTCGTTCATGACAGTATTTGAATCAACTTGGTAGGAAATAACAACTGTCATGGCGAGCGTTACTAATACAGTTGTAGCAACAATCTCTGTTATTAGATTAGATAACACTCGTTCGGGATGAGTCGGCGATGTGGCGTGGGCATGGATCACATTCTGACTGTTATCAGGTTCGTTGGCATGATTTCAGTAAACGATGCTAACAATAAGCTGACCTACTAGTGCGCCTAAAATTTGACTAAAAGTGTACACAGCAAAAATTTCCCAATTTATAGACCCCCTAATTAACATGGCTATTGACACAGCTGGGTTTAGATGCCCCCCAGTTTCTCACACATTCGCCAGCACCACTGCAAGAAATACTGCTAATGCTCATCCCAGTGAAATAAAAAACGGACCGGCGTTTGTCGCTTTTGTACGTTTATAAATCACATTTGCAACAACACCGTTGCCCATCATGATCAAAAATGCAGTTCCAACTAGTTCGCCTAGTAAAACTTGTAAATATTGATGCACTTAACACTCCCTAAAGATTACTAATTCCACTTCTGATTCTAATTCTCTCATTCATAACTCCAATTTTTTAAACAATTCCTAATGTTCTCTGATCAGAAAAAGTCATTAAGAGAAATTTGTGAACATCTTGTTAAATGTATGACATATCGCTTTCTCAACAGTTGTTTCAACGTAAAACTCATTATGACGATTGTTTCCAAAACGGACAGCCTATTATTGACAACAAAACCAAAAAATAAATCACATGAAAAACCAAATATCGTTAACATTGTCTCAAAATTTCAAAAAGTTTTTATTAAAACTTTAAACCGTCAAAGGTGAATTGGGAACAAGTTCCGATATTTGTTTTCAAACCTCCTCTAAAAGCGCATCGGTTCTCTTCAGCATTTTTACAACTTCGGAATGAAGCGAAGAGTAATTTGTATCGTGAATATCTGCATTATTCAGTTCTATAATGTCGGAAAACTCGTTTTTGAAGGAGTTTATTTGTTGCTTGTTGTGAAGGACAACGTCTTTCTGAGTTAAGTCTTCAACTACTAATTTCACTTTTGATTTTAAGTCCATTTCCTTAAGCCGAGTTTTTGTATAACGAAAAACTTGAGTTAGGTAACTCGTGACAGAAATTTCAATCATGGGTCTGACCAAGAAAGTTAACAAATCTGTGAATTTTATCCAATCAAGAGCCTGGATTTGCTTCAAAAGGTTTTCTAATTTGATGTTTCTACCTTCCACAAAAGGCAAGCATGCAAAATTATTTTTCCGAATTAATTTACCTTTTTTTGACAATTTTTTGCGATTTATCTGTGCAAAATCTTCATGACGAAGTAAATCACTTGATTTTATTAGAGATTCATTTTTTAGTTGCGCATCCATAATTTTGATCGCTTCCCTTTGTTGTTCTTGATTGATGAAACTTTTATAAAAACCAAGATCTCGTGATTTTATCAAGCTGATCAAAGCATTAACTTTTTGCTGAAAATCTTTTTCGCTAGATATTTTGATTTCCTTATTTTTTATCTCTAAACCAAAGTATCTACGCAATAGTCTGCTCGTAAAAATTCTGTCCCAGGTTGCTCATTTTACAATTTCAACATAATCTCTTCTAGGAACATTGTAACTACTCATAACATCTCTTACAAATATAGCTCTCTCATTTTTTCTATGCAACTGCCTCTCAAATGTATTTCAACTTCTCGACGTGTATCCTCCATTGTTTGTATGCTTTCTTTCTAGTCATTTGCTTGCATTATCTCTATTAACTAAGTCAACAACAGGTATTTTTTTAAACTCGCGCCGAACTTGTTCTACCCTTGAAATGTTTTCATTTAGTAGCTTCTGAAATTCTGTGTCTAAATCTTCCTTGTTAGAAAAAATTATCTTCAGAGCGCACACTCTCCTGTTTCCATCGCCAACTACGTAGCTACCATTTTCAAGGAAAACTCCTATTTTGTCTAAAGGATTAAGAGACATCTGCATAAGTATGTCTCTTACCAATTCAAACATATCTCGAAGATGAACTTTAACCATAAAATTCACCATATCGTTTTTATCCTCATCATAAGTGCTGTATCTAGGGTTATTCCTATCAAGCTCTATTTCATTCAAATCTAGCAGCAGCTCTTTATACATACTACATCGCCTCTCTTCACTTGTTTCATATGTTTGAAATACCTATCTCTCCTACTAGGAATTATAGTCGCAAATGAATTGCTAAAGCTCCGATTTCTACATTACACATTATTTTCACGGTTAACATGTTTCCGTCAATACAATAAATGCGAAAAACGAATTCTAATTTGGACAATTAATTAAAAATTGTTAGATTCTTAATACATCAGTGTATAACGAGCTTGGAAAAGCGGATTTTTTTGAAGTTTACTGCCATTAGATGCTAGCAACATTTTTACCTCATTTGCAATTGCCGGAGCTGATGCAATTGCAGGTGACTGCATACCAGCTACATTGATAAAATTTTTATTGTTATTTCCATATCCAATGAGAAAATCATCCGTTTTGCTGTAAATTGGCCTTGAACCAGCAAAAGTCATTTCCACCTTATCCATGTTCAGTTTAGGCAATAGAAGACGACCAATTTTGCTAATTTCAGCTTGTTTTTTACTAGTGGTTACTCGTGTATCAGATTTTGGGACACTATCTTCAGAAGTAGGCCCCACTAACACTTTCCCGTTTAAGAGCGGCGCCACTAACACTCCCTTGCCATGGATAGTTGGTACCAAAAAATAAACCGCTTTGAGACAGCTAGATTCGCTACGAGATAAAATTTTGTACTCTCCACGACGAGCTGTTAATTCAAAATTTCCTTGAGATGCTAACTTAGCAATCTTGTCAGCATAATGACCAGCTGCGTTAATAACATTCTTTGCAAAATAAATTTCAACGCTATCTCTGATCCCAATTTCTCAAAATTTGCTATTTCATTTTAAACTGACGACCTCACTAGATCTTCGTATTTTCGTGCCGTTTGTCACCGCACTACCAAACATTGCTAAACTGGCTTTTGCTGCGTCAATTTCTCAAGATGAGGTACAAATCAACGCGGCCTTAGCCCGCCTAGTTAAACAGGGATGTTGCTGCAACAACTCATCTCTATTTATCAATTTTAAATCTTGTTTCCTAACACCGTTAATGAGGCCTCGTTGGTAAAGTATTTCCAGTTCTTTAATCTCATGAACGTTTAAAGCTACTACTACAGAATCAATTTTTCGGCGTGGAAAGTGTAAAAAAGGGAATATTTCACTTTGTCAAAGTCTGTTGCCCAGCACATTTAAACGTGCTTCTAACTTTTCAGGCAAGGGATCAAATCCACCATGAATCAAACCTGAATTTGCTGATGAAGTTTCCTCCGCTAGATAAGGATTCTTTTCAAGAACTAGTATATTCAACTTGTAACGAGCAAGCTTATATGCAATGCTGGCTCCGATTATTCCCCCGCCAATTATTACCACATCATAGCGCTCTTTTGTCATGCAAACTAAGTATACAGGATCAACTTTACTAACTCCATTGGCTCTTGTGTGGTTAGAGTCCCTGAAAACCCTTTCTTTATGACTTCGGTTAAAAGAAGAGGCAAACTTGAGCGATTAAATCTGATGGAAATACTAGACGGCTGTGCATTTTAGATAAGAATTTCTGTCCGAAATGAATCTTCTGATTCTACGGTTTTTCTACCACACAAACCATTCAAATACTCTTCTAGCATATCCGATTTTAATAGTTTGAAATTAGAATCTCTAATATTTGCCTTTATGTCTTCCCATTTTTTTCCAACGTAATAGTCGCCGTCGCAAATGAATAGCACGATAAAACCTTCTGTGACATGTGCAGCTGAGGCATTTTTTATTGCGGTTATTACATTCTCCTTTTGATTATCCTGAGCGCCGCCTGGCTCATTGGTATATTTATGAAAAACATAAAAGTCGTTGGGCAAATTTCTAAAATTAAAGAAAAAATCCATTGACTTTGCCAATTTGATAATCGCTTTTTCAGCTTCTGCGCTTGTCCTAACTTCTTGGTTAATTATAAATTTAGAATTGGGCCCAGAATTACTCAACTTTTTAAAATTTCTGACCCCATCAATGTTTTTTAAGAATTGGGCAAAGGTTTTCTCATATATGTTTTGCTTCGCCGGGTCTTTTATGAATCAAGCCCTTAAGTAGACGTCGTCCCTTATTTTTTCCTTTACCTTGTCTTGGTCAAAGCCAAATTTGATACAAAATTTTTCAACTTTGATTTTTACTTCATAGTCTTCTAAATTAAAATTTGCTAAGTTTTCTTTTAATTTATGATTGTAATTTTCTCTGTATCTTGGTGCGGACAATGCTATTGTAGGTTAATCCTTCATTCTGACTACAATTTCATCATACGCTAATTCTAAAATATTTCTTGCAGAAAAAAAATCCAATCTTCTCCTTCTAACAGATTTCTTGTCGTTGCCTTTAAAAGGAGAAAGTAGCACGTCCTGTGTTTTTTCTCTGTAGTTATTTAATATTAAATTAGCTTTAACTATCATTTTTTCCACTAATTTTGAACTTAGCTGCTCAACTTTACTACTGCTTACAATAGTTATGGCTCTTGAACTCTTTTTTATTTTTTTGAAATCGTAGTTTAAATCTTTCTTATGCAAAAATTTGATTTTGCTTTTAGAATTTGAAGAGTCAAAACCTCTTATTGCTATCGTGCCTTTTATATCGTTAAAACGTAAATCTTTTAAATTTATTCCTCCGTTAGGCTGAGGTTTTAAATTGACTAAGTTTGACAATTTTTCTACGTATTGCTCGTTCTTATATATAAGAGTGTCCTTTCTATTTTTTCCGTTAAAACACACTACACAAATCGGTACACTTGTGTCTTCAAAGGGATTTGGCTCTATTATGACTATCCTATCAATGTTATTCTTGGGAAACCTTGAATTTATGAATGTTTCTGGAACTATAGCTACTCCCGGCAAGCTAGTGCGTAACATTTTTTCAAGCGCTATTAAGTACAAATCATCATACTTGCTGCTTGAGAAGTATCTTTCGTAAATATCAATAAAACCTTTTCTCTTGCAACTATTCTTGGAAAGATAGGGAGGGTTGGTCACTATGAAATCATTTTTGCTGCAAGGGATTTTCACAAGACTATCGTTAAGCTTTCAGTTAAATTTTGTATCAATATCATAACCTCTGAATTTCAACCTAGTAAAACGGGTTTTGAGAGCGCTAAATAAATCGCCTTCTCCTGCAAACGGATCTAAAAAAATCGTGTTGGAATTGACGTTGTCTTTGATAAATTCCCTAATACTTTCGGTTAATCACGAGTCTTTCTTCGTAAAGTACTGGCCTAAGCCATTCCTATTGGAGTTTTTTTCAAAAACCATAATTCTACATTTTACACGGATTTAAAACCTAACATTAGTTGTAAATGAAAACTCACTGTTGGGTACCAGATAAAAAAATTTCAAAAAAGTCTCACTCTTATAAAAAAGCAAACTCACCAACTCCATAAAACTGTGAACACGATAACAACTCGGTATTTCTAGGCTGTTACAAATTTAGTTTTACTACGGATAAAACGAAGCATCGTTTAGCTCAAAAAATATCAAATTTTGACCATCTGAATTAAAAAGCGAATCATAAAAAGGCGACAAAAAGTTGGTATTCATTCCCGTTGTTATTGATAGGTATAATGAAGGTAAAGGGAAATGAATTGAAATAAGTCATGAACAAAAAAATATTTTTAAGCACACTATCAATGGTGCCAACAGCAGCGCTGTGCCTTGCCACGATCAACGCTTCCAGCCAAAAAAAAGAGATAAAAACTTTGAACAGCGGCGTCAACAGCGAGATTAATTGGGGGGATGTCAAACAGAGTCTTGAAAAATTTCTAAGAAACATAAGAAGGGAACATGCTGAAGAATTAAAACTCAACTTGATGTTTGAAAAAGTTGCTGAAAAAATTGAAGAGATTGTTAATGAATCTATAAAAAATAGCTACTCTCTTGAAATTCTGTTGGACAAACTATCCAAGGAATATCCTGAATTTGCGCAAAAAAAATCTATTCTAGAACTGGGTGTCACGAACACAAAAGAAAACTTCGCATTTTCAGATGTAGGCAATGGCGAGAGAAAATACGTAACGATTCAAAACAGTATCAGCAAATTGAAAAAACTAGTTAATGACTTAAGAATATCAAAAACTACCTTTATAACCGTCTCTGCTGCTGCCGCAATAGCGGCGGCAGGTTTTTTTGCAGCTTCGTTTTGGACCATAGGGTTAACCGCCAAATTGGGTGCAAAGTGCGCGTTCCTTAGCGCCACTTCTGGAGGAGTGGCAGCGGGAATTAATTTTGCCTTGCTGGCGTATGACAAAGAGTTATCAAAATGAGAAAAAGTCGGAAAAGGAATGGTTTCTTCTTATTATCTAGGCCACATATTTTACAAGACACTAAAACCTTTGTTGATCAGTGTAAATATTGCGGCGGGAGCAGCAACTTGGTTTTTTCCGATAGCATCAACAATTATTCCCGTTGCTAGCGCCATTCTATCTTGGATTGAACTATATAAGTAACATGGAAACTTTCCTGTTCTTCCTGTTAATTTATTCTCTGTACATAAGTTGTAACACCTCAATTATTGGAGGGGTGAGCTACAATTACAAAACAAATTTAAAATACATGGCCTTTATCCCGCAAAAAATCTTTAATCTATCAGATTGATGTTTTTTCATAAGCGAAAAAAAAACTAAATATTTTCTCTCAGTATATTTCTGACTGTCTTTCCACCTAATTTTTTCCTTTTTCTTTGTATATTTATGGATTATCGTTTGGGGTAATTACTGATATCTCTTCCTCTTCATTCTCAACTTTTTACTAACTGTGGCAGTCGTGATCTGACAAACATTGAGATATCGATGAGAAATAAAAAGAATTGGTTATTGTAAGTTGAAAGATGCTTTCAAAAAATTAAATTCTCTAAACGAAAGTAAATTCATCGGAAAAAATCTATCAAATGACAATCTGACAATAACGCGGAATGGCAAACCTTGAAGATATCAAAAAGTGATAAGTTTTCAAAACAAAAGGTTTATGAAGAAAATCAAAAAAACTAAAAAAGGCGACAATCGCGAGAACGTTGTACTTGTCTTCAATCTCTACTTGAGAGCTTGATCGTATTTCTTGAGCGCGCTCAATAATTCTCGTTACTCGTTTTATGATGATGGTAAAGAAATAAATTACAAAACATTATGCATGGTGTTTCTAAACAATTTTTTTCACTTATACGAGAAAGCCTAGGCGCAAAAAACATGTCCAAAATTAAAGATCCAGGACATGTTTAGACCAAACTTATTTACCAGACAAAAATTACTGAGCGGAAAAGTAATATACAATTTTGGTACACAGGAGCATAGTTTAATGGTAGAACTGTAGTCTCCAAAACTACTAGTGCGGGTTCGATTCCTGCTGCTCCTGCCAAGCCCAAGTGGTGAAATGGCAAACACGGTAGACTCAAAATCTACTGACTTCCGAGTCTTATGGGTTCGAGTCCCATCTTGGGCACCAGATGTTATTAAACAACAAACGCCGCTGATTATGAAGTACAAAGCGAAATCAAAGATGATTTAGGAAAAGAGTAAAAGAATGTTAGAAAAAGTGGAAATAGAAAAATACGGACCCTTTAAGAAACAAGATATAAGTTTTTCGGATAACCTAGGATTGACCTACATAATTGGATTGAATGATGTTGGTAAAACATGCTTACTTACCGCAATAAATGCTTTAAATGGCCCCCTAAATGAGCACTACTCACGACCAGAAATAAATATTAAAAAAAACCCAGAACAAATGGAAACCACTGCAATTGCCTCCAAAGTTATTATCCAATTTAAAATAAATGAGAGATTCTATGACTACGATATAAAGGAGAACCTGAAAAGAATTCTTGGTGACTTTTTTACTGGTTCAATAAAGATAGAAAGAAACAAAACCAACTTATCAAATGCCAACGATTTCTCAATATTTTTATACAACGATAACTTGAGAACATGACTGGAAAAACACCTGGAAGAAATAAACAAAAGTTTAACTGACAAAAAAATTGAAACTATTAAAATAGATGATTTAAGGGATGCCAAATTCGAAGAAATTTTTACCTCTCTTTTCCGAAAAAAAGTTCAACAATTAGAGAGAAGTAGTGAATTTAAAATAACAATGCCGCTGTTTCGCATGGGAGTAAGTTGAGGCAATACCTCCCAATTTCCCAGGTTGTTGGTAAAAAAGTCATATTTATCAAAAGGTTTTTTGGGTGAAAGCGAAAATAAAATTTTCGAAAAACTTTCTGTACTTGCGCAGTTTAAAGACTATGTATACATGAAATTAAGAAACAGGGTCAAGTATATAGAGGCAAATGAAAATGCGACTTTTTCGCTTATTAAACCAGAATATTTTCTTTACAAGGACGATAAGAAAGGCATCAACGATGATAAGGAATTGTTGAATTATATTCTCCAAGCTTTTCTAAACCAACAAGATCTGGAGTTTTTTTGGCAAGTTTTAAAGTCTGATAATGATATTGATTGAAAGGAAAACCAGTTGATTTGACTTTGCGATGAAGCAACAAAAAAAATGAATGATTTTTATAACACAACCTTTCCTTCTCAGGACAAAAATGTGCAATTCAAATTTAATCTGTATGACGCCAGAATAAAATGGCTAGTCAAAGATGATATTTCACCTTTCGGAAAAATCAATGAAAGAAGCGATGGTTTTAAATGGTTTTTTAAATTGTATGTAGCTTTAAAAAATTGTGAACCCAGCGGAGTGATAGTTATTGATGAACCAGAAAAATTTCTTCATCCCTCGGCTCAGATGAATTTAACAAAAATGCTAAAAGAAATCTCAAAGCAGAAAAAAATCCAAGTAATTTGTGCTACCCATTCTCCATTCATGCTGGATTTTTTGGACGTAACGAACATAAAGATAGTGCAAAAAGATACCGATAAAGGCGAAAGTGTGATTTATAACAGTGTTCAAGCTTATGTAGATGACTCTAATGTTGACAAAATTAAAAGAAGTGATGTATTATCCCCTATCTCAAATGCAATAGGAATTCCTTACTTTGATATCTTGCTCTACAATGACCTACATAAAAAAGTAATATTATTTGTGGAAGGGGCAGCAGATATTCACACTTTGGAATTAGCACTTGAAATTCATTATGGACCTAACAAAGATTGAATTATTTGACCTTTATTCGGCGATAAAAAGTTATTCGCGATTTCAGTAGCTGAAGCTATGAGATTTAAATACAAAATTTTTTACGATAAACAGGAAAGCAATAAGCGCTTTAAAAATGACGGACAAATTGATCAATATTTTACCATTGATCAAATAACGGATAATAAATTCACTAATCCAGAAGACATGCTGTCCGAGGAAACACGCAAAAAATACAAATTAAACGATAAATCCCAACACAAATACGGTTGAACAGCATTGAGAAGAGATGTTACTGTAGAAAGATCTCATGAGTTGAAAGATGAGGAAGTAAAAAACTTAAAAATTTACATTGATGGCGTCAAAAAAGAAATGATGCTTTTTAATTCAATGTAAGAGTGTAATGTAGTTTACTGGTTTTCGCGAAGTAAATTTCGTTGCATCGTCACATTCAATGGTTATCCTTGGTAAATTGATTCATAAAAGTGTGGGAAGTATAATTTTGTTACAAGAACCGGGATTAGTGTTAACTAAATTAGGATTTAACAACTGCTTGCCCTAGGTTTTTCACAAGGAGTAATTTTAATGTCCAAAATCCAGAAATTCCGCAACTGTTGATGAGCTGTTTTTGGCGGCATTATGGTAGTCATTTTCACTTCAATCTCCGTCTGAACTCATTACTTAGGGACAATGTTGACAAACGGTTCAGACTTTATCAAAGATGCGCTCGCTTGAACAGCAGGCGGTTTAGTTTTAATTTACATTGTTTATGTTCTAATTGCTGCTTACCGTTTCAACAAATTGGTAACCAAGGATTCACAACTAACTCAGGTAAGAGACTACCTGTTTTTTAAGCGGCAAAAGTTTGATAATTCCCAAACAAATCCGCAGTTTGACCCCGCTGGTCTTGAGACAATCTGGAAAATTATCCAACGATATGCTTGGGGTTTAGGAATGTTTACCACGATCTTCGGTTCTTTGATGATTACTTCCCAACTAGTTCTAACTAACGACTCAACCGCTTTTATTATCACGCTGTCTTTAACTGTCGGACTAGTTTGACTTCCCTCTTGAATAAGTTGGATAGCGATCTTTTTGACTAAAAACGCAATCTTCTAACTGCGTTTTTGGCACACCTTAGACGAGTAAAAATCTTCCTTTAATCCAGCAATCTACTGATCTAAGTCATGGCAGTTTTCATCTTGATCACTCTCGTTTAACTTGATCGTTTCATAAATTGTCTTCAGCAAAGACACAAGCGTTTTAAAAACATTCTCTTGCCCGCGGTTGTATTCCAGTCAATTATTAGATCTAGCGTGGTGAGTTAATCTGCCCGGCGAACTAAAGTAAACAAAGTGCGGCGGCACGCGTTTCATGTTGCTAACCGCACTCACTAAAACGCCAAACACATCCTTGCGCTGCTTCTTGAAATAGCGCAGCGCCTTATCGACTCGGTAAGATTCGCCGGTAATGCTAACTAGCACGACTAAATCATCAATCTCGACTTGACCCAGTCAATCATGCAATTTCTCTTTTTCTTCTTTAAAGATTTGGTGCTTAATTTTGGCTTCACTTAAACGCGACGCCATTCAAAGTGCCAGACTATGCGAGCGGCGCGAGCTAAGCACGAAAACGCTCCGGTAAGATTGCTGACTGACACGAGCCATTTTGCTGTCAATCGTTTTGCGACCACCCGCGCTGGGGTTAGGATAACTCTTGTCGCGGTTAAACTTGCTCACGCAGTGGCGGGAGGACTCAAGGGAAAAATCACGGAACGATTTGTAACCGATTTTTTGGACGTACCGCGAACAAGTTGAAACGGGCACTTCCAAAAAACTAGCCAGTTGCTTAATCGTCGCAAAGCGACCGCAAGCTTTGTTAGTCACTAACTTAGCGGAAATCAGCGCGTCTAACCGAGTTCCGTCTGACAAAAGACGACGAATCTTTTGGTGGCAAGAATTTTCAAAACCGGTTCTTTTGGACACTTTAAAAAAATGTTAGTGTACCGCGGAGCGCTTAAACCCCAAGAACTTGTATGGCCAAGTCGGTTTTTGGGGTGCTAACCAGCGATTTGGCCGTTTTGAAACGGTTTAAAACGCCTCTAAAGTTTAAAACCGGTGTTGAGCCCATTAACCGGGCAGGCAACTTACCGAGTAAACACAGTCAAAAAAAATCAACTTGTTAGACAAGTAGACTACAATAAAAATGAATCTGAAAACTTGTCTTGAGGAGTGATTTGCCTAAAAAACCGACCGTCTACTTCGTCCGACACACCCACTGGAACCGCGAGTGGTATTTCACCAGCGATGACAGCCGGACTCTGCTCTACTACCACCTCAAGTACCTGATCGAAAACTTAGAAAAAAGCAGTCGTGATACTTTCACTTTTGACGGTCAAAGCGTGATCGTGGATGACTTTCTCCGCTTTGCTCCCGACTGGCGTGCGCGACTTAAGAAAGTCGTGAAAAGTCGTAAACTGCTGATCGGGCCCTTCTACACCCAAATGGACAATTACCAAGCGCGGGGCGAGGCTTTGGTACGCAACTTAGAAATCGGAATCGATCTCGCCCAGCAGATGGGTCACGCCATGAAAGTCGGTTACTTGCCCGATGTCTTCTGCCACTCGCAGCAAACTAGTCAAATTTTGCGTATGAACGGGATTGACAACTTTTTATTTTCGCGCGGAATTAACCCCTCGCTGATTAGCAACAACATTTACTTTTGACTCCAAAGTCCCGACGGCAGCAAAGTTTTTAGCACTTGACTAACCGACTACGCCAGTCATCCTAACACGCTCGGCGCCAACTTAAACGAATGGGTGGCCTACCTAGTGGAAGAGCATCCCCAACCAGGTCAATTTCACCCCTCAATCAAGTCGTACCTAAAAAGAAACCAGGAACTACCGATCATGGTGCCCGTCGGAGCCGACCAGCATCCCTACCAGCCCGAAGTCAGACAGCTCGTTAGTCGCCTAAAAAGTCAGTACCAAGAATGAAATTTGGAACTGGGCGACTTTGAAAGCGCACTCGCTAAAATTAAGCACGTTCTTAAACGTCAAAACACGTTGCTACCGACGGTTGACACGCCGCTCAAAGAAGGGGTGACTAAACCGGTTCACCGGGCCGTCGCCTCAACCCGGATCGACCTTAAACAGCTTTACTACGAACTAGAGTCGCTTCTGATCGACATGATTGAACCGATGAGCGTGATGTGTCAAATCGAGAAGATTGACGTGCCGTGGGCGATGATCGAACTAATTTGGAAACAGTACCTCAAGTCGGCCGCTTACCACTCTTACGCGGGCGTTAGCATTGACAGCGTCAGTCAGAAAAACCGCCAGCGTCTCACGAGCGCGATTCGTCTCGGGCGCAACGTCTTGGCGATGCTCTCGCGTATTTTCGCCCAACGCTTTATCCGCGAGGAGATTGACGCCTACCAAAAACTAATCCTTTTTAACTACGATCTGAAAATTTACGAAGGTCCTTACGAAATTAAAATTAACGTCAAAGATAACCGTCAAATTGGCCAGTTTAGTTTTTGGGACCAAGACACGCCCCTTAAGTTCAGCATCATCAAAACTTACCCCGACCTCTCCTACTTAATCTTGCTCCACGAAGTGCGCATCCCGGCCTTTAACTACAAACTGATCGGCGTCAAGTACCACGAAAAACCACGCGCTTTACCGCCGCTCGAAAACTTTGTGCGCAACGATTACTTGGAAGTCAAAGTCGGCCGACGCGGGTTAACCCTGACTAAGGGCAACAAGACTTGGACCAACTTTTGGCAAATTTGCGCCTACCCTTCGGCGGGCGACACTTTTACCCATGCACCGCTCAAAGAAGTTGACCGCGCCTACTTCTTTGACGAATTTAAAGTTTTAGCGAGCGATGCCCATCACCAGTCGCTACGAGTGCTCGCCAGCGGTTTTGTTCCGAGCGGAATCGAGAACTGGACGGCCGGTAAAGAAGCGCAACGGCAAAACGTGGAAATTAACATCGTTTTGATCGAAGAAAGAGTCTTTTTTCAAGTCAACTTAACTAACGCTTTGCAAGACACACGCCTAGTTGTCTTAGTTGACGCTAACAGCGGGGAAGACCGCTGGTGGCACGACCAAGTTTTTGGACTCGAAGAAAACCAAATTAATCCGGCTGGACTTGACACGCTCGAGAAACCCGACTCGTTTGGCTACCGCCGACCTGAATACCTCGGTAACCAAAGCGTTCACCACCACTTTGTAGCTAACTACCAAAACACCGCCACTATCTTCACCCAGGGAACGCGCGAGCACGAGTTGCTAGTCTGGGAAGGTAAACACTACTTTGCTTTTACGCTGCTGCGCAGTTTTAGCAAAATTAGCGCCAAGAAACTGGCGTGACGAACCGGACCGAGTCCGATGGTGGAAAGTCCCAGCGCCGACTGTCAGCTGAGTCAAAGCAAACTCCACTACTCTTTCATCGTCGACTACAACTACCGGACAATCGCCCAGCAGTTTCAAAACGCCAAGCACCTTTTTTACAAAAACTATTACCTACCTAACCCAAGTCAGTGGGCCCAGCCGCTTTTCCACTGGAAGTCTAACTTAGCCCACTACGACCGCGGTCAGCGCGAAGACCCTTACACTTGGCAAATACCGGCTCTGATTGAAAACGAGAATTTGATCGTCAGCGCCTTTTACCGTAATCCGCGCCAACAAATCATCTTGCGAATTTTAAACGTGGGTCCCAGTTTCACTTTTACCGACACCAGTCTCCGTTGCTCGCGCACGCTGAGCAACTTCCGCCACCAAAAACTGTTTTGACCCCAGTGGGGACTAGTCAACTTTCTAATTTAACTGCTCATGAGCGAAAACTTGTCCACAAGTTAACGCTTGCGTTATAATTAAATTGAAAAGAAAAGCGGTTGGTACAGTGCGTTTAAAAAAGGCATTTTGAATGCTTGGCGCCGTCACGTCGCTCGGCGGTGGCACGTTTGCTTGCGCCAGTTGTTGACCTCAAAAGAACTCTTCGCTCGAAGAAGTTCAGTCCGAAATTGACCAAATTGATCAGTTAGAAACGGTTCACACCGACAAAATTCCTTCGGAAACATTCCAAAAAAACCAGCAAGTGAGCGCCGAAGAACTCGGCATCACTTTGCCCCAGTCGCTGGATAAATTTAGCGTCACGTTAACAGTCGAGGACTTTGATGACCACACCGGTCAAGTTGATGTTGGTCTCAAACTTAATCACGAAAATCGCAACCTAATTGGTAAGTTTAGAGTCGTCAATTTTGCCAAAAAAACCGATCAGGACCGCCAAATCGTGGAAGAGTGGTCCAACTACATGATTAGCGCCAACAAAACGCTGCACGAGCAAAAACTGCCCAGCGAAAGTTGTCAAATCGGACCCTCGGACTTTGAAACAATTGGCCTTGATAAATACGACTTGTCACACGGCTGGGAAATTGATCTTAACGTCCTAGAAGTTGATGACCACGAAGGCTATGTTTTGGTTGAAGCAACGCTCAGCAAAAACGGCGAACCTAAACACAAGCAAAAGTATAAAATCGCGGGTTTTCGCAACCACAACTTCCAAAACAAACTGATCGTGGAGGAAATTAAATCGCTGCTGGTTGACCAGCAGACTAAACCTTCTAACCGAAGCCGCTTGCCTTCTGAAATCGACTTGACTGAGCAAAGTACCTACTGGGAAAATATCGGCGGTAAACCTTGGGACTTAGAGAAAATTAACGGCGTAGATCTGCAGTACGAAACGCTCGAAAAAAACGATGAAACCGGATCAATCACCACCCGGGTCAGCATCAAACGCGGGCGAATTAGCGACCTGAAAGTCATCAGAGTCCACGGTTTTCTGTCTAAAAACGCCTACCGCCAAAGCGTGATTGACAAGTTTTTTGCCGCAGTTCTCAAACTGCGAGCCGATCACGCCGGTCAAAAAGCCAGCGATCTGCTCAAGCAAGGTCAAACCGACCTCAGAAAAATTCGCATTTCTTGACCACCTTTACCCGACAAATGACGTTTTGAAGCAACGGTGGCCAAAATTAACGATTCAAAAGGTAGCGCGACTTTCTTAGTCAGCATTTTCCACGAAGACACTAACTTAGAGGGGCGCAGCGTTGAGATCGGCGGTTTTCTTGATGAAGTCAACTTTGAAAATAAACAACTTGGCCAACTGCTTGATGCTCTAAGCGACCAAAAAGTTCACCCCGATTGAGCTGATCAGTTACCAAGTCAGTGGCGTGAAAAGCCGATTTGGCCGCTTGATTATCAAAAACTAAAGTTATTTTTTGACCCGCTAACTAACTTTGACTGGTCAAAACTTTCCGGTCAAGCGAGCGCAGTTAGTCACGACGACCAAAAGGGCACAATCACGGTTAAAATTGACTTCAAGTACGGTGATTCCCAGGCTAGCAAAACGATTGAACTTTCCGGTCTAAAAACTTTGGAGCAGTTTGACCATGAAATCGCCAACGAGTTTCTCCGTAAAATTCAAACTTCCCAAACCAGCAAAATTGACACGCTTGTTCGCGACATCATCAAAAATAAGCCGCTCGGTCCCGAAGTGCTCGGGGTCCAGTGACCAGAGTTGCCCGAGCACCTAAAACTGACGATCATCGTTGACTACTACGATGAAGACCAAGGGTTAATTGATCTTTCCTTAGAAATCCGCCGACCGAATAACCAAGTGGTTGCCCAAGGCAAGTCGCGCCTAAGCGGATTTAAAACGTTGATAGTCCAAGACCAGGTTGACGTTAACAAAGTGATCGCCCTTTTCCAAGACCAGACCACCGAAGAAGCCAACCGCACCAAACAAGTCAGCGAAATTTTTAAACAAGGTCAAATCGTTTCGACCCGAGCGCTCGGCATTAAATCGCTCAGCAGCGAGCAGTTAAACGGGGTCGAGGTTACGCTCCGCGTCGTCGCCATTAACGATCCGGACGGAGAAGTTAGCGTCGAAGTAGTCGGCAAAAAACGCAAAGCCGATGGTCGTAGCACCTTCGTTGTGCGCGGTTTTGAGACCGAGGATGCCCGCGATCAAAAAGCAATCGCTCAATTTTTGAAAGATTGGGAAAACGTTAAAACTACCACCACAAACGTTTTACCCAAACTGGTGGCCGCGATTTTCAAAGGCGACATCAGCAAACTCGGCGTAGTGAGTCCGCCCCAGCTAACTGGTCGACTTGAAACCCACTACGAGATTGATAATTTTGACGATCAAAACGGGGTTATTAACTTGCGGGTGACGATCTCAAAACTAGGTAAAGAACTTAAAACCGCCAATGTGAAGGTCAGCGGTTACCGCACTTTAGCCGAACAAAACGTGATCGATGTCGGCGGCATTATCAACGGTCTAGCCGAACTAACGGCTGGCGAACGTCTAACTGAAAAAAGGCCGAGTCAAATTTTCAAAGTAGGTCAAGAAGTTGACTGGGAAGACTTTTATATCCCCTGACCGCGCGACGTGGACCGTGCCGGAGCCAAGGTCAAAGTTAAAATTTTAGATATTGATGACGAGCACGGTCAAGTTAAAGTTGAGATTAGCGTCAACAAAGGCGAGGCCAATAAAACGCGCGAAACGATCGTGACTGGTTTTGACACCAACGAGCGTTACCGTCAGCGCGAGGGCAAAAGAATCGCTGATTTACTAAACGATCTCAAAGTTCCAACCAGCGACAAGTTGCCGAGCCAAATTTACAAACTCGGACCGATCTCCTTGGCAGAAATCAAATTTTTCCTACCGATCTTACCGTTTGGATGAAAAATTGACCTAGAAGTGGTACAAACTCGTGATCCCGGCGGGCAGGTTGACTTTGAAGCGACTTTGCGTTGGCGCGACTTTCCGCCGCTTAAACACCGTTTTACCGTCAGCGGCTTTAAAAAACTGGCCACCAAAGACCAGGAAGACGTCGAAAAAATCGTGGCTTTGATCCAGGATCAAACTGCCGACGCTTCTTTTAGTCAAAGTCAACTTAGTCAAATTACCAAAGTTGACCAGATCGTTACCCCGGCTGAACTTGGCTTTAAAGGTCCCAGTTCCGAGCAAATTGGTGGCGTTAACGTCACTTACCGCGTGGTCGCAATTGACGACGAAAAGGGCGAACTGACGCTGGAGGCCACGGTTGAAAAAGGCGAGTCAAGGGAAAAACGAACTTTCAAAGTCAGCGGTTACCAAACTGAGGACGAGCGCGATCAAATCGCGGTTAACCAGTTTTTGCAAGCTTGGCAAAACGTTAAAACAACTTTGGTCAACTACCTACCTCGCAGCGCCGTTGCGCTTTTTGAAGATAATTTAGTTGACCTTGGCGTGGAAGACCAGCCCCGACTGCCCGAACACTTTTCAGTCAAGTATTCAATTAAAACTTTTGATAACGACCAGGGCAGCATCACTTTAGACGCCGAGATTAGCAAAAAAGGTCAACCGTTTAAAAAAGTCATTCTCCAAATCAAAGGTTTCCGCACCACGGCGGTTCAAAACCAAATCGACGTTGACAAGATTTTGGAACTACTTAAAGAAATCAAAGTGGGAGATAAGTTTGACCAAAAAAGACCGAGTCAATCTTTTCAAGTCGGCCAAAAAATCACTCTTGAAGAGATTGACTTCCCGTGGCCAAAAACGATTGACCGACGCGGAACCGAAATCGAAATTGAGATTCTCACCCTTGACGATGAAAATGGGGAAGCAAAAGTTAAGATTACCGTTACTAAGGGTCAAATTACCAACGACCGGGAAACAATTTTGAGCGGCTTTGACAACAACGGCGACTACCAAGCCCGCGTAGCGCAATCAATTTGAAAGCAACTTGAAGACCTGACGACCAGCAACCAAGACCAGACCCCAAGCTCGAGGTTTAAATTGGGTCAAGTCGAGGAAGAAAGGCTTGGTTTCAAAAGACCCGCTTTGCCGCCTGAGTGGCAGATCACTTGGGAAGTGGTTGAGCTAGATGATGCGGGCGGAGAAGTCCATTTTGAGGCCGCTTTAAAATGACGCGAACACCCAGTTTTAAAACACCGCTTTGTGGTCAGAGGTTACAAAAAGCAAGCTCAGCAAGATCAAGAAGACGTGGAAATGATCGCCAAGTTGGTGCAAGACCAAACCGCGAGTTTGACCTTCCGCAACACTCAACTTAGCAAAGTGACTAAGGTCGGCGATTTAACCACGCCTTCTGAGCTTGGTTTTGAAAGTTTGGATCCCGAAAAAGTCGGTCGCGCTAAATTAACTTACCAAGTGGTTGAGATTGACGATTCTAACGGTCAAGTGCGAATTGAAGTCAAAATCGAAAAAGGTCAAGCGATTGCTTCGGCCCAGTTTAACGTATCAGGCTACCAAACCGATCATGACCGCGATCAGTTGGCGATCAAAGAATTTTTATCCGAGTGGGAAGACGTGACAACTAGCCGAGTTAATCAAATGCCGAGCGCCGTCAGCAAACTTTTTGGCGAAGACTTAGCAGCGCTCGGAGTCGATCATCCGCCCCTTTTACCCGCCGGATTTGAACCGAAGTACAAAGTGAAAACTTTTGACGATGAAATGGGAACGATCACTTTGGACGTTGAAATATTTAAAAACGGCAAATTGCTTGAGACTGTCAACGTTCAAATTAGCGGCTTCCGCACTCAAGCCGAGCAAAACCAAATCGATGTTAGCGCCGTTTTAGACGCCCTTAAAACGATCAAAATTGGTTCTAGTCTGAGCGAAAAAAGAGCCGGAGAACTTTTCAAACTTCACCAGATTATCACCCTCAGCGACTTAGATGCTAAGTTACCAGCCGCGATTGATCCGCGCGGTCTTGAAATTGACCTAGAAATTCTTGACATTGACGACGAAAAGGGCGCTATCAAAGTTAAAGTTAACGTTAGCAAAGGTCAAACTAAAAATTTTCGCGAGACAACTATCGGCGGATTCGAAACTAACTTGGACTACCAGGAGCGAATTGTCAGAAAAATTCGGCCACTGCTCGGTGAACGCAAGACGATTTTTGACAAAGATTTAGCCAGCAAGCTTTTTAAAACTGGCCCCGTCGCAGCAAGTCAGCTTTTGATGCTGATGCCGATTGTTCCGCTTGGTTGAAACCTTAGCCTTGAGATTACCAGCATCGATGATAAAACCGGCACGATGGAAATTGAAGCTTCGCTGCGCTGACTGAGCCGCCCAAGTTTTAAACACAAGTTTAATTTGACCGGTTTTAAAACGCGCCACCAACAAGACCAAGACGACGTCCAAGTCGTGTTTAAAGAACTTAAAGACTTCAAAGTGAGCGGTGAGTTTGCCAAACTGCGGCCAACTGACCTAGGCCAAGTGGGCGAGGCGATTAAACGCCAAGACCTTGGTTTGCCGACGGTGCCAAGCGCACAGGAACTCAACGTCAGTTTGCGCTACCAAATAGTCAAGCACAACAACGAAGATGGTGAACTAACTTTGGTAGTGATCGTGAGCAAAGGCGATGCTAAACTGGAAAAACCGCTCGTGGTCAGCGGTCTCAAAACCAACCTAGCCCACGAAAAAGAAATTGTTGCCAAACTGGTTGAGCAAATTAAAAAGACCGAGTCTAGTTTGCGCAACGACGTTTTGCCTTCTTCGTTTGATAAGGATCAAACTTACACCGCCGCAGAAATCGGACTCAAGATGCCCAAACTACCGACTGACTGAACAGCCGAATTCTCGCCGATTGAATCTTTTGATGACGAAGGCATTCTGAAGCTGAAAATGGTTTTAAAACGCAAAGGGAAAGCGATTGAGGAACACGAGATTACCCTTAAGGGGTACCAAGACACTTACCACCACGATTTGGAAATCGTGGAAAGACTTGCTCGTGAGCACGTGATTGACGCCAAAACCAAACACACCAAGAAATACCCGCGCGATCTCTTCACGAGGGGCGATGCGGTTGGCGAAGATAAACTGGGTCTGAAGATTCTCACCAAAGAGGACCTTGACGGCGCCAAAGTTGATTACGAAATTGTTTTGGTAGATAACTTTGGCGGACTAGTTAAAGTGAAAACCAAAATTACCAAAGGTAAAGCGAGCAAAGAAAAACAAATCACGGTCGGCGGTTTTGAAGCTCTCAACGATAAAACCGCCGCCGCCGTCCGAACTTGACTACTTGATTACATCCAAAAGCAAAACACCAATCGAACTGAAAGTCTGCCAACCGACCTAGGCGTTTATAACGATGTGATCACTTTGGAAGACTTAGGATTGCCCGAACTTTACGTACCCGATAACTGGCAAATTGATCTAAAAATTTACGCCACTGATGACATTATTGGGACGGTGCGAGTTACTTTCTTAGTTAATAAAAACGGCGCTGGCTTTATCGTTGGCACAATCGCTACTAACCGCGGTTACTTAACAGCCCTCAAAGCGGTCGAAGCGGCCCTGAACCAGTTTCCCGAAGAGATCGAAACTTCAATTAAAGATATGATAGCTTACGACTACCACATCAAGTTCCGTCGCTTTGAAAATCTGGCCCAGGCTGGGATTGATTTGGAAATTAAGCACCACCCGAAAATCAAAATGACTTACGAAGTTCTCTACCCGAATAACCCGCGCGGAACCGCCATTTTACGTGTCCACGCCACCCATCCTCTGCTCTACCGGATCAAAAATCTGACCATTACCGGAATGCTGATCAAGTAGCCTAATTTTCCCAATCCGACTCGGAAAAAGTGCTTTGCTCAAGTTTTTGGCGGTTGGTTTGGCCGACCTGGGAAATGTACTGGCCGAGTAAATCAAATAGTTTCAGCAGTAGTTTACGCTCGGCCTTTTCGCTTTGGTTAGTTAACGCTTGGAAGTTGGCTTTAATGGTTTGGTTAAAGATACCTAAAAGCCACAGGTAAGCGTGGAAAACCATTTGACTGGCGTAACGACTTAACTGGAGGTAAGTCGTCTGACTGGCGTAGGTGGCGAACATAAACGAAGAGGCGTGGTTGGGAAAGTTAGACTGCAGGTAAATGTGTTTTAAGTATTTGTCATCGCGGATACCGTTTTGAATAATCAGTTTAATTTTGCGGTCTTCCCGGTCGAGATTTTTAATTTTCTGCATCCATCCGTAGGGACTGCGAACTTGTTTACGGGAAAAAAATTGCCGGCCTAGTTGACCAAAAAGACCGGTGCCGTTTTTATCCCCAGGCGCAAAGAACTCGGCGAACTTACGCATGTTTTTCATGCCGTGGATGAGAAAGTGGTCAAAAACGTGCGAACCGTACTTTTCAATTAAATAGTGAATAGCGTAAAGTTCAAAGTACTGGCGGATTTTGGCCAGCGAAGAAAAAGCTAGGTTAAGTTCCAAGTTCATCTGAATTTCGTTGCCCATCATGATGATGTTTTGGAGCACGAAAAATTTCCACTGGTAGTCTTTGGCCTGGGTAAACCATTTGTCAAGCACCTTTTGCTCACGCAGTTTGGTAAATAAGTTTAAGACTAAAAGCAAAATTTGGTTAATTTTAAAAACATCCAACAAATTGCTTGGTTCGGAGTACGACTGGCGCAAATACTTGGCGTAGTCTGAGCGCAAAATCATTTGGGTGTGTTTAAAAACGTCGTCCGCACTAAAACTGTCGACCGTGTAGTTGCTAATCCGGTCAATGATGCGCAGACACTTCTCAATTTCGTAAGTTAAATCAAACGGAACTTGTTGGGCCATCTAGTTCTAATTATAACCGTGTCCCCGGTTTAAACTAGTGCTTCAAAACTGCTTTCTCAATCGCAACTTGTTTTTGGGCCGGTAAAAAAACGATCGCGCCAGTTTTTAAAATTTCGACTTCGCGACCAAAAACTCGTTTTAAAATACGCAAGTACTCGGGTATTTGGTAAAGCACTCGTAAGTAGGGGTCGTCGGATTTTTTGAGAAACTGCTTGTATTTACTCAGCGTTGGTCGTTGGTCTTTTTGCTCGGTAAACCATTTGCTAATTAGGGTGCGCAACTTCTTACGGTTTTGAACTAAATCTAAGTAAGCGATTTGATTACCCCGGGCGCGCCACAAAAAACTGTTGTTTTGAACAACGTAAGGCGAACCTCCGAACAGACGAAAAAAATCTTCGCTAGCAAAAACCGCCGGTTTGCGACCGCAGTAGTTAACTAGACGAATTAAAAGCGGAGCGTTGTTGTCCAAACTACTATCTAAGTAAATCGTCATCGAGTTACCGACCGAAAAGCGCAGCACTTGGACATAATACTTTTTGAGTAAGTAGTAGGGCTCGTCACAAACTAAATCGTGCTCGGCGATGATCGGCGCGACTAAATCCATAAATTTGTTTTTAGTTAAGAGCGGGTAGTGTTTGACCGCATTGACCTGGGCGTAAATTTGGGCTGCTAAATCCGCGTCCTGAGCGCGGGATAGGCGAAATTTATTGGAGTCGATTTTTAAAAGTCAGTCTTGACGCTCCAAAGTTGCGATCAAAGATCGGCGCGACGATTTATAACCAAGCTGGTTTAGTTTCTCAATCACGCTTTGGTCAATCGTGATTCACTCCAATTTTGCCGTTCTCAGCCAGTGGCGAATTAAGTACTGAGCGTTACCAAAAATTAAACCGTCAACTTTGACCGACTTACGCGGAGGCATTCAAAAGGGATTAATTTTGATAAAACCTTGTTCGGAAAATTTTCGGCGCTGCTTAACCACTTGGAGACGAAAGTAACTGCGCTTGTAAAGCACGTTGTGAACCATCTTATAACGCCGAGCTAAGTAAGTAATGGTTGTGTAATCATCAAGTTTGTCAACTGGAACTTGCTCAAGACTAAAAAGTTCTTCGTAAGTTGTGTTCTTAAAAATTTTGATTTGATTATTCAAAACCGCTAAAACGGTTCGGTAAATGCTTTCACGCATTTTTTTGACGACCGGTTTGGCGATTTTCAATTTTTGACTGATCGCTTCCAAACTTTGGCCTTGAACTAGCAAACAAAAAACGTCAAAACAACCGTTATTGCGGTTAAACAAGGTGCGCAATTTTTTCCGAATTAAGTTCATATTTCTATTATGTCATAGAATTACGTCTAAATGTTAATTTTTGTTAACGGTGCTTGTCGTGATCGGTTTTTAAAACGGCTAAAAACGCTTCCTGAGGCACGTTAACAACCCCGAACTGTCGCGCTCGTTGCTTACCTTTTTTCTGCTTTTTTAACAGTTTGTCGCGCCGCGTGCGGTCGCCTCCGTAGAGCTTGGCCGTCACATCCTTTCGGAAAGCCTTGATCGTTTCGCGAGCAATCACTTTGGCACCGATTGCCGCCTGAACGGGAATTTCAAAGTTGTGACGCGGAATAACTTGCTTGAGTTTCTCAACTAACTGGCGGGCGCGCGAGTAAGCGCGTTCTTTCTCAGCGATGAAGGCGAAGGCGTCGGCAGGTTCGCCGTTCAGCAAAATGTCAACTTTAACCAGTTTGCTGGCTTGGTAAGCATCAAAGTCGTAGTCAAAAGTGGCGTAGCCTTTTGATAACGACTTGAGATGGTCAAAGAAATCAAAAATCACCTCCGCGAGCGGTAAGCGGTAAATCACCTTCCGACGGAGGTGGTCAAGGTACTCCATCTTTAAGTAAGTTCCCCGGCGCGACTGACACAGGTCAAGCACTTGACCAAGGTACTTCTCGACCACGATAATTTCCGCCTTGATAAAAGGTTCGAGTGTGGCTAAGATCCGCGACTTGTCGGGCCAGAGCGACGGGTTTTCGATCGTTAACTCGCGTTGGTCAGTCAGTTTAATCCGGTAACTAACGGTTGGCGCGGTCGTTACAAGGTCGAGTTTGAACTCACGCTCTAAACGTTGCTGTAAAACTTCCATGTGTAAAAGGCCTAAAAAACCGATCCGGTAGCCGTGGCCAAGCGCTTGGGAAGTTTCGGGCGCGTAAACAATCGCCGCGTCGCTGAGAGCGATTTTTTCCAGACTGTCGCGGAGTTGCGGGTACTGGCCGTTATCAAGCGGGTAAAAACCAGTGAAGACAACCGGCTTAAGTTTTTTAAAACCCGGCAGAGCTTGTTGAGCTGGGTTAGTAACCAACGTAATCGTGTCGCCAACGGCCACGCTTTGGGCCGAGCGAATCGCGGCGGCTAGCCAACCGACTTCGCCCGCTTCCAGGTGCGAACGTTTAACTTCCTGGGGGTTTTTGATACCGAGTTCGGTCACTTCAAACTTTTCGCCGCTTGACATAAATTTAAAGTTGTCGCCGACCTTAATTTGCCCGCCAAAAATTCTGACTAGGCAAATTACGCCCCGGTAAGTGTCGTAGTAAGAATCAAACACGAGCGCTTGGAGCGGCAAAGCGTCGTCAGCGTTAATTGGCGGCGGAATGCGCTTGATGATGGCTTCCATCACGGCCGGTAAATTTTGACCTGTTTTAGCCGAAATGGCGATGATCTCGTCGGGCTTAATTCCGAGCGTCTCGGAAAGCTGCTGGCTGACCGCGTCAGGATCGGCGGTTGGCAAATCAATTTTGTTGATGATTGGAATAATCGCTAAATTATGTTCAATCGCTAAGTAAACATTGGCTAAAGTCTGGGCTTGAATACCTTGAGCCGCGTCAACGACTAGGAGCACTCCTTCGCAAGCCGACAGCGAACGCGAAACTTCGTAACCAAAGTCAACGTGACCAGGCGTGTCAATCAAGTGAAAGAGATAGTTTTTGTAAACGATCTGAACCGCGTTGAGTTTGATGGTAATGCCGCGCTCTTGCTCCAGTTCCATCGAATCAAGGTGCTGAGCCTTTAGTTCGCGCTGACTGACCGTTTGGGTTAGTTCCAAAATGCGGTCGGCTAAAGTTGATTTGCCGTGGTCAATGTGAGCAATGATAGCGAAGTTTCTGATTTTGCTTTTATCCATGTGAATAAGTTAGCCTTACTCGGTAAAAAAGGTCGGTCACTAAAGTGGAATGGCAGCCCATGTTGGACTCGAACCAACAGTCACGGCACCAAAAACCGTTGCCTTGCCTATTTGGCTAATGGGCTATTATTGGTGGAGAGAGAGGGATTCGAACCCCCGAACCCGAAGGAGATGGTTTACAGCCACCCGTGTTTAGCCACTTCACTATCTCTCCGCCTATCGGAAGCGAAAACATTATATAACAGGCAGATAACGATTACTCGCCCTACTTGCGGATTTTTAAATCTTTGTAACTAATTTCGGTCGGAGTTTTGCGCTCAAACATAATTAGTTCCACGTTAGCCACTTGCCGTTCGTCGTCGTTTTCTAAAATCGGACCGATTTGACCTTTGGCCGGTCCGTCGATAATCTCGACGATCACACCCGGCACAAAGTTGGTCCGCACGATTCCGGCATCAAAATCGTGGCGGATTTTTTCGACGCGTTTAATCATTTTGCGCATCTCTAAATTGGAAACCGGTGTCGGTTTGGTGCGCTGACCCGATGAGCCAACTAATCCCGTCACGTACTCGGTGTTACGCACCAAAAACCAAGCTTCGTTGCCCATCCGCATGCGGATGAAAATGTAGCCTGGGTAAAGATTAACTTCGCGAACGCGGTGCGGTTCGTTGGCGTTTTTTTTAGCTAACTCGCGGGGAGTTAGATGGGGTACGCGCATGACTTTGAACTCGTCAAAATCGTCCTGCATGTTTTCGGAAACTACCCGGTTTTTAAGCGACTCAATTACCTTATCCTCTTTACCCGAAATGGTCGTAATCATGTACCACTTTTTATCCATTTTGACCTACAATCCGATGCCCATGCGGCGCCATACAAAGGCAAAAAACAGCGTCAAACCGAGCAAAAATAGGGCGCTAATCGCAATGAAAAGAACCGCTTTTAAAAAAGCATTGCCCGTCTGACCAAGCGTTGGTCAGCGCACCCGCTTAAGTTCCTTAACAAACCGCTTGATTCTTTGCATAACTTAGTTAATTATACAAACTTTTAACTTGAAGGTTGACTTTACTTTTGACCGATTTAATTAACGTTTTAACTCTGGCGTAAGAAAGCCCGAGCGCTAAACCGACCTTTTTAAAACTGAACGATTTAACAAAGTGCAACTGGTAAACTTTCTTTTCCAGCGCCGTTAAAACCGATAGATCTAGTTCGGCTGGCTCGTCTAAATTAAAAACCATCTCGGACGCGCTTTCGTAATCGCCAAGCGCGTAAGCTTGGTTGAGCAGACGGTAATTTCTGGTCGAGTAACTTTTGGCTAAAGTGCGAACCATGAACTTGCATTTTAAAGCCAAAAAAGTTTTAAAAGTTAGCCCGAACTGGGGACGGTAGCGAAAAATTAGCCAAGGTATTTGGGCGCTAAACGCTAAATGAGCATCTTGGTAAGTTAGCGGCACCTGGCGGTAAAGTGCTAAAACTTGGTTAATGACAACTTCCAAAGTGCGCGCGTAAATTAGGTTAACTAACGCGGCGATTTTTTCAATCTCCATCAACGTTTTACTCGCTTAAATGGTTCATCAAAATTCCGCCGCTAACCGACACGTTGAGCGATTCAACCGAACCGCTCATCGGAATTCTGATTTTGAAATCAACTTGCTTAGCTAACGTCGCGCTAATTCCCTTTGCTTCGCTGCCCAAAACAAGCACGAGCGGTCAGTTAAGCTGAGCGGTGCGGTAATCTTGGCCGTTGAGCAAGGCTCCGTAAAGTCAGTACCCGCGTTTTTTCAACTTTTCTAAGGCGCTCTGGAGCGAATTAGTTCGGGCGATCTTAAGACCGTTTTGACCGCCGCTGGCAACTTTCAAAACGGCGGGACTCACTTGGGCCGCGCGATCTTTGGGAATCAGAACGTGCTTTCAACCAAGCGCGTTAGCGGTTCGTAAAAGCGCTCCGAGGTTGTGGGGATCTTGGATGTGATCCAGTGCCAACACTCGGGCCGGCTGGTCTTTTCAAAAAGACTCTAACTCGGCGTACGGATAACTTTGGACCAAAGCCACGTAGCCTTGGTGGTTGGCACCGGTTAATTGGTCTAGAAACTGCTTGGATTTAACTTGCACACGAACGCCCTGAATTTGGTGGTTGAGCAGCGGTTTTTGCACGTAAACTAACTTTAACGGATAGCCGTGTTTGAGCGCGTCTAAAACCGAGTTTTTACCGTAAATTAATTTTGGATCACTGGCCATTTTTGTTTTCTTAAATTAGTCCTTGTTTAATTAGCTGGGCACGAATTCGGTCGGCGGCCTGGTAGTTTTGCTGTTCACGCAAAGCGTTTCACCGACGGTAAAGTTGGCGCTGGTCGGGCGTGACTTTTTCAAGTGCAAACCGAAAACCAAGCAGAGTGAAAATCTTGCGCGTTAAAAGTCCGCTCGCTTTCTGCTCGTGGAAAAGTTTCAGCTGCGCGTGGATGACTTTGAGAGCGGCGCTAAAATTTCACTCACCGATCTGCTGAGTGATCTGCTTTAAAACTTGCTGCTCGTGGTCGCTCAGGACTTTGCTTGAGGGAATTAGTTGACTTTGGAGATGAATTTGCTGCCAGCGCTTGACTTGGGCGTGGGCGTGCTCAATTAGTTCGGAGGTTAGGTCGACGGGACTAGTTGGATTGGTTAGCAAGTAAATCATTCTCAGCGTGTCAAAGCCGTGCTGTTTGCCAAAGTCCAGCGCGCTAACCCAATTGCCCAGACTTTTAGCCATTTTAGTGTCTTTCCAATTGACAAGTCCAACGTGCTTTCACTGCTTGGCGATCGGAGTTTTGTGGATCGCCCGAAACTGAATGTTCTCGTTTTCATGGTGGGGAAAAATTAAGTCAACTCCGCCGCCGTGTCAGTCCAGTTCCCTTCCCTTAAAAAAGCGCTCAATCAGAGACGCACACTCGGTGTGTCAGCCCGGGCGGCCAGCCGACCAAGAACTTTTTCAGCGCTTGCCCAAGTCGGTTTTTTTCCAAAGCGCAAAATCAGCCGGGTATTTTTTGGGCGAGTTAGTTTGGTCAGAGTGAGCCACTATTTGGTCAAGACGTTGGGAGGAAACTTCCCCGTAGTGTTTTCGCGCTTGCTGAACGTTAAAGAAAACGTTGCCCTCGGCCTGGTAAGCCGCCTTTTGAGCGATCAACTTTTTAACTAACTTTTGCATATCTGACACATAGCGTGTCACCAGCGGGATTTTGGTTATGCAAGTAACGTTATAAAACTTGAGTAAATCCTTGTAGCACTGGGCGTACTGACGAGCCAGCTTTGAAGCGCTGGTTTTTTCACGCTCAGCGCGGGCGATAATTTTGTCGTCAATGTCGGTGATGTTGTGGATTAACTCAACTTTTTTACCGAGACTTTGCTGGGCTCTGACAAAGATGTCAAAAGTTAAAATCGGACGAAAGTTACCGACGTGAGCGTGATCATAAACTGTCGGGCCGCAAACGTAAATCAAAAGCTCGTTACCAGCCATTGCTGGTCTTATTATAAATTAAAGGCGAAACGATTTTGTAGGCGAAGTAAATCACAAACAAGTTAAACCAAATTTTGGCCGGAGTTAGCACTAAGTGACCCGTTAAAAGTGTCACGAACTGCTGCATGTCGTAACCTCAAACGGCCACGTCGCCAAGCGTTAAAATCGGCGTGGTGCAAATTTCTAAAACCGCCGAAAAAGCGATGATCGGGATCACGCCGTTGAACGAACGCGGTTTGAGCGCGAAGCGGAAAATGAAAATTCCGATTAGCATCGTTGAAATACCGAACATGGAAATGCCCAGAAAAACCCACTTGTTAGTAATCAGTTCCTGGCGGGCAAAAACTTGGTCGCCTTGCAAGACCACAAAAGTCGTGACACCGACTAAAATTAGCACCAGTATTACCAAAGTGGCCAGGAAGTTGGAGTCGATGTACTTACGGTTAAAAAGCTTGTCAACTTCTTGGCGGTTGAGTCAGCGGCGGTTGAAAATGTAGCCGATTATTCCGGGAATTAGTCCAACCAAAGCGAAGGCTAACGTGTACCACCAGTGCAAAAAAGTCGGCCGGAACATAAAAGAAATGATGTCGCTAGCGATCCCGGTGATGGCGCCGATAAAAGGTCCAAAAATGTAGCCGGTCAGTTTGATCGGCAGGCCGGCCAAAGTTATTTTGAAAGAAGGCAGCGCCGCGATCGGGATTACGCTCGAAAAAATGAGGATGAAAGTTACCGAAGTAGCGATTAAAATCGATACAAAAGCGATCTTCCGGATGTTCCACGCCCGAATTCTCACCGACTTTCAAAATACTCACATGACTACCAAATTGTACATAATTTCACCGCTAAACCGCTGCATCCAACTCGCGGAGTACGGCCGGGTGCTCGTCGCTTGGTCAATTAAGGTGCGTTTTGGGCGAAGGTGCGCACTTTACCTTGCGAAACAAGGTAAAAAGTTAACATTTGAATGTCAACCAAATTAACTCCGGCCACCCGGCGAGCTTGGCCAATCGTGCGGGGACGGACCAAATCCAGTTTTTGGCGCGCTTCCGAAGCTAAGTTGCTCACCTCGTGGTAGTTAATCGTTTCGGGGATTAAAATCTTTTCCAGTTTCACCATTTTGCTGACTTCGCGGTTTTGTTTTGCGATGTAACCGCCCAATTTAATTCGGGTCGTAATCTCGTTCAGGTAAGGAGAATCGACTAACTCGCCTGGCTCAACGAGCCCGCGGACAATTAACTGGCTTAGACTGGTCGATTCAGCCAAACCGATTCGAAGCGCTAGTTCGCTTTTGGTTGAAAGGTAGCTTGACTCCAAACGGCGGACAGTTTGTTCAATTTCCTCGTACTTAGCGCGGATTTTCTCGATTTCATCCTTCGAAATCAACCCGACTTGGTAACCAATTTCGCTCAGCCGCTGGTCGGCGTTGTCGTGACGAAGCAATAGGCGGTATTCGGCCCGGGAGGTTAGCATCCGGTAGGGTTCGCGCGTTCCGCGGGTCACTAGGTCATCGATCAGAACGCCGATGTAAGCTTGGTCGCGTCGGAGCACGACCGGCTCGCGCTGGCGCAGTTTTAAGCCGATGTTGATTCCGGCCATTAGACCTTGCGCGGCTGCTTCTTCGTAACCCGAGGTGCCGTTAATTTGACCCGCTAAGTAAAGTCCAGCCACCCGTTTAGTTTCCAAAGTTGCCTTTAACTCGAGCGGGTCAACTGCGTCGTACTCAATCGCGTAGCCCCATTTAACGATTTTGGCTTGGGCGCAACCTGGCAAAGTAGCCACCATTTTGGCTTGGACAGCCGGCGGCAGCGAAGTGGAAAGCCCGTTCAGGTAAATCGTGGTTGAAGCAGCGTTTTCCGGCTCGTAAAAAATTTGATGGCGCGGACGATCGGGAAAACGACACACTTTATCTTCAATCGACGGACAATAACGCGGACCGACGCCTTTGATTAAACCACTGTAAAGCGATGACTGACCAAGGTTAGCCCGGATCACGGCGTGAGTCGCCTGGTTGGTGTGGGTTAAGTAGCAGTGGATTTGCTGGTCTAAACGCCGACCTGAACGCGCCGAAAAGACTTGTTTTTCGGGCGGAAGCACTTCCTCTTGAACTTGACTGAAATCGATCGAGCTCGCTAAAATACGCGGCGGTGTACCGGTTTTGAGACGCTGGAGCGAAAATCCTAGCCGGGCGAGCGCCCGGCTCAATCCGTAACTACCTTGTTCGCCGTCCGGACCGCTGGCGAATTTTTCTTGTCCCCGTAAAATCTGGGCGTTTAAATAAGTGCCAGTCGTAATCAAAACCGCCGGAGCACAAAGCTTGGTTTTGTCGCCGAGCACCACTCCTTGAACTTGGCCTTGGCTGACAACTAAGTCCTCGGCCATCGCTTCAATTAGACTGAGGTGCGGGTGATCCTGCGCGGCTTGGTAAATCATTTGGCTGTACTTATCTTTATCAATTTGAGCTCGCAAAGCCCGTACAGCCGGTCCCTTGCTCTGGTTAAGCATTTTGATTTGGATCATCGCCAAATCGCTGAAGTAACCTTGGACTCCGCCCAGGGCGTCAATCTCACGCGTTAAAATGCCTTTGGCCGGACCGCCGATCGCCGGGTTGCAAGGCATGCTAGCGAGACGACGTAGATTAGGCGTGATTAAAGCGACTTTAAATTTTGCGTTAGCGAGCGCAAAAGCGGCTTCCACGCCAGCGTGGCCGCCACCAACTACGATCGCCTGAAACTTTTGGGACATTTTTTTAATTCTACAAAATTAATCTTTGTGAAGCGGTGTCTTGATTTCCTGCTGAGTGATGCAGTGGAAGTTTCCGCCACCGAGCAAAACTTCAATTGAGGGAATCGGAACTACTTTGCGGCCGGGAAATTCACGCCCAATTAGTTTTTGAGCGACCTGGTCGCTCGGCAGGCCAAAGGTTGGCATCACGATTCCGCCGTTAGCAATGTAAAAGTTAACGTAACTAGCCGCTAACCTTTCGCCAACTGGCCGGGCTTTGGCAAACCGCGTCGCACTTGATTCAATCGCCTGCTCCTTGGTGCGGTAAAGCGGATGGGTTGGCATCGGCATTTTGACGACTTCGATTTTGCGTCCGCGGGCGTCGGTAACTTTGCTTAAATACTCGTAATCGGCGTGACTGCGCTGGTACTGAGGGTCGTTAGGATCGTCTGACCAGCCTAAGAACACTCGGCCGGGTTTAATCACGCAGCAAATGTTATCGACGTGACCGCTGGTTTCGTCTTTAAAAACACCCCAGGGCAACCAAATCACTTTTTCAGCGCCTAGGTACTGCTTAAGGTAGTTCTCAATTTGCTGCTTAGTTAAGTTGGGGTTGCGGTTGGGATTGAGCAAACATTCTTCGGTCGTGTAAATCGTGCCCTCTCCGTCGGAATGAATCGAACCACCTTCTAATATAAGCGGGGCTCGGTAGCGATCAATTTTGAGGTAATCTAAAACGTTTTTAGCCATTAAGTCGTCTTGGTCTCACGAATCGTAAGCCTCGCCACCCCAGGCGTTAAAAATCCAGTCGACTCCGCGCACTTCGCCGTCCTTGTTGCGGACAAACGTGGGTCCGATGTCGCGCATCCAAGAATCGTCAGACGGATAAACCAAGACGCGGATTTTTGGGTCTAGGAGGCGACGGGCGATTTTTTCCGTCGCGCGACTGACAACCATCGTGACTGGTTCAAAGCGGTTAATGGCGTTGGCGACCTTGGCGTAAGTTGCTTGGGCCGGCGCGGCGTTAGAGCGCCAAGTGTCCAGACGCTCGGGAAAGACCATTCAACAGCCAACGTGGGGTTCAAATTCACCTGGCATGTAAAAGCCGTCTTTTAGTGGGGTAGTTTTTAGTAGTTTACTCATGGGAGACTCCTTGGACTCGGCGACGAGCGTGCCAAAAAATTAGCGCCTCACCGACTAAGATTGTTAGCGCCGTGCCGACTAAACAAAAAAGTATTTGCATGCCACCGTCGTTTAAGGCAAACGTTTTTTCGCCGACCACGACTGCGCCAAAAACGTAGAGAAAAATGCTGACTAGGACAATGAAAGTTGGTAAAACACTGATCAGTACTTGAACTCAGAGCGGACCGCGAATTTTAAACGGCCGCGCTAGATCTGGTTCGTGGAGACGCAGTTTAAGGTAAGCCGGAAAGATTAGTAAGTAAGGCAGTAAAAAGACGACCGCTGAGAAAGCGTAAATTGACCAAAAAAGGTCGCTAATTTTTCCGTCGGTTGAAAGTGCACCGGCCAAAAGCACCACCAACGTGCTAACTAGACCGGTGATGATCGAAGACCAGAGCGGACCGTTGGTGGCACGAATCCGGCTGGCAAAAAGGGCTGGGAAAGCACCGCTCTGGGCCGATTCGATGATCGTGCGGTTGGCGCCGGCAGTTCAAGTGATCATGTTACCAAAAAAAGTGAAGAGCAAAAAGAGCGCGATAATTTCGACTAACCAGGGCAAGTTGAAAGCGGTTTTAATCGTGTCAATTAAGCCGTTGGAAATGTCAATTTGTTTGACGTCCAAAACGATGTTGACAGCGGCGGTACCAAGCACGTAAGCAACGATCGTCGTCAGTCCGGCAATAATGATGCTCTTGGGTATCGCGCGGCTCGGGTTAGCCATTTCGCTCGACGTGTTAGACGAGAGTTCAAAGCCCGACAGATTGTAAATGATCACCGGCAAAAACATCACACCCTTTGACCAGCTGGGAACCAAGCCGAAGTCGGGATCTAGTACAGGCGTACTAACCGAGCGGTTTTGAACTAACCAAACGATCCCCGCGCCGATTAAGGCCAAGGTCACGATCAGTTTCGCCACCGAACTTAAGTTGGGCAACCACTTGAGCTGATCAATGCTGAGAAAATTAAGACAAGTCGTTAGAAAGATCAGGCCGATTGCGATGCCGATTTGACTTCAAAGCGATAACTGGTTGCCAAAGAAAGCATAGGACAAAGTGCTTGAAAAAGCGATGAAAACCGAGGGCATCCAAAGCGCGACGTTAATCCAGTAGTATCAGCTACTCCGGATCGCTCAGCGCCGGCCGAAGGCCCGGCTCACCCAAGCAAAAATTCCGCCCTGGGCGCCAATCGCAGCGCCTAGTTCGGCACTAATAAAACCGTAGGGTAAAAAGTAAACTAGGGCCAAAATTAACAGTCAAACGATCGACTGTCAACCGATCGCAGCCGCGGCGGCAAACGAATCTAAAACGAATACGGCTGCGAACGTAAAAAGAACGATGTCGCTCGCTTTAAGTTTTTTGACGGGTTTTTGGCTCATGGCTCGTTTCGTTAGCAGCGTTGTTGTAAGTGTAACGCTCTTTTCACGGACGGTGACGATCGTTAAGGTAAGTCTCAATCAAACCGCGGTGGTATGCTCGCACGGCCTGATCAGCTTGGTCTAGGCGGGGGTAAATGTAGTAAGCCAAAAGCGCCAACTGGGCTGTCAACCTGTTCTCAGACTGGTCAAAGACGATCGACTGGGGGCCGTCCATGACACTGTCTAAAACTTCCACGCCGCGCGAAGCGGGTAGGCAGTGCATGAAACGAGCTTGGGGACCGGCTTTTTTGAGCACCTCAGGCGTCACTTGGTAAGTCGGTTTAAAAGCTTGGACGCGCTCGTCAGCCTCGCTCTCTTGGTCAACTCACCACCATAAGTCGGTGTAAACAAAATCGGCGCCGACTACTTCGTTCATGTCGTCGCTAACTTTGACGCTGCCGCTTTTGGCCTGGGCGATGTTTTGCTCGGCGATTTTAATTCACTCGGGCGGTGACTGGTACTTCTTAGGCGCGATGTGGACAAAGTTGATCCCCATCTTAGTCGTGATGTGCATCGTAGAGCTGCAAACGTTAGTGCGGTCGCCGATGAAAACAACTTTTAGTTGACCGAAAGACAAGTTTTTGGTTTTGCTAGGGTCAGCGTGTTCAAGCATGGTGAACAAATCGCAAATCGCCTGGGTGGGATGGTTGTAATCCGATAGACCGTTAAAAACCGGCACGTCGCTGTACTTAGCGATTTCTAAGATCGTGCTGTGTTTGAGCGCTCGGCAAAAAATTCCGTCGCACATGCGCGAAAGCACTTTAACTGTGTCGTAAAGCGATTCGCGTTGACCCAAGTGAATTTCGCCCGGTTTTAAGTACTGAGCATGGCCGCCAAGCAATGTCATGGCCGCTTCAAACGAGACGCGTGTGCGGGTTGAGGGCTCTTCAAAGATCATCGCTAAGGTGCGGTTTTTAAGTAGTTCGGGCACAGCACCGTTGTAACGAGCGTCTTTGAAGTACTTCATAAGTTTGAGCAAAGCCAAAATGTCTTGGCGCGTTAAATCTTGGGTATCAACGAAGTGACAAAGCTTATTCATAAGGACAAACCTCTTTTTTCAATTAGGTTCTAATTATAACCGAGCAGTATTAACCCACAAATTTAGCCGTTTACTTAAGACTGTCTAAAATGTCATCGATCGATAGTTGACTAGCTTTGTCAAGGTCGGCCTCGGCTTTGGCAAAGTCGGCTTCAAAACTATCTTTCTGCGAATCGCTAAAAAGTCACGATCCCTGGTGGAGACGGTTGTAATGCATGATCGAAGCATCGTCCAGGTGTTTAAATTTGGTCAGCGAAAAACCGGTTTGGTTGGTGGTGATTTCAGCCTCTTTAAAAGTGATGATCTGTTTTTCTTCGCCGCGACGAACGTAGATCAACGTTTTAGCCAGCACAATCTTGGCGTCTAAAACTAGGTGGGGTGTTTTCTTAAGCATTAGGAAAACTGGTTTACCCTTGGTGTTACGACCCATCGGTTCAATGCTTTTAATCCGGATCCGTTTCAGACCGCCCCGGCTTGAAACAAGGCCGATCACGTCCGAACCTTTCCCGATCACTAAACTCGCCACCTGGTCGTCCTGATTAAGAGCTAGGGCACGGATTCCGCTGGAACGCGGTGAATAGATTGTCAGCTGCGTTTCGGCGTAACGCACGGACCGACCGAATTTGGTAATGATGATGACTTGGTGGTGACCGTTTGAAGGTCGGGCGTTAACGAGTTCATCGCCAGTCTCTAAATTAATCGCTCGGAGCGGACTAGTGTAACGCGTGACTAAGAAATCGCTCAGTCGCACCCGCTTGCCTTTCCCCTGACGAGTGACCAGCACGATGTAAGCGTGGAGGTTAAAATCGTGGACCGCGATCGCATCGACCACTTTTTCGTGCGGATCAATCAGGGCAAAGTCGTTGATATGTTTACCAAAGTCTTGCCACTTGGAACTCTCCACTTTGTGGAGCGGTAAGAAAACGTAGCGGCCTAGCGACGTAAACACCAGCAGTTTGTCGGCCGTGTTAACTTGGTGAAAATAAACGAGGGTGTCGTTTTCTTTGAGACGGTAATCAAGCAACTGCTCGGCGCCGTACTCAGCCACGCCGACTCTTTTGATGTAGCCTTGGCGTGTTACTCCCAGGTAAGCGTCCTCGTGTTTAACTAGCGCCTCAAGGTCAACTTTAGTCGTGTCAAGGTGGGCTTCGATTTGACTTTTGCGTTTTTGACCAAACTGCTCGCCGAGCTTGGTTAAAAGGTTAACTAAAAAATCATCAAACTTAGTGCGCGAACCGATTAACGCTTCCTTTTGGTGAATCAGTTTAGTTAACTCTTTTTTCTCTTCCGCCAGCAAATTTTGGTCGGTGTTCGAAAGGCGGTAAAGACGCAGTTCCGCGATCGCTTGAGCTTGGAGCTCGGTAAAGTGGTGCTTTGACATTAGCGCTTCAATCACCGCCTGCTTTGAGCCAGCCACTTGCTTAATTAACTCAATAATCCGGTCGATCATCTCGCTCGCTTTGGTGAGTCCTTTGACGATTTCTAGCCGGCGCTTATGCTTGGCTAAATCGTACTCAAGCGCGCGGATGAGGATCTCACGCTGGTGGACTAAGTAAGCATCAATTAAACCGATCAGTCCTAATTTAACCGGAGCCCGGTTAGCGATCACCACGTTGTTGTAGTGGTAGTAAACTTGCAGATCGGTTTTGCTAAAAAGGTAAGCCAAGATTTTAGACGGATCGCTCGTGCTCTGGAGTTCCACCATAATCCGGATCCCGTGGCGGTCGCTTTCGTCGCGCACCTCTTTCAGTCCGGCGACTTTGGTGTCAAGACGAATTTCGTCGATTTGACGGATTAAACGGGATTTAACTACGCCGTAGGGGATCTCGGTGATCTTGATGTAGGGGTGTTTGCTGCCCGGCGGACTAATTTCCGTTTTGGCTCGCAGAGCGATCTTGCCCGAACCGCGTTCAAACGCTTCGCGAATGCCTGCTTTGCCAAGCACGATTCCGCCGGTTGGAAAATCCGGACCTTTGATAATTTTGTTAAGTTCGCGCAAACTAAGGTGGGGATTACGGATCCGGGCGATCACCCCATCTAAAACTTCCTTAAGGTTGTGGGGTGGCATGTCAGTCGCGTAGCCAGCGGCGATTCCGAGCGCGCCGTTGACAAGTAGGTTGGGAACTAGCGCTGGTAAAACGGTCGGTTCTATTTCTGAATCGTCAAAGTTAGGTGTAAACTTGACCGTTTGCTTGTCAATGTTACGCATCATCTCTAGCGCGAGCGGACTTAGACGAGCTTCGGTGTAACGCATTGCAGCCGGCGGGTCGTCGTCAATCGAACCTTTGTTACCGTGAATTTCCACCAGCGGAAAGTTAGTTTTCCACTCCTGAGCCATTCGCACTAGGGCGTCGTAAATCGAACTGTCGCCGTGGGGGTGGTACTTACCGATCACTTCACCGACAACCCGAGCGGACTTTTTAAAAGATTTGTCAGGCGTCAGACCAAGGCTGTACATCGCGTAAAGAATCCGGCGCTGGACGGGTTTAAGTCCGTCGCGAGCATCGGGCAGAGCCCGGTCTTGAATGATGTACTTGGAGTAGCGACCAAAGCGATCGGAAAGTATCTGATCCAGACTCTGGTTGAGAATGTGTTCGTCGCGCGGATTAAACACGGCGTCCTTTCGGTTTAGCAAAGTCGTCTTCCATCGTAAATTTAACGTGGCGGTTAATTCAGTTCTTGCGCGGCTCAACTTTGTCGCCCATTAAGACCGAGACTTGCCGTTCGACTTGGGCAACGTTATCAATTTTAATTTTTACCAGAGTACGCGTGGACGGATCCATAGTCGTTTCCCATAGCTGGTGCGGGTTCATTTCACCTAGTCCTTTGTAACGCTGAATTTCCGAGTTGGGATGCTCTTCCAACAGAGTGCTCAACTCATGGTCGTTTCAGGCGTAGCGATGGGCTTTCTGACCTTTTTCGTTTCAGGCAACCCGGTAAAGCGGCGCTAGGGCGATGTAAACCCCGCCAGCCGCGACCAGCTGGCGCATGTAACGAAAAAAGAAAGTTAAAAGTAAAGTTTGGATGTGAGCTCCGTCAGTGTCGGCGTCAGTCATGATGATTACCTTGCCGTACTGGCAGTCTTTGAGACTAAAGTCTTTCCCGACGCCCGCGCCGATCGTGTTGATTACGGTCGCTATTTCTTCGTTTTTTAAAACGTCAACTAAGCGCGCTTTTTCGGAGTTAATCACTTTACCGCGCAAAGGCAAAATTGCTTGGTGACGGTGGTCGCGCGCTAACTTGGCGCTGCCGCCGGCCGAGTCTCCCTCGACCAAAAAAAGTTCGCGTTCAAGCGGGTTTTTGGACTGAGCCGGCGTCAACTTACCGGAAATAATTCGCGTTTGTTGGAGCGTTTTCTTAGCGCTGCGAGCTTCGTCGCGGGCTTTACGAGCCGCCTTGCGAGCTCGCGAAGCAACCAGCGATTTTTGGATGATCTTGTGCGCCAGCTCTTTCTGTTCCTGGAGTCAAAAGGCCAATTTGTTGTTGATCACGCTTTCAACCGCGCCTTTGGCGGCCGGAGTGCGCAGCGATTCCTTAGTTTGCCCGACAAACTCGAGCATTTTTTCGGGAATGCGGAGCGAAATCACCGCCGTTAAACCCTCGCGAATGTCGCTGCCGTCTAAGTTTGATTCCTTTGGTTTAATCAAGTTTTGCTGACGAGCGTACTCGTTGATCACTTTTGTCCAAGCCACTTTAAAACCTTGCTCGTGGGTTCCACCGCCGATCGTTTTAATGTTGTTGACAAACGAGACGATTGTTTCGGCGTAATCGGCGTTGTACTGAAAACCGATCTCGACTTCAATTCTCTCTTGGCCGCCTTTAAAAACAAACGCCTTAGTGAGATTGTTTTTCGATTCGTCAATGTAGTGAACAAAGTCGGCGATGCCGTGGTGGGAAACTAACTCGTCCTGACGGTTATCAATTTCCGAGCGCAACTTAACCGTCAGTCCGGCGGTTAAAAAAGCCGACTCGCGCAGTTTTTCTCAGATCCGGTCGTAGTCAAACTTAACCGAGCGGAAAATGCTTTTGTCAGGCCAAAACTGCACGCGAGTCCCCGTTTTGTGGGTCGGTTCGACTTGGTGGGTTTTCTCCTTAACGTGCGTGTTCTCAAAGGTGGTTAAGTAGTGGTGACCTTGGCGAAAAACGCTAACGACGACTTTAGTTGAAAGCGCGTTGACGACCGAAGCGCCCACGCCGTGCAAGCCGCCGGCCGTGCGGTAGGCGCCTTTTTCGTCAAACTTACCACCGGCGTGGAGTTCGCTAAAAACTAGTTCCACCCCCGATTTACCCGATGGTTTGTGCATGTCAACCGGTATGCCGCGGCCGTTATCTTCAACGATAATCGATCCGTCTTGCTTAAGGACGACTTTGATTTTGTTGGCCGACTTAGCCAAGACCTCGTCAATGCCGTTATCAATCATTTCCCAAACTAAGTGGTGCAGACCTTGGCTATCGGTCGAACCGATGTACATTCCAGGTCGTTTCCGAACTGCTTCTAAGCCTTCCAGCGACTTAAGACTACTGGCGTCGTACTTACCCATACTTTACAATTATAACTGACTTAGTAAGTGCGGCCCGAGCCTTAGGAAGCCAAGATTTTCTTGGCGTTAGTGCGAATGTGCTCGCTAATGGCAGGACCAATTTCGGGGTCGTCAAGTGCTAAATCAATGTTAGCCTTGACAAATCCTTCCATCGATCCAAGGTCGTAGCGCTGACCTTCTAGCTCAAGCGCATAGACGCTTTCGTGACTTTGTTGAAGCTGGTCCAGCGCATCAATCACGTTCAATTCGCCCTGCTTGCTTTGCCAACTGCGTTTAAGTTCAAGCAGTATTTCCATCACTTTGGGCGTGAACACGTAGCGACCCATCACCGCGTAGTGGCTCGGCGCTTCCTGGGCTGAGGGCTTTTCCACCGCGCCGGATATTTTGAAAAGATTGCGCTCGGGAGTCAAATCGCTGACTGGCTTGACCACGCCGTATAAGTGAACTTTTTCGGAACTAACGTTTTGAACGCCGATGACCGTTGAACCAGTTTGGTTATAAGCGTCAATCAACTGACAGATGGCCGGTTTTTTGGAGACAAAAAGATCGTCGCCAAGAATGACGGCGAAAGGCTCGTCGCGTAGCAGATCGTAAGCAACCGAAATAGCATGGCCAATGCCGAGTTGTTTATTTTGGATCGCGATTGATACTTTGACTAATTGGTTAGTTTCGACGACTTTTTTCAGCAAAGTTACCTTGCCTTTTTCGCGCAGTTCGGATTCAAGCGGATCGTTAAGCGTGAAATACTTAATGACATCTAACTTACGGGGCGAGATAACTAAAATGACTTCTTCAATCCCAGCGGCAGCCGCTTCTTGAGCTAAGTAGTGAATAATTGGTTTGTTCAGGACGGGAATTAGTTCTTTGTGAATCGTTTTAGTGAGCGGTAAAAAGCGAGTTCCTCAGCCGGCGGCGAGTATGACGGCCTTCTTGATCGGTTTTAAATTAGTTTTTTTCACGACTGTCCTTTCGCTTGCTAATCAACGCCATTATAGCAACAAAAAAACCCGACGCTTAGGCCGGGTTTGGCGCGTTGATATGGTGCGAATGAATGGAATCGAACCATCGACCTCACGATTATCAGTCGTGTGCTCTGACCGTCTGAGCTACATCCGCAAGTAACGTGCTTTTAACGTTTTGAGAACTGACGGGCACGCCGGGCACTGCGTAAACCAGGTTTTTTCCGCTCTTTACGGCGTGGATCGCGAGTCACCATTTTGGCTTTCTTAAGCGGAGTGCGGTAGTCAGGTGAAACTTCTAAAAGAGCGCGGGCAATGCCAAGGCGAATTGCCCCGGCTTGTCCGGCTAGTCCTCCACCACTAACATTGACTTTGATGTCAAACTGATTTTCGGTGTTGGTCAGCGTGAATGGTTGCAAAGTGTCTTTGATTAGTAGCGGCGATTTTAAGTAGTCTTCAACTGGCTTTTTGTTAATGGTAAACTTGCCCTGACCTAGCATTAGCAGAACGCGAGCGGTTGAAGTTTTGCGGCGTCCGAGACCGCGATAATTTGTTTTTGCTTCCATTATTTAACCTCAATTTGCTGGGGATTTTGAGCCCAGTGTTTGTGTTGTTCATTAGGATAAACGTAAAGATTAAGTCGTTGTTTGCGACCAAGTTTAGTGTGGGGCAGCATGCCATGAACAGCTTTTTCCACTAGGCGAATTGGGTGGCGTGCTCGCAAATCACGAGCGTTGATGGTTTTTAGCCCGCCAGGGTAGCCTGAGTGACTGTGGTAGAGTTTCTTAATTTCTTTCTCAGGACTAAGACCGACCTTAGCTGCGTTAATGACAATGATGCAATCGCCCATGTCAACGTGGGGAGTGAAGTCGGTTTTATGTTTTCCGCGCAAGTAACTGGCCACAAAGGTCGCTAGACGTCCAAGCGTCTGATCTTGAGCGTCAATTAAATACCACTTACGGTGGATTTGTCTGGGTTTTGCAATCGTTGTTTGGCGCATAAATTAACTTTCTTTCTCTTTAAGAATCGGTTTAATGCCACGTAATTATATTACAAATTTACCAACAAACATTTGAGAATTGCAAAATCTGGTTAGTGCTTCTTAATAACTTTATGTTTCTTTTGCCAATTTCTACATTCTGCTAATGCTTACCTAAAATGGAAACTTTGATATACAATCTGTTCAGTTCTTAATCAAGATTACCCAACTCTCTCTCTTGACTGAGAATGTTTCTTACTATTAACTTAATCTCATCAAAAAACAAATTCCTAAATTGTTGAAATATCAAAATTTCAATATTGTCAAGTTCATTTTCATTATCTGGGGTTTGATCAATTAATTCTACGCCCCTTAACTCATCAGCATCTAAACTTAACAAATATGTAATTACATTTTTAAACAATCTTGCCAAGTCTGTTTCATTAACCTCGTATATTGATAAAGACAAGATATCTTCTGTTCTTTTGTTCTCAACGGTAATAGTCTTTGATTCTTGTTGTAAACTCAAGTCAAATACTTCTTTTATATCTTTCTTATTATTCACTACTGTAGCGATACGCTCTCTCATGAAAAGCCTCCTTACCACCTTCTAAGATTTTTTGGCATATCTGATTCAATTTGTCCTTAGCCAATTTCCCGTTGCTGTCTCTCATATCTTTCAAAAAAGCGTTGCCAAAATAGGTCTCTCTTTCTTGATCTTGATCTTGGCTGTAGATTTGCGAGTTATCTCTGTATATTATTGAATATGGATAAGTTCTAATCGCTATGTTTGGGTTGTGAGTGACGATTATAACTGCTTTGTTCATCTTGGCTAAATTATTAATTCTGCTAACTATGGTCTCATTAACAAAAAAACCGTCCAGCGACTGCTCTGGTTCATCTAGAACATAATATTCTTGATCCAAACCTAAATAGTTCATTAGAGATATTATGCTCTTCTCTCCGCTTGAGGGAACTACTTTTCGTTTGTTTTGATCAACAGTATATTCCTCATATCAAATAAAATCACGGTTTTCTAGTTTTTTGATGGCATTATTTTTTAAAATTTCGGAAAATTGAACTAAATGTGATAAAAGAGATTCTGCTCATATATCATCAATTATCTTTAACCCTTCTTTTTTTAAATCCTTAAAAGTGGTTCAATTCAAAGATTCACCGAGATTTTTTGCAGAACCTTTTTTTAAACCTTTAATATCGGGTGAAAAATATTCTCTAACTAAATAAAACTGTTTTAAATTACTTACTCTTCCTATCGCAAGCGTTGAACCAATTTTTTCTCAACAAAAAATTTTTTTCATCGCTCCCAATAGTTGGTTACGGGCAAGGAAGACAGAATACATACCTATTTCATTAGGTTTTTTATGGTGCGCGGTCAACGCAGAAATTTTGTCGCTTATTTTACTCACGATTTTCTCAATGACTAGATATGTGTGCTTGTTAGTGAATGTTTTTTTATACTCTTCCAACTCAAATTTCTGCATTTTTTGTAAATAATTTTTCACAGTATCATGGCTATTCAAATTTTCAAAATTATTTTTACTTCTCCTGTATTCGTCAATCTTTTTGGTAACTTGTTTTATGTTCTCGAGAACCTTTTTTAATTCCTTAAATTCCTTTTCAATATTTATTTCTTCGCTAACAAACATTTTCATTTCATTTGAGTATTGAAACTCTATTCAAGATTTATACTTGCTCCTACCACATTTCCTAGATCATTTTATTATGTCGTTAAAGTTTTTTAATATATTTGCAAAACCAAGACCGCCTAAATGATTGTTATCAAGAAATTTGTCAAGGATTTTAACATCTTCGTTAAATAAAGAAGGAATATCGAATCTTTTCTTAATTTTTTTTTCATGTTCACCGTAGTCGTTGACCCCATTTTTAGGATCGTAATATTCCAAGACAACTTTTTCTTCAACTTTAATTTTCTTCATTAACTCTTCTAATATAATTGACTTACCGGTAGCTTTTGGACCGATTATTACGTTCACGTCTCTATAAATAGGTATCTTTAGTTCATTTTTTCATTCTTCGCTATTTTCTGGTTTTGGCTTTATAGAGAACTCTTGAATAAATTTTTCTTTGAGTTGCGGGCTAATAAAGTGGGGATCTTTTTTCAAAAAAAGTTTTAAATTTTCAAAAGAATCAATTTTTATCCTAGGATTAGGTAAATTTTCATACTTTGGTTGCAAAATATCTTTGCATTCATCAGATCCATAAATAGAAGGTATGCCTTTGAGATTAAGTATTTTTGTGCTGATGAAATTAGTAGTTTCAAAAAACCTTTCGCTGTTTTTATCTTGAAGTATTAGATCTAAACTTTTTTGTGATAGATCTTTTCCGCCTTTTTGTTTATTAGGTACCAAGTAAATTTTCTTAAAGTCGCTTAATTTGCCTATAAGTTCACTCAATTTAATTTTATAGGAGTTAGCAGTTTTTTTATTTGGCACTAACTCATTAATTAAACTTCATCATCTGTCTTTGTCTTTATCACTGACTATAATTCCTAAATTCAAAAAGTTAGTGCTTTGTTCGAAATCATCAATAATATCTATCTCTATCCCGGGCAGAAGTAATATTCCTTTTTCTTTAGATATCTTGTGCAAAAAATCAAATTGCTCTTTGTCAAAGAAATTATGATTCGTTATAGCCAAAACGCCAACTTCATACTTGACTAAATTGGAAAAGAATCTTTCTACATCTTTGTCACTCTTTATATCTAAATTTCTTGTTGCATCTTCCGAGTTTTTAATTTTTAAAGTGTGTTGGTGCAAATTAATTCTCATCTATACTCCTTTTACTTTCTCACAACAAAATTATTATAATGTCGCTTGTCCATGAGTCTTCTTGCGTGTTTCTTTTCAATTCACTAATTTTGTTACATTCATATTTTAAAAATGCAGTGTTGCAATTTTTTAACAACCAGTGTCACAAGTGATTCTTCTGTAAATCCCTTTGTTTGCTTGCAGTTAACTTCTACTCCAATTTATTCACATGAAAAAAATCATATCTCTTGTTCAAACACCAGCAAAGTCAAAGAATACAGAGAAATCTGAAATATCTAAACTATGCCCTGGAACAAAGCTGTTACGAATAAAATAAGAATGTTTGGTAAATAAATTTAAAAAGGTTTTTCAAGTTTATCTTTCCGATCTTTTTCAATTTCTTCTAATTTTTGCTTGTAGTAATCTCTCACGTACTTATGTTTTTTATCCTTGATCACTGCTTCTACTGCCTCTTTAATAGCAAAGGGTGAGAGAACTAAAATCAAAACGACTAATAGTCCAACTAATACTCACTCAAATCCTAGCACTGACAACTCCTTTCTCTAAAAGATTAAGCCAATTTTACTTTTTATGTTTTTTACCACCCGACGCCAAATTCTTCTCAATAAACTCTTGGATGTTTTCAACCCCATCCACATCCACTTGTGTTGTCTTAGCCAAATCATCATCAGTCAAAGTAGTGCGTTGCTGTTCCAGCAAATCGCTTTCATGATCAACGTAGTCGTCTAAATCGTGTTTAAGCTTACTAGCAATCTCGCGCTCAAGCCGAGCTCTTTCCTTAGCTTGCTCTAACTCGTCATTAGGACTTAAAGGCTTAGGCTCAGCCGGTTCAAAAGACTTTTTTTTCTGTTTGTCAAACATAAAATTTCCTTGCCTCAATTATACTTTAAAGAACGGCGCTTGTCTCTTTGGTGCGCGGTTTGATTAGGTAAAGCAAACTTTCGAAAGCATCTAACCGTTTAGGGAAAGTTGAGTAGTCCCGGTGCGAATAACTGGAAAAGACAACCATAACCTGTTTACTGCGATTTCACAGTCTGACTCTCTTGCGTTGGCGACTAACGTTAACTAGCGCTAAAAAGCGACCCCGGTTAGTGCGCCCGCGAAAAACAATCAGTCCGTTGGTTTGACATGCAATTTTAAGCGAGATAATCGTTTGATTCTTAAGGTAAGCGTTGAGAGAGCGGAAAAAATGCCAGACCGAATTTTTGACTTGAAACTGCTTTTTAACGCTGACTACATTTTTGGTTGGATAAACGTAACTGATCCGCGGAGCAGTCTTACTAAAACCGCTAAACTCGCTTTCATCCCAAGCCATCAATCCGTGCGCATGAACCGCGTGGTGATGGTAGCGCAGTTGGCGGAGTTGCTCGGCCTTCCTGTCTTTCTCTTTAGTTAACCAAGTTTGGGGAAACTGAACATGTTTAACTAACTTTAAATCGCTTTGCTTGAGAGCAAAGTGGTTGGGCTGAGCCATTTCATCACCCTGGTAGACAAAGCTTGAGCCGGCGTGGAGCAAGAGCAAAAACAGCAAACTTTTGCCCGCCTCGGCGTGATAGGCGTAGTCGCTCGCCCAGCGACTAATAATTCGTCCCGCTAAATGGGAACTAAGTCCGTGCAAACCGCGGCGGTAATTGACGTAATCGCGGGCTAGTTTCACGTATTGGCGAGGGGCAAACTTAACTTTTGGCGTCTTAGCACTAACCGCGTGATCTTTGCCGAGCAAAGAAAAATCGTAGGTGCCTAAGTAATCAAAAAGCGGGTCGTGAATTAAGTTTTGGGTGCGAATCGTTTGTGGATTAAGAAGGTTAGCCATGCCAATTCACAAGAACTGATCGCTGACCATTTTGACAATCGTGTAAATTCGTTTTAGCAACAACTTAGTTTGTTCGCCTAACACCGCCGTCTTTTTGAAATCAAAGAGCTGTTCAAAATCGGTCACAACTAGACCGGCCAAACCGAACTTATGCCAGTAATTAATCAGTTTGGTGAGACTAATCAGAAAATTCTCCCGCTGCTGGTTTAAGACCACGTCGGTGGTTAAATCGCCGAGTAAGTACTGCTCGCGAGTCGGCAGTTGCCCGTGGCGCGCTAAGTGCGCTTGCTCTTGGAGTGCGCTTGCAGACGCTGGGCGTAAAAAAATGTGGCGCGGATCAATGCCAGCCAAAGAGATTTCCAATAAGACTTTGATCCCTTTGTCTTGAAAAAGACGGATTAATTTGGCTAACTGATTAGCGGCGCCAATCTCAGGCCTTAAACTCGTGAAAGTTTGCTTAGCCAAAGGCAGATCTTTTCAAACATTGCGCAGAACGAGCGCGTCAATTCCAAGCATCGAAAAGTAGCTGACTTGGCGGGCTAAACCGATTAAATCGCCGTAGCCGTCTTGATTGCCGTCCTTAAAGGTGCGCGGATCCAGCGCGTAAAAAGTTCGCTTGCTAAATGACTTAAGCGTTTTCATGCTCCATCGGTGTTACCTTGCTCGCTTTGAGATTTTGATGAATGTACCAAATTCCGGAAACGTAAGTCAAAAACAAAGCGACTAACAAAGTTAAGTTAATCATTCATAGTTGCCAACTAGCTTTGAAAAATTCAAACTGGTTGCCCGAACCTCAGTTTAAAATCGGAGCCACGAAAATTACCACTAGGATCCCAACTGACTGCAGCACGGTTTTCATTTTTCCGAGCATGTTAGCCGCCACTTGTCCGCGGTGGTGCGCTCTAAGAATCCGCGTACCATCGACGCAAATGTCGCGCATCACGACTAAGATCGGCACGAAAAAGGGAGTTACCTTGAGAAAGGCCAAGAAAATTAAACTGACCATCACAATCAGTTTGTCAGCGATCGGATCAAACACCTTGCCGAAAGTAGTCACTTCTTTGCGGCGGCGGGCAATTCTGCCATCGATTCAATCGGTCAGCATTGCTAAGGCAAACACTGCACCAGCTGAATAAAGGTAATACATTTGCGTTTGGTAGTGGGTCTTTTCGCTCGGCAAACTCAGTGCCAAACTAAAAAGCACCACGAGCGGTACGACTAAAATCAAACGAAAGATGGTTAGTTTGTTAGGTAGATTCACGGTAGACTCCTTCAATTTCCTGCTGAGCTTGGTAGTAAAAAGGGTGATTTTGCCGGACGTTAATCCCTTGCTCAGCAGCCGAGCGGAAAAGTTTGAGATCCTCCCGGTTGTTTTTGGCTCAGTTGTTGGAATTTGATCGGCGTAAGTTTTCGAACGCCGTGACCATGTCCTGGTTAGCCTCGGACTCTGACATTATCTCAAACTCTGGTTTTTGACTCAAAAGTTCAAGAGCGGCTCGGGCCCGCTGACGAATCTCGCTCATTCTAATTTTACCGATTGAAGGAACGAACTGATCCAGCAGTTTTTGGTTGTGTCAATCAACAATTTCCACTCAAATACCAACCAGTTGGCGAGCGTGTTCCTTCATCACTTCGTGTTTTTCGGTCTCTTTCTTGACAAGGTAATTTTTCCGCTTATCTTTCAAAGCGCTGATCAGCAGAAACACTACCACGGTTCCGAGCAAACATCCCAGTACAATTCAAGCTCACATCTCTGAGTCTCCTTGGTTGACCCATTAATCTTACCAAATAAAAATAACCCGGATGGGTTATTTGGACACCAAGTAAGCCGCGTTCTGTTCCTTCAAGAAGGCTCAATCATTTATCTATGCGCGTTTGTTGAACAACGCATTCCCTAAGCAAGTTCATTTTCCGCTCGGGGACTCCTCTACCTTAATTTGAGTTTCTAGCTCGTGGAGTTTACCGCGTTTCACTCTAACTGAATAGATTCGTCTCTGTGGCACTAGTCGTCTGGGCTCAAACTTATTGGGTTTGACACGAACACTACTGCCATCGCAGGCAGTGCTAGCGCGGACTTTCCTCTACCACCTTGGTTAAGACTGACTCAGAGAGCCTTAGCGCTGGCGTCAATTGTTTGCTATGTAGATGCAACTTGTGGAGACTTAAACCAAACTAATAGGAGAATAGGATGACTTTAAAGGTTCAGGTTGCTATTTGTAAACTACATTGAGAAACAAACAACCTAGCCAGACGTCTTGTACGTCTTGACCAGCGGCAGCGATTGAGTTGGTGCCAACTAAATTATACCCCATTTAGAGACGTTAAAACAACTATCTTCGCGCCGTTAAACCGCCTTTTTACCGATCTCTTTTTCCAGTTTAGAAAGCCTTTTGTGGAGCACTTGGTTGGTGCTGTTTTGGTAAAGAAAGTCTAGCTGTTCCTTTAAATTGGCGTTCTCAATTTTCAGTTTGTCAAGCTGTTCGTCCTTATCGTTGACCAAGGCAACTTTTTCGCTGACTATTTCCTGGAGCGTCCCGATGTGCTGGTCGTAAAGTTGGTAGTCCTTAATGATCAGGTCCAAAAAGGCGTCAACTTCGCTAGCGTTATAACCCGAGAGCTCAACGGCGAACTTTTTTTTCAAAATAGTTTCGTGCTTGAGATTGAGCAGCGGGCGCGCGATTGGTTTAGCCATAGTTTCTAAATTATAAGACAACTTTTCGGTGGTACAATTAGGGTCAGCCACCGGAGAAGGTTTGATCACTATGCAATTAAAAACACGTAACCCCAAAATTATGTTGTTGAAAGGGTTTTTTTACGACAAAGAACAGCCTAAATACATCGCTTCAAAGGTCGGAGCAATTACGGAAAACATTAATAAAAACATCGCCTTTGCCTACCTGGGCAAAGACAAAACTTACAGCGCAGAAATTTTCAAAAAAGTCGCTGCTGAAATCGTCAAAAAAGCGCCCCGCGAATACCAAATTGATGTTGAATCTTTCGCCGCTAAAGACGTTAGCGAAAGACTGATTGTCAACACTTTTGTGCACCTTTACAACTTTGATAGAGCTAAGCTGTTTTCTCTTAAAACCAAAAAAACTGCCGCTAAACCGACGTTAGAACTAGTCAACGTGAAAGAGAAAAAAGTTCACAACCACGCCCAGATTTTATCCGAGGCCGTTAACTACACCCGCGATTTACAAATCACACCGCCTAACATAATGCGCTCAACTGACTTAGCTAACCGGATCAAAAAAGATTTCCAAAACCACGCTCATGTTAAAGTCACCGTTCTAGACAAAAGCCAAATTCAAAAACTAAAAATGGGGCTGCTTTTGTCGGTTAACGCCGGTTCGGCTTTTGACGCACGGGTAGTTGTCTTTGAATATAACGGAGCCCCGAGCAGTAAAAAAACCAAAACCGTTTTAGTCGGCAAAGGAATTATGTTCGACTCGGGCGGCATGAATCTCAAACCTTCGCTCAACATGCTCGGTATGAAGTTTGATATGTCCGGATCAGCCGTGGTGGCCGGAGTTATGAAAGCCATCGCTACGCTCAAACCCAAAACTAACGTAGCCGGTTTAATGATGATTACCGACAACATGATCTCTCCCTTTGCATCTACGGCCGACTCGGTCTTTACTTCCATGAGCGGAAAAACAGTCGAAGTCAATAACACCGACGCCGAAGGAAGATTAGTTTTGGCAGACGGCATCACTTACGCAATTGAAAAGCTCGGTGCGACGCGCGTGATAGACATTGCCACCCTAACGGGTGCGATCCTAATTTCACTTGGCGACACTTACACGGGCGCTTGAGCAAGCACCGACCGAGTTTGGGAAGACCTTTACTACGCTAGTCAAGACGCTCATGAGTTAGTTTGGCGCATGCCATTCCACGAAAACTTTGCCAAAAACATCCGCCAATCTTTGGTAGCCGACCTTAAAAACGTCGACTACAAAGCACCCAACAAAGGTAACTCCTGCTCAGCCGCCATGTTTTTGAAAGAGTTTACTCAGAACTGCGAATTTCTCCACTTAGATATCGCTGGTACAGCCCAAATTAACGAAGTTCCCCAGGCGCCGATGGTGCGCACGCTCTACGAAATGGTTAGCAAATAATGGCGCTAACTACGATAGTTTTACTAATTTTTGTGGCCTTAGTGATTTGCCTCACTTCGGGGGCAGTCGGACTCGCTCTAGCGACCGAACGCGGCCGGAGTCGCTGGTGGGGTCTGCTAATTTGTTTTTGCTTACCGCTGATTGGTCAAATTCTCTACTTATCCATGCCTAAAAGCGATAAAACGCTAGTTGAAGAAGTTTACGAGCGGCAAATTATTGACCGCGACCAGTACGAAAAAACTCGCGAATTCCTTCGCGAGCGTGAAAAGCAAAAACCGTCTTAATTGATGGAAAAAGCGCTTTGAGACGGCACGCTCATTTTCCGGTAACCGCCCAGTCAAAACTGGTGGTAGCCTTCTAATATGTTGTCAACCGTGATAGTTATTTTCAGCAGAATTCGTCCGCCCGGATCATCGTAACCCATCACTTCCCACTCAATGTCCCAGTTGTCGGGAATGTTTAAGTTAACTAGACCTAGTTGATTGGGAGTTGTTTTGCCTTTGTCGCTGACTTCAGAGGGTATCGACTTAGTTTTACTAGTTTTCTTTTCTTCCAGATCGTTGATAAAGGCCACCACTTGACGGTTTTCAATTTGAATCTTGCGGTGGTAGTCATAAACGATAATTTTTTTCTGACGAAAAATTCAGTTGTTGATCAAACGAACTTGAATCCAAAGTTTACCTTGCTTATTACTGATATCAGCAATTGTAAACTCCGGCTTAATCGTGGCGTGTTGAATCTTAAGTTCGATACCGAGTTGTTCTTCAGAAACGATTAAGCCGACCGGACCAATTGAACTCGGTAAACTGCTTTTGTAAATTGTAGGAACTTGATCGGGGATTTTGTTCAGCAATTCTTTCATGTCGTAAGCATCCTCGCGGAGCTTGGCATAATCAACAAAATCCTCTTCCCAACCGCTAGCGGCGCCGCAAGCTAAAACCACTGTGCTTGCAAAAGGCACCGCCGCTGACAAACCAAAAAGTTTGTGCCGCATTTCTCACCGTCTTTTCTGTACTGTACATTCGCAATCTAGACAACTCTCTATTTAAATTATACAACTCGGGAGTTATTAACTGGTACAGATAAGACTTAAATTAGTTCAATGTAAGCCATTTTGGCGTTATCGCCTGGCCGACTAGGGGCTTTGATAATTCGGCTGTAACCACCGTTACGTGTTTGGTATTTAGGTCCAATTTTTTCAAAAAGGTACTTGCCAATCGGTTGGCCTTGTACTTCAATCGGTCGCAAAAAAGACTCCGCTCGGCGCCTCGAAGCAAGCGTGTTAGTTTTGGCCTGGGTGATTAGTCGGTCAACGTAACGTCTTAAAACTTTCGCGCGCGACTCGGTCGTTAAGATGCGGCCGTGGGCAACTAGTTGACTGGCTAAATTACGCATCACGCCTTTTTCTCACGTGCTGTCGCGGCGAAACACTTGGGTCGGGTTAGCCATCTTACTCTCCGTCCTCCAAGCTAATGCCAAACTCTTCCAACTTAGCGATAATCTCTTGCTCAGACTTTTTGCCTAAGTTGCGAATGTCGCTCAGCTCTTTAGCCGTTAGACTGGCTAAATCTTCCAGCGTGTTGTAACCGGCACGTTTGAGCGAGTTAAAGGAGCGAACCGATAGTTCAAGTTGACTAATCGGAATCGTTTTGTTAACCGGTTTTTTCTGAATTTCCTCGTGGGACATAAAAACGGTTTCCCGTTCCAAGTTGGAAACTTGCGCCATAACTTCTAGATGCGACATCAAAATGTTGGCCGCTTGGGCAAGCGCTTCCTTGGCCTCAACCGACCCGTCGGTTTTAACGTTTAAAACTAATCTCTCTTGAATGATCGCAAAGGAAGTGTTAAGTTCGGTGACTTCAAAGGAAACTCTTTCAACCGGTGAAAAGTCCGAGTCGATCGCAATTAGCGAACCGAGTTGGATTTTAGACTCAATCTTGTTGGATAAAACTTTGATGACTTGCTTGTTTTCTTCAAAGGAAACGTAGCCGCGACCAGTTGTCACGAACATTTCTAGTTTCAAAGCACCCGCTTTAGTGACCTTGGCAATTGGCTGGCTCGGGTTGACCACGTCTAAGCCGGAAGGAGTTTGTAAATCACCGGCCGTAATTTGACCTTTGTCGGCCTTAAGCGTTACCCGCACCACGTCGCCTTCGCTAATCAGTTCTCGGTTGTAGACAAAACGCGCCTTTTTTAAGTTCAAAATCAGTTTAACCACGTCCTCTTCCACGCCGGGCAAAGTTTCAAATTCGTGTTGAACGTTTTGAATTTTGACCGCGAAGGGAGCCACGCCTGTGATTGAAGAAAGTAAAACCCGGCGCACCGCGTTACCAAGCGTGTTGGCAAAGCCGCGCTCTAACGGTTCAATCGTAAAAGCAGTCTCGTAGTTGTTAACTTTCCGTTTAGCTACTTCGTTGTAATTTAAAATCGCGAATTTTTTCATCTCAACCTACTTTCTCGCACTGAGTCGTTTGATAACTCTTTTGGGTGGCCTAGTTCCGTTGTGAGGAATCGGAGTTACGTCTTTAACGCTCATCACTTTAATGCCCGAAACTTCGATTTGTTTACGAGCCGCATCTTTGCCGGGTCCGGTCCCTTTGATTTTAACAACCACTTCTTTAAGACCGAATTCTTTGGCTTTTTCGCTGGCTGAATTAGCTGCTAAAGAAGCGGCGTAAGGTGTTGATTTTTTGGTGCCTTTGTAGCCAATTGCTCCCGACGAAGACCAAGCAAAGACAGCACCCTTAGGATCGCTAAAACTGATAATTGTGTTGTTGTGAGTCGCGTGAATGTGAGCCACGCCAGTCACAATCGTGGCGCGTTTCTTCTTAGATTTCTTAGTTTTGGTTGCAGTTTTAGTTGCCATTGACTAACCCTTCTTACCGGCCACAGTTTTGCGTGGTCCTTTACGAGTGCGTGCGTTTTTCTGAGTCACTTGGCCGCGCACCGGCAGTCCTTTCCGGTGGCGAATCCCGCGGTAATTTTTGATGTCTTTGAGTCTTTTAACGTTAGCACCCACTTCACGGCGCAGTTCGCCCTCGATTAAGTAACTCTTAATTTCCTGACGGATTGATTGGAGCTGATCTTCGCTCAAATCTTTGACGCGAATGTCTTCGCTGATTTGAGTCTTACTTAAAATCTGCTTGGAAAGGGATTTGCCAATCCCGTAAATATAAGTCAGCGAAATAACGACCCTTTTGTCGTTTGGTATCTCAACGTTAGCGATTCTAGCCATAAGTGTGCTGCTTGACTCCTTTACCCTTGGCGCTGTTTGTGTTTAGGGTTGACGCAAATAATCCGCACCGACTTATGGCGGTTAATCACGCGGCAGTTTTGACAAATTGGTTTGACTGACGTACGAACTTTCACGTAACAACTCCGATCTTAAAGCGTAATTGTGGGCGCACAGACGCCCGAATAACTGTTTTATTCTAACACAAAAACGGTCTGTAAATAATAAAAAAGCGATATTTTTTCTAATGCCGGTAGGTGATTCGACCGCGGGTTAAATCGTAAGGCGAGAGTTCAATTTCGACTTTGTCTCCCGGCAAAATCCGGATGTGGTGCACGCGCATTTTGCCAGAAATGGTGCCGTGAACCGTGATGCCATTTTCTAACTCTACTTCGTACTCACTCATCGAGTGAGCCGCCTTGACTACGCCTTTGACACGAATTGCGTCTTTAGCCATCTGCTTCACCCCCTTCTTGGGTTAAAACGACCGCTCGGCCATGTTCGATTAAAATTGTTTCTTCGTAGTGAGCAGTCAGTTTGCCGTCACTAGCAACCACCGTCCAGCCGTCATCCAAAACTTTGACGTTTGAACTCGTTTGCAAAATCATCGGTTCGATGCAAATCGTCATTCCATCGCGCAAAAGCGGCCCGCGTCCGGCTAATCCGTCGTTAAAGATCGAGGGCTCTTCGTGAAGAGCGAGTCCGATTCCGTGGCCGCTGTAGTCGCTCGGAACGCACAAACCTTGTCCGCGCACATAAGACCCGATGGCATTTTCAATATCGCCCACGCGAGCGCCGGGCTTGATCGCATCTACTCCGCGTCAAAAAGCCGCCTGAGCGACAGCGATTAACTTTTGAGCCGCCGGACTCGTTTGACCAACCTCAACCGTGAAAGCGCTGTCGGCGTGGTAACCGCGGTATTTGACGCCTACGTCAATTTTAAGTAGGTCACCCGCGGCTAACTGGCGCGAGTTAGGTAGGCCATGAATCATCTGCTCGTTGACCGAAGCACAAATCGTTTTAGGGTAGCCCTGGTAGCCCAAAAAACTGGGTTGACCTCCCAGTTTAGCAATCGTCTGGCTAGCCAGCTTATCTAACTGCTCGGTGCTCACACCGGGTTTAATCGCCTGGCGCAAAACACGTTTAACTTGGGCTAGAATGGCTCCCGATCGGCGCATGTGATCAATTTCTTGGGCCGACTTAATGCTAATCACGCTCAAGCCTCGCGATCAGAGCGCGAAAATTTTGCTCTTTACTTCCGCTGGTGTCAAGTTTTAGAACCGTTTTATGGGCCTGGTAATAATCAACTAGCGGTTGAGTTTGCGAGCGGTAGACCTCAATGCGTTGTCTAATCGTATCGGGACTGTCGTCGGCTCGGCCGCGGCCAATTAGCCGGCTCACAATCACTTCAATCGGAGCGTCTAACCAAATCACGTGGTCAATTTTAACGCCCTTATCTTCTAGGAAGTGAGCTTGGTTAAGTGTCCGGGGATAGCCGTCTAAAATCACGCCTTGGCCGCGGTCATGACTTGATTTTATCGCCTGGTAAATAACGCGGTTAGTCAACTTGTCGTCCACGTAAGCGCCTTTGGCTAACGTTGCTTGAATCTCTTTACCTAACTCAGAACCGCTCCGAACCGCCTGGCGAAAAATTTCGCCCGAGGAGATGTGGCTTAAATGGTAATGATCCGCCAACCCCTTTGATAAAGTGCCTTTGCCAACCCCAGGCGGGCCCAGGAAGATGAAGTTACCTACCAAAGGAGACCACCCGATTGTCCATCTTTATCGCTGTCAATGGTGCGCAAAACTTGCTCACGAGCCCGGGAAATGGTTTGAGTTGTGTCGCGAGCCCGCACGTGCTCCAGCGTTTCGATCGCAACTGAGACAAGGATGATCAGCGAAGTGCCGCTAATCGTGAAAGGCTGAGGAATGCCGATCATTTGCTCAATGAACGGAACCGCGGAAATGGCCGACAAGTAAAAACCAGAAAAAACGCTTAGACGCATCACAATCCCAGTCAAGTACTTCTCGGTTTCTTGGCCGGGTCGAATGCCGGGGATAAAGGTGCCGCTCTTTTTGAAGTTTTGCGTCACGGTGTAGGGATTAAAAGTGATCAAACTCATCACAACCGAGAAAACGAAAATGATCAGTACGAAAATACCTAAACCAAGCGGATCGGTCAAGCGAAGGTGGTTTTCTATTCACTGACGGGCTGGATCTTGGTGGTGGAGAAAACCAGTGATCGTGAGCGGTAAAAGTAAAATTGTCATCGCAAAAATGACTGGCATAACACCGGCTGGGTTAACTTTCATCGGTAAATGCGACATTTGTTTAACGTCGCGCGTCAGTCCGCTACCCGTTTGCTGAGTCGGAATGTGACGCTCGGCTTTGTGAAAGAAAGTAACGATGAAAATTAAGCCGGCAAAAACGCTGAAGTGAACGATAAAGTTCATGCCGCCGACAAACGAACCGCCTTGACTAGTTGAGACAAAATAGCTGTAAGCAAGGCGGATCTTGGCCGGCAAATCAGCCGCGATCCCCGAGAAGATAATCAAAGAAATTCCGTTGCCCGCTCCGCGGGAAGTAATTTGCTCGCCCAAAAACAGCGAGAACAAAGAGCCGGCTAAAAGAATCAGCGGAATGACTAAGTACTGGTACCAGACGTTATCGGCCGGCGCCAGAAGTTCAACGTGCTGACTAATTCGGAACTGCTGGATCACCGTCATAGCTTGGACAATCGCAAAGCAAATCGTCAAAATGCGCGTCGCAAAGGCGATCTTTCGTTTGCCGACTGGACCCGAGTGAGCTAGGCGGTAAATAGCCGGGAAAGCTTCCGACTGGAGCAGTGTCATGATGATCGAAGCGGTGATGTAGGGCGAAATGCCGAGCGCAACGATCGAGAAATTAGAAAGCGCGCCGCCGCCGATTAAATTCAGCATTCCGATCAGCGAAGTCGAATTTTCAACTAAGTCTTGGTTAACTTTGACGATCGGAATCGTGATCGTCGCGGCGATCCGGAAAATCGAAATGAGCAAAATCGTGTAGAGAATCCGCTTGAGTAAAGTTTTGTTTTTGAAGTAGCTGCGGAAACCAAAAAATCCGTTCGCGACCAAACGGCCGAATTTTTGCAGTGCTAGCTTCATGCCCTAGAGCACCTCTACCTTACCACCGACTTTTTCAACCGCTTGGCGAGCTGTTTTGGAAATAGCGTTGACTTTTAAACTAACTTTGTGAGTCAGTTTGCCGTTGGCCAAGACTTTGACCGGTAAACTAACCGAAGCGATTAGACCAGCTTTTTTCAAAGCTAGACGGTCAACTTCCGAACCAGCCGGAAACTTCTTGCTTAAGTTAGTCAGCGAAACAATTTGGTATTCCACGTGGTTAACGTTTTTAAACCCGCGTTTAGGCAGACGACGAAACCACGGGTTTTGTCCACCTTCAAACCCTGGCCGGGTTGACCCGCGTTTGTTTTGTCCCGACTGACCACGGCCAGCTTGCTTACCACGCCGACCAGCGTGACCACGGGCAACACGAATTTTACGTTGGCGCGCACCTTCTTTAGGACTCAGTGTGTGCAACTGCATTTTTCTCACCTCCCGGCTTTTTAAGTCTGAAATGACTAATTTTAACGCCACGCATTTCGGCGATTTGCTCAACCGTTCTTAGTTCCGATAGAGCTTTAATAGTCGCTTTAATCGCGTTGGTTTTGGAACGCGAACCGAGACTTTTGGTGTAAATGTCTTTGTAGCCAGCCAGTTCAACCACCGCTCGGACTGCCCCCGAAGCGACAATACCTTTTCCGCGCGGAGCTGGTTTAACCATCACTTTGGAAGCTAAAAACTTAGCGCTTTGAACGTGGGGTACGGTGCGCTTGTCGATGATCGGAACTTTGACTTGTCTTTTGCGAGCATCTTTAATCGCTTTTTTAATCGCATCGGGCACTTCGTTAGCTTTGCCATGACCCCAGCCCACGCTGCCCTTTTTGTCACCAACAACAACAACAGCCGAGAAACTGAAGCGACGTCCACCTTTAACCACGGTAGTTACGCGCGAGATATCAACCACTTTTTCGCTAAATTCAAGTCCGTCGTCTTTAGCACGGGAGCGGAAACGACGTTGGTTTGGACCGCGTTGGCGGTCGGAGCCAGTTTTATTAGCTGGTTGAGCGTGAGCTGGACGGCGACGACCAGCGGTTGGAATCCGGAAATCTTTGGATTCGCTCGACAAAGGTGTTTTGGGCTTAAGCGGCTTAGTTTCTGACATAGTTAGAATTCTACTCCTTTATCTCGGACGGCATCGGCAAAAGCTTTGACTTTGCCGTGGTAAACGTAACCTGAGCGGTCAAAGACCACCCGCTTAACGCCTAGTTTAAGAATTTTTTCTCCCAGGATTTGACCAACCTTGGTTGCTCCGGCTAAGTTAGCGCCGTGCTTAAGTTTCAGTTGGCGGGTTGAAGCGTAGGCCAGCGTTTGACGTTTGTCATCGTTAATCAGTTGCCCCTCAATGTGGCGCAAAGATTTAAAAATGTTTAAGCGCGGTTGCTCGGCGCTGCCGTGGATTTTTTGGCGGATTTTTAAGTGTTTCCGCTGACGGTACTGGTTACGACTAGTTTTTTTCATAAACACCTCTACTTGCTGGCAGTCTTGCCTTCTTTACGACGAATTTTTTCGTCTTTGTACATGATCCCTTTTCCTGAGTAAGGGTTAGGACGGCGCACTTGGCGGATAATCGCCGCCATTTGACCCACCCGCTGTTTGTCGATCCCGCTCACAATCACAATGCTTGGCTTAGGAACTTCGACTTTAACGTCTGGGAAAACATCTAGGACAATCGGGTGCGAATAACCGACGCTGAGCGTTAATTTGGAACCTTGTAAACTAGCTCGGTAACCGACTCCCTTAATTTCGATCTCTTTGCGAAATCCTTGGTTAACGCCGTCAAGCATGCTTTTGATCAGCGAGTTAGTCGTCCCGTGCAGTTGCTTGGTCGATTTTTCTTCGTTAGCGCGGCTGGTGACGAGCAAGTTCTGATTCAGACTGACGGCGATCAGCGGTGAATGCTCTAAAGTCAGCGTTCCCAGTTTGCCTTTAATTTCAACGCTCGTTCCGCGGATGAGAACTTCGGTTTGATCAGGGACAGTTAAGATGCGGTTGCCTACTCTGGACATATTTTCCTCCTACCAAACGTAGGCGATTACTTCCCCGCCTACTTTCCATTCCCGCGCTTGGCGATCGGTCACAATTCCCCGCGAAGTGGAAATAATCGCCGTTCCGTAGCCCGACAAAACGCGCGGCAGTTTGTGGTAGCCGGCGTAAACGCGCAGACCGGGTTTGGAAATTCGTTTGACACCGACGATCACGCGCTGGTCGCCGCGGTATTTGAGTCCGACCACAATTTGCTTGCTAATCCCTTCGCCGCGCGCCTCATAATCAGTAATAAAACCTTCGTCGCGCAAAATTGTCACGATTTGGTGTTTGATTTTGGAGTAGGGAATGGCGACGGTTTTGTGCTTACGCTGGTTGGCGTTTTTAATCCGAATGAGCATATCACCGATTGGATCAGTTATGATTCCGTACATACTATCAGCTCGCTTTCTTAACGCCCGGCACTTTGCCTTCGTGGGCTAAGGTGCGGAACTTAATCCGGGAAACACCAAAACGGCGCATGTAGCCCCGCGGCCTTCCGTCAAAAGCATCGCGGTTACGAATCCGGATGTAAGACGAATTAGGACTCATTTTGTTAAGTCTTAGTTGCGCATCTTTATCGCCCTTTTTGGCTAGAGCGCGCAGCTCTGCCCGCAAGTCGTAGTTAATCTCAACTTGCTTGATCCGTTGGTTATTTCTAGCAATTAATGATTTTCGTGCCATACACCCTCCTTAGGAGCGACCTTTCTTAAAAGGCATACCGAGCAAAGTCAAAAGCGCTAGCGCCTCTTTTTGGTCGGATGCGGTCGTGACGATAATCACGTCCAGACCTTTTATTTTGCGAACTTTGTCGAAATCAATTTCCGGAAAAATGATTTGTTCGCTCACGCCGAAAGCGTAGTTGCCTTGCGAGTCAAAAGACTGAGGACTAAGGCCGCGAAAATCACGGACACGCGGAATGACGATGTCGATCATTTTTTGCAGAAAGTTCCACATTTTATCGCCTCGCAAAGTCACTTTGGCACCGATAGGCATGCCTTCGCGCAACTTCCAGGAAGCGAGCGATTTCTTAGCCAAAGTCAAGACCGGTTTTTGACCGCTAATCAAAGTTAGTTGTTCAACCACCTCGTCAACTGCTTTAGAGTTAGCGATTTCGTGCCCCACGCCCATGTTGAGAACTAGTTTAGACAAACGGGGAATTTGCATCGGCGAACGGTAGTTAAACTGAGTTTGTAAATCAAGTCTAACTTTTTCTTGGTAATGCTGTCGGAGACTGTTCATCTAAATTTCCTTTCCGGTCCGTTTACTAATGCGCACCTTTTTTTGGTTGTGGATAGCAAAGCCCACCCGGGTTGACTTGCCTTCTTTGCCTTTGGTAACTAGCGCTAAGTTTGAGATATCAATCGGAGCTTCAAACTCAATAATTCCGCCCTCGGCGTTAGTTTGGGAAGGTTTGGCGTGCTTTTTGACTACGTTGACTTTGTCAACTTTGGCGCGACCTTTTTTCCAATCGAGCGAAATAATCGTTCCGCGCGTCCCTTTGTGTTTACCGGTCAAAACTACCACCTGGTCATTTTTCCTTAGTTTTCTCATAGCTCTCCTAAATTACCTCGGGGGCTAGCGAAATGATTTTGCTGTAACCCTTGTCGCGCAGTTCGCGAGCAATCGGACCAAAGACGCGGGTGCCACGGGGAGTTTTGTCGGGCTTGATGATGACAACTGCGTTATCGTCAAACTTAATGTGAGTCCCGTCTTTCCGACGCAGCCCGTACTTGGTGCGAACGAGTACGCCGCGAACCACTTGACCTTCTTTGACCATGCCGTTGGGGATCGCCTTTTTAACCGAACAAACCACTACGTCGCCGATGTTAGAAGTCTTTTTAACCGATCCGCCGATGTTGCGGATGATACCAACTTCTTTAGCGCCGGTGTTGTCGGCCACCTTGGCACGACTAAGTTCTTGAACCATTACTCTTCACCTACCCTTGGCTGCAAAATTTTAACGAGGCGAAAAGTTTTCGTTTTTGAATAAGGACGAGTTTCGGCGATTTGCACTTGGTCGCCCAGCTTAGCAGTCTGGTTTTCGTCATGGACGGCGAACTTTTTGGTCACTTTAAAACGTTTACCGTAGATCGGATGCATTTGGTAGGTGTCAACCGCCACAGCTAACGTCTTGCTGCTTTTAGTTGAGACAACCGTTCCAACTAGTTGTTTACGACGGGTGTTTCTTGGCATGCTCTACTCCTTTGCTCCCGATTTGGGTTTGGCCGACTTATTTTTAGCGGCTGTTTTCGGTTTAGTGGCGCTTTTAGTCCGCTTAGGCGCAGTTTTTTGAACCGGTTTTTTAACTTTGGAAACTGATTTTTTTGCAGCCCGTTTTTTGGTAGCGCTAACTTTAGTGGCTAGCTGCTTGGGCTCTTCCGCTTGGCGCTGAGCGATGATCGTGAAGACGCGGGCAATGTCACGCTTAACTAACTTGATTTTGTGGGGTTGATCAAGTTGGCCGGTCGCGTTTTTAAAGCGCAAAGTGAACAGTTCGGCCTTAAGATCGTTGATCAAAGTGCGCAGTTCGGAGACTGATTTGCTCTGTAACTCTTTAACTTCCATGCTCTACTCCTCCCCTGCGCCAGTTTGACGGGTCAAAATTTTTCACTTTACCGGCAGTTTGTGACCGCCTAACCTAAGAGCCGCCAAAGCGATCTCAGGGTCAACTCCGAGCACTTCAAACATGACGGCGTACTTCCGCACGACCGCGACCCACTTCTCGGGGCTCCCTTTCCCTTTACCCATACGAACTCCGATTGGTTTGGCGGTTTTGGAAAGGTGCGGGAAAATGCGAATGATGACTTGGCCTTCCCGTCCCATGCGACGAGTAATCGCGATTCGAGCGGCCTCGATTTGACGCGAGGTAACCCAGGCTGCCGTTTGAGCTTGGAGTCCGAACTGACCAAACTCAACTTTATTGCCCTTAGTAGCGTTTTTCTTGTCGGGGTAAATGTTGTGTGGCTTACGGTACTTAGTTCTCTTGGGTTGCAGCATGGCGAGCACCTCCTAACCACGGTAAACGTTTGGAAATCCAAACTTTCACGCCGATCGTTCCGTAAGTGGTGTTGGCGTTAGCGGTGGCGTAGTCAACATCTTGCCGAAGCGTGTGGAGTTTCATTTCGCCTTCGGCGTAGCCTTCGGTCCGAGCCATATCGACTCCGTTTAAGCGACCAGCAACCAGCGTTTTAATTCCGAGCGCGCCGTTACGCAGCGCTTGGCGAATGGCGAATTTTTGGACAGCCCGGAAAGAGCTCCGGTTTTCTAACTTAGCGGCGATATCTTCGGCCACCAGGCGGGCGCTCAGTTCGGGTCTTTCGATTTCTTGAACGTCAAGACTAATTTTGATGGCACGGTTTTTAAGGTATTTAACTAGGTCAGCGTGCAGTTTTTTGAGGTTGTCGCCGTTAGATCCGATCACAATCGCCGGCGTAGCCGTGTGGAGACGAACGATAACTTGGTTGTTTTGACTCCGCAAAATTTCGACTTGACCGATTTTGTAAGTACGCACTTGGCGGTCAAAAAAGCGGTGAATGCGCTGATCCTCAACTAAGTTTTTAACGTAGTCCTTCTTGTTGGCAAACCACTTGACATTGTGCGGTTTGGTGATTCCGAAGCGAAAACCATTTGGATTTACTTTTTGTCCCATCGCTTACCTTTCCTCGATTTCAATCGTTAGTCTTGACGTGCGTTTAAAAATTTTAAAAGCCCGGCCGCGGCCCCGGGGTTGGAACCTTTTTAAAGTCGGTCCCTCGTCAACCAAAACTTTCTTGACGAAAAGTTTGTCGGCGTTAAGTCCGTGGTTGTTGACCGCATTTGCCACGGCTGAGTTAAGCAGTTTGATAAAAATTGGCGCCGCTTTTTTACGAACGTTTTGCAAAATGGTTAACGCCTCACCGATCGGCTGACGCCGGAAAGTGTCGGCCACTAGGCGGGCTTTACGAGCCGAAATGCGTTCAATTTTGACGTGAGCTTGAGCAACTTTAGCCATTATTTCTTCCCTTTATCAGCGCCGTGACCACTAAATGTCCGCGTCGGTGAAAATTCGCCTAGTTTATGTCCAACCATGTCCTCGGTCACGTAAACATCAATGAACTTACGGCCGTTGTGAACTTGGAAAGTTAGACCAATGAAATCTGGGAAAATCGTGCTCCGACGCGACCAAGTTTTGATCGGTCGTTTGGGCGCTTTGCTTTCTAAAATTGCCGCGACTTTCTTGAGTAGATGGTGGTCGGCAAACGGACCTTTCCGGAGTGAACGTGCCATTATTTACGCCCCTTTCGTTGACGAATAATCAGTTTGTCAGAAGCTTTGCGAGTTTGACGAGTTTTGACACCAAGCGCTTTTTTACCCCAGGGTGTCATCGGGCTTTTACGACCAATCGGCTGGCGACCCTCACCACCACCGTGAGGGTGATCGTTGGGGTTCATGGCTGATCCGCGCACGGTCGGACGAATGCCGCGGTGGCGGTTGCGACCCGCTTTACCCTGGTCAACAAGCGAGTGTTCTTCGTTACCAACTGTTCCAATCGTAGCTCGGCAAGTCGCTAAAATTCGTCTCACTTCGCCCGAACGCAACTTGAGAATGACGTACTTGCCGGTCTCATCTTTCCCGAGAATTTGGGCGTCTAAGCCGGCTGAGCGGGCGATTTGACCCCCACCGCCCGGGTAAAGTTCCACGTTGTGGACAAAAGCACCCTCTGGGATGTTACTCAGCGGCAGAGCGTTACCGATTTTAATGTCCGACTCGGGACCCGAGATAATCGTTTGGCCGACTTTTAAATCGCGAGGCGTGAGAATGTAACGCTTTTCGCCGTCTTGGTAAACGACTAACGAAATGTTGGACGAGCGGTTTGGATCGTACTCAATCGTTTTAACTTGGGCTGGGATATTGTCTTTGTTACGTTTAAAGTCGATAATGCGGTACTTACGTTTGACTTGGCCGCCGTGGTGACGAACGGTGATTTTGCCGCTGTGGTTACGACCGCCAGTTTGCTTTTGCTTAGCCAGCAAAGATCTTTCCGGGCGCGAAGTGCTGAGATTGGCGCGGAAATCTAAACTTGTCATGTTGCGGCGACCGTTAGTCACCGCGCTGTACTTCTTAAGCGCCATCTTGTCCTCCTTGGCCCGGCTTTTTGGTTGCTTGGTCGGCTGATTTGACTTTTTCGTCCGTTTCTTTAGTTTCGCTCGGCTCGGTTAAAGCGGGTTTTGATGGCTCGGCTGCTTCAACGTCAGCCTGTTTTTTCTGAGCGATTTTAGCCGCCGCGCGCGCTTCTACGTCGCTGGCTGGAGTCTTGGACTGATCTGGAGCGACATTCTCATCAATCGCCGCGGTTGGAGTTGTTGACTGAGCGTCTTTATCCTCTGGAAAAATCGCGATTGAACCTTCTTTGAGCGTGACGATCGCTTTTTTGTAACCCGGTTTAAAACCAGCAAAACGACCCATCTTTTTGGGTTTACGGTCGATTTTGATGATGTTAACTTGCTTAACTTTGACGTTGAAAATGAATTCCACCGCTCGTTTAACTTCCGCTTTATTGGTTCGGGAGTCAACGGCAAAAGTGTAAATTTGCTCGGCCATTTGACGGTAAGTTTTTTCGGTCAGAACCGGCGACTTAATTACTTGTGAAACGTGCATTAGCTAACCATCCTTTCCACGCTCGTCAAAGCTTCGGGCGCAAAAATGACCGCGTCCGATCCGATAATTTGACTGACGTGAACCGAGTTAGGCTTGACGATTTGACACTGGGGTAAATTGCGAAGCGATAGAGCCATTTTTTCGTCTCCGCCTACAAAGAGCAATTTGCGCATTTTCTCACCGAGCGCCAAACTTTCAAGTTGCTTCAAAAAGTCTTTTGTGGACGGTTTGGTGATTTTAAACTCGTGGACAAAAACGGCTTTTTGTTTGGCCTTGAGCGTGAGAGCCGAACGGAAAGCCAACTTACGAACTTGCTTGTTAACTTTCAGTTGGTAATTGACTTCCGGAGTTGGACCGAAGACGACTCCGCCGCCGACTCAAATCGGCGAACGGTTTGAGCCGGCTCGAGCGCGACCAGTTCCTTTTTGACGCCACGGCTTAGCGCCGCCACCACGTACTTCGGCGCGGTTTTTAACTTTGTGAGTGCCTTGGCGCTGACTAGCCCTTTCGGAGAGAACAACGTCAAAAATGGCTTGACGGTTAACTTTGACCGCGAAAATGGCCGGTTCTAAACGACTAGTGGGTTGGATTTTAGGACGCGATGCTCCGCCAGCTGGTTTAGGCGCCGGGGCAGAACTAGCTTTAGGAGTGCTTGACTGATTCTGAGCAGAGGCTTTATGAGCGGGCTGAGTTGTTTGTTTTGGATGACTTGGCGCTGGTTTGACGCTAGTCTGAGCGGGCTTATGTTTAGCATCAACTGCGGGAGTAGTTTTAGTCGCTTGAGATTGCTGAGACGCCGAGTGGGAAGCAGCGCTTTTGTGAACCGCGCCCGCCTGAAACTTAGATTGGGGCTGAGCTGCTTTAGGTTGACTAGTCTCAGTTTTCTTAACCTCGACTCGTTTAGCGCTTGACCCGGCTGACTTTTCCGCGTGCGGGTGAACTTTTTTCGGTTGTTTAGAATCCATTACTCACCACCTTCTGGCTTCTTAGGCTCGTCTTGGCGATCATCTTTTGCTTCAGGCTCGTCCTTAGTCTCCGAATCAGACGGTCCAGCCTCAGAACTAGTGGGCTCGTTTTCCGAACTGCTTTCGGTTGGACTAGCGTCGGCCGATGGCGCTGGGGTTTCGGGTTTGCTTGCTAGTTCAGGTGCCTCGCTTTTGTCACTCTCAGCTTGCGCATCGCGTCTAACGGGCGTCTTCTGGTCGGGCTGGCTTTCGTCATCGCTCTTTTCATCGAGCGGTTTTTGACCTTGGTCAGAGCGGTTTTTTTCGGGTGCAACTGCCTCAGCTGGCTGAGACTGAACAAACTGAGCCAACTTGGTCTGAGCGTCTTGGAGCAGTTTTTCTAGCGCGACCAACTTGGTCTGACTGCTCTTAACTCCTTCGTGATCTTTTTCGCTTTGTTGCTTAGCGCTTAGTTCTTTGATTTGCTCAATTTCGCTGGTTAAGTTCTTAATTTCGTCGCGGACTTTTTTCTCTTCAGGACTAACGTGAGCGAGGGCTTCCTCTTGCTCACGCACTTTTTCGGCCGTAGCAATCGCTTCTCGCATCTGTTTAACGCTCATGTCGGTGTTAATTTCAGCACCAACTTTTTTGGCTTCCTCAAGCAATTTGTTTTTCAAAATTGTCTCTTGGACGTTGACAAGTTCCACGCCCGGACGGTTTTTCAGTCCTTTGACCGCTTGGCGAACGATCACGTATCCTTTGGCCGGTCCAGGAATCGAACCTTTGACTAGGAGAAGATCATTTTCAGCGTCGCTACTAATTACCTCTAAGTTTTGGACCGTAACTTGGGCGTGACCCATGTGACCAGGCATGTTCATGCCTTTGATGACTTTGTTGCCGCTAATGTCACCGAGCGAACCGGTTTGGCGGAGTGGTTTTGAACCGCCGCCGCCGCCGTGGGATTTTGGACCGATCTTTTGGTTGTGTCTTTTAATCGCGCCGGCAAAACCTTTTCCCTTGCTAACGCCAGTCACATCCACCAGCTGACCCGGCTCAAAAATGCTGCTGTCAACTTGCTCGCCTAACTGGTAACCTTGCATGCCGCGAATTTCCCGGACAAATTTCTTGGGCACCGTGCTAGCCTTAGCAAAGTGTCCAACCAATGGCTTTTTGTGGGTCGATTTTTTGCGGTCAAAAGCGCCAAGCTGGAGAGCTTGGTAGCCGTGTTTTTCGGTCTCTAAAACGGCGCTAACCACGTTAGGTCTGACTTCGATGACGCTAACTGGAATCGCTTGTCCGTGTTGACTGAAAACTTGGCTCATCCCAACTTTTCTGCCTAATATACCTTTCATGTTTCTCCCATCGGTCCGCCTTGAAAGCGAACTTGTTTAAACTTTTACTTAAGATCGACTTGGATCTCAACGCCGGAGGGAATCTCTAGCCGTTTCAGCGTAGTGAGCAGTTTTTCGCTAACGCTACTTAAAACGATTAAACGTTTGTGAGTGCGAATTTCAAACTGTTCGCGCGATTTCTTGTAGATGTGAGTCGGGCGGATAACGGTAAAAATTTCTTTCCGAGTTGGCATCGGCACTGGGCCTGACACTTTGGCGTTTTCTTGTTCGGCAACGGTGGTGATTTTTCGGGCTGCTTGGTCAACTAGAGCTGCTTCGTAGGCCCGAATTTTAATCTTCACTTGCGACATGTTGTCTCCTCTTGTTCTTGAACAGAACTGGCTCCGCATTAACTCTTGATCCGCCATGGACAACTATTTTGGGCGTATCAACAACCTAATGCCTCACGGCCGTTAGTTTCCTAACTATTATATAGACTTTAAACCAAGGTAAGAAAAAAATTTAAGGACTAGTTCGGATCGTTTTTCCGACCGGCAAAAATCAACCCAAAAAACGCACCTAGCGGCGCGTTAAATTAGTCTGGAAATTAAAACCGGTTGAGTTTAAGAAGAAAAAATGTGCTCAAAAACTTCGTTGTAGTTTTCGACCGGAATGATCTGGGCGTACTGACGCACTTTGGTGGCTAAATCTTCGGTGTCACGCTGGTTAAAACGCGGGATGAAAATTCGTTTAACGCCCGCCTCAACTGCGCCCAGTGATTTCTCTTTCAGACCACCGATCGGCAGAATTTTACCTCGCAAAGTAATTTCACCGGTTAAAGCGATGTCTTTGTCGATCGGCTTGTTAAGCAAGGCCGAGATGACGGCCGTAGCAAAAGCGATGCCGGCCGAAGGGCCGTCCTTAGGCATCGCGCCCTCGGGAACGTGGACTTGGATGGTGTTTTTCTCAAAGTCAAAATTGATGCCAAAACGTTTGGAGTTAGCCCGGATGTAACCAATCGCAATGTTAAGTGACTCTTTCATGACGTCGCGGATCGAGCCAGTCAGTTTAATTTCGCCGTTCTTAGTCGGATAAGTCGTGACCTCAATCGGTAAAAGACCGCCGCCAACAGCTGAGTAGTACATGCCGTTGACTAGACCAACTTCGGCGCGGCCTTTCAGTTTTTCTTTGTAAACCGTTTCTTTACCAAGAAACTCGGCCACCACCTCTTGGTTGACTTGAAACTCATCCTGAACTTTGCCCTCCAGTTTTTTAACGACTACTTTCCGAGCTAGTTTACTCATGATGCGCTGTAATTCTCTGACGCCGGCTTCCTGAGTGTACTTATCAATTACGTATTCAATCGTGCGGTCAGAAATGGCGAACTGTTTCTTAGTTAATCCGTTCTCGTTAATCGTACGGGGAATGATGTGCTGTTTGGCGATCTCAAGTTTTTCCTCGGAACTGTATTGGTTAAGCCTGATGATCTCCACCCGGTCAATCAGCGGAGCCGGAATGTTTTCTAAGTAGTTAGCCGTCGCGATGAACATGACCTGGGAAAGATCGTACTCAAGCTCCAGGTAGTGGTCTTGAAACTTACGGTTTTGCTCTGGATCCAGCACTTCCAGCATCGCCGAAGTGGGGTCGCCTTTGTAATCGGAAGACATCTTGTCGATCTCGTCCAGTAAGATGACTGGGTTGGAAGTCTGGGCTTTTTTAACCGCTTGAATAATTTTGCCCGGCATCGCACCCACGTAAGTGCGGCGGTGACCGCGAATTTCGGCCTCATCGCGCAGACCACCGAGTGAAACTTTAATCACTTCGCGACCGATCGCTTCGCCGATCGAGCGGGCCAGCGAAGTTTTCCCGACCCCGGGCGGACCGAGCAAAGTAATGATCGGAGCGTGGGAATTTTTGGTGTTAATTTTAACCGCCAAATATTCCAAAATCCGCTCCTTAACTTTTTTGAGTCCGTAGTGGTATTTGTCAAGCACGTGCTTAGTTTTTTGAATGTCTTCGTTATCAACGGTGAAAGTTTTCCAAGGCAGTTTAATAATCAGTTCGATGTAACTCTTGATCACGTTGGCTTCGGCTGAAATCGGTGGAGTTGACTCGTACTTTTTAATTTCCTCCAGCGCTTTGGCGCGCACTTCCTCGGGGTACTTTTTATCTTCCAGCGTTTTCTTTCAATCTTCAATTTCTGTGTCTTTGGAAGAAATTTCGCCGAGTTCTTCTTTAATCGCCTTCATGCGCTCGCGCAGCAAAAACTCCTTCTGCTGGCCATCAAGCGTCTTGCGCACCGACTTATCAATGTCTTTGTCGATTTGGTTAATCCGCGACTCCTCTTCTAGGTGCTGCAAAATTAACTTGAGTCGTTTGGGAACTAAGGTCGTTTCCAAAATTTCTTGTTTTTTAGGCAAAGCGATCGGCAAGTAGTGGGCGATCACATCGGCTAACTCGCCGGCTGAAATACCCGAAGCCAGCGAAGAGAGCACGTGTTTAGGAATGTTGACCATGCTGCCGACAACCGCGTCTAACTTGCGGGAAATTTTGCTAACTAGCGCGCCCTCGTCACCCGTTTTGCTTTGGCGATCTTTTAAAACGCTAATTTCGGCCTCAACCAAAAACCCTTCGTTAAGACTAATTTCTTTGATCCGCACTCGTTTAAGTCCGGTCACGGCCAAAGTTTTGGCGTTAGTTTGGTGCTCGCGTTCAACTTTAATTGACACCAAAGTTCCGACGCCAAAAAGATCGTTTTTGCCACCGACTTCGTTTTTTAAAATGTCGCGCTGGGAGACTAAAACTAACTGGTTGTTGAACTTGGAAATGGCGATGTCAATCGCGTTAAGCGAAGACTTACGGCCAACATCTAACGAACTCGTGTAACCGGGAAAAACGATCACTCCGCGAGTTGTTATAACGGGATATTTCAATGGTCACCTCTTTTAACTCTAATTTTAACTGCTTGGGCGTCTTTTGAATTAATTATACCAAAATTAGCAGACTAATACCGAGAGTGCTAAATAAATTTAACGAGTGTAATAACCACGCAAAACTTTGGCCAGCGGAAAGTAAAGCGCTAGGACGAGACCAAATTTGCAAAAATTGCCGACTCAGTAAGCTATTAAAGTGCCGGTCCAGTAGTTGGATATCCCGAAGTAAAAGGGGCTGATTTGCTCGTAGACCGCGATCGCCTGGGGCAGCGTAGGCTCAGAAATGATTCCGTAGTAAAAAAGGTAGACCGGCAAAAACAGTGCGGCGTTTAAGAAACTGGCCAAAAAGCAAATGCTAACTAAAGTCGCCAAAATGATTAGCAGCATCTTTAAGTTGTGGCTGACCACGGTTTTAAAAACAAACGAGTAGAGGTACATCAAAATTACCACCAGCGCTTCCACGAAAAATAAGATCACGTGACCGATCAAAGTCGCCAAGGTTAGCGAATCGATCAGCGGTCCCAAAATGGCTCTTAAAACGAGCAAAAGCAAACCAAAGTGTCAGCCGGCAAAGTAAAAGACGGGCAAAATGAACACCAGCGAAACGTTAATTTTCATGTAGGCAAAAATCGGCGTGAAGCGCTCGCAAAACTGGGCCAGCAAAACTAGTCCGAGCATGACACCGCTCAGGGCAATCTTTTGGACCAAAGTCCGGTGGCTGGGACTAAAACCAAAAAATGCTCGCAACGCTGCCTCTCTTTCCTTTCCATTCTACGAGAAAAAACCCGACCTGACCCCGGATCGGTCCAGTAAAATGTTTTTGTAGCTATTTTGCGAGGAGTTTCATGCCTTTAAAACACACTAAGTTCTTATTTGTAACCGGCGGAGTTGTATCCGGGTTAGGTAAAGGTGTCTCAGCTGCGGCGCTGGGACGTTTACTTAAAGCCCGTAATTACCGCGTTTTTGTCCAAAAATTTGACCCCTACTATAACGTTGATCCGGGCACGATGAGCCCCTACCAGCACGGCGAAGTTTTTGTGACCGTCGACGGCGGTGAGACCGACTTAGACCTAGGTCACTACGAGCGTTTTATCGGCGAAACTTTCACCAAGGACTCAAACTACACCCAGGGTAAATTGATGCAAGAGTTGCTTGAGGAAGAAAGGCTGGGCGTTTACCACGGCAAAACGATCCAAGCCATTCCCCACGTAACCAACAAAATCATCCATAAAATCGAGCAAGTCGCGCTCAGTTCCAAAGCCGACTTTATCATCACCGAAGTCGGCGGAACAGTTGGCGACATCGAATCGCAACCGTTTTTACAAGCGCTCTGGGAATTCTCACACCGCTACCGGGGGCAAACTTTTTTGATCCACTGCTCGTTTATTCCCTACCTAAAAGCTTCCGAGGAATTCAAAACTAAACCGACCCAGCACTCGGTGCGCCAACTTCACGCCAGCGGCCTCACACCAAACATGATTTTACTGCGCGCTAACTCGGCCATTCCCGCTTCGATCGCCGAAAAAACGGCGGCGCTAACTTTTGTNCCCGCTTGGCGAGCCTCTAAAATGTACTGGTGAATTTTGTTAATCGCGCCGATGTCAAGGCCCCGGGTCGGTTGACTAACGAGCAAAACGCGAGCACGTTCGCGCATAAGTTCGCGACCAACGATCAGTTTTTGCTGGTTACCACCCGACATAAAGCGAACGAGAGAGCTGATGCCGTGGGGCGTCCGTACGTCAAATTTTTCAACGATTTTTTTCGCGTAACTTCTCACATTCCCAAAACGAAAAAAACCGGCTCGACTAAACTGCGCCAGTCGAAAATCTTGGATCACCGCGTTTTCAAAAACGTTCATATCCAGCACCAAACCTCACCGATGCCGGTCGGCGGGCACGTGAGCTAGGCCAACCTGGTAACGTTTTTGAACCGATTTGTGAGCAACGTCAACTTTTTGGTAAACCACTTCCGTGTTTGGAACAGGTGGTTTTTGACGGCTTAAAATTTTTCAGCGCGAAACGCTTGGCGCAAGCGGCCGCAAAAACTCAACCCGGCCTTTTTCAACTTTTTGAAGACCCGCTACCGCGTTAATTAACTCCTGCTGCCCGTTACCCTCAACTCCGCAGATGGCCACGATTTCACCCGCGCGAACGCTGAGCGAAAAGTCGCGCAGTCCGATCGCTTTGGTGCCCAGTTTTTTAACTTCTAAGTTGGAAATTTTGAGCAGCGGTTGGCCAGGGCTAACTTTCTTACGAGCGCGCTGGGCGACTGGTTTGGCGCCAACCATGGCCCGAACGATTTGGGCGTTAGTTAGCTTAGCCATCTCGGCTTGCCGAACCACTTTTCCGCGGCGGATAATCGTGGCGCGGTCAGCCACTTTTCTGAGCTCATCTAACTTGTGGGAGATGATCACGATAGTTTTGCCCTGGGCCTTAAGATTCAAGACAGCGGCTAGAAAGTCGTCAATTTGCTGGGGCGTTAAAACCGCGGTCGGTTCGTCCAAAATCAAAATATCGGCGTCGCGAGCCAAAATTTTGAGGATCTCGGTTCTTTGCTGCTCGACGACGCTGGCCTGGGAAATTTTGCGCTTTAAATCTAAGTCAAGACCGTAGCGGTCAATGATCGCCTGGAGTTTTTTGCGCTGCTCGGACTGAGTCATAAAACCGAGCTTAGTATCTTCGGAGTTGAGCGTCACGTTTTCAAAAACGCTGAAAGTGTCAACCAGTTTGAAATGTTGGTGAACCATCCCAATGCCCAGCCGGTTGGCATCAAGGGGCGACCTAATCGTGGCTAATTGGCCGTTAATTTTAATCGTTCCGCTCGTGGGCCGGTAAAGACCAAAGAGAATCGACATCAAAGTTGTTTTACCGGCTCCGTTTTCACCGATGATAGCGTGGACCGAGTTTTTGGCAACCGTTAGATCGATTTTATCGTTAGCAACGAAGTTGCCAAAGACCATCGATATGTGCTTCATTTCGATCGCATTTTTCAACTGAAAGCCCCCTCGTCGGTTGGTTTTTCATAGAGATTATAAGCGAACAATTTGGCAAAAGAGAATTGAAAAACGGTTGTTAACTGATTATAACGCGGTTTGTTGGAGGCGATTAATTGCCCTTTGCGTCGGAAAAAGCGCTAAAAAAAAGAGCCGCGTCCTATCTTCCCCGGAGGTATTTTCGGCGCTGCTAGGCTTAACTGCTGAGTTCGGGATGGGATCAGGTGGACCCTAGCGCTATGGCGACCTAGTGGGAATTATAAACCAAAAAGTTGCAAGGGCAACTATTTTGCTCGTTTAACCGAACGCATCGTGGCTTTAATTTGGGCTTCGGAAGGTTTGCGTCCCATTTGCATGTACATGGCGCGGATTTGCTTTTCGGTGATCGGCGGATTTTCACGAAGTTGCTTTTCAAACAACTTTTTGGTCAGGAAGAAACCAACCGCGGCGCCGGTCAAGAGGGCGATGATAATGCTGACCACTAAAATTCCGATTCAAGCTCCGATTGGCATAACTCCTCCTGGCTAGTTTCTCAAAACTATTTGCGACGACGGCGCAAGATTGTGAAGACAACTATTTTGATTATAACGGGAATGACAAGCAGAACTAGCAGTGAGACTAAAAATAGTCGGCGGTAAAATTTGTTGCGGCTGGTTTTGAGAGCTTCAATCTCGCTGGTCGGTGCCAATTTGGCTCCGAAGTAGGCGTCGATTTCAAGAATTTTTTTACGGCGGTGAATTGTCATGAGAATGTGGACAACCGCCACCGTGATTAAAGCGATCGTAAAAATTCAGCTCATCAAAGTCGGGTTGGCAAACAGAGCACGGACCCAGTTTTTGAAGTCAAAAATTCACCACTGCAAATCTTTCAGTCACCAGAGCAAAAGCGTTAAAATTCCTCCGTAAAATATCGTCACAAAAGTTAGTCAGTTGTGGGCGATCTGCTTTTTAAAGAGACTGAGATATAAATTGGCTAAGAAGGGCGGGGTTGAAGTTAAGTCCAAACGTAAGTCTTCCCGGTAACGAACCACCGCTCGACGCATGCAACCCATTTCCACGAGCGTAATCAAAAACTTGTAGATGCTAAAGAGTAGTAATGAACTCGGTAAAACATAACTAATCCAACTTGTCTTGTAAACGAGCGCAAACAGAGTAATTCAAATCGTTAGCGCTAAAAGAGTGGCGCCTAAAAAAATTAGCGTCAATTTCTGACGTAGCACTTCCGAGCGAATGACACGGAAAATGCCGGTCGGAATCACTCCGAGCGGGTCGCCGCTCACTTTGGCCGGTCGACTGAGACTTGTTTTAGCGCTGGCAGACGGAGAACTGACAATTTTAATGGTTGAAGTTTGAAAAAGCGGTTTGAGTTCCACGTGCAGCTCCTTCTAGTAAACAGTGACCGTCGGCGTTGACTAGTCAAACAAACGCTTTTGACGCTGGCCACGGACTGGATTTACCTTTTAATTATAGAATCAAAAAACCTTGGCTAGCGGGATCTGAATTGGAAAGCGACTCTTAACGACTTGTCGTTAAATTTTTTTGGTTGCTAAGTTAAATATTTCCAAAGAAAGTAAACCGCGTACGATCTTAGGCCTTTTCACTGCGCTAGCTTTGCTTTTCAAACCAAATCATCAACCGCTTTGTCTTGGCTCAGCAACTTAACCGCTTTGATTAAACCCGCGTCTTGAGCCGGCAGGGCGTCGGGATGACGAAAGTAGAGCATCGCTAGGTAGTTGGCCGACCAGGGACCGATGCCCGGCAAAGCGGTTAGACGCCCAACTAACTGGTCTAAATCGGTCAATTTTTCTAAGTAGCGATAGTCAAATTTGCGTTCGCACATCAGGCGACTAATTTGCAAAATCGCGCGGGCCTTAGGACGGGATATTTTTGCGGCGCTAAGGTTTTCAACCGCCAAGTTAGCGACTAATTCTACGCTTGGAAAAGCGCGGTGAACTCGTCCTTGGTAAATAATTTTTTGGCCGTAAAGTTCAACAAAACGAGCCAAAATCGCGCGGGCCGCGGCCATGCTAATTTGTTGACCGATAATTGTTCAAACTAGGGCGAAGTAAAAATCGCTCAGACCAACCAGCGGACAAGCGCGGTGGCGAATCGCGATCGGCTTTAGTCACTCGTCCTTGGCGGCTAAAATGTGAAAACGAGCTAAGTTGGGATCATCAATCCCTAACCAGCGTCTAATTTGACGTCCAAGCTGGGTTCGGTCGGCCCGGGTAAACGAACCGCCTAGGGTTGTAAGCACCTTGGCGGTGACAAACTTGGCACTCCAAGTTAACTTAACGAGCAAAAGTTTCGAGCCACTTCTAAACACGTGGTGAAGTAAACCGCTCGGAAAAGTGCACTGCCAATTTAGCCCTTGGGTCAAAAAAACTAGCCGATTCATCAGAAAGTTAGTTTAACACCAAACCTAATTTTGGTTAGCGACCTAAGTTGTACTGATCGCTGAAAGTTTGGAAAAGGTTAACCACGTAAAGATAAATCTCGCCGCGGTTCTCCTTGTCGAAAACCAAATCAATTTTGTCGTCCGTCGGAGTTTGAGCGGCTAACTTAGTTAAAAAACTGTTGATGCCCTGGTTATTCCATTGGTCTGAATCTGGGGAAATGATTAACTTCTCGGCCGCAAAACTGACTTTGATGGGACGAAAATCACCGTTTTGGTCGGTTGCTTTAGCTTGTTCAATTTTAATTGTCATAGTTTTTTCCTTTCACGATTTGATACCTTTTTTCCAAAAACTGCGAACCGCCCTCTAAGTAAAGGGTCCCGTCCACAGTTGACTCGTCGCTTACGACCCATCGACCTTCCCGGTAAGGGCGCTCGTCGGGGTCGTGCAGATTAGCCAGGATTACCTTTTCAGGTCTTGACAAGATACCCAAGTTGGCGTTGTGCGTAACCATAAAAATTTGCTGCTGGTGCTCGTTTATTAATTTGAGGACACTCTCGGCAATCGTGTGGTTATCTAAGTTGTCCTCAGGTTGGTCTAGGAAAAGCGGTTGATCGGCCGATTCAAGCAGTTTGTACTTGATTCCGTAAATTGATTTTTCGCCGAGCGACATCGTTTCGTAATTTTTGCCGTTGGCTAAAACGCTAACTTGTTCCTTAACTATTTGGACTAACTTACGGCGAATTTTCTCGGGCTCAAACTCCTTAAGACCTTTTTCTATCGCTGTCTTGAGCCAGCCTCCGATGTCGTTATCTGAACCTGGCTTGTAGAGCACTTGGCTGAGCAAAGTGTAAACTTGTGGTTCGGTAAGTTCAACCGTTTTTTTGATCTCAAAAGCTAGAAAATGGGCTCCCTCCTGCGCCTGGTTAAAATCAAGCCGAACTGGGTTGACTAGTAAATCGCGGAAAAGTTGCTGCTGGGTGCGAGTTAACTCGGCGTACTTACGAAAGTGAGTTTCAGCTTTGATGCGAAAATCTTTCAGACCGGCCTTTTCAAACGATTTGATCTTCATCTCCTCCACCACGGCTTGGTAGGCGCGGTAAAATAGGGTGAGAACTTTTTTAACGCGGCTCAGTCAGTTGATTTGCTCGGTGAAAAACTGGCTGAGAACCTTAAAATGCTCCTCTAACTTGAGTAGCTGATTTTTTAAGTTTTGACGGTTTTGTTCAGAGATCTGGTCAAGATCATCCAAATTATTTTTGAGCTTCAAAAGCGTGTCGCGCTGGTACTCTTGACTAGCTTCGCTGGCTTTTTTGAGCATCGCGTTCTGGCGGTCTAACTTAGCTATTTGAAATTGGGGATCGTAATTTAATTTTAAAATTAAATCGCTGGCGTCTTTTTGCTGACTTTTAAGTTTAAATAAATTGGCCCAGTTGAGCACCTTGTCGTCAAGACTTTTTAATCCCTCCATGCCGTGGTAAAAAGCCGAGGTTTGGCGAATTAAATTATCCACTGTGGGCGCCCGACTAACCACGTCGCGGGCAAAGCGCTCTTTCTTCTTGGTGATTTCTTTGGAATTGTGAAGGTTTTCCTTAATTGGATCTTGCTGATAAATAATGTCGTGGCGCTGGCCGTAGTCCTGCAAACGGGTTTTAGCTGCGCGGTGCGCCAAAATGCGGGCCGAAATAACTTCGCCGCTAAATTTATAAGCTTCCAAAAATTCCAGTCCAAAACTTTCTAACGCCTCAACTACGTTTTGGTAAATCACCTTGTTCTTCAGCCCGGCTAGCAAATCAAAAAGCGTCGACTTCCCGCCGCCTTTGGGACCGATAATAACGTTAGTTTTTTTGCCAAACTCAATTTCAATTCTCCGACTTCTCTCGTCTAAATCGTTGATCTTTCCCAAAACTATTTTCTCTATCATAACTCTCCTTCGCTCGCGTAAACACCTGGCTGGGCCAAAGCGTTTTTTAGGGCTGTAAAAGACTTCTCATTAAGTGGCACGCGGGTGAAAAGTTTCCGTCCGTGCTGAGGGTAGTTTTTTCAATCGTGGGTGTCTGAGAAAGCAACGACCGCTTTTTGTAAATCGCTTTGACAGTACTTGCGGTAGTTGGGATGGTTAAAATTAGTTACTTCAACCGCGTCGTGGTCCAGTTGTTTTAAATCCTCGGGATCAAAAAAATCATTCTTCCCCACATGGGGAATTCGCAAAGTCTTAAAGTCGCTGAACAAAGCGTTTACTTTGGCAATGCTCACGCCTTGCTTGGACAAGTTTTGGCGGGCGATTTGCTGAATTGTTTCAAGCTCTGCAAAACTAAGGTTGTCATCAAAAATAATTAGTAAGTTAGCGCGCCTGTCATTGAGACGTCGCACATCAACTTCTATGCCCGGCAAAATGCAAATGTCAGCCGTTTGAGCCAACTGACGAACACCTTGGTAAAACTGAACCTCAAAAGTGTTGTGGTCGGTGAAGGCTGCGATTTTAACCCCGTGGAGTTTTAGTTGCTTGAGCGCGTGGCTGGGCGATTTTCAATCAATCGTATCGCCGTTTGGTTTGGAAGCCGGCGAATGAAGATGTAAATCAATTTTCATTTGCCAACCTCCGCTCCAAGACTTGTTTTGATTATAAACGATAAAAAAGACTAACCTCACGGTTAGTCTTGGCAAAATCTTAAGATTTAATTGCTATCGTCCACTGACTAAAGTAATTACTCGGTTGGGGTGGTTGGTGCTTCAGCGGCTCAACCGGTTACTGTGAAAGTGGCTGTTTTTGGTGTGGCTGCGCCTTTGCTTGCAGTAACCTCGACGGTAATAACACCCGCTGCCCCTGATGGAGTAGTTGCAGAAGTCACTTTGTATGCCACAGTAACTCCTGTAGGTGGTGTCGGAAGGTCAACTCCCAAGTCCGCATCTGCTTCAGCTTTAGTTGCCCAAGTTGTGGCATTTGTGATACCTGTTGCGCTTACCCTTGTAGTTGTTTTGCTGGTTGTGTATGAACCAGTGTACAGAGCAATGTGATCATCAACAGATTTTTGATCCTCATTTGAGGTATCATCTGCTTTTTTGAATCCTTGGACATCAAAAGTTTTATCGTCTTCAGCACTGCCCTTTTTGACATAAACTTTAACTTTTGCAGTTTCGCCAGTCACTGACTCAACAGTCAATATTACATTTGTCTTGTCGTCAGGTGTTGCAGGGAATTGATCTTTAATTCCCAACGATGCTGCAGTTGTTGTTTCTCCGGCTTTAATGCCCAAGTCCGCCAACGTTTTGTCCTTTATCGTAGTGGTGTAAGAACCTTTGACTGCTCCAAGGAAATCCGCCACTACTTCGTTATCGGTTTTCGCTTTAGGGCCGCAAGCCACCACAGCTGCAAGTGGTGCCGTAATCCCAATTAGCGCTCCGAAACTCAAGAATAATTTTTTATTCATGCTTTATTGTTTTAAAAACCTTTCTGTCTTAAAACCTCTATAGAGATCTTGAATGATCTTGGTATTGGATCGCTATTCCTCAAAATTAGAATAGCACCTACATTTTAGCATTTAGGGGTTAAAAAACCAAAATATCCCTTAAAACAGCGCCTTTAAATTCTCAATTTAAAAATTTCTGGCGCCGAAACCGCGAGCCGCCAATCGGAACTAAGCGGCGCTAAAAAAGCTAGGTCTTCTTCGGCAGGCTTGAGATAGACGTGGCTGCCCACGCCGAGCGGCGTCCCGACTGCGACCCAAACTAAGAGCGTCGTTAGACCGACAACCAAAAAGCAAACCGCATAGGGAAACATGATTGACATCAAAGAACCCATTTCAAAACTAGCGCGCTGTTCTTTGACCACCCAGTCCTTTGTCCACATTAAAATCAGCGGGAAGTAAGCCATGAGAGGAGCGATCAAGTTGGTCGCGCTGTCGCCCACCCGGTATGCAGCCGTGGTCACACTCGGATCAATGCCCGCCTTAGCAAGCGCCAGGAGAAAGATCGGTCCGAGAATCCCTCACTTTGAAGTTAGGCCCGCCATCATCAAGTTAAAAAAGGCCACCACAACTACAAACAGCGCCAAGACGACGAGCGGGTTGGAAAGTCTGGTCAGTCCGATCCCTAGGTAATAGCCCGAAACTATTCCGATGTTTGACTGACTGAGCGCCGCGATAAACTGAGCCATAACCATAAAAAGGATTAGCGCGGGCACGACCTTTTTAAAGCCTTCCACCAAACTGTCAACCACGTCCTGGGGTGATTTAAAAGTTTGGGCAAAAAACCCGTAGGTGATCCCGATTCCCAAGAAGAGAAAGCCGATAATTAAAGCTAGGTGGTTAAGCGGTTGGTAGTCGCCCACTTTAAAACCGGCGGGAATGTTTTGGATCTCGTAGATAAAGCCGCTGAAAGGTGCGCCTGGCACGGTAATAAAGAGCGTGAAGACGATCACGTAGAGCGCGATAAAGACCAGCGCTGCGATCAGACCCCGGCGCTGAAGGTGGGTTAGTTTGACTTTTTCGCCGACCACGATGTGGGTCGGTCGGTGAAACTTGTAGCGCTGGTGGAGTCTTTTCTCAATCACCAAATCGGTCAACGCTCAACCAACTAGGATGTAAAGGAAAAACAGCGTTAGCGTGAAGTAGTAGACCGACATCGGGTTGATGCTAAGGTGCTGGTAGCCTTGCTTCTCCAAAATGTCGTTGGTCAGTGAGGTCATAATCACGTCGATCGTACCCGGTAAAAGCGTGGTCACGAATCCGCCCGAGACCCCAGCAAAAACGGCCGCGATCCCAGCCAGTGGGTGGCGACCTGCCCGGTAGTAGAGCAGACCAGCCAAAGGAATCAAAATTAAGTAACCCGCGTCGGCCGCCAGGTTAGTTAAGCAACCGATCATGATCATCATCGGCGTTAAGATCTTGCGCGAAACGGCCGTCGCAATCTTGCGCATGACTAGATCGACAAACCCTGCTTTTTCGGCCACGTTGACAAAGACGGTCGTGATGATCACGATCCCCGTCGTGGAAAGAGCCATGAAGTTAGGGATGAAGTTCTTGAGTCACCAAATGATTCCGTCGCGACCAATTAAGTTGAAAAAATGAACCGGCTGGTCTTGGTTAAGACCAGCTAAAACCACGCCGTTAGGAACCGCCAAACTTAAGATCATTGAAACGAAAATGATGATGATGACTAAGAAAAGAAACAGGTAAATTGGCTTGGGAAACTTATTCCCAATTCATTCAACGCCGTTCAAAGTGGCCTGCACACCGCGTCCAAAAACGCGTCTGATCGCGCCCCAAGCGTTGTGACGAGGTTGGTGAGGTTTGTGCATGCCTTTGGGTAGTGATAAGTAACTGCTACAAGTATAACAATCTTAAACAAGAAAATTTAAACTCTTAATTTTGTGCCCGCTCGCGGAAAAACGAATCAAAACGCCGTTAAATTGAACGCGGTTTTGCGAAACGATAAACTTACTGCGGGCGTCAAAACGCATTTTCCGGTAAACGCTTTTAAATTCGGCGCCGATCGCCGAATTGCTCGGTCCGGTCATGCCCGCATCGGTGATGTAAGCTAGGCCGCGCGGCAAAATTCTGGCGTCGTTAGTTTGCACGTGGGTGTGAGTGCCGACGAGCGCACTCGCTTTGCCGTCCACGTAAAGTCCAAAGACGTTTTTTTCGCTAGTTGTCTCGCCGTGAAAATCAATCAGATGGTAATCAGTGCGCGGGTAGTTTTTTTCAATCAAATCAAAAGCGTCAAAAAAATTGTCGGCCTGACTTTGTTTCCAGTTGTCGGTTAGTTCGTTAAAAGTTACCCCCAGCATGGAAGTCACTCTTAACGTTTGGGTCGCCACTTTAAAAACGCGCGTTCCCTCGCCCGGGTAGTCGGGGCTGACGTTGAAGGGGCGGATTACATCCAAGTTAGCGATGATCTGTTTAATCCCCTCTTTGGCCCACACATGGTTGCCGAGCGTGAAAGCTTGGACGCCGATTTGCTTGAGCCTTTCGTAATCGGCTTTAACTAGTCCCTTGCGATCGGAGACATTTTCGCTCTGGGCGATCACAAAGTCAACCCGGTGGAGTTTAATTAATTTCGGCAAGCAAGTCGCTAAAGCTTGGACGGCTGGTTGACCAAAAATGTCACCGATAAAAAGGACGTTGAGATTTTTTTTCATGCGTACCAACTTAACTATAACTAAATTGACTGCTCCTTAGGAATTGTAAAATTGCTTTTCAAAACTGGCGATCGCCTTCTCATCGCCGCTCACCCGCAAACTGACGTTAACTTGCCCATCCTTTTTAAGGTAACGACCAATTTCCTCAATCTCTCAGACGCCGGGGATCGCTTTGATCTGGGCCGTGATTGTGGCTATGCTCTGACTAGCCTTGAGACTAACGGTCAAATCGCGCACTTTGAGCGGCTGATTTAAGTAGGGCGTAAAACTGACTCTTTCAGATTTAACCTTAGCCAAGGTTGTTAAATTAATCTCGGCAAAGTAAACCGGCTGGTCGTAAAAAGCGGGGTGAAGTTGGCCAAGGTAGCCGATCTTTTGTTTACCCAAATAAATTTCGGCGCTTTGACCCGGGTGCAGATAAGCGTAACTGCTCGGAGCAAAAGTGACACCCGGCGGGCAAAGGGCGACCACCTTGGCTTTAAAAGTCTCAAAATCGGTCTCGCTCTGACAAAGTCCGAGCACTTGGGTGTCAAGGTAAACTTGACCGATTTCAAAAAATCCCAGCCGCGTTATTTTACGTTTGAGATGGTAGTCCACGATCGGCAAAAAACTGCTCACCAACGAATTGCGAATGCTGCTGTAAAGTTTGGAAGGATAGTCTAGCAGTTTGATCGGCCGACCTAACTTAAAAAAGTCAAAGCGGTTAGCTTCCCAATCGACTAAAAGGTAGGAAACAACTTGGCTCAGTCCAAAGCCGACTAATTTCCAAACCAATTGTTCGGGTGCCACGATCTCGCCCCGACTCGGTAAAGGCGGTCTTGGCTTTAAAAAGTTGAGCCCGTAAAAACGGAGAATTTCGCTCGCCAAATCAAATTGGTCAACCACGTCTTGACGATCGTAGGGCAAAGCGATCTTACCGCGGTCAATTTCAAAACCAATCGTTTCCAAACTGAGCATGGCCGCCACGAATTTATCGCTTTGACTAATGTCTTGACCCGCGACTTGGGTTAAAGTCTGGTTATCAAGCGCGATTAAACGCCGGGGCGGCAATTTAAAACCGGTTAAACTAGTCAGTCGATCTAAACGACTCTCTAAAAAACTGAGCGCTCTTAAAACGGCTCCGATCCCGAGTGCACGGCTGTGAATTTGTCCGTGGGCGTTAACGCCGCTAGACGCGGTTAAGGCTAGGTTTTTGAGCACATCGGCGCGGTTAAAAACCGCCACTTCAATGACAAGCCGTTTGGTCAACTCGTTAGCCCGGTAAAAGTCAATCGGACCAAGACCGGCCAAACCGATAATTTGACTTTTGTCGCGCACGACTAAGTGCTGATTGAGAGCGTAGCGCCGATCGCCCCAGGCTAAGTTCTCCTCACCGACACGAACTAAAGCGAGCGAGTTGCCAATTTTATCTTGGTCGTAAACACTGATTGGTAAACCGCTCATCAAAAGCGTTAAGTTAATCAAGTTGTTAATTTTGTTGCCAAGCGCAAAACCGCTCTTGACAATCAAAAGTTTTTCGGCTCAAGTCAGTTTAAAATCAGCGTTGGCCCCGATTAAAACGTACTCGTTACCAGCCGGCACGCTGACCTTTAAACTTCCCTGGGCGCGAAACTTATTCCAGTGCTCACGGGGCACCTGACGGTGAAAAAAAGCCGCTAACTCGCGGGCAATTGCCTGGTAGCAACGGCTGTTCGGACGGTTAGGCAAAACGGTGATGTCAAGCAAAGTGTCGTTTAAACCGAGTAAATCAACCGGGTCGTGGTCAAGATCCATCTCAGCTTCAAAGAGCGTGATCCCTTGACCAAGCGGCCCGAGCAGAGCGCTCGCGTAGCCGACTTCGCTGAGCGAAATCAGCATCCCCTCCGAAACAACTCCCTGCATTTTCCGAGGTGAAAAAACCGTCTCACCTAACCGCGAACCGCTCACAAAAGCGGCCACGACCGCGCCGACTCTGACGTTGGTAGCGCTAGTTTGAATCGTGCGCGTTTGGTCGTTGAAGACCACTTGGCAAACCGCCAGACGATCGGCCGATGGATTAGGCTCAACCGCGTGAACGCGACCAAACTTCACGCCTTCCACGAGCGGAAAGCGGACTTGTGATTCAACTTCAAAACCAAGCTGCACGAGCGCGTCAACGACTAGTTGGTCGCTCATCTCGGCCGGTAAGTTAGCCATGCGCCGGAGCTCTTTTAACGAGAAAAGCATTTTTCGACTCCTCTAAACTGACTTAAAAAACGGAGATCATTTTTGTAAAACTCGCGGATGTCGGGAATTTGGTATTTGACCATCGCCAGGCGGTCAAGACCGATTCCGGCCGCAAAGCCATTTTGGTTAGTTTGGTAGCCGGCCTGATCAAAAACGCTGCGGGCGATTAATCCAGCCCCCAAAACTTCGACCCAGCGCGGGCCGATTTTAATGTCCATTTCAAGCGAAGGACTAGTGAAAGGAAAGTAAGACGGTCGGAGTCTAATTTCAAACTCGCCTTCCAAAATAAAGTTAACCAGTTGCTGCAAAGTTCAAATTAACTCCGGCAATCCGTAGGGTCCAACGTTGACTAGGTCTAACTGGAGAAACTGGTGCGAGTGGGTTGCATCGTCAACGTCGTTGCGGTAAACGCTGCCGATCGAAAACTGCGCGAAAGATTGGTTTGGCCTAAGTGCCATTTCGCGGGCCGACAAACTGGTGTTGTGAGTGCGCAGTAAGTTGGATTTATCTAAGTAGAGCGTGTCGTGCATTTCGCGCGAAGGGTGATCGGCCGGGATGCTAAGACGTTCAAAGTTAAATTCATCGCTCTCGACCGCCGAACCGACTGTTTCAAAGTAGCCCTGAGCAAGTAACCACTGGCGAGCGCGGTTAGCCACTAGCGTCAGCGGGTGGAGACTGCCCAGAGGAGCGGTCGGACTGCCAATGTCAACCGACTCGGTTTTGATTCGCTCGTCAATCGCTTGCTGGGTTAAATTTTTAACGATCGCAGCGAACTTTTTTTCTTGGTCGGCCACTAATTTTTGCAACTTTTTGCCAAGCGTAGGTTTTTCGACTGGCGAAGCATTTTTAAGTTTTTGTTTCAGTTTGGCGACTGGTCCCGTTGGTCCGTAAAAAGCGTGTTTCAGTTTCTTCAAATCTTCCCAAGTTTTAACCGCTTCTACTTTCATCCAAAAACTCCTTGCGCTAATTTTTTGCTCTGCTCCTACCTAGCCTGGTTAGTCAGTTTGATAATACCATTATACTAAGCGCCTTCGGGTCGGCGGTTTTTTTGGTCGGCCTCCTGGCAAGCCAAAAACGCCCTTGCCAAACAAAAAAACTAGCCGGGTCGGCTAGTTTGAAAACGACTTGGAAAGGCCAAGTTAAGCTTTAACGTCGTTGTTGTCAAGTTTGATTAATTCGTCGTAAGCGTTATCCCACGTTTTGCCCGCGGTTAACTTTTCGGCTTCCGAAATTAAATCTTTGTTATCAATTACGCGCTGGTAGAAACTGGCCGGATCGCTGATGTTTGACCAAGCGCCCAAGTTGGTGTTGTCAGCCAGCTTAGTCAGTTTGTTAGCAAAACTGCCGCGCGTCACCGCCCCGAGACCTTTGAAAGTCTCTTTATCAGCGTCAGGCGCGTTAGTGATAACTTTGTAAAGTCCGACCACCGAGTCCTTGATGTTTTTGAGCACCGAAGTGATGAACCAGTTTTTTTCTTCTTCGTAACGCTCGGCCATGTCGGTGTCAACTCCGATCACGCGGATGTCAGTTTTGTCCGCTGCCTTAGCGGCGGCAAAAACGTCTGAAATTTGCGGTCCGGCAACTGGAAAAATCACCTTGGCTCCCTCGGCAACGAGCAAATCAGCGCGCGGTCTTCCTTTACCTGGATCAAAAGCGGTGTTGGTAAAATCAGCTTTGTTTTGGAAAGCCACGAACGAAACCGCTTTTTTACCAGTCGCGCGGTTGTCGTTGTAGTACTTGACTCCGTAAACTAACCCAACCATGAAATCGGTTACGCCCGGGAAGTCTCCGCCACCTCACATGCCAACTTTTGGTGCCGGATACTGATCGGGTTGAGCTTCAAACCAAAGACTAGTTAAGTAGCCGGCTAAAAAAGACGCGGCCAACGTATCGTAAGTTAGTTCCGCCACGTTTGATGCTCGTGCCTTAAGTTCGGTGTCAAGCAACATGAACTTAACGTTGTCCTTGGCTGATCCTTGTTCCTCGTTGAATTTTTCAATCGCGTCAGCGTGGAAAAAGCCCGGCGTGACAATGTTTTTAATGCCGTTAGTTAAAAGCGTTTTGTAACCAAGCATTAAATCGGCGGGGCCTGTTCCCTCAGGGCGCACAACGTTGCGGGATTCGGTTACGCCCGGATCAACCGCTCTCACCCCTTCCCAAGCTTGTTGGTTAAACGACTTGTCGTTGATTGAACCCGCGTCGGTGACAAGGCCGATGTTGGAACTGCCGCCGGCCACACCTCCTCCGCAAGCGACTAAACTAAGCGCTGGCAGGCCGCCTAGACCAAGCAAACCCGCGAGCGTTGTTTTTCTACTGTTTCGCATTCTGATTCCGCCTTTCCTTGTTTTATTCATAGAGCATTATAGCATCGGCTACCTTTGGATGCGGTTTGGAAACTAGCCTTGCTTGCTAAGTTAAAATAACGCGGCTGTGAGCAAGTTAAACGATTAAAACTTGGTCTCGTTGCGACTCATTTTTTCTAGCAGAGCCAGTGCATCTGGCCAAGTTTTTTCGGCCACCGTTTTACTAGCGATATCAACTATTTCCGGGGCCATCGCTTTTTGGTAGAGCGCCCCCGAATTTACCACATCTCTCCAAGCCGCCTGGCCTGAATTATCGGCTAGACCAGTTAGTTTGTTGGCTAAATTACCGACCGTGGTCGCGCCGAGTCCTTTGAAAGTTTCTCGGTCAGCTTGCGGGCTGCCCGCTAAAACCCGGTGCATGCCGATGATAGCTTCTTTAGTGTTCTTGGTTACCGACGTCAAAAAGTACTGGGGTTTATCAGGGTAACGAAGCACCATGTCGCTGTCAACGCCGACCACCTTAATTTTGTTGCGCGATTCTTCGCCCAGTTTTTCAATGCTGCTAATCGCATCGCCGGTTTGAATTCCGGCCACGGGAAAGAGCACGTTGACGCCCTCGGCCAAAAGTTCGTTGGCGTTGTTAGTGCCGCCGCCCTTTTCAAAACCAGAGCTTGTGTACGCTTCACGCGAAGAAAGTTGTCCGAAAGCGATTGACTGCTGACCGGTCTGACGGTGGTCGTTGTAGTAGCTAACGCCGTAAATAAAACCGATCATAAAGTCGGTCACGCTCGCAATGTTTTTAGCGCCCCAAGTTCCAACTCTAGGCAACGGATAAACGTCGACTAACGCCTCTAAGTAAAGACTGACCAAGTAGCCAGCTAAGAACGAAGCGGTGCGCGTTTCGTAAATGATCGAAGCCACGTTGCTGACGGCCGGGAGTTCCGCATCGTTAAGAATGAAAGCTGCTTCCTGCGAACTTTCTTGGCGGTTGAAACTTTGAATCCCCTGAGCGTGGTAAAAACCGTTGGCGACGACAATTTGCTTTTTTCGATCGTTAAGCAACGTTTTGTAACCTTGTTCAAGCGCGCTCGGATCAAGCGAAGTAGGCATCACAACGCTGTCAGCCTGAGTAGCGCTCGGATCAATCGCTTGGATCGCTTCCCACGCTTGCTGATTAAAAGAGTAGTCGTTCAGAGAACCGGTGTCGGTGACAAGACCGATCGTCGATAACGATCTCCCGCCGATTGACCCGCAAGCAAGCACGCCCGAAACACTAAAAGTTAACACACAACCGCTCACCAAAGCGGAAAAAATTTTTCTGCTGACTTTCATAGCCCTAAAACTCCCCGTTTCAATTCCCATCAAGATTTATTTTCATTATAACACCGCCACCGACTCGCGCCGGGCGAGCGTTAAGACCCCTTAGTTGGTATAATTTTGGCAACATGCGCATCAGTCAATTCCGATCCTCAGTCGCCAACTTGCCCGTCAAGCAGTGAAAAAAACACAGCCGGGCAATTATCGGCGATTTTGAAACGCTCCGCTCGCTCGTGAAGATGGCGACTTGGAGCGCTTGAATGTTAATGGCTTTTTTCACGTTGGCAATTAGTGGACTGATCGTGGTCGGCATCTTTTACTCCGACCCAACTGTTTGAATCATCGTCGGTTCGGTCGCATTTTTGCCGCTAGTCGGTTTTCTCTGCAGTTTAACCAGCATTTTTAAAACGGTTAACTACGAGTGGGGTCAAATTAAGCACGGCCTTTACCAAATTTACCTCTTTGACCAAGGATGAGATTTTTACGACCAGTGACCCGACCTAGTTGCTCCTAAAACGCTTGAGTTAATTAAAAGGTACGGTCAATCGGTCGGCAGCGACTTTCGTCAGCGACTTGGTTTGGCTCAAATTAGGCTGGCTTTAATTTACGGTTGCTACCTGGAAAAAAGGAAGTGACTCGTCTTAGCCGCTTGCTGCTCACTGATGCCTTTTTTGCTTTTCTTGCTGCCCCCTTCGCGCCGAAAAATAACCCAAAAGACGCCCAAGCAACCTGTCTAGCCGCGTTTAATTAGTCATCAAAAGCCGATATAATGTTAGAAGCGATGTCCTTCACGGTGATTATCCCTGCTTACAACGCAGCCCAATTTATTAGCAAAACACTGCGATCACTGCAACAGCAAACGTACCAAAATTTTGAAGTTCTAATTATTGATGACGGCTCGACCGACGGCTTAAAGACACTAATTCAGCCCTTTTTAGACCGGCACGCTAACTGACGTTACTACCGCAAACCAAACGGTAACTGAGGTTCGGTGATTAACTACGTTTTACAAAAAAAACTGGTTCAGAACCAGTACGTCACCATTTTGGATTCCGACGACTGGTTTGTGCCGCGTACTTTAGAATTAGTTAACCGCCAGCTAATTCGTGACCCCAGCATCGACGTTTTAATTACCAAACTAATCCGCCTGATGGGTGGCAAACAGCGCGCGCTGCCAGTCATTTTGTTCAAAAGCAAGTACATCAGCGCCAGTCAAGCTCGTTCACCGCTGTCGACTCCGCACGGCAAGTTTTACCGGCGCGAACTTTTTTGCCAGTTACCCAAACTGCGCGAAAAAGTCTCTTACCAAGACACGATCCTTTTTAACTACTTAGTTTCCAAAGCAAAGCGCATCTACTATCTGAGTAAGCCGCTCGTTGTCTGATGGGTTGACCGACCGGGCAATTCCACCCAAGCTAAGTGGGACCAAAAGCGCGTTGACCTTTGACTTGACAACATCGAAGAAATCGACAAAATGGACACCGACCGCGAGGTGTCAGCTTACGCGCTGATGTACCTTTGGGAACTAAGAAGGAGAGCCCAAAACGTCCCAGCCCGGAAAGCGCAAATAAATACCAGGGGCGTCCGTTTTAAGTGGATTCCCTGGTACATTCGCATGCTTTTTCCGGTTAAGACTTACTTTCGGCTAACAACCCGGAAGTACCGAGTCAAGCCTGATCGGAAAAAGAAGCCCGGTTAGTTAGGTAAGCGATGAGTGTTTTAACCATCACCCCTCGACCCCGTTTTTTCGCGTAAGCCGTGCCAGCGATGTCAAGGTGTAGGTGCGGTCTACTTTCGCTAAACTCAAACAGAAAAGCAGCCGCGGTTGACATTCCCGCCTTAACTTCGCCGGGGAAGTTGCTTAAATCAGCCGTTTGCGATTTGCGCATAATTTCGCGGTGTTCACGAATGACGGGCATCGGTCAAAGTCTTTCTTTAGAAATTTGACTCGCTTGACCAAGTCTGTCCATCAAACGGGCGTCATTTGCCATCATGCCGGTAAACCAAGGTCCGAGTGCCCGACTGGCCGCTCCGGTTAAAGTCGCCACATCAATAATTTCGCTGGCGTTTTTAAATTTGATCGCGTAGGAAATTCCGTCGGCTAAAACTAAGCGACCTTCGGCGTCGGTATCTTCAATTTCAACGAATTTACCGCTTAGAGATTGAACAACCGACTCAACCAAAGTGGCTGTTTTCCCGATCCGGTTGTCGGTTAGACAAGCGATCGCAACTACGTTCACGGCTGGGCCAAGTTCCGCCAGCGCTTTCATTACGGCGCAAACAGCCGCCGCGCCCGACATGTCAAACTTCATCCCGCTTTGAAAGTTGCTCGGTTTGAGCGAATAACCACCGCTGTCAAAAGTAATCCCCTTACCGACCAAAGCAATTTTTTCCGGGCTCTCGGGAGCGCCCGAGTACTCAACTACGACTAGGCGCGGTTCAACCGGACTACCGGCGTTAACCGCTAAAAGCAAGTTCATCCCAAGCGTCTTGATCGCTTTTTGATCAAGAATTTCTAGCTTTAGATTCGGGATCTGGCCGAGTTCGGTGCGCATTTTTTCAGCAAACTGCTCGCTGTTTAAAAGGTTGGGTGGCGTGTCTTGTAAGTCGCGAGCTAAGTTGACCGCCTGAGCCACGGTCAACAGGCTTTCCAGTCGAGCCTCTTTTTCTGCGCTCGTGCCGTTTAGGTCAACCAAAGTTAAACTGAAAAGGTCGGGCTTCTTTGGCGGTTTGACGCTCAACTTGTAAGCCGAGTGCTTTGCCTCGGCAAAACTTCATACCACGAGCTGGTAAAGTTCGCTTTCAGTCAGTTTGGCGCTCGCAAACGAAGCTAAGTCAACTTGGAGCGGCTCGTGCGAAGGTCAGCGCCCAAAAAACTGCCCGAGGTGCTCGGCGATTTTTCAGTAGTCAACTTTTTCAAGCGGCCCTAGGAAGAGTTCGGCCGTTTTACTCCTTAAACACAAGTTGCTTTGGCCGACTTTGGTAAAGTGGGTGGTTTGGTCAATTTTGCCAAAAACAGCGCGGCAAACAAAGCGCTCTGGGTCAATGGCACGGGAAATTTTAGCTGCTATTTTCATGCTAAGAATTATAACAACTTTGCACTTGGTTGAGCTAAGGGGACCGGGTTTTGGAAACAAGCGCTCATCAGCAGGTCGCTTTGAGTTGGTATAATTAAAAAAACTAATGGCGTCTGAAATCATTTGCCGGAGTCTCAAATACCAAAAAAGTCACATCCAATTTTTGACCAACCGGAGCGAAAGCAAAAAACTAATCATTTACCTGCACGGCTTAGATGGGTCGGCTTCGTTCGCGCGACCGCTCTTTAACGCTTTTAAAAACTACAAAATCGTCGCCATTGAACAAAGAGGACACACTAATTCCCAGCTCAAACCTTCGCGTTCGATCTCGACTCACCTCAAAGATTACCGTTTTGTCGTCTCTCACTTCCGCAACCTCGGCTACCAGGTTTGGCTGCTCGGCGAGTCAATGGGTGGTTCTTACAGCGTTTTGTTTGCCTACAAATACCCCGAACTAATCGAAGGCGTTTTTGCCCAATCAATCCCAAGCAAGCTAGTCAACGTTTTTCAAGCTTCGCGCTGGGAGCAATTTAAAGTTCAGTTTTTAACCAGCATCTCCTACTTAACTAACATCAACTTCGCTTACCAAACTCAAATCAACTACGAACTTTTCTCTAACAACCGGGCGTTGCACCGCTTAGCTCGGTTAGCCGACCGCAACAAACACCGCCAAATTCGCGAAACTCTCGCCACTTGAGCGGCCAACAAACGCGCTTGGCGCATGATGCGCCGCAAGACGCCGACTAAACCGATCTACTACTTCCAGCCCGGCGACGACATAGTCGCTAATTTACCCAAAGTGCGCCGCACGTTCAGTCAGCCAAGACCCAACTTACACTTAATTTGGGTTCCCCACGCCCGCCACATTTTGACTTACGAAAAGCAATTTTCGGTCGTGGTTGACAAAATTAAGTCGGTCTTGGATTAAGACCCCTATAATTGGATTATCTAGCGGCAGCCAAAAACTTGGCAAGGAGCAAAACAATTCAATGAAGTACGACCCTCACACGAGTTTGATCAAAACACCTAACAAACAAAACCAAAACCCCTTGATTTTAGTCGGTCAAATTCTGACCATCATTTTCGCCTGCATTTGGTGTTTTACTTTGATCGGAATGATCTGGGGAATTCCGATGATCATCGGCTCTTTACAACGCATCCAATGCAAAAGAACCGTCACTTTAACCCACTGCATCATCGCGATAATTTTCTACTGAATTATCGGCGGCGTTTTGACGCTCGTCGGTGCGCTCCAAGAAAAACTAATTTAAGTTAACTGCTCTGCTCAGCCTCAGCCGTTTTAGCCAGGACCATGTAAAGATCGTCGTTGATCCAAACCGTCGCGCCGATCGGGACTTTGGTGTTACGACCAACCGGGTTTTTTTGGTTAATTTTGATCACGTTGTGAGCTAAAAAATGTTTCACTTGACCGCCGGTGGTGACGTAGCGCATCTTCTTTAAAAACTGCCCGATCGTAATCGCAGGCGGGTAAACATACACTTTCATCTTAGTTGTGGATCCGTTCTTTCATCTGGTGGTAAATTTTGGTGATCGAAGTGCTTGAATAAGTCGCTTCGATCGCCTTGGCAATAAACTCGGCCAGCGAAACAACCGTTAGTTTGGGCGACTTAATGGACGTGACTTGCTCGATCGAATCGGTAACCACGATTTGGTCAATTTCCGGCGAATTCTTAAAAATGTCAAACCCGCGCGAAAAAATGCCGTGCGTCGCGGCCACTATGATTTTCTTAGCGCCGGCCATTTTGAGGTGTTTAGCCGCTTTGACGATCGTGCCGCCCGTGTCAATCATGTCGTCAATTATAACCACGTCGCGGCCTTCCACGTTCCCCAAAACGCCCTGAATAGTTGACTGGTTGGGTCCCGAGCGACTTTTGTCGATGATGGCTATTTCGCTCGGTCCGCCGAGAATATCGGCGAGAAGACGGGCTTTGACGGCTCCGCCGTGGTCGGGCGAAACAATCATTAAGTTGGACGCGATTTTTTTGAGTTGTTTAGCCAAAATGTACTGTCCGCGCAAGTCATCAACGGGCAAATCAAAAAAACCTTGGATCGACGGATTGTGTAAATCAACTGCGATTACTTTGGTAGCTCCGGCCGTGGCCAACAGATCGGCAACTAGCTTGGCTCCGATCGGTTCGCGACCTTGCGACTTACGGTCTTGACGGGCGTAGCCGTAGTAGGAAAGCACGACTGTGATTGAAGCCGAAGAGGCTCTTTTGAGCGAGTCGAGAAAGATCAAAAGTTGGACGATGTTTTCGTTAACTGGCGGCGCGGTAGCACCGATCACGAACACGTCTTTGTTACGAATCGTCTCGGTTGACTTTAGGATCGTCTCACCGTCAGCAAAAGTGGTCACATCAATTTTAGTCAACTTAATTCCCAGTTCGCGGGAAATTTTTTGGCCCAGTTGCTGGGAATTAGGCATCGCAAATAAAACGACTTTTTTTCCGTTCATAGGTTAATGTTTGAGTAGATTATATAACGATCTAAGTTTTTGAACGCTAAGTTGTTCGGCCCGAACTGTCGGCTGCAAGGCTAACTCTTTGAGCGCGACGACAACTCTTTCGGATCGATAATGGGGCTTTAAATTGTTAAGCAGCGTTTTGCGCGGATGAGCAAAGCAGCGCTCGATGAATTTGAGCAGCGGTAAGTTTTTTTGGTAATCCGCGCCAGGTTTAAAAGTTAAGACCACTAAAACCGAATCAACTTTCGGTTTTGGTTTAAAACTAGTTGGGCTCACGATCTGATCCAGCCGAGTTAGGCAAAATAAGTTGCTCGTTGCCGTGAGTTGGCCGTAGGCCGCCTGGCCCGGCTGGGCCGCTAGGCGCTGGCCAACCTCCTTTTGAAGCATCAACACGGCCTGGCTAAGGTGAGAGCTAAAACGAAAAAGGTGGAAAAGGATCCGGCTCGTGAGCGCGTAAGGAATGTTGCCGACGACGGTAGTTGGCTTTTTAAACTGGCTAAGATCGCTTTTTAAAAAATCGGCTGCCACCAGACTTCAGTTAGGGTAGTCAAACCGCTCCTTTAAAACTTGCGCCAGACGGGCGTCAATTTCGTAGCTAACGACTTTCTCAGCTTGCTCAACTAAAAACGGCGTTAAAGCGCCAAGACCGGCGCCGATCTCAACGATCGTAGCTGCTTGATGGTCGCTCAGCAAAAAATTGATCCGCTCTAAAACGCTCAGGTCAACCAAAAAATTTTGCCCCCGTTGACGGGTCGGCAAAAACGCGATTTGCTCTCAGAGCTGAGCCAGCTCGCGCGGACTAAGCGGCTTTTTTGCGGAAGAATCGGCGGGCGTTTTCATAGAGGGCCGCAATCACTTTCTCAGCTTTTTCGGGACGAATTCGAGCGATAAACTCGGCCACGTGCTTTACGTAAGCTGGTTGGTTGCTCTGACCGCGGAGGGGCACCGGCGTTAGGTAAGGCGTATCGGTTTCGCAAATGATTTTATCCAGCGGCAATTGGCGTGCCACCGACGCCACGTTCTGAGCGTTTTTAAACGTCACGATGCCCGAGAAGGAAATTAGACCGCCCAGCTCAATGAACTTTTGCGCCCACTCGTAATCGCTGGTAAAACTGTGGATCACAAAGCGCAGTTTTTGGTACTTTTTTTGACTGAGCACGTCGTAAACGGCTTGCTCAGCGGATCGCATGTGGACTAGCAGCGGCAAGTCGTGCTTAAGACCGTAATCGCAAAAAAGTTCAAAGACTTGGCGTTGAACTTCCAGGGGCGGGTTAGTCTGACGGTAGAGATCGATGCCAATTTCGCCGAGCGCGATAATAGGCGTTTTTTGGATCTGTTTGAAAATGCCCCGGTCGTGCTCAGGACGAGCGCTGTCGGGGTGAATGCCAAAAGCTAAGTCAAGTTTGGGATGGGATTTGGCTAGCTGGCGAACTTGCTGCCAATCGTCTAAATTAGTGCTCGGAACGATAATGCGATCCACGCCTTGCTCCCGCGCAAAAGCGAGCGCCTTCTCGAGTTGCTCCTGATTAAAGTAGGGCTGAACTAGGTGGGCGTGAGTGTCAAAGAAACGGGGCTGAGCCATGCAAATATTATAGACAACTAACTGCCGACCACGACTAAGGCCGGCTTGATTACCCGGTCGTGAAGTTTGTAACCGACTTGTTTAACGACGGTGATTTTATTGGCGTGGTGAGATTTTTTTTCGGTTGAAAGAGCGTGGTGAATTTCTGGGTCAAACTCATCGCCCACGCGGGGGTTAATTTTGATTAGCCCAGCTTGACTCAAACCTTCGCTGAGCTGGTCAAAAAGCATTTTAAAACCAGTTAAGTAAGCCCGGACAGCCGGGTCTTTTTGCTGCGAACCGACTTGGAGCGCTTGTTCAATGTTGACGATTGGTCCGATAATTTTTTCAACTAGCGACTGCGCGCCGTAGCGGCGAATTTGCCCTTTTTCGTGCTCAATTTGCTGGTTCAGATTCTGCTTAACCTTTTCGATTTCAGCTTGAGCCTTAGTTTGAAAACTTTTCGCTTTAGCTTGAAAATCAGCGATGTTTTTTTGGTTCTCCAGTTTTAAAACTAAGTTTTGACTTTCTAAGTTAGTTAAACTGGCGCGGAGCGCTTTAAGTTCCTTTTTAAGTTGACTAAGCTCCTGAGCGGCGCTGCGCGGCTGGCTTTTAGACTTGGTAGATCGTTTTTTTGACCTGCTAGTGGCTGATTTTTGGCGGGTTTGTTGCGGATTGGTTTTCTCTTCTTTCATCGTTAATCTCCCGAATTAAAAACTGCTTTTGACTTGGTCAAACTCCTGGTTAAACTGACGTAGGCGTCGGTTGAGTTTGTCCCAACGAGTGGCAAAGTTAGCAAAATCTTGCTTGAGTTTAGCGATTTCATCATACAGTTTATCACCTTGAACCTTGGTTTTCATTTTTTTGAAGATCAGCAAAGCAAAAAAGAGTAGGTTGGGTCCAACTAGGTAAATGCCCTGTTCGCGGGCGGCGTTAATCAATTCCGGTTGACGTCTTTTTAAGTAGTTAAAAACCGATTCGTTTGGCAAATAAACGAGCATGAAAGGCGCGACGTGATCAACGTCTAAAAAAGACTTAACCGACTTTAAGTAAGTTTGGAGTTTACCGGTGAAAACTTTCAACTGCTCGTGGCGTTTTTCTTTGTTGGGTAGCACAAACGCTTTGTGGTAAAGATCAAGCGGCGCTTTGCTGTCAATGATGATGTTGCTCTTCTGGTCTTTAACTCCGTAAAGCATCGCGTCAAAGGAATGTTCCGCATCAGCGTACTGCCAAACGTAAAAAGTTTTGTCGCTGCCCAGAACCAGTTCCAACATTTCGCGGAGCGGAAATGTCTCGCGGTGGCTATCGGTGTGAGCCGGATTAATCACTTTTACAATTTCGTCTTGGTCAAGCTTAGTGTGGTCAACGCCGCTCATCAAAAGCGTCAGTTGGAAACGTAGTTCGTCAATGCGAGTGTTAAAATTTTGCAGCTGGTATTCCCGCGTCGCGCCGATGTCAACGACCGAACGACTGCGTTCGCGCAGACGGTAAAAATAAAGACTGAGACCAACCCCGACCATCAAAATAATTAAAAACACTACCAAAATTACGATCACAAATTCTCCCACCTTATTCCTCCTTTAAAAACCGTTCCAAAAGTTGGATCGCCGAGCGCGCTTCCTGGTAGTTGAGACGGTTTGGTCCCACGATTGAAATTTCCTTAGTGGTGTTGTTAAGCTGAATTTTTTTTGAAATGATGGAAATGTTGTCGGGACGAACGGAAATTTTGAGATTTTCCTCGTCGCTGAGCTTGCCTTCGATCGAAGACCAAATCGATTTATTTTCGATCAAATCAAGCAGTTTGGCTAAGTCTTCGCGCTTAATTTCGGGTGACTTAACTAAGTTTCAATTGCCGTAGACTTTGTTGGAAATGTGGTGGTGAAAATCGAAAATTTTGCCCACAAAAGTCGCGATTAACTCCTCGTAATGTTTAACGCTTTTAGCCAGAAGTGGAGCTAGCGCGGCCACTTTGTTTGATAAATCTTTTAACGGCGTATCAGTCAGTCGCTCTTTAAAAAGCCTGACTGCAATTCGGACATCGCCCAAGCTAAGATTTTCCGAAAATTCTAAAATCTTCGACTCGACTCGACCAGTCGAAGTGACAACCGCGATGGTGGCTAAGTTAATGTCAATCGGCGTTAGTCAAATTGATTTCATTAACTCATCCTCGGGGTGAGTGCTGGTTACCAGCGTCATGCCGACCACTTGACTAATCGCTTTGGCGGCTTGATCAAGCGCTAAATCGATCGAAATTCGCCGGCGAGCGAAAACGTCCTGAAGTTTACTAAGCAACCCATCGTCGCTCTGGGTCGCTACGTTTTGAGCGTAGTGTTGGTAGCCCTTAGTGGTCGGAATCCGACCCGATGAAGCGTGGGCTTTTTGCAAATAACCGTCTTTTTCCAGTGCGAACATTTCGGCTCGAATCGTCGCTGATGAAAGCGATCCAAACCGCCAACGACGCGAACGCGGTTGACTAGCAAAGTGGCCCGAAGCAACCGGTTGGCCGGTTTGAATGTATTCTTCCACAATCGCTTTTAAAATTTCAATTTGGCGCGAAGTCATAGCAAAAAAATTATAGCACTTTAGTGCTAACGAGCCTGTTTGACTAGTTCAACTAAGTTGGTTAAAAGCGCCAAAATTGTGACTGGACCGACTCCGTAAGGAACGGGTGAAACGGCGGCGGCTTTGGACTGGACCGATTTTTTATCCACGTCGCCAGCGATCTTTCGCAGACTGTCCAAAGTACCGATTTCGTTAATGCCAACGTCAATAATCACGACGCCCTTTTTAACGTGCTCGGCTTTGATTAGACCGGGTACGCCGGCGGCCACGATTAAAATGTCAGCTAACTTAGCTTGGCCTAGACCAGTCGTTTTGTCAAGACGAATTACTTGGGCCCCTTTTTTTTCACAAAGGTCGGCGACGGGTCGACCGACTAGACGCGACTGGCCGACCACAACAACGCAGCGGCCGGCTAACTGAACGCCGTAAAAATCTAAAAGCGCTAAAATTGCCCGCGGAGTGGCTGGAATTACGCGCCGATTAAAACTTGAGAGCCCGTCCACGTCTTGATCGGTCGGCACGGCATCAAGCACTCTTTTAGCATCGATGCCCGGGGGTAGCGGAAGTTGAACAATTAGACCATCGCTAGTCAGCGCATGTTTTTTCACGAGCGCCAAGAGCTGGCTCTGACTGATTGAGGCATTGGTCTGGACGTGGGTGGCAGCAATCCCGATCTCATTGGCCTTAGCAATTTTGCTGCGTACGTAGCGGTTTGAAGCCGGATCTTGGCCGACTTGAATAATCGTTAGCCGCGGGGCGAAAGGCAAACGTTTAACTCGCTGAGTTAACTCGTGGGTCATTTTTTGAGCCAATGGACGTCCATCAAGCGTTTGCATAACTAAGCAATTATAGAGATTAGCACCCGGCTAAGAAAAAACCCTCTGGGTTAGAGGGCGAAACAAATGAAGTTACCTAAATGAAAATAAAAAGAGATATAAAAATCTTATCTGAAATTGAAAATGAGTTGTGTACTTATGCTTTGGGTCTTGCGACCCAAACAAAATGGTACCACATTAGCGTTGAGATTAGACAACTTTTTTTAGGAAGAACTGCCTACTAATTCAGCAAACTAGTTTTCAGTTTTTTGAACTGATCCTTGAGTTGAGCCAGCTTGGTTTTTTCCAACTTAACTTTTTCCTTAGGCGCCTTGTGTTGAAAGTTGGCGTTAGCTAATAAACTCTCGGCCCGTTTAATTTCGTTCTCTAGGTGAGTTAGTTGCTCGGCCTGGCGTTTTTTTTGACGCTCGTGCAACTCGGGCGGTAAGACCGCGTAAATTTTTTCACCGCCAGCCCAAAGCAAAACGTCGCGGTTAGTTTTGCGCTGACCGTTAACAAGGTGGGAGACCATCTTTTCCTCGGAAGGTTTAAGTTTAACCAGGGTGTCGTAGAAAATCTTCTCGCGGTGACTAATTTGGTGGAGCGCCCGAAAGTCTCTCAGCGCCCGGGTCAAAGTTAGCACCCGGTCAATGTAGGAAACATCGCGCTTAGTTTTAAAAGTTGGCCAAGCGCTTGTGAGCAGCTCTTCCCCGGTTAATTTTTCAAATAGGTAGTCGCTCAAAAAGGGTAGGAAAGGGTGAACAACGATCAAAAACTGCCGCAAAATTTGACTCGCAAACTGGTAGTTCGGCTCGGTTTTACTAAACTCTACGTACCAGGACGACAAATCTTCCTGAACAAACTGACTAATTGCTTGACCAGCCAAGGTTAACTGGTAGCGTTCCAGTTTCTCGCTCAACGTTTTAGTCAGCATGGCCAAACGTTTTTCGATCCACAAATCGGTGTCAGACGGTTTTTTAACCGGTCCGCGCGGCATAACCTCCATGATGTAGCGGCTCACGTTTCAAAGTTTGTTGAGCAAATTTCAAGCGGCGGCGATTTTCGGCTTGGAAAAACGAATGTCTTGACCGGGCGTGGAATTTGTCAGCAAAAACCAGCGCAAAGCGTCGCCGCCCTGCTGCTCAACGACCTCGATCGGATCCACGCCGTTACCGCGCGATTTGGACATCTTTTGACCGTTTTCGTCGCGAATTAATCCGTTTAGTAAAACGGCCTCAAACGGTTTTTGACCGGTGAACTTGAGTCCGAAAAAATACATCCGCGCGACCCAAAAGAAAATAATGTCGTAGCCCGTCACCAGAACCGAGAGCGGGTAGTAGTTTTTAAGGAGCGAACTTTGGCGCGGTCAGCCCAGAAAACTAAACGGACCAAGCGCTGAGGAAAACCAGGTGTCAAGCACGTCTTCGTCTTGTCGTCAGTCAGGACCAGGCGGATCGACTTGAACTTTAATTTGCTCGCCCAAGTACCAAGCGGGAATTTGGTGTCCCCACCAGAGTTGACGACTAATTGTTCAATCGTGGGCGTTTTTGACCCAAGTTTTTAAAACCGATTTAAAACGGGGCGGAAAAAACCGGCAGCCGTGACCCGAGTCAAGGTCGGCTAAAACGCGCTCGGCGAGCGGTCTGATTTTGATAAACCACTGCGGCTGAACCAAAATCTCGACCACCTCGTTTGAACGCTGAGAAAAGCCGACGTTACTAGTTGTCTCCTCTTCTTTAACTAGAGCGCCGGATCTTTTTAAACGATCAACCACGATTTGACGAGCCTCAAAGCGGTCTAAACCGGCTAAGTCGCGGGCGTTGGAGTTCATTTTCCCGTGGCGGTCGATCGATTCGATTAACGGCAGGCGACTGGCTTGAATGATCTCAACGTCCACCACGGCGTGAGCCGAAACTTTCATGACTCCCGAGCCGCGCCGGTGTTCAACGTGCGAACTAGCGATGATTGGTAAAACGGCTCCCGTCAAAGGACTGATCGCTTTTTGACCAACCAACGCGTGGTAACGTTTATCGCTGGGATTGACGGCTAACGCCACGTCAGAAAACATTGTTTCCGGACGAGTTGTCGCCACCAACAACTTTTTAACTCCGTCGGCCAAAACATACTCAAAGTAGTACATTTTGCTCGGTACCGGCCGGTTTTCAACTTCGATGTTAGAAACGACGGTTTGAAGTTTGGGGTCCCAGTTGACCGCGCGAATACCGCGGTAAATCAGTTTGCGCTGGTAAAGGGTGATAAAAGCTTGGTTGACCGCCTGACTTAGATCAGGGTCCATGGTAAATTTTTGACGGCGGTAGTCAAGAGCCAAGCCGAGCTTTTGTCACTGGTCGACAATTTTTTGGCCGTAGATCTTCTTCCACTCCCAGACCTTTTTAACAAAGCGATCCCGTCCCAAGTCGTGACGAGTTAGTTGTTGCTTTTCAAAAAGTTGGCGCTCAACCCGAACTTGGGTGGCGATGCCCGCGTGGTCAACGGCCGGCAGTCACAAAACGTCGTAACCGCGCAGTTTTTTAAAACGAACCAGCGTGTCTTGAATGTAGGCGTTCCAGGCGTGGCCAAGGTGAAGTTGGCCCGTTACGTTGGGAGGCGGCAAAATTAAGCTGAACTTGGGTTGACCCGGTTGGGAAGTGGAAAAATACCCCTGTCTAATCCATTTTAACGCGCGACCTTTTTCGACCAGGCGGTGATCATACTTTACTTCCATCTTACTAACCATTGTACTAAACCAAGGTCCGACTAGGGACGCAAAGCCGAGCTAGATAAGTTTGCTTGCTCAGGTCCGGCTAAAAAGAAAATCGTCTTTAGACGCGGGTTAATTTTTTGGTTAGCAAGCGCCAGCTCTCGTTCGTAATCCCAGTCAGCCGTGCCGCGCACACCGCGGACCAAAAAGTTAATTTCGGCTCGCTTGGCGTAATCAGCCACGTAACCTTGACCAAGCGCATCGACTAGCACCCGGGGGTGGACCACTTGCTTTTTGACGTCGGCCAAGCGTTTAGCCAAAGGAGTTTGTTGCTTAGCTGGGTTTTTAGCCACCAAAACGATCACCTGGCTAAAAATTTCAAGTGCGTGGTCAAGCACCGCTTGGTGACCCGCGTGCCACGGATCAAACGAACCAGCTAAAATGGCGCGTTGAGCTCGGCTGTTAACCATTAATGACCGTGCCGTCTGATTTCAAAACGAGCGCCTGGGAAAACTCGCCTTTCTCGGCCGCGCTAGCATTTTGGAGCGTCAGCAAAGCGATTTGATCAAGCGCTGCGCTGGTGAAATAAGCTTGGTGAGCGGTCAAAATTACGTTCTCGGCCTGGAGTAAGTAGTTCCAGTCGGGATCTTCTTTAGCTAGGCGTTTAGCTTTAGTTTGTAAATCGCAGAAGAACCGGTCGCGCTCGCGTTCGAGTACGTCTAGGCCGGCTCCGCCTAAAATACCCTTCTTAAGCGCCCACACTAAGTCCTTGGTTTTGACTAGTTCGCCGCGGGCGCAGTTAACCAAAATCAGGCCGGGGCGGACTTTTTTAAAAACTTCTCGGTCGAACATGTGGTAGGTTGCTTCGGTTAAAGGAGCGTGCAAAGAAATGAAACTGGCTTGGGTTAGCAAACGGTTAAACGAAACGTAAGTGAAGCCGTAGTCGCCGGCGTGCTCGGGGAAGTTTTTGCGGGCGTACTGGTCAAAGACCAGTGTACGAGCGCCCATCGCGTTTAAAATCTTGATTAAACTGAGACCGATCTTACCCGCTCCGACAATGCCCACGACCGCGTCTTTGACCATCAATGCTTGGAGACCGACCAGCGAAAAGTTTCACTTGGAGTTGCGCGCTTTGGCGAGCGGCAATTTGCGGTTAACGGCTAGCATTAAAGTTAAAGCGTGTTCGGCGACCGACTCGGCCGAGTAGTTGGCGACTCTAAACACCGCTAGACCCAGTTTTTGCGCCGCAGCTAAATCAATTTGTTCGTAACCCATCGAGCGCTGAAGTCAAACTTTGATGCCTAAAGCGGCCAGCTTGCGTAAAACTGCTTCCGAACCGACGGTGTTGACAAACCCGCAAACGGCCTCGTGCCCGGCAGCCAGATCGACTGTTTTAAGCGTTAAAGCTTGGTCAAAAAAAGTTAGTTTGTGGCGAAATTGTCGGTTAGCACGGGTAAAACTATTTTGATCATAAGGACGGGCGTCAAAAATTGCGATTTTCATCGGGATCCTTTGTTTACTTGTGCTTAACATTATAACGCCAACTAAAATCTAGCCTCGAGCGGGGATTTTTTTATAATGGAGACTGTCATGGCAAAAATAAAGGTCGAAATTGGTCACACCAATGATAAATACGTGGAAAACGATTCTTTTGTCGTTTTAAAAAATACCAACCAGTTTAACCACCGCATCAATTACAAGCTAACCCAATCATTTTCTTTCGTGCCGCGTTTAAAAAGCGACGATGCCCAAAAAAGCGTCTGAGAGTACCTGGGCAAGACCGAGCACTTACGCCACCCGAGCGATTCTGAGCTTGAACAAGTGGCCAATATGCTGGCCGAGCTGCACGGCAGTGGGTTGAAATTTCCGCCTAACAATCTCCGGCGTCGACTTCACACTTACCTCAAAATTATTCACGCCAAAAAAGCGCGCGTGGTTCAAATCGAAAAGTACTACCGCGAAATGATCAATTTACTGGCTAAAATGAAAAACGTTTGTCCGTCGCACAACGATGTTTGACCGGAAAACGTGCTCAGAGACGTCAAGGGAAAACTTTGACTTGTCGACTGGGAGTACGCTACGCAGGGAGACCCCTACTTTGATTTAGCGTTTTGAATCGAATCGGCTCTTCTGGACCAGCGACAAAGCGACCTTTTCCTAGCCGCTTACCAAAAAAAAGCTGGTCGCGAAATTGACCCTTTGGTCTTGAAACGCTACCAACGTTTTTGTCACTACCTAACTTTGCTTTGAGCTTACGCCCAACCCGAAATTCCCTTCGCGGTGGAGTGAATTAAAAAGTACCTTGACACCAATGTGCGTTAGTTACGCACGTACAAGTACCAACGTAAGACGGTCATCAAAAGCGTCACGTAAGAAACTAAAATTTGGAAACTCATGAAAGCGATAAAACGAAAAGCAAAGTCGCTTTGGTAAGTTAACGTGTCGCGGTAAAACTGCGAAGTTCGACGCAAAACCCAAATCTGGTAAGCCGAGTTGGCCAAGACAAAGAAAGTCAAGAGCAAAGTTACGATTAAATAAATCGTGTCTGAAAAAATGCCTAACATGTAAAGCACAACTTCAACCATCGCAAAAATGAAGTAAAGCGCGCCGGCGGTCAAAATGAAAGGTCTCAACTTACTCAAGTCTTTGGCGTACCAGCCGACCAAAGCCATCGCGCCAAAGATCAAGGTGCTGACACCAAAAATAGTCACCAACTCGATCGCTCTGAGCAGAGCAAAGAAAACACCAAAACCTAACCCTGTGCTTAAGATGTAAAGAAAGTAAACCGAGTAGATCATTTTTTGCGACGCGCGCTGTCAGTTAAAAAGTCAAATTAGCGAGAGAACAAACGAAACCATGATTAAGACGTTCGACGCCATCATGAGATAAAAAAGTCGTCTCAGCGCTGGTGAAGCGGCTTGAAACATTAGGTAAGTATCAAAGCGGTACCGATCTTGGCCAATCGCTTTTAAAACGCCCGTGGCATCTACGACAAAAGCCGCGCTAACGGCCACTAAACAAATTAGACCAAACGAGACGGCTACCCAAGTGAAAACGCGCGTTAGTAAGCCAACTTCGGTGGTCGGATGGGTTTTGATTTGACTAAATAGTTTCATAAGAATCCTTTGTGAAACGATTATACCACGCTGAAATAACTAAATTAACTAGCTGATTTGTGTTCAAAGTTTCTTTTCTTAACAATTTCTTGGGAAATGTTGGCCGGCACTTTTTCGTAGTGGTCAAAGTACATTTGGTAAGTTCCCCGGCCGGCGGTCATGGAACGTAAATCGGTTGCATAACCAAACATTTCTGCCAGTGGAACGTGGGCCTTAATAATTTGAACGCCGTCCGAACGTAGTTCGTTTTCACGCACTTGACCACGACGGCGGGAAATGTCGCCCATCACGTCGCCAAAGTAAGCTTCGGGAACGACGACTGATACGTCCATAATCGGTTCTAACAACACTAAACCAATCGCCTCTTTGCCGTTGGTCAGCGCTTTTGAAGCGGCAATTTTATAAGCCATTTCGGACGAGTCAACTTCGTGGTACGATCCGTCAAAAAGAGTCGCCTTTAAATCGATGATGGGATAGCCGGCCAAAACTCCGCTTTCCATTTTCGCCTTGAGTCCGGCCTCAATCGCTTTGATGTACTCCTTAGGGATTTTACCGCCGACAATTTTGTCAACGAAAACAAATCCGCCGTCGGGGTTTGGTTCAAACTTAAACCAAACGTGACCGTACTGTCCGCGACCACCCGATTGCTTAATGTGTTTTCCTTCCACGTCGGCTGTTTTAGTAATTGTTTCGCGGTACGAAACTTGCGGTTTACCGACGTTAGCTTCCACGCCGTGCTCTCGTTTGAGTCTGTCAACGATGATTTCTAGGTGAAGTTCTCCCATGCCGGCGATGATGGTTTGACCAGTTTCGTGGTCGGTGTAAGTTTTAAAAGTCGGGTCTTCGTTGGCAAGTTTTTGCAGACCCAGCGAAAGTTTTTCGGTGGCCGCCTTGGAAGTTGGCTCTAGGGCCAGCGAAATAACCGGCTCAGGAAAATTCATCTTCTCCAAAATTACTTTTGGTCCTTTGTCAGACACGAGCGTGTCGCCAGTCGTAGTTGACTTAAGACCAACCGCAGCGGCGATGTCACCGGCGTAAACTTCGTCGATTTCTTCGCGGTTGTTAGCGTGCATTTGCAAAATGCGGCCCATCCGTTCTTTCTCGTCTTTGGTGCTGTTAAAAACGTAAGTACCCTTTTTAAGAACTCCCGAGTAAACGCGGAAAAAAGTCAACGAACCCACGTAGGGGTCGGACATGATTTTGAAAGCAAGCGCCACAAAGTTACCTTCGTCGCTGGCCGCGCAAATCACTTCGTGACCTTGCTCGTCGTGACCTTTGGCCGGCGGAATGTCGACCGGCGAAGGTAGGTAGTCAACCACCGCGTCTAAAAGCGGTTTAATCCCTTTGTTTTTAAAAGCACTTCCGCAAACAACCGGGTAAAAATCGCCCGTCAAAGTCGCTTTCCGAATCGCGGCTTTGAGTTCTTTTTCCTCAATTTCCTGACCCTCTAAAACTTTGACGAGCAAACTTTCCTCAAAGTCAGCGACGGCTTCAATCAATTTCTGACGTAGCTCTTCCGCTTGCGGACGAAGATCGGCGGGAACTTCCAGCGGCTGGACGTAACCTTTTTCCTCGGCATCGCCACTGAACTGGTAAGCGCGCATGGTAACTAGGTCGACCACGCCCTTAAAATCGTTCTCGACTCCGATGTTAAGTTGAATCGGAACCGCGTTGCCGTTGAGACGTTTTTTGACTGAGTCGACGGCCAGCAAAAAATCAGCCCCGGTTTTGTCCATTTTGTTGACAAACACTAGTCGCGGCACCCGGTAGTCGGTCGCCTGGCGTCAAACTGTTTCGGTTTGTGGTTCCACGCCCGACTGGGCGTCTAAAACGGCGATTGCGCCGTCAAGAACACGCAAGGAACGCTCCACCTCAACCGTAAAGTCAACATGGCCGGGCGTGTCAATGATATTGACGCGCTTGTCTTTTCAAAAAGCGGTCGTGGCCGCTGAAGTAATCGTGATCCCTCTTTCTTGCTCTTGTTCCATCCAGTCCATTTGTGATTCTCCGGTGTGAGTCTCACCAATTTTGTGGATCTTACCAGTGTGAAAAAGGATTCTTTCCGTTGTAGTCGTCTTGCCGGCGTCAATGTGAGCCATGATACCGATGTTGCGATAATCTTGAATGGGGTATTTTCGAGCCATGTTAAGTCCTATTTTACCAGCGGTAATGGGCAAAAGCGCGGTTAGCTTCGGCCATGCGGTGGCTTTCGTCTTTCTTCTTGACGGCTCCTCCGACACCTTTGGAAGCGTCAATGATTTCGTTAGCGAGTTTAACTTCGATCGTTTTTTCTGAACGCAGCACGGCGTACTTAACTAACCAGCGGAGCGACAAAGCCATTTTCCGACGCTCGGTCACCTCGACTGGCACCTGGTAGTTAGCTCCTCCGATCCGACGGGTTCGCACCTCAAGTTGAGGAGTGATGTTTTCAATCGCTTTTTTAAAGACTTCCATCGGATCTTGGTTAGTCTTTTCCTTAACCAAATCAAACGAACGGTAAAGAACTTTCTGGGCCAAAACTTTCTTACCCTTTTGCATGATTGTGTTGATTAGCTTGGTAATCACTTTGGAATTAAAAACTAAGTCTGGTAAGACCGATCGGACTGGAGCGCGGTTTTTTCGTGACATATTTCTCCTCCCTACTTCTTATCTTTCGGTTTCTTAGTACCGTAGCGGGAACGACCTTGTTTGCGCTTGTTAACCCCAGCCGTATCCTGAGTACCCCGCACAATCGTGTAGCGAACTCCCGGTAAATCTTTCACTCTGCCGCCTCTAATTAAAACGACCGAGTGCTCTTGAAGATTGTGGCCTTCGCCGGGAATGTAAGCTGTCACTTCAATTCCGTTTGACAACTTGACACGGGCGTACTTACGCAGCGCCGAGTTCGGTTTTTTGGGCGTCATGGTTCCCACCCGGGTGCAAACGCCGCGTTTAAACGGTGACGGGTTGCGGGTCACTTTTTTCTGAAGCGAGTTATAGCCAAAACCAAGCGTCGGTGCTTTGCCTTTCTTCTTTTTTCGCTCGCGACCAAAAGTCACTAACTGGTTAATTGTCGGCATTAAATTCCTTTCCTTTTTTCCGATCAAGTTAAATTGGTATTGCTGATTATACAACAACTAACCCCGTGTATCAATAATTTGTTTAACTAGCGCCAACGGGCGTTTTAACGACCCGACGTTACTCGCAAAATGTGGCTGATGAGCTCTTCCTTGTTCATTGTTTCGTAGGCGAAGATGGAAAGTTTTTTAGCAATCTCGCGTAGTTCGTCAACTTTGAGCATTTTGAGCTGGGAAGCACGTAAATGTTTGCTCTCTTGGGCTTGACCGGCAACTGGTTGCTGGCTAACCTTGGTTCTAGGGGCCGTTGGCTGGGTTGCGCTAGTAGTCGGAGCATCGCTGGGCAGAGGCGAAAAGCCAACTAGCGGATTGATTCCCCGACCTTCGCGAACAGCTTGTTCCATTTGTTGCTGCCACTGAATGAAGCGGTCGTCGTGGCGAAGTCTTTCCACGTACTCGGAAAAACTAAATTGTTTGCGGATGGCGTTGACTTTGACTGCGCAAGTGCACCAAACGCCGATGACGACAAAAAAGTTCACGAACTGGAAAATCGAACCGGCCGTGTCAAAAACCGAGCGGATCCGTAAAAGCATCATAATTACTTGGACAAACGCCATCAGCGCACCGGCTCCGATGATGTAGATCGACAAAGTGGAAATGTAAGAAAACGAGTGACGGCGGTAAGAGCGCGTGACGGTGATTAAATAGAGCGTCAGACCGACTAAAATGACCGAAATCAGCACGATTGGCAGCGTCAAATAATCGACCGTAAATTTACGGTTAGCTAAGTCCAAGTAAATGTTGTCGGCTTGGTGGGGATAACTTTCGCGAAACATTCGCTCCAAGTTGGTGACGATCGACTCGCGGTCTAAAATGTTGAGAATAGTTCCGGTTAAATGAATCGCCAGAATCACCAAGAAACCGATTCCAAACAAAACGATCCAGTGGCGGTAACGATTTTTTTCGTTCTTCCACAAGTCCTTGGGACGGGGAACGTTGTTAAAATTACCGATCCCCATCAACTGTTGCTGTCTCATCAACCTAATTTCCCCCTGGTTAGTTTTCTAACACAATTTTAACACAATCTGCGTTAAAACTTATTAAACGATCGACTAAGTTAACTCAATTTTGATGGCTGGTCCCATCGAAGCGGAAACAGTCAAATTCTTAATGTAAGCCCCTTTAACCGCCGCCGGACGCACGCGTTTGATCGCCGCAATGACTGTTTCAGCGTTTTGAATTAAGTGCTGCGGATCAAGCGAAACTTTGCCGATTGAAGTGTGAACAATCCCAGTCTTGTCGGTGCGGTAATTAGCTTTACCTTTCTTAACTTCGCCGACCGCGCGATCCACGTTAGGAGTGACCGTACCGGTTTTGGGGTTCGGCATCAGTCCGCGCGGACCAAGCACTTTTCCGTACTTAGCTAAAAAAGGCATCGTTTTGGGGTCGGTAATGATGATGTCAAAATCAAATTTCTCCTTCGATAAAATCGCTTTGGCATCGCTCTGGTTAGCCACTTGATCAGCGCCATTCAGACGAGCTAACTCCTGGATGTTAGCATCGTCGCTAACCACTAAAACGCGCACGCTCTTACCAGTTGGGTTAGGCAGGGCAACCGATCCGCGCAGTTGCTGATCGGCCTGGCGCACGTCAAGGTTAAGGTTGAAAGCCAAATCGATTGACCCGTCAAACTTGGAGTAGGAAGTTTCCTGGGCCAGCTTAATTGCTTCGGCGAGCGGATAGTGTTTCTTGCGGTCAACTTTGGACCAAGCCAAGGTGAGTTTTTTTGGTTTACGGGCCATGTTACTTCTTCTCCTCGCTCTCTGCGCTTTGCTCGTCGGTTTCTTTGTCTTGCTTAATCGTGCTTACTTCAATCGGAGCATCTTTGGCCTGAGCCGCTTGCTGAAGGTCTTCCTCTAGTTGGGCTTCTTTTTTAGCGGCGATTTCAGCCTCTTTAGCCGCCTCCTTAGCCGCCTCTAACTCGGCCTCAATGTTGTCAACGCCCTGAATCAAAATGCCCATGTTACGAGCCGTACCAGCGATGATTCGCATCGCAGCTTCTAAATCGTTGGTGTTTAAATCGGGTAGTTTGTACTCGGCGATTTGCCGGAGCTGCTCCTTAGAAATGGTGCCCACTTTCTGAGTTTTAGAGTTGGGCGAACCTTTTTCAATTTTGGCGCTCTGCATAATTTTGTAAGACGCGGGAGCGGTGAAAAGTTTGAAGTCAAACGACTTATCATGGTAGACGGTGATTTCCACCGGCACGGGCTCGTCGCCCCTGGCGCGAGTTGCGTCGTTAAACTGCTTGGTAAATTCGGGCATAACGATACCCAGACCAGCCAGCTCTGGTCCTGGTTTTGCTTGTCCGGCGTTAAACTGCAGTTTCGCCACCCGGACGACTTCTTTGACTCTAGCCACGAGTTTTCCTTTCTCTGCGTGGTCAAGCGGACCGATTAAAGTCCTTCCACTCGCTAGTTTGAAATGTTAGCCATTAGTTTGCCAACTAAGTATAGCAAAGTTAAACGTAAACATCGTGGAGAATCCGCCAAAGCATGTAGGAAGTGAGCGCTACCGAGCTTCCGAGCATCAGAAGCGACAAATTTTTGAAGAGAATAAAGCGTTCGTACTGACCCGTCAAAATTACCAGCGTTCAAAACACGACCGAAAGAGAAGTAGCCAAAATTAAAATGGTTAGCACCACCCGGCTGTAAAGGGTAGTTCGAAATTTAATCAGCCAAGCCAGCGCAATTAAAATGTCCCAAGCTTCAACGCTAATAATTAAAATAGCCAAAACCAAGCCGACGAGCGAAAGGTGGCGTTGGGTCGGACTGGTGTAGTCAAAAATGTAATTTTTATCAACGATTAACAAAACGTCAAAGGTGATCACTAACGCCACCAAAAGTAGTCCCGAAACTAAAAGTTCGCTGAGAATAACTTTTTTATCGTGGAAGTGAACCTTCCGACGAAAGACCCACATCAGCGGAAAATGACGCATCTTGGAACCTATTTTTGAATTATAACAAAACGAGAATTGGCGTTCCCGCCGAGGCCGCCTTGCCATATAATGAATGCATGTACAGATTTAACAAACCGATTGCTAAGGTCGTCCACGCGCTGATCGCTTTGGCGCTGGTCACGATCCGAATTATTGAAACATTTAGAAGCGTTACCCATTGACCACTTGTGACCCTTGACTTAACACCGGACGAAATTGACGCGCTCCAGACGCTCAACGTGCGCGATGTTTTTGGAAATTTCGGGAGTCAGTTCGCTTACTTCACGATCATCACCAACTTTATTTTTGTCGGCACGATTGCTCTGAGTTGGATCGGACAAGTCAAAATTAACTCCTACTGAAAAACAGCCGTCATGGTTTATCTGAGCGTAACGGGCATGGTCTTTTTTCTCTTCATCGCTCCGATGGTCAAGTGGGGACAATCACCTTACTTTGATTTCACGCTCATCCACGAACACTTGATCGTAGTTTTAATCGGCGTCTGGTGGTTTGCCGTCACGCCCGGGGCAACGCCCAACTTAAAACTGAGTTGACGCAAAAGTTTAACCGTTACGATGGTCATGCCTTTGCTTTACATCGCGTTTACCATCGGACTCTACGCAGCAACGCAGGGCGGAGTAGCCGTTTACGCTTTCCTGAACTTTCTGAACGTTTTCAATCTCAAACTACCAGTCGCTTACTCGCTTCTAATCTCGATTACGCTCGCGGTAGTAACCATTTTGTCTTTCGTCGGACTGAACTACATCTGGTGGAAACTCCAAAATATTCAAGCTCGCCAAATGGACGAAATTTTTGTCTAGACTTTTTTGCGCGGCGGTAATTTTCGCTCTTGACCGCTCATAATTCGCTTAATGTTCTCAAAGTGCATCGCCACCACCAGCAAGTGCGCGGCGCAAAAACAAAGTGCGTTTTGTCACCAGAGCGAAAGACGAGCGATCGGCATGTCTCAAACTACTTCTCAGCCGGCTAGGTCAAAGCTAAAATAAATCAGCGACCCGAACACGATTCAAAGACCCGGCGCGATCAATGACCCGAGCGAAACAAGGCGGGTCTTTTTAATAATCAAAACGAAAGTTAGTAGTCCCAGCGGCGCTAACCACCACTGGTAAAAGGACAGAAAACCAAACAGGCAAGCGACACCTTTGCCACCTTTAAAACGAAAATAGAGCGGAAAAATGTGCCCCACCACGGTGGCAATTCCGACCACCGGCACAAAAGCGCCGCGAAAAAAAGGTCCGCAAACTTTTAAAATTCAGGCGATCGATAGCGCAAGCAAAATTTTAAAAACGTCAAAAACGCCCGTCCAACGACCGGCGCTAATGCCGTAGTTACGGCGGACGTTAGTCGCTCCGGCGTTGCCCGATCCTTTTTTACGGATGTCTTCGTTCTTAAAGATACGGGCAAAAATGATCGCAAAGTTGACCGAACCGATCAAATAACCGATCAGCACTAAAATCAAGGTGGCAGCTCAATCTACTCCAGACATCGTTTCCTAGTTGACCCAGTCGCTCAAAACTAGCCAATTAACTAAGCGTAACTTAAGTGAATTATAAGTTAATTGTTTCCGCTCGGAATGACCGAAGCCCACTTGCGATTGCGACGGGATTCAAACTTAACCAAGCCGCTGGTCTTAGCAAAAAGCGTGTCATCACCGCCGCGACCAACGTTTAAGCCCGGGTGAATTTTAGTTCCGCGCTGACGATAAATGATCGCTCCGGCCTTGGCAAACTGTCCGTCGGAAAGTTTGGCGCCCAGACGTTTACTGTGGGATTCGCGGTTGTTCTTGGAACTTCCACCCGCTTTAACCTTTGACATCAGTTGGCTCCTTTTGTGGTCCTAGCCCTTCAATGGCGGTTATTTTAACCCGCGTGTAAGGCTGGCGGTGGCCATACTTACGTTTGTGGGTTGACTTGGCGTTGTGCCGGTAAACGACGATTTTAGACCGCTTGGATTGCTTCTCAATCACGCCTTCAACCTTAACGTTTTTTAAGACGCTCGGCTCAACCTGCTCAGGACCGGCTAAAACTTGGTCAAAGGTCACTTTGTCACCCGGCTGACCCGGAATTTTTTCGACGAAAATTGTTTGGTTGACTTTAACCAAAATTTGTTGGGTTCCGGTTTGTATGACTGCAAACATCTCCAGCTTTCCTTTGTAACGTTTTTGCCCAGCGTTAGTCGCTAAAAACTAAGTGCTCGGCCAATGTTCTCCGCAATTATACTTATTTTTTAATAATTTTGAGGCCAATTTTTCCAAAGTAGTCAACTCCTCGGGAACCAAATTGGCTTGTGCTAAAATGGGAACAACGATGGGAAAGAAACCGACCAAAACCGCTGACGCGGTTAAACAAGCCGACCGCTGACTAGTTTTCATTGATTTAGACGGCACTTTTTTACAAGATTCGACGACGGGGCAACTTAACTCGTCCGACGTTAAAGCAGTTGAAGAAATGGTCAAGCGCGGACACATCGTTTGCATTACGACCGGTCGCCCCTGGCGCTCAACGGCCGAAATTTACCGGAAATTAAACCTTGACACAGTCGTTTCAAATTACAACGGCGCTCATATTCATAACCCTTCGGACTACAATTTCCAGCCCTACATTACCAACTTAAATCTTAACGACGTGATGTACATTCTCGGCGACGAAAAACTCCAAAAAGCGACTCGCAACGTGGCTTTCGAAGGACCGGGCTGAGTTCAGCTCCAAAAGCGTGATTCTGATTTAGAGAACGTGTTTGGTTTTTCGACTGCGCCCAAGTTCCACGTCGGACTTGATTTCCACAAGTTGCCGCTCAAACCAACTGGTGTGATCGTTGACACTAACCAAAACGTTGACATCCGCAAACTGCTGGACTATTTAAAAAGACGCTTCGGTGATTTAGTTGAGTTTTCATCTTGGTCAAAAGGCGACGGACTAACGCCGGTGATTGACATGACTAGGCTGGGAGCGACTAAATCAAAAGCGGTCTCGCTGATCTCACGCTATTACAAAGTACCGATTTACCAAACGATTTCGATCGGAGATGGTTACAACGACATCCCCATGTTCGTGACAACCGAAATTTCCGTCGCCATGGCTAATGCTTCGGATGACATCAAAAATTTTGCCACTTGAATCACCAGCAAAACCCACAAAGAAGGCGGAGTGGCCGAGTTTCTGGAACTTTTTCTAAACGATGCGAGCGGAAAATTTGTCGAAGGTTTGCGCCAAGTCAGAGCAAAGAAATACCACGCTCGCCACCCAATTAACCCTTTTCACCAAATCAATCACGACTAAAATGGCTCATAATGACCGCTCCCGCGCTAGCTACGTTGAGCGACTCAAAACTAACGGGCACCCAAACTTTGGCCTGGGCTAAGTTAACGATTTGATCAGGCAGTCCCTGACCTTCGTTACCTAAGATTAGCGCCAGGGGCGCGCTAGCTTTGACTTTCTCAACCGACTGACCCTGGCCAGCTTGAGTGACCGCGGCCCAGCAAGTGTGCGTGTTACAAAGGTCAGTTGGTCAAGCTCTTTGCTCAACCACGTTGATGTGAAAAATGGCGCCTTGGGTGGCTCTGATCACCTTCGGACTAAAGACCGCCGTTCCGATCACGATTACGCTCTCAAAACCAAAGGCCAGCGCGCTGCGGATCAAAGTGCCGACGTTGCCCGGGTCTTGAAGCTGGTGTAAAACCAAAACCCGCTCGCCAAGCGGCCGGGCGACTGGCTTAGTGCCAAGACCAACGACGGGTGGCGGCGTTTTAGTGGTGCTCAGTTTTTGGAGCGTTTTTAAACTGACCAAAGTTGTCCCGGGCCGACCGTCGAGACTCCACGCCTCGACTAGTTGACCAGCGCGGCGTGCTTCCTCAACTAGGTGGGGGCCCTCAATCAAAAATAAGCGACCTGGCTTTTGGTGCTTGGTTAATTTTAACTGGGCTAACTTTTTAAAACTGGTTGACCCGGGACGAAAGTTTTTCACACCATAATTTTAGCCCTTAACTATCTACGTCTGCTGGTAGATCGTAGTAAGCGCTTTTAGCATCAAATTGAAACGTTTTCAAAATTAGCACTATTTGTATGAGAGTGCTAAAAATGTGTTATACTAGACGTTGAAATAGTTATCAACAAGAATTAATGAAAGGACATTAAAATGGCAAAAGAACGCATCATCGGCATTGACTTAGGTACGACCAACTCGGTCGTAGCGATTGTTGATGCTAAAGAACCACGTGTCATCGAAAATCCGAACGGCAAACGCACCACGCCTTCGGTAGTATCTTTTAAAAACGACGAAATCATCGTCGGCGAAGTGGCTAAACGCCAAATCGAAACTAACCCGAACACGGTCGCATCGGTTAAACGTCTGATGGGTACCGACAAAACTATCAAGGCCAACAACCGCGAGTATAAACCCGAGGAAATTTCGGCCATGATTCTGGGCTACCTAAAAGATTACGCCGAAAAAAAACTTGGTTCAAAGGTGGAAAAAGCCGTCATCACCGTGCCGGCCCACTTTAACAACGCTGAGCGCGAGGCGACAAAAAACGCCGGTAAAATCGCCGGTCTAAAAGTTGAGCGCATCATTAACGAACCAACCGCGGCCGCGCTTGCTTACGGTCTTGAGAGAAAAAATAAGGAGCAAAAGTTACTTGTTTATGACTTAGGTGGAGGAACTTTTGACGTGTCGGTTTTGGATTTAGCCGACGGAACTTTTGAAGTTCTTTCTACTTCCGGAGATAACCGACTGGGAGGAGACGACTGGGACAACCAAATCGTGGAATGGTTAGTCGAAAAAATTAAGAAAGAGCACAATCACGATCCTTCGCAAGACAAAATGGCTATGCAACGACTTAAAGACGCGGCTGAAAAAGCCAAAATTGAACTTTCTGGTCAATCCAGCACGACGATCACCTTACCTTTCCTAGCCATGCTTTCCGACGGTCCGCTGAACGTCGAAGCCGAGTTAACTCGTTCGCAGTTTGAAAAACTGACCGAACATCTCGTCGAAAAAACTCGTCAGCCGATCGAAGACGCTCTCAAAGAAGCTAAACTCAAAGCGAGCGATCTAGACGAGGTGCTACTAGTCGGCGGATCAACCCGCATTCCAGCTGTCCAAGCGATGGTCGCTAAGGTGACGGGCAAAAAACCGAACATCTCGATCAACCCCGACGAAGTGGTAGCGCTCGGAGCAGCGGTCCAAGGCGGAGTTTTAGCCGGTGACATCGACGACATTTTGCTTCTCGACGTTACGCCGCTGACGCTCGGAATTGAAACGATGGGAGGAGTTGCTACGCCCCTGATTACCCGTAACACGACGATCCCCGTTTCCAAAAGCCAAATCTTCTCCACCGCGGCTGATAACCAGCCTGAAGTGACGATCCACGTCGTGCAGGGGGAAAGATCAATGGCGATTGACAACAAATCGCTCGGTCAATTTAACTTAGCTGGCATTGAACCGGCCCCCAAAGGAATGCCACAAATCGAAGTTGCCTTCTCGATCGACGCCAACGGCATTTTAAAAGTAACTGCCAAAGACAAAAAAACTAACAAAGAGCAGTCAATCACGATCGAAAATAACACTTCGCTGAGCGAAGAAGAAATTAACAAAATGGTTAAGGAAGCCGAAGAAAACCGCGAAGCAGACGCAAAACGAAAAGACGAAATCGAAACTCGCGTAGCAGCCGAATCGCTGATTAACCAACTTGAAAAAGGTCTCAAAGAAAGCGGCGACAAAATCGACGCTAAGCAAAAAGAAAAAACTAGCGCGGAAATTAAGGAACTCAAAACCATGCTGGAAAAAAACGAGATCGACAAACTCAAGAAAAAACTCGACGAAATTAACCAGATGGCCCAAGCTTTCGCCCAAGCGGCTAGCGCTAGTCAAAAAAAAGACACCGATCCAATCGAAGTTGAAGAGCCGGAAAAATCAGCCGCCGAAGACAAAGATAAGCAACCTAAAAAATAACCCCAACTATTCAAAAACCGCTTACCGCTAGGTAAGTGGTTTTTTCTTGGTTCCAAACCAAAAACAGTCTTATAATTCAAGCAAACGCACATGAGTACCAAGGACAAAGTTATTTTTGTTTTGCTTTCAATTATCACGCTCGGCATTTTTCCGGCCGTGGTCGCCTGGCGTGCGCGTCACCAGTCGGTCAGTCAAGAGTTATCGACCAGCGATAAGGTCGCCGTTAACGTGGGCGAGCTCAGGGAATTGCTGGGCGGTTTAGAAAACCTAGTCGGGGTCGAATTTACCCACACCAAAGTCAAAATCTTCGTCAAGGAAAGACGCCACGTTGAAACGGAGAAAATCAAAAAAATGCCCGGCGTTTCGGGAGTTTTTGCTAACTCGGGCGGTCTAACTTTGATCGTCGGTAATTCGGCGCGGCGTTTAGCCAACCAAATTCTTAACTAAGCGGTCGTTTAACCCGGGGACGGCGGTAAGCGTGGCGGTGAACTTTGTTGCCATGAGCCGCGGCGGTTGAAGTGGACTGGCGCTTTTGATCGCGACGCGGATCGCTAACGCGTTTTTCTAAGAGCGAAACAACCACCATCGGGTTGCGACGCTTGTGCTTGTAAAAAAACGGACCGATCCGGGAGACGACTAGGTCAACCACGTTTTTACGGGTTCAGTTGGGATTATTTTTAATCGTGTAAAGAATTGCGCCGTGGGCCAAACGCTGGATAGTGGTAATTTCCTCGCGTGACTCTTGCACGTAAAGTGCGCCGCGCGAGATCACCCGCGTTTTACCGATGATTTCACGCTTAGCGCGGTCAACCATGGCGATGATGTTGACAAAACCGTTTTGCGCTAGTTTCTCACGCACATCGATGATTTCCAAAGTTTCCGCCTTAGCGATCGTTGAGTCAATGTAAATCGGACCGTGCGGTATCCGCAGTTTGGTACGCCGCACCACGCCTTTCTTAAGTTCGACTACTTCGCCGTTTTCGATCAAAAAAATGTTTTCCCGCGGCACTCCGCATTCGTAAGCAGTTTGACCGTGAACAGCTGACTGACGGTAGAACCCGTGGTACGGAATGAAATACTTGGGGCGGGTGATGTTGAAAATCGTTTTGTGCTCGTCTTTGTAAGCGTGGCCCGAAATGTGCAACAGACCGTCAACGCGGTTTTCGCGCGCTTCGGCTCCGACTTTGTAAAGTTGGTTAATTAACAGTTCAACCTTGACGCGGTTACCGGGAATCGGTGAGGAAGAAAAAATCACCACGTCTTTGTTTTTCAGTTTGACATACTGGTGACGTCCGGAAGCCATTTGCCAAAGAGCCGCCATTTCTTCGCCCTGCGAACCAGTCGAAAGAATAAAGAGTTTTTCGTCGGGGATTTTGTCGATCTCTTTTTTGTCAACAAAAACTTCCTCAGGTACATCAATAAACTTGAACTGCTTAGCAATTTCCATCCCGTTAATCATGGACCGACCGAAGACGCAAACTTTTCGCTTGTGTTTGACGGCTAAATCAATCCCAACCTTAACCCGGTTCATGTTGGAAGCAAAGGTCGTGAAAATCACTTTCCCCTGGGCACTAGCGATGTTGCGTTCCAAGTCGCGCATGATGTTTTGTTCGGTCGGTGAATGCTCGGGCAACATCGAGTTGGTCGAATCGGAAATGAGAATGTGAAGTCCTTCGTCGCCCATTTGGCGTAGTTTGGTAAAGTCGGTTAAATTGCCGATCGGAGAGTAGTCAAAACGAAAATCGCCCGTGTCCATAATCGCGCCGTCGGGAGTTTGAACTCGCACCCCGTAAGCCTCGGGGATCGAGTGTTGAGCTGTTCAAACGTCAACTTTCATGTGTCTAAACTGGTAAACTGAGTCGCGTTCGTACTCGATGAACTCAACTTTGGTTTTGATTTTCATGTTCTCAAGTCGCTTGCGCATGAAAGCAATCGCCACGCTTGATCCGTAAATTCTCTTGAGGTCAACTTGTTGGAGTAAGTAGGGCACACCGCCGATGTGGTCTTCGTGACCGTGGGTGATAAAAAGACCCACGATTTTAGACGCGTTTTCTTTCAGGTAAGTGTAGTCGGGGATGATGCCCGAAACACCAGTTTCCATGCTGTTGGTAAAGCGAATTCCAGCGTCCATAATCGCAATTTCATCGCGGTACTCGACGACTAGCATCGCTTTGCCGATTTCTTGCATACCGCCCAAAGCAAAAAATTTGGTTGAATACATAGTTATTTCTCTCCCGTCGCTGGACCAGAATTAATTAGTCCGTGCAATTTGTTAACGTTTTGCTTGCGCTTATTATAGCAAAAATTTATTTTCGTCTCGGCCTAGTAGGATCGGGCGACCAAGTTAAAACAAAACTTCGTTTTCGCGCGGCTTAAAACGGTGGCGGTAATCGATTCTGTCTAAGTAAAGTTTGCCTTCAAGGTGGTCCATTTCGTGTTGAGCCACGATCGCTAAGACGCCCGTTAAGTGGTGCGTAACGTTTTTTTTGCTGAGGTACGAGTAACCTTGAATGACAATTTTAAAACGGCGGTGAACCAGTCCCTCCTCGTCGTCGCGATCAGGATCAACCGAAAGGCAACCTTCGCCTTGCTCAAGCGCGGCAAAGCTCGGCGAATAGGCGGTGATTTCGGGGTTAATTAAAAATTCCCGTCATCCGCGGTGGTATTCGCCCGGCGGAATGTTAACGTAAAACATCCGCTTTAAATGACCCATTTGAACCGCTGCGATCCCGATCCCTTCGCGCAGGTCGTTATCCTTTTTTTGCGAGCTATCGACGTAGTTAATCATTTGCTCAGCCAGCTGTTGGTCGGCCTCGCCGAGCGGTAATTTAACCGCGGCCGAGACCGAGCGCAGCTTTTTGTTAGGAAGCAGGATGATTTTCACACACCTATTCTAACACGGTGCTATGATGGGACTATGCTGAGAGTAATCGCGGGTAAATACCGCGGTCAAAAACTAAGTTTGCCCGACCAAAAAACGACCAGGCCAATGCGCGATGCGGTTAAAGAGGCGCTTTTTTCGATCATTAGCGATCAAATTCCCGGCAGCGTTGTTTGGGACGCTTTTGCGGGGGCTGGCTCGCTGGCTATTGAAGCGCTTTCGCGCGGAGCGAGCAAAGCGATCGCGCTTGAAAAAGATCCCCGCGCTTTCAAAGTTCTCCAAGCGAACGTGGAAAAAATTGGCGTCAAAAACATTGACTTGTACTTACGCGATGCTCTCAACTACGCTAGCCTTGTCTCAGGCGTTAAGTTTGACCTAATTTTTCTGGACCCGCCTTACCAAAAAGTCGGGCTCTTAAACCAAATTTTGCAAGCGATTGTGGACAACTCTTTGCTTAACTCCCAAGGTCTAATCGTGGTTCAGAGCGACGCTCCTGAGTTAGTCAAAGTGCCCCAGGACTTAGTTAGGCGCCAAACTAAGCGGTACCAAAAAACCAGTTTAATTTTCTTAACCTACAACTTGTAAGCGCAAAAAGCAATCGTTAACCTCAACCTGACAAAGATATAATGTGGTGATATGGACAGGAAATTAATTATCTTTGCTGGTCCTTCCGGAGTGGGCAAGGCGACGATTGAAGCGAAACTTTTTGCCGACCCCAGTTTGAAGTTGATGTTTTCTTGTTCGGCCACGACGAGGCCGCCGCGTCTAGGCGAGATCCAAGGTCGCCACTACTACTTTCTCAGCGAGCAGGAATTCGACGAAAAAATCAAAAAAAACCAATTTTTTGAATGAAATAAACACTTTTTTCACAAATACGGGACTCTCAAGAGCGAACTGGAAAGGATCAATAAACTCGGTTACATACCCTTTTTAGAAATTGACGTTGAGGGAGCAAAACAAATCATCAACCGTCACTCCCGCGAATACCATTTAATCACCATCTTCATCATGCCACCTTCGGTCAGCGAACTGGAGCGAAGAATCCGCGCCCGAGCGACCGAAAGCGAACTCCAACTCCAGGAAAGACTGGTTCGCTACAACAAAGAAATTGAGGACAGCAAATTTTTTGACCACGTGATTGTCAACGATGATTTGGACAAAGTTGTCGCTACAATTAGAGAGATAGTGCAACCAAAGTAATGGCAAAGTGAGCGATTAAAACTGACATTGGTGTCGTCCGGCGTCAAAACCAAGACCGGGGAGCGGTCTTTCAAAACCAAGCCGTGACTTTCGCAATCATTTGTGACGGCATGGGCGGTCATGAAGGCGGCGAAACAGCGGCGGCGATCACGATTGACGTTTTTGACAAAGAGTTTACTTTTAACTTCCCGCGCAAAGTTAACGCCGAGACGTTGGAAAAATGGTTTGAACAAGCGATTAACAAAGCCCGCCGAGCGATGATCAAGTTTGCCAAACGCGACGCTCGCCTCTATGACATGGGCACGACCGTAGCCGGAGCAATCAAAATCGGCCCGGATCTGTTTGTTTACAACGTCGGTGATTCGCGCGTCTACCTTTACGACGGTTTGCTTACTCAAATCACCAAGGACCACAACATCCGTAACTACTACATCGAGCACTATAAGTACACCGAAGAACAGGCGGCGATGACGCTGGGAGCGATGGCGCTAACTAACGCGCTGGGACCGACTAAAAAGACCCACGTCGAATGGTTTCACATCCCGCTGAGTTCGCAAGCCACTTACGTGATTTTGACGACCGACGGTATCCACGACTACTTACCGAAGCCGAAGTTTGAAATGATTTTGGCGAAAAAATCATCGCTGGAAGAGAAACTGAATGAAATGGTTAAAAAAGCGATCATCGGTAAGTCTTCGGACAACTTAACCGGTATCATTGTTTGTTTAAACGAGGAAAAATAATGTTAGAAGCTCTTAAGAAAAAATACGTTTTTAGCGGTGAAGTCGGTCAAGGAGGAATGGCCAAAATTTACCGGGCAATCGAAAAGGCAACTGGGCGGATCGTAGCGATTAAACTGCTCCGACCCGACAACAAAGATTCGCACCGCAACCAGCGTCGGTTTCGTTCCGAAATTCAAGCCATCAAAGCGATCCGTTCGCCCTACGTAGTCTCGGCTTTTGATTTTGCTTGGGACGACAAAGTTCAGTACATTGCCATGGAGTACATCGACGGCAGTATTTTAAAGGAGTACATCGGTCGCCGGGGCAATTTAACCGTCGACGAAGCGGTCGAATTCGCTAAGCAAATCGCGCTTGGACTGCACGAAATGCACCAGGCCGGCATCATCCACCGCGACATCAAAGCCTCCAACATCATGATCACCGACCACGGTCAAGTCAAAATCATTGACCTTGGCATCGCATTGCACGACGAAACTGACCGGGTGACCCAGACCGATAACATCATCGGTTCGGTTCAGTACTTAGCGCCCGAACTGCTCGAAAAAGAAGAAGCAAACGCGCAAACCGATATTTACGCGCTCGGCATTTTGCTCTACGAAATGCTAATCGGCGACGTCCCTTTTAAAGAAAAAACCGGTCTTGACACGGCGCGAAAACACCAAACTTCAACCGTGCCCCACGTTAACAAAATCTTTAAAAACATCCCCCAAGCCGTGGCCAACGTGGTCATTCGCTCAACCGCTAAAAAACCCCAACAGCGCTACTCAAGTGCTTACAAACTTTACGAAGACCTTGACACTTGTCTGAGCGACAAACGTCTTTACGAACCAGTTTACCAACTGAGCGATAGACTGCGTAAAACGTGGGTTGAAAAAATTAACTCCTCGGCCTTTTGGTTAGTGGTCGGGTTAGTTACGATCGTCATTTTAATCGCCATCGTGATCACTTTAATCGTGGTTAAGTAGGTTTTGATGCGCGGACTAGTTCGGAAAGTAATCGCCGGATTTTACGACCTTGAAACCGAGTCGGGCAAAAATTACCGGGTGCGCGGAGCCGGCAAACTCCGGCACGAACAGCAAAGTCCGCTGGTTGGCGATTATGTTGAATTTGAGCCGGACGGGATGATTAGCAAAATTTACCCGCGGCAAAACCAGCTCGCCCGACCCGAGGTTGCTAACGTGGACAAAGTCTGGCTGGTCACGTCGGTGGTTGACCCCGTCTTCTCAACTTTTTGACTCGACAAAAACTTAGCGATCATCGAGTCCAAGGGAATTAAACCGGTGTTAATTTTTACCAAAGTTGATTTGGCTAGTCCCAACCGCTGGCTTTTTTACGCCCGCCAAGGTTACCAAGTTTTCCCGGTCAACGCTTTTGATCCAGAAACGATTCGACCGCTCAAAGATCAGTTTGCGGGGCAAGTCGTAGCTGCGATGGGTCGCAGCGGCGTCGGGAAATCGACCTTGATTAACCAGCTCGCCCAACTCGAACTACCAACGGGGCAAATTTCCGAGCGCACCCGGCGGGGCAAACAAACGACCCGCGTGGTTGAAATGGTTGATTTTTTAGGCGGGAAACTGATTGACACGCCCGGATTTGAAACGATTGAGCTCGGTCTCACCAAGTCTGAACTAGCCCACGCCTACCACGATTTTCACGCGCTGAGCCGCAGTTGCTCGTTTGGACGCAGTTGTCTCCACCAGCACGAGTCCGACTGCGCGGTTAAAAAGGCGCTCAAAAGTGGAATAATTAGTTTATCAAGGTACCAAAACTACCTTAAATTACTCACCCAAATCTAAAAAATGTCGCGAATTCACCTTTCCATCTTAGACGCCCAAGACCGCCTCAAAACGATCAAACAGGCGCTTAAAATCGGTCTCAAAGCTATCCACTACGACGTGATGGATGGCCGCTTCGTAAGTCAGAAAACTTTACCGCTTGACGAACTAATTCAACTGATTAGCGCCAGTCCGAAGCACTACGTGGACGTGCACTTGATGAGCAAACGTCCCGACCGCCAAATTCGCAAAATCGCTCCTTACGTTGACCAAATTAGTTTTCACATCGAATCTTTGTCGGCGCGAAAAATCGTCAAACTTTTAGTCAAGAACAAACACATCAAACTTGGCATTGCGCTCAATCCGCGCACGCCGGTTGTCAGTCTCAGACCTTACCTAGGTCACTTACACCACGTATTGATCATGTCGGTGCAAGCTGGGCAAGGGGGTCAGTCGTTTATTTCGCAAACTTACGAAAAAATTGGTCAACTCCAAAAACTCCTCCAGGCGAACGGACAAAAGTGTCTCATTCAAGTCGACGGAGGTATTAACGACGCGAACGGACCCAAGTTAGTTCAAGTCGGCGTTGATCAAATCGTGGTTGGATCGTACCTCGTCCATAATTTGAAAAGAAACTTTGTCAACAAAGTGCTTGGCCAAGAGAAGAAGTAGCTATGAAATTCAACACGACTTACACCCCCGAAACTAACCTTAAGGAAACGATCGCGGCCCTAGCGTGGATCCGCGAGCAAGTTAGTAGTCAAATCAAAAAACTTTACCGCTTTACCTACGTGAGTGCGCCGCTTTTTTTGGAGCAAGACTCGGCCTTAGAAGTTCGTTTACCCAGTCTAACCCGACCGATCTCCTTCGATGCCATCGATGAATACCGCGTCTGCACCTTGCTTTTAACGCCGACTAACTGAATCCGCGCCATGATTGAAAGACTGGCGCTCGGTTCCGGGGAAGGGCTGTGAACCGAAGCCCAAAGCATTTGGCGCGACGCGGCCGAAACTCCCAGTGACACAATCACCCGCCACGAATTAATTTTTCAAACCAAAGTCAGCGCTGACGAGGACGAAGTTAAACTGGCAAAAGCCCAAGCCCAGCAAGTCTACCAAATCATCTTTGAGTTAGCTAAGGAAGTTCAAAAACGTTGAAAAATTAAGAACATTTATCCGCCCACGGTTAATTTTGTGACTAGTCAAATGATGGAAAATGAACTTCCCAACGAATCTTTTGATAACCGTGAAATTGAGTTTGTGCTTGAAAGCGACGCCTACATTTTACAGGCCTCGGGCTTAAAGATGTTTTCCGGCCACATTCACCAAAATGTCCCGCCTAGTTTATACGACTTGCGCAACCACTACGAGATTATTATGCGCGACCGGGTCAACGCTCTGACGATCAGAGTCGCGGCGGTGGCTTTAACTAGTAACGGTCAGCAACTCAAAGACCAACTAACCTTGGCTCGTCAAGAGCAACTCCTAGCCAATCCCTTTTACGAAAATCTTGTCCGCCAAAGTTACAAAGTTTTGGAAATTCGTTTTAATTTACCGCGCTTAGCAATGGCGTTGCTCGGTAAAGGTCACATTNCCCGACCCGAGCCGAGGTGACCGATGTTTACATCGCCACTGAACTTGGCGCCGACGCGACGATGCTCTCGGGCGAATCGGCCGCTGGTCAGTACCCGATTGAAGCTGTTCAAGTCATGTCAACGATTAACGCCCGAGCCGAAAAAGAGTTTTACAACAAACTCTACTACCAAGTCCAACTTGAAGCGATTGAAAAAATCTCGCGCGGTACGAGAGCCAAAATTGCTCGATTGGTGGCGCGTAAAACTATCAACGGTGACTTCAAATTTGCGGTTGTGCTCTCGCGAACTGGCAAACTGCTCCAAGAGGTGGCTAAGTTTCGGCCTAACACCAACATTTTGGGAGTGACTAACGACGTGCAGCAAACGACTATGTTCGGGATTACCTCGTCAGTCTTTATGTCGCCTGACACGAGCCAGTTTGATGCGATCAAAGCCGATAAGCAAAAAGCGCTTGAAGTGGCCAAAATTTACGGAGCCCAAAAAGGCGACCGACTTTTAGTGGTTGAAAACAAAGCGGTCACAATTTTAAATTACCGATAACAACTAAATAATTAAGCGATTAAATGACCCGGCGGGGTCTTTTTTTTGGCCAAAATCGGAATAAAAGACGATTAGATGCCGTTGCTAGACCATAAATTACCCGTTTGGGCCGCTCTGACCAACCTATACACGTGAATAACTTGTTAGGCCAAGTGAAATATCGAGCGTTTGAAATCCACAATCAGAGTAGTAGCCGAACGAATCGCTTTTCTAAATGTCCATCTCAGGTCGGCTAGGATCTGAAAAAAGTGGTTTGTTCCTACGAAAAATAGAAAAATCTTTTCAAATCTTCGATGAACAAAAAGTTGAGCACGAGAATATTTGTCCAAAAATATATTCTCCTCAAAATTAACTATGGTGAGTGGAAACCAGGCGAAAAAATTCCGTCTGAAAATGCTTTGGCGATTAAATTTAACTGCTCGCGAATTACCATCCGCAACATTTTGCAAAGTCTAGTCTACGGATCTTACTTAGTCCCAGTCAAAGGCAAAGGTTACTTCGTCGCTTCGGTTCGCATCGGTGCTAACTTTATGCCAGTCAGTCAAGAGTACGATTGCCCAACTGCCCAGGTGAATATGCTCAGTTACCAGCAATTGCCCTACCGAGAAACTTGGCTTGAAATGCTCGGCGTCAAACTGGAAAAAACCGAGTTTGAAAGAGCTCGTATTTTTGAAAAAACTTACTTTGATAAAGATGGTCAAGAAGGCGTGTACCAAATTACCGTTCTTAACTCAAGCGAGGTAATTCTTTTTGATCAAAAAGAAGTTAATCAATCGCTTTCTAAGTACCTAGTTTGACAAGGCGTGATGCTATCGCACGCCACCAACATAGTTATTTACGACCACCACCCCTACTACGCCAAAATAGCTCGTCGGCTCGGTTGGAAAGATGCTTATCCGTTCATCGTAACTTTAATGAGCACGCAAAAATCTTGGGTGGAAATCTCTTTCCGTATTATCGCTAAAAAACTGTTTAAATTCGCCCGAACCTACCGGATTATGCTCTAGTCCCGCTCGCACGCTTATTGTTATAATCTCGCTATGGAAAAAGCGACTAAATTAACGGCTCAAAATAGCGAGCGAATTGACAAGTATCTAGCCGAAAATTTAACGATTAGTCGCACGCAAATTCGCAAGTTAATCGACAAGCAGTGCGTGAGTGTCAACGGCAACTTGGTCCGCAAAGCTAACTTTGTTCTTCAACCGGGCCAAGTGGTCGAGATTAGTCAGCCGACTCCCAAAGAAAGCAAAGTAGCGGCCGAAGATTTACCGATCGATGTCGTTTACGAAGATGATGACATCATCGTAGTCAACAAACCAAGCGGACTGGTTGTTCACCCAGCGCCCGGTAATTTAAGCGGCACGCTCGTGAACGGACTAGTCAGTCGTTACCAAAAACTTTCTCACCTGGGCGGAAAAGACCGACCGGGAACCGTTCACCGCCTTGACAAAGACACCTCCGGACTAATTTTGTTTGCTAAAAACGACGAAAGTCACGCCCTTTTAGCCAAGGCTCTGAAGGAACGCCAAATTAAACGGATTTACTTGGCGTGGGTGGTTGGTCACATCGACCAGCGCGTGATCCACATTAACTTGCCGATCGGACGCGATGTTTACCACCGGCAAAGAATGCGGGTTCAGGCCGAAAAATCTAAGCCAGCTCTCACCCACGTTTACGTGCTAAAAAGTTACCCCGATAAAACATTGGTACGCTGCGAGTTAGAATCGGGGCGGACCCACCAAATTCGCGTTCACTTAGCCCACATCGGTCACCCAGTCGTGGGCGACCCTAAGTACGGGAAAATAATCGATAATTTTGGACAAAGACTCCACGCTTACCAATTAACTTTCCTGCACCCGCGGAGCGGCAAAAAGATGTTTTTTGAAGTTCAGCCACCGGTTGAGTTTGACCAGTGGTCGTTTAAAAACAAACCAAAGAGTTAAGCGGCAACTTATAATTGCAACTATGGAAGGTTTTTCGCTTTACCACGCCAAAACGTGGCACTACGTGGAAATTAAACGCACGAATAACCGACGGATGTACTTCCAACTGGTGGGTGGCAAACTAATCGTCAGCGTGCCCGAAAAAATCAGCATCAAGTTAGCCCAGCAGTTTGTGGCCGAAAAACTACCCCGTTTTCTCAAAGCCCAAACTAAGCAGTTAGAAAATACCAAAGTTGACTTGGACGCACAGACGCTTGTTTTGCACGGCCAAAAGTACCGCTTTACTTCGCTAACCGGTTACCCAAAAAACGCTCTCAAAGTGAGCGGAACAAGAGTTTACGTCCAAACTAACCAAGGGCAAAACTCGGAGATTCTCAGGACAATCAAAACGCATCTCAAAACTGAACTAGAAAAATATCTCAAAGTTAGGTTGCCGCACTGGATTAAAAAAATGGCGACTGGTCCTTACCAGTTTAAGGTCACCGACAAACGAAGCACTTGAGCGACTAACAACGTGCTCAAGCGGAGCATATCTTTTTCAAGCCGTTTAAGCCACTTTGACCAAAACGTGATTGACTACGTGATCGTGCACGAGCTGGCCCACCACTTTTATCCGCACCACCAAAGTGAGTTTTGAAAACTAGTCGAGCACTACCAGCCCGACTACTTAATTCAGCGCCAGAAAATGCGCTTTGACTGCTAAGCAAAATCGTGTTTCTTAAATAGGTACCAATTGAGAAATAACAGTCCGACACCCAGCACGCAGTAAAAACCTAAAATTACCCAGTAGTTGACTATTTGCGGAGCCGATTCAAGTTTATCTAAATCAATCCTGTAAACTTTTTTACCTTCTTGATCATCTTGAAGATAAAAATGCTCAACCACGCGCGGGTTGTCGGTTAGTTGCAGAGCACTGTTTGGGCCGGCCAAGGAATCATAATTAGAATTTTCAAGCATGTTTCGCCACAAAAAAGGCAAATGATCAATCACGTTCAAGTACTTCATGATTCTCTTTTTGCTAACTTGATCACGGTAATTTTGGTATTGACTTTCATCTAGATAGAGAGAAATGTGGGTCTGAATTAAAGAACCGATCGTGAAAAGCGGCATAACGTCGGTTTGGGCAGCTGTATCATAGGATCCCGCAACTGTAGTGCCCGTAAAAAGAACGAGGTAGCCTTGTTTTTCGCTCACACGCAGAGTTTCGCTGAGGTAGTAGGCGTGCGTTACTAGTTCGATTTGTTCCTCGGTTAGAACCGGATATTTATCGGCGGCGTTATGCTCGGCAATTTGAGCAAAAATTTCTTGTTCGGCCTTTGGGTTGTAGTCCGCACCGTAAACGCTGTAGTTCTCGCCACCCGGAATATATTGGTGGTAAATACTCTCTAAAGTATCGTCAAAAGCACGCTCAGTTACGTTGTTCCAGATAAATCGATCTTTGGTTTGGTCAACGAGTCATTGGTAGTGCTCTTTTTTATCGTCGGGTAAGTTGTCTTTGACTTTCAAAAATCCCTCGGCTAAAAGACCTAATGAGATCGAACCACCAGGCAGAGCAACAAAGGTATCAATGATTGGTCCGAACATAAAAGACAGCACGAAAAGAAAAACTAGCGCGACGGTTCCGCCAGCGCCGACGGCCATAGAAATGCAAAGCGCGATTGAAGAAACAACTAAAATCAGGAGCAAACTAACTAAAACTAAGTAGGACGACCAAACAAAGTGGTGTCAGAAAATCTGCCAACCGTTAATTAAAAAGACAAGGTGAGGCAGCCAAATCATGAGTGGGATAGCCGTGCACAAAACGCTCATGAAAGCCAGTCATTTTTCAAACCAAATCCGGTTGCGGCCGATCGGTTTTGAAATCAAAATTAACAAAGTTCCTTCGTCAATATCGTTACGAAAAATTTGGTTAGTTTTGACGGCGATAAAACCGATCACCGCGATGGCCGGCAACAGGAAGGTGATCACTTGCTTTCAACCAGTCGCTAACGTGGGTAAATCGCGCGCTAGCAAGAACTCCTTATTGCCTTGGGGACGAACTTGGTCAATCACGAACGTGTTGAGCATCACAAAGGTAAAAAAGAAAACTGCCAGCGACACGAATAGATAAATCCAAGTTGATGGCGCCCTGAGCATGCGGCGAATCGTGAAACGATAAATCGGCATTAGCGCGCTCCTTTGTTAACCGGGGAAAAATGCGGCGTATTCCCGTCGCGGACGTAGCGGTCGTAAATTGACTGCAAATCGGTTCCCTCGGGCACGATGGAAGAAACGACGATGCCTTGCCCACCGGCTCAGTAATTAACCTTGGCTAGGTCGGCGCGCTCCTTAACTGTGACAATGATTTTGTCGTTCTGTTGCTGGGCTTTGACTTTGTGTTTTCTCAGCAAAGTCAAAAGTTTGCTCTGGTTATCGCTGCTGATTAAGTAATTGTTAGTTGGCTGGTCGCTCAGTTTAGAACTGTAGACAACTTGACCGCGGTTAAGAATTGTCACTTCGTTAATTAACTGCTGGAGTTCGGCTAAAACGTGCGAAGAAATAAAGATTGACTTGCCCTGTTGAGCCAGTTTTTTAAGATCTTCAAAAAGTTCGGACCGAGCCGTTGGGTCAAGGTTAGCAGCTGGCTCATCCAAAATCAAAACGCTCGGGTTGTTGAGCAGCGACTGGGCCAGAAGCACTTTCTTCTTCATGCCCGATGAATACGAGTTGGGATCGCGACGACGGAACTCCCAAAGCCCCAAATTTTGCAAAGTTTCCTGGGCGATTTTGCGCGCCTCTCTCTTCTTAAGACCGCTGACCAGCGCCATTGAGTACAAATAGTCTTGGGCTGAAATGCGCTTGGGGAAGCGAGCCGATTCGGGTATGTAACCGACTAATTTTTTAGCTTCAATCCGATCAGCTTTAAGACCTTGGATTAAAAGTTTGCCTTCGGTCGGCAACATCGCGCTAATCAAACATTTAATCGTGGTTGTTTTACCAGCTCCGTTAGGACCGATAAAACCGTGGATCGCGCCGGGCGAAACGGTGATGTTGACTTTTTTGACCGCTTCAAACTTTTTAAAGCGCTTGGTTAAATTCTCGATTTGAATCGCGAAGTGTTCGTTTAGGTTGTCAAAATCGTAGTTAGAGGTCTTTGGTTTCACTAGGTTTAATTTCCGCGCCAATTTGGTCTTGGCGCCCATTAGCGCGTTAATTATACTATGGGAACCTTGGCAACGAGCGATTTAACCGCTTACTTTTTGCCATGGCTACGGACGGTTTGACGACCGCTCAAAAAGCGGTCTAAGTCACTAATTCGTTCTTGGTGACGACCGCCTTCAAAACGCTCGTTCTCAAAAGCTAAAATCATTTGGATCGCTTTCTTAGGTTTAGTTTGGCGGCCGCCGAAGAGCAAAACGTTGGCGTTGTTGTGTTTCTTGGCTAGCACGGCGTCTTCCAAGGTGACAAGACGTGCCCCGCGAATTCCGGTCTGGCGGTTAACGGCCAAAGAAATGCCGATTCCAGTCCCACAAACACCAATTCCTAAGTAGGTCGGATTTTTTTGGACAAAGCGCGCTAACTCTTGACCTTTGCGGGCGTAAGAGACTGGCTTTTGGTCGCTCTCGGGCCCCAGGTCAACCACTTGGTATTCGTGGCTGACAAAGTAGTCTTTCAGCGCGTTTTTGAGCGCAAAACCGGCGTGGTCAGCCGCTAGAACGATTTTTTTATTTTTACTCACGTAGCACCTTCTTATCGCTCAACCGGATCACCGTTGAGGGGCGGCCCGATCCGGGGCCAAAGTTGTAGTGTTTTTTAACGCTTGGAAAAGCTTTGACCGCCTGGTCAAAGTCAAGCGGCGGCTCGCCGGCCAAATTAGCCGAGGTCATGTAAAGGGGGCCCATTTTTTCAATTAAAGTCAAAATTCCATGGTGAGCCGGCATGCGCAGCGCTAAGTCCGCGCTCAAAACTAACGTGTAAGGTCCAGGCCAAATTTTCCGAGCGAACTTTTCGGCCTCAGCGCTCCAAGCAGTGAATTGGCGGGCTTGCTGGTAAGAGCTAATTAGCACCGCGAGCGGTTTACTAGGCGAACGTTTTTTGAGCTGAGCGATTAGTTGACGGTTAGTTTCGTCCAGCGGCGCGCCAAGACCAACCACGGTGTCGGTTGAAGTTAAAAAAAGTGGCGCATTATTTGGCATAGCAAAGTCATTATAAACCGGCTTATTCCGCGTTTTGGTTGGTTGGTTTAAAATGCTAAGTATGCCAGAACTTCCCGAAGTGACCACGGTCGTCAATTACCTAGCCAAACATTTGACCGGGGCTAGGATTGAAGATGTCAGCGTCGGGAAAGATAAGTTCGTCAAAGAAATCACCGCCGGTGTCTTCCAAACTAGGCTGATCGGGCAGCAAATTAACCAAATTACTAACCGCGGTAAATTCATCGTTTTTCACCTCAGTCAGCAGACGGTCATGCTTTCGCACCTTCGCTTAGAAGGTCGCTACCGCCTCGCCCAAGGCCAGCTCGTGCTCGGACCGCAAGACCACCTAGTTTTTCACCTTGACCAAAACCGCCACCTAATTTACAACGACTCGCGCCAGTTCGGCACTTTTCAACTCCGCAAGTCAGACGACTGGCAGAAAGTGCCGCCGATTAGTAAACTAGGTCCCGATCCGTTTCAAATTACGCCGCGGGAACTTTACCAAAAACTCCAAAAAACTTCGGTGGCGCTTAAAACGGTTTTGCTTGACCAGAGCGTGATGGTCGGGCTGGGCAACATTTACGTCAACGAAGTTTTGTGGGACCAAAAAGTTAACCCCTCTTTGCCAAGCAAAAAACTTGACTTAGCCGAAACTACTCAAATTCTAACTAGCGCCCGCCAAATCTTAAAAAAAGCGATTGAGTTCGGTGGCAGTTCGATTAAAACCTTTTTAGCTTTTAACGATCAGGCCGGGCAGTTTCAAAATTTTTTGAAAGTCCACGGCAAAGTTAACTTACCTTGTCCGCGCTGTCAAACCAAAATCGCCAAAACCAAAGTTGGCCAACGCGGCACTTACTACTGCCCCAATTGCCAGCGTTAAAAACGTCGGAAAGCAATCCGCCACTTGCGATTAATATCGCGTCTTAAAGTAAAGTTTTGGGCTCGCAAAAAACTAACGTTGTCGGCGCCAATTTCAAAGACTAAGTAACCGCCCGGTTTTAAATAGTTTTTGAAACTACTCAAAATCGCTCGGTAAGCGTTATTGCCGTCTGGACCGGCCAATAAAGCAGCGCGCGGTTCGTGCTCAACCACGCTCGGCTCTAGAAAGGTTGAGTCTTTAATGTAGGGCGGATTGGAAACGATCAAATCAAACTGATGGGCGGGTTTTAAATTGGTTAGTCAATCCGAGTCGATCACCTCAACCGCTAAGTTGTTTTTGAGCGCGTTAAGGCGCGTTTGCCGAAGCGCGGCCGGATCGTTTTCAACTAGAGTAACTTCGAGGTCAGGTCGATTCTTTTTTAGGGTCAGGCCGATTAACCCGCTGCCGGCGCCCAAATCGCAAACCGATTGGCCAGGACCAGCTAAACGAGAGACTAAATCAATCAATTCCAACGTTTCATAGCGGGGAATAAAAACCCGTTCGTTAATTTCAAGACGTAAATTGGAAAAGTCAACGTAACCCAAAATTTTTTGAAACGGCACTCCCTGCGCGAGCAGTTTTCTTTCGCGCTCGCTTATTTGCTCAGGCAAACCATAACTGCGTTTGTAATCCAAAAAATCCGTCCCAATACTTTGGTTCATTAAAGTCCCGCCTCGCGCATTTTCTCCGACTGGTCAGCGGCGATTAAAGCTTCCACGATCGGGTCAATTTTGCCGCTTAAAACACCTTTTAAAGAAGTGGAAAAGTTGATCCGGTGGTCAGTCACCCGGTCTTGCGGATAGTTGTAAGTACGAATTTTTTCCGAACGTGCGCCGGTGCCGGCCAATTTACGGTAGGCGCCCTCCTGCTCTTCTTTTTTGCTGATTTCAAGTTGGTAAAGTTTAGCTTTTAAAATGCTGAGCGCTAAATCACGGTTGGCGATTTGGGAGCGACCGTCTTGGGACTGAACGACGATGTTAGTCGGCAAATGGGTGATCCGGACCGCGGAATCGGTTTTATTGACGTGCTGACCGCCGGCGCCCGAAGCGCGGTAAGTGTCAATTTTTAAATCTTGGGGGTTAATCTTAACTTCGATCAGGTCGTCAATTTCGGGCATGACCGTTACCGTCGCCGTCGAAGTGTGGACTCGTCCCTGCGTCTCGGTTAAAGGAATGCGCTGAACGCGGTGGACACCCGTTTCGTACTTGAGCTGGGCGTAAACGTTGGTGCCCTTGACACTAAAAACAACTAAAGTAAAACCGCCGCTATCTGATCTTTGGACCGCGATCGGTTTCAGTACTTGGCTGTGCAAAGCGGCCCACTTTTTGTAAATTTCAAACAAATCGCCGGCAAAAATGTTGGCTTCTTGTCCGCCGGCCGCGCCGCGAATTTCGACGATCACGTTGCGCGCATCGTCTTGGTCCTTGGGCAGAAGCAAAACTTTTAACTGCTGGGAGAGATCGGTCAGTTTTTTGAGCGCTTCGCTCATTTCCTGCTTTGAAAGCGCCGCGATCGACTCGTCCTTGGATATGGCCAGCAGTTCTTTAGCTTGCTGGTAGTTTTCAAAAACAACTAGGTAGTCGTTAAAAACTTGCACAACTTCGCTGATTTGGGCGATTTCTTGGGCTATTTGCCGGTATTTTTTGACGTCGCTGACCACCGCTGGGTCGTTTAACTGCTCGTTTAATTGCAAATAATTCTGGCGAATTTTAACTAGCGAATCGTAAACTACTTTATCAAGCATGGGTAAGAAATATTATAGTCCATTAGCGCGACTGGGCTAGCCAGAAGCAACGCCAATAAGTGCTAAAATAAACCTATGAAAAAGGTCCGCACCCGCTACGCGCCTTCACCGACTGGCAACCTTCACATCGGAGGGGCGCGAACCGCCCTTTTTTGCTACCTTTTCGCCAAGCATTACGGCGGAGATTTTATTGTTCGCATTGAAGACACCGACCAACTTCGTAACGTTGCCAAAGCCGAGGAGTCCCAGTTAGACAACTTAGCTTGGCTCGGAATAAGCGCCGATGAATCACCGCAAAAACCAAACGCTAAATTTGGCCCTTACCGCCAAAGCGAGAAGTTAACTCGCTACCAGCAAATTATTGACCTTCTGATCCAAAAGGGTCACGCTTACTACGCTTACGACACGATTGAAGAACTTGAGAAGCAGCGCGCCGCGCAAATTGAGCGCGGCCTTTACTCGTTTCGGTACGACAAAAAGTGGCTTAAATTAACCAAGGCCGAGCAAAAACTGCGTCACGACGCAGGTCATTACGTAGTTCGGTTAGCGCTCCAAGCGGGCAAAATCTACCGGTGGAAGGACTTAGTCCGCGGGCCCATCCAAGTCGCTGCCGAAGAGATCGGCGACTTTGTGATTCAGAAAGAAGACCGCTTTCCAACTTACAACTTAGCCGTGACAGTCGACGACCACGACATGCAAATTAGCCACGTCTTGCGGGGTGAAGAGCACATCACTAACACGCCTAAGCAACTAGCGCTCTACGAGGCACTTGGTTGAGCGCCGCCCGAGTTTGCTCACCTAACCATCATCACCAATTTAGAGGGTAAAAAACTCTCCAAACGAGACTTATCAACTCACCAATACATTGAAGATTACCGCCACGAAAATTATCCTCCCGCCGCGATTTTTAACTTTTTAGCCTTGCTTGGTTGGTCGCATCCCAACAAGCAAGAACTGCTTTCCCGCGAGGAACTTATCAAAGACTTTGATCCGGGCCGGTTTTCCCGTTCACCGAGTAAATTTGACGCCCAAAAACTAGACTGGTTTGCCAAGCAGTACGTTAAAAGAACTCCTAACGCCCAACTAATTAAAAAACTTGCTTTACAAAACCCGCCTAATCACGAGTGGTTAAATTTATTCGTGGAAACTTACAAACAAAACTGCCCGTCTTACCTAGCGCTCAAAAACTACTTTTTGATGTACCAAAATCCGAGCGCTGAAAAGCAAAAACTGACCGGCGTCAGCCAAGTTTTTGCCAAGGAATTAGCCAGAGCACCTTTTTCGCCCGAAGGAATTAGCCAGGCGCTTGAAAAAACCGCCGCCATCACCCAAGCCCGTGGCAAAGACCTTTACTTGCCAATCCGCTTAGCAACGACCCAGTTAAAGGAAGGCCCTGAATTAAGAAACGCGATTTTTCTCTACGGCCAAAAAATTATTTACAAGCGACTCGGAATTAAGAAGGAGTCTTTTTCTTGTGAAACATGCGGTTAAAACGTTCCACCCGTCCGGTTGAACGAGCGCTTTGACGGTTACCGGTGTAAAAAGCGTGCGATTGGCTCGATGTGTCGACGGTTAAAAGCGGGTACTCCTGGCCTTCGTGGTTGATCGTTTCGCTGGTGTTAACAGTCGATTTGATGATGAAAACGTGCCCAGAAGCGGTGTCGCGGAAAGCGACAGCGCGGTAGTTTGTCGGGTGGATGTTTTTTTTCACGGTGACCGTCCTCAGTTTAGTTCTTTCATTCTAACATTTTACGGTTTTTTTCAAACACCTTTTTGAGCTAAAAACGCTTGGTGCTGATAGTCTAAAAGGCAAGCTAGGTACTGATAATCGGCGCTGTAAAAGGGGCTGTGTGGATCAAGACTGACGTAACTCACTTTGGCGTAGCCCGCTTGGAGAAGCAAAGCGGCTAAATCGTGGCCGCGGTACGATGTGCGTCCCACGACTCGCTGGTATTGATCGCTAGTTTCGATTTGAAAGCGCAAAGTCTGCCCGCTGATTAAAGCGCTTAAGTAAACCTTGGCCGCGTTCGCGAGTTGGCGCAGACGAGCGCTGTTGGCGCTCAGTTCGGGCGTGTTCACGGCGTGAATCCGGTAGTTTTGACCATTCACATCCATAAAAGTGTCTCCGTCTCAAACGTGGGCGACTTGAACCATGAGCGTCATTTTTTCAAAACGTCCGATTTTAAAAAAATGGTTTCCACCCACTAAAAGCAAGCCGAGTCCACTTAAAGCCAAAATGCGTAACTTAAGCTTTGCGTTGCGAGCCAAAGAGCGTAATCTTATCCTGGACAACTTTTTTAATCGCTTCGTAGCCTGGTTTGAGCAACTTGCGCGGGTCGTAGTTGCGACCCACTTTAACTTGACCTTGTAAAACAAACTGTTCAATCGCCAGAGCGTTCGCAATTTGGAGCTCGGTGTTGACATTGACTTTGGCAATGCCCAGTTTGATCGCAGCTTTAATTTGGTCGCTGGGAATCTCCGACCCGCCGTGTAAAACTAGCGCCTTGCCGTCGGCTTTTGATTTGAGCAGTTCCAACGTTTTAAAGTCCAAGCCTTTTCAATCGCTGGGATAACGTCCGTGAATGTTGTTAATCCCGGCCGCAATCATATCGGCGCCGATGTGAGCCATCTGAGCGACCTGGTCGGGATCGGCTAGTTCGCCCGTGCCAATCACTCCGTCTTCTTCGCCGCNAAGCCGTAATCGAACGCCCGTAGGAAAAAACCAAATTTTTCTTTGACAACTTCGGGACTTAAGTTGAGCAGTTCAAAAACTTTCTTTTGAAGGTCAAGCTCGTTAATCCTAATTGATCCGCCCCCGACTTCATAGCCGTTGAGAACCAAGTCGAAAGTTTGTCCTTCCAAACTTGCCAAGTTGGCACCGGGCGCAGCTTTGGCTAACTCAGTTGGATCGGTCGGCATCGTGAAAGGGTGGTGTAAACTAGTCCAGTTAGCGCTGTTAAGTTCGCGTTCAAAAAGCGGAAATTTCTCCACCCAAAGAAAGTAAAACTGGCGCCGATCGGCCAGTTGTAGTTCCTCACCTAAGTAGTTACGAATGGCACCTAAAGCTTGGTTCACATCTGATGGCGCTCCGGTCAGCACGAGACAAGTTTGAATTTTTGGTCCTAACTTGGCCAACAATTTTTGCATTCAAGCCAATTTGGCGGCGTTTTTTTGGTTGACGATCCAAACTTGCTGAGCTCGGTTAGTTTTGGCGATCTCACGGACCATTTTTTCGACTGGCGAAGAGATTTGATTAGCCAAACTGAGAGCTTTGGCCACCGCTGGCGGCTTTAGTTCAAAGCGGCCCATGTCCCGGAAAAAATCGCTCAGATCTTGGAGATGTAGCTCAAAACGACAATCGGGTCGGTCGGTTCCGTAACTGTTAATACTTTCGTGGTAACTGAGCGTCGGAAAAGGTATTTTAACTTTAATGCCCAACTTTGTTAAACCCTCACGGAGCATTTTTTCAATTAGCTCTTTGATGCTGGCGGGCGTGGCGTAAGTCGTTTCCAAGTCTAACTGGGTAAATTCGGGTTGGCGGTCTTTGCGGTTATCTTCGTCGCGAAAAACCCGTGCCACCTGGTAATAACGATCAAAACCGCTCGCCATCAAAAGTTGTTTATAAAGTTGCGGCGACTGGGGCAAAGCGAAAAACTTACCGCGGTAACGCGAAGGTACGAGAAAGTCCCGGGCTCCTTCGGGCGTTGATTTGGCTAAGTAGGGCGTTTCAATTTCCACAAAACCTTGCTCGTCTAAAAAATCGCGGAAATTTTTGACTAAGCGGTGGCGAAAAACTAGTTTGGCTTGCATTTCCGGTCGACGTAAGTCTAAGTAGCGGTGTTTAAGTCTAGTGTCGACTTTAGCTTGCAAGTGGTCGTCAACCACGAAAGGAAGCGGCTTAGCGCCCGAAATAACTCGGACTGAATCAGCCACCACTTCAATTTGTCCCGTCTGCAAGTTGGGGTTAGGCGTTTTGCGAGCTACGACCTTGCCCCTGACCTCTAAAACGCTCTCCCTACTAAAGTTGGCCTGCTCTTTTTGAAAAACGCACTGCACAAGACCCGACTGGTCGCGCAAATCCACGAAGGTGATTCCGCCGAAGTTACGTTTGTGAGCCACAAAACCTTGCAATAAAACGTCTTCGTGAACGTTTTTTAAAGAAAGATCGCCGTTGTTAATTTTTTTCATTTTTGGGTCCACCATCGTTAAAGCGAGTCTTTAATTGCTCGATCAATTCGGCTTGAGTCAAACTTTTTTGTTCCCAGCTAGCTTTTAAAACGTAGGTGTTAGTCTTGACTTCCTGATCACCAATTATGATAATCGCTCGGGGATTTTTTTTAGCTACTTTGGCCAGCGTTTTTGACAGCCTATCCGGAGTTGTTCACAGCTCGGTTTTAAAACCTTGTTGGCGCATTTGGTCGGCGATTTTTAAACCGTAAAGACACCCTGCGGAACTGAAGTTAACCACGTGAAACGCTGGTTCAGGACTAATTGCTTGGCTAACCTTGGTCGGTAAATGGGCGATTAAACGCTCAACCCCTAAACTAAAACCGACGCTAGAGTGATCCGGTCCGCCGGCCTGGGCCAGCAAATTATCGTAACGACCACCGGCGATAACCGTGTTTTGGCTCCCCTGAGAACTATTGACCGGTAAGTATTCAAAGATAATGTCGTTGTAGTAATCAAGGCCGCGCACGAGATAGGGGTCAACTTGGTACTTGATGTCCATTTGATCAAGTAAATTGCAAAACCGTTGTCAGTAATTTCGGGCGCTTGGAGTGTAGTAATCAGCGATTTGAGGCGCTGATTGAACGACTTTTTTGCCCCGCTCAGTTTTATCATCTAAAATTCGCAAAACGTTTGATTCTAAACGGCGCTGAGAATGCACGTTGAGACTAGCGCGGTGGTTTTGAAAGTAAGCTCGCAACGCTTTGACATAACTAGCTCGCGACTCAGCGTCGCCGAGCGAATTAACAACCAACTTAGTTTTGAGACCAAAACGTCTTACGATTGACTCGGCCAGCAAAATTATTTCTAAATCGGCGCAGGGATCTTTGGGTGCTAAGTACTCCACTCCAAACTGGTGAAATTGCCGGTAACGCCCGCGCTGGGGGTTTTCGTAACGAAACATCGGCCCCGAGTAGTAAAGGCGGTGGTAGTCGGACTTAAGGTAAAGTTTGTCCTCAACCCAAGCCCGGACCACGCTAGCGGTGGCCTCTGGTCTGAGCACGAGGGAGCGGTTTTTGCGGTCGTTAAACTGGTACATCTCTTTGCCAACTATGTCGGTGTCTGATCCGATCGATTTAGTAAAAACTTGGGCGTGTTCAAAGACCGGCGTTTCTATCTCAGAAAAGCCGTGTTGCTCGGCTAATTGAGCAAGGACTTGCTCAACCGTTTTTTTGACTAATTGCTCGGGTCCGTAAAAATCGCGGGTTCCCTTAGGTCGCTTGACAAACATCTTGGTTCCTACTATGGATTGTAATTGTTAATGCCGACAAAAAGTTGTTCTTCAATTTGATTAACATCCCAGTACTTGGTGCGTATGCGTCGGCTAATGCCTTTCTGGCGCATAATTTCTAACCTTGATCAAAGTCCCAAGGCGAGTAAATTGGTCGATCCGTGGCACCACAAAAGACCGATTAAAAGCGTGAGCGAGTAGTTCAGCGGAACTGCGTTAACGGCAGCCATTAGAATGATCAGACTTAGTATTTCAAACCCCAGCACTAGTCAAGAACGTTTTAGAGTGTCTTTTAAAACGCTGCTAACCAGAGGGACGGTTTGCTTTTGCTCAAGGTGGCCGACGTGAATTTGCATTTTTTCGCGCACTTTGTCAAAAAGAACCGCTTTTTCGTTGACAGTCAAACAAAACACAACTAGTAAAGCGCCCAAGAAATAATGGTCAATCGGCACGCGAAAAAGCGCCACCAAAGCGGCTAACATGATTAAATCAAACCCGAGCGCCAAAACAAAAGCGAGCGCGATAGTTCATTTGAAACGAATCAGTAAGTAGACAAATAGCACGGCTAAACTGACTGAAACTGCGATCGCAAAACTTGTTCCGTAGTTAAACGCGTTAGCAGTGATTGTTTCAAAGAAATAAAGGTTGAACTTATCAATCGACAGAGCTTCCCGCAGACCGGCTAAATCAACTCCGTCTAGACCACGAATGGTAACTAGGTCAACTAGGTTGGAGTTGTGCTCGCTGATTAAGTAATCAACCGAGCCAAGGCTGACCCCAAAGCGAGCCAAGGTGTTTTTCAGTTCGACTAAATCACCAGACCCGATCGGACCAGTCGCGCCCTTGATTTGGATTAAATCTTGCCGTGAAAAATCAAGTCCAAGGTTTCAACCGCCCCAGAAAGATAAAGATAGACCGGCAAAAACGGTGAAGACGACCGCGCAAATCGCTAAGGTAACTAACGTCATCAACCAGAAACGACGTCCAAATTTGCTGTAGTTTGCTTTGTCAACTAACTTAGAAAAGCCAGCGTCTAAAGTTGGTCGGAGTCCAAAGAGTTTCGTTTTCTCGCTCACTAATCCCGAACGCAAAATCAAGTTAATCAGCGTGCGATTGACTAAAAAAGCCACTAAAAGACTTAAGACGGTGCCCAGTATCAAGTTCAGCGAGAGTCCGCGGGAAAAAAGCGAACCGAGGTAGAAGAAGATCACGCCGATCAAAAGTAGCAACAACTTACTATCAAAAATCACTTTCCGACTTTGCTTGTTAGCGCTCTGCAACGCTTTGTCAAGCGTAGAACCTTGGTAAAGTTCCCGTTTGAGACGTTCAAAAGTTAACAGGCAAATGTCGGTAAAGAGAATCAAGGCCAAAAATAGACCAGCCAGCGCCAAGACCGAGAACACGCCGCCAAAAACGACAAAGAGCGTTAGAACTAAGAAAGTAAAAAGACCAAAAGACAAAGCTGAGATTAGTCCGAGAATTCCGTAGTTGAAAATTAGGAAAAGAACTAGGAGCGTCAAAATAACTCCGATCGCTATGCTGGCGTGGAAAAATCCGTTGGGGCCGTTAGCCGGGGGCAAGAAGACGGTCACAATCGGCGTCAGGCTGTAGTTGTTGGCACCAAAGTTAATTTGCTGAGCTAAGTACTGGACGCGTTCGGGGCTAAAAGATTCGTCCTCCAAAATAATGTCGCCAAAGAGCGGACGTTGCGGGTCCACCTTAATCGTTGAAATAAGGTGGTTTTTAACGTCAATTTGATAGCGTTTAAAAATGTTGGGTTTTTTATTTTTATCAACCGGTTCCTCACCCACAAAAGAAAAAAGATAGGGGTTGCCACCGGCTTTTTTCCAAGCTTGGGGTCAATTTGATTTGGCTAACTGAATGTATTTATCAATGTCAATCCAAGTGACAATGACTCTCTTATCCTCGGGAAGACGAGCGACGTAAAGAGAGGCTTTGGTTCAAGCGATTTTGGCTTCCTTAGTTGCCCAAGCAACTTTCAGTTTGGGTTTTGTGTCGTAAACCGGCTCAGCGCCATTAACCGCTACATCGGCGTAACTTTCTTGCCTCCAAAGCATTTCTTCGGGAGCGATTAGGGCTTTAGTCGGATCGCCCGAAAGTTCCTGGTTAAATCCTCCGTTGCGGTTGAAAAGTGGGTTTCCGTAGTAATCGGTAAACATTAAGTGCGGACGGGAAGTGATAACTTCTTGGATCGCATTAGCCTTAACAGCGTCGTTCACGCCAGGATACTCGACTCGAACAAAAATCCCGTCGTCGTTCACCTCGGGACTGGTCGTCACGCCGATCGTACCCAAACCATCGACTCTAGCGCGAATTTCACGTGCTACTTGGGCAGCAAAATCTTCTTTCTCGGTGCGGTTAGCAAAACTTTTCTCGTTGTTAACTCGCAAAACGTACTGAGCACGTTGAGCCAGGTCAGCGCCTGGTTGCACGCGCGGAGCAAGGTAAAAAACGCTGCCAAACACAATCGCAGAAAGACTCAAAATGCTAATTAGGAGCGCTAAAAAAATCCTTTTTCAACGCGTTAGCGTGAACCATTTTCTCAACCTATGCATAGTGTTAGTTAATTATATAGGAAAGTATAGGCGGGTTTTAGCGGTGCTGACCGAGGTATTTTCGGCCAACTTGACTAATTTGACGTCCGCGCGTAGTTTTGACAATTAACTTATGACCCAGCAGAAGCGGTTCCAATTGACTGACCACGTAAGTAGCGCTTTGGTTGACTAACTTAGCAATCGTCGCCAGCGATATTCAAGTGCTAGACGGAAAACTAGCCAAAATTTTGAGGTAATTGATTTGAATCGGATTGATGCCCCCAAGGTGCAAACCAATCGACGAGAGCACTTTTTTGACAAACTTCGCGCCAACCAAGTTAGGTTTTTCAACCGCAATAAAATCGGCCAAGCGTCGTAAAATGTTGATCGCTACCCGCGGGTTTTGATCAGCGTAACTGACGATTAAGCGCTTGAGCGCATCAGACAAAACGAGGTTGAGCTTTTGGGCATTTTGACTAATGATCGCGACCATATCTTCCAGCGAATAAGGTTTGAACTGAGCGATCAAGCCAAAGCGGTTTTGAAAAGGCAAGGGAATTTGTTCGATTTTAGTCGTCGCGCCGAGCAAAGTGAAGGAGGGGAGTTCTAGGCGGATGATTCTCTGCTGGTCTCCCTGACCAAGCGCCACATCGATTAACCGGTCTTCCATCGCAATGTAAAGTATCTCGGACAATTTGGGGTTCAAACTGTGAATTTCATCAATAAAAACGAGCTGCTTTTCGGCCAGTCCGCTCAGCAGAAGTAGTAATTCCGACTTCTCCCGCAACATCGCGCCTTGGCTGTAGCGAATCGGATAGCCGGTTTCATGCGCTAAAATGTTGGCCAAAGTGGTTTTGCCTTGCCCTTGGTGAGCGTTAAAAAGAATGTGGTCCAGCGCCTGTTGGCGCAACTTGGCGGCGCTGAGCATCGTTTTCAAAGTGGTTTTAATTTCGGTTTGGCCGACAAAGGCGTCAAGACGAGTTGGTCTATGCAAATTTTTCACGGGCAATTATTTTGATCGCGCTTTCGACCATCTTGTCCAGCGAAGCGCTCTTTTCAACTTTTTCGCTCGCTTTATCGATTTGACTCGGGCTAAATCCGAGCGATAAAAGAGCGGCTTTGAGCTTGCTAACTTCGCTAGAAATTGATTTCTTCTGACCAAAGTTGGCGTACTTGTCTTTGAGCCCTAAAATGATTTGTCGAGCTGTTTTGATACCGATGCCCGGTTTTTCAACTAGCGAACTAAGGCGGTCTTCAACGATGCACTTAATCAGTCAATCTACGCCCGAACGAAGCAAGTTGAGCGCACTCTTGGGACCAATTCCCGAAATAGCGACTAAATCTTCGAACAAACTGCGCTCGCGAAACTCGCTAAAACCGTAGAGTGTGTCCTGGTAGTCGTTACGACAACGGTAAATGTAAACTTTCTGGATTTTGTGGCGCGTGAATTTACTCCCGTCAGCTACGTAAATTATTTCTCCGCTGTAGCGCGATTCTAAAACGATGTGTAAACTGCCGACCGAGACAACTTTACCAATCCGGTATATTTCCATTTTGTTTCCCCATAGAAGATTGGTCAAACCGAGGGAAAACTTAATTTTTATTTTGTGCCAAAAAGTCGGTCGCCCGCATCACCCAGCCCAGGAATGATGTATTTGTGCTCGTCTAAGTGAGAGTCTTTGGCCGCTAAAAAAATGTCAACTTGAGGGTGGTGCTTTAAGACGTTATCGATTCCCTCTTGCGAACCAACGATTGAAAGCAGAGAGATTTTGTGGAAACCATTTTTACGGATGCTCGCGATCGCATCAACGGCTGAGTTGCCCGTGGCAAGCATCGGATCGACGATAATAACTTGCGCATCTAGATCTACTTTGGGCATCTTGTAAAAATATTCCACCGCTTGAAAAGTTTGGCTGTCGCGGTAAATTCCGATGTGCCCGATACGGGCCTGGGGAATTAGGTGTTCGATGGCGCTAACCATCCCCAGTCCAGCCCGCAAAATTGGCACGATCACAATTTCTTTGTCAAAGTCTAAACCTTTGGCTCGGGTGCCAGTCGGCGTGTTAACCCACTTTGTTTTACCGCGGTATTTTCGCAAAACTTCGTAAACCATTAACGATGCGAGTTGGCTCAAATTTTTGCGAAAAGGTAGGTGCGAAGTGTTAACATCGCGCATTTTAGTCAGTTTGATTTTAATCAGAGGATGATTGAGTACTTTTACCACGGCTAATTCTGAACTAATCTTAACAAATTACTTTTTCTCAGTCCCAACAATTGTAAGTGCCGACCAAAAGTTAACTAAATTTTGACCAAAACCATCGGCTCAGACTGGTAACCTTTCCCGACTCGGTAAGCGTCAGTTAGAAGATCAACTTGTCAACCATGGATCGGTTTTGATGAATAAAGCGTAAAAAGCAAGTCGCCTTTTTTAACTCGGTCACCCGACTTGCGGTGCAAATAAATGCCAGCGTCATAATCGATTGCTTGGTCCTTGGTTTCCCGGCCGGCTCCTAATTTCATGGCCGCGGTGCCGAACTTAACGGCACTAACAATGTTGAGCACGCCCGCGCTCGTCGCTAAAACCGGCTGACTGTACTTAGGTCGTCAAAAGTTGTCCGAGTTAAGTAGCTCAAGATCCGCGCCTTGACGCGCCATTCACTCTTTGAACTTGTTGAGCGCCCGTCCGCTTGTAATCACCTGGTCAACTTGCTGACGAGCTTGTTCGGCGCTGAGTGAGGGACGTGCTTGGCGTAAAAGCGTCTGACTTGATGAGCGAATTAATTCGTCTAAATCTGGGATCGCTTGACCGCTTAAATATTGGATCGCCTCTAAAACTTCGATCCGATTTCCGATCGCTTTTCCAAGCGGTTTGCTCATGTTAGAAATTTCAGCTCGCACGTTTTTACCGAGCTCCTGACCAATCTTGATCATTAGTTCGGCTAACTTTTTAGCCGCCGGTACGTCTTTCATAAAACTGCCATCGCCGCACTTAACGTCCAGCAAAATGGCGTCGGCACCAGTGGCAATTTTCTTGGACATCACCGAAGCAGTCATGAGCGCAATCGATTCGACCGTAGCGGTCACATCGCGGAGTGCGTAAATTTTCTTGTCGGCCGGCACGATATTGTCGCTGGGGCCAATTAGAGCAATTTTGATCTCCTTAACTTGCCGAATAAATTCGGAGTTGGACAAATTGATTTTGTAACCCGGAATTGACATCAGTTTGTCAGCCGTACCGCCGGTGTAGCCAAGACCGCGACCTGACATCTTAGCAAAACTAACTCCGAGGCTGGCCATGACGGGTCCGATGATTAAACTAACTTTGTCGCCCACTCCGCCGGTCGAATGTTTGTCAACGACCGGACCACTGACCGAAGACAAGTCCAGTACATCGCCCGAGCGTGCCATCGCCATGGTCAAGGCGCTTGTTTCCAAGACGTCTAGACCTTGGAACATGACCGCCATTAAAAAGGCGGCCATTTGGTAATCGGGCAGATCGCCGTCTACATAACCTTTAACTAAATGCCCAATTTCAGAACTGGTCAGTTTTTGGCCAGTCCGTTTTTTTTCGATTAAGTCAACTGCGTTCATAGCGACAAGCTTTTAACGTTTACTAGAACCGTCGGTTTTTTCGTGGCCCTTCATTTGCTGCTGAACTTCGGAAACAAAGTCGCAAGATTTGTGAATCATGCCTTGACCAACTTCCATCCTGTACATCGCTTTAGCTTCAGCGTTGTGGTTTTTTAAGTAAGTTTTAACGGGCATTTTTTCCATCACAAATTCCTGGTCCACTAAGGTAAGCTCAGCCAACTTTTTACTCAGCATGCCTTGAGCAATTTGGTCTTTGATCTGATCGGGTTTACTTTTTAAGACCGGCGAATCTTTAATTTCTTGGCGGAGTTGCTCAAGGTCGCCGCTCGGCACGCTGTTAACGTCTAGATAAGCTGGGTTCATCGACGCCACGTGCATGGAAACGTTGCGGGCCACTTGGTCATTGCCACCCTTAGTCACCACGACCGCCCCGATTTTCCGGTTGGTGTGCAAGTAGACTCCGTAACTTTGACCGCTTTCCTTCTGAATCTCAACTAGACGACGCAGAGCAATTTTTTCGCCTAAAGTTGCTCTGAGACTGGTGATCATTTCCTCAATGCTCTGACCGTCCGAGTTTTTGATTTTCAGCGCGGTTTCTACGCTCGGATGGGCGTCCTTAATGAGCGTGATGCCGATCTGGTCAACGACGGCTAAAAATTCTGGGTTTTGGGCAACAAAATCGGTTTGACTATTGACTTCAAACATGACAATTTTGTTCTCATCGGAAATAATCGCAATCACTCCTTCAGCCGCGATCGCCGATTCTTTTTTGGCCGCCTTGCTGATGCCGGCTTTTCTGAGAAACTCAACCGCTTTGTCAAGGTCTCACTTAGTTGATTCAAGCGCTTTTTTACAATCTAAAAACCCGGCGTGAGTCATTTCTCTGAGTCGTTTAATTTTCTCGATTTGTTCCATCTTGATCACTCTCTTTCTCGGTTTTCGGCTCGGCAGTTTGACCGGTAGTCTCGCTCGGTGTAGCGGCCGTTTTTTCCTTCGGTTTTGAATAACCAGGCCGAGGATTATTTCTTAAGTTAGAACTACGGCGTCTTTGTTGACCAAAGCGTCCTCTACCTTGGCGCTCTTCCAGACGTTCACGCCGGTCTTCGGGTAAAGATACCGCGTCGTCGCCCTGGTAGGCGTAAAGCTGTTGACCGCCCTTAGCTTTAGCGATCGCGTCGGCCAAAATTGTGATGATCAATGTGACGGATTTGATCGAATCATCGTTAGCTGGAATGGCCACATCCACGAACGTCGGGTCGGCGTTAGTGTCAACGATTCCGATCACTTTCACCCCCAATTTACGAGCCTCGCGAACGGCAATTTTATCGTGGATCGGGTCGGCTACAATCATAATGTTAGGGCTGCTTTTCATCCGTCTAATTCCGACCAAGTTACGTCTCAGTTTTTCTAACTCCTTAGCGTACTTAAGCCCCTCCTTTTTGGTGTAACCCGCGTAGTCGTTGCTCGCTTTTTGCTCCAAATCTTCCATGTGTTTAACGCGCGAAAAAATTGTCTTAGCGTTAGTCAGCGTTCCGCCTAACCAGCGGTCAGCTACGTAGTGCGAATTGGTTCGGAGAGCGTTATTGCGGATCGTTTCGCGAGCTTGTTTGCGCGTTCCGACGAAAATAAAACTCGCTCCTTTGCTAGTTAATCTTTCAATTAAGGTGTAAGCAAATTCAAGCGCTTTCTTAGTTTTCTTGGTGTCAATGATGTGCATACCCTTTTTGGTAGCCGAAATGTAAGGCTTCATTTTCGGGTTTCACTTGTCCTTTTTGTGACCGAAATAAGTTCCCGCTTCAAGCAGTTTGTTGTGGGAAATAATTTCTGACTCGGGGCCAGTTTGATTTTCGTGAGTTTGGGGGCTGTTTTCGGCAGCGGTGTTGATGTCTGAATGGTCTTGGTGCATTTGATTCCTCGTTTTGTCTTCTTTACGACTCCAAACCCGGAACCTAGCTTTCAACTGGGCACGACCGAGCGAGCATCGTAAATGCTTTTATCTGTTGACTATTAGTTTAAAAAAGTATAGCATAGTCGCTAAAAATGGGTCAATTGACGAAATGTTCCAAAGTAGGGTGTGAAAACTTGGAAAAAGCGCGCTAATTCGGGGTTTTGGTGGGAGTTAATTATCAACCAAACGGCGCTTTTTTACCACGAGCAAAAAATTGCTTTGATCCATAAACTTCCGCTTGAAACAAAAATTTTCCAAACCGACCGGGCGCTTGTCAACAAAAGAGTCACAGACGCGGTCATAACCGCAAAATCCCGGGTCGATTACTACGGTTTGTGGCGGGGAAAATTCATCGCTTTTGAAGCCAAAAGCACCGTTTTAACCAGGTGGCACTCTCGGCAATTAAAAACCACCAACTGAATTATTTGCTGGAAGTTAAAAAGCTCGGGGGAATTAGTTTCTGCCTAGTTGCTTTTTTGACCGAGAACCGATTTTTTATGTTGCCGAGTGTTTGCTTGAGCACAAACCAAACCTCCCATTGAGATTTAACTCAGATGGAAAAAACGGCTTACGAAATTAGACTCCGCTACCCGGGTTACCTAGACTTAATAGATGGACTAAAATCGCTCGTCTGGGACGGTTAGCGCCCATGCCTTAACAGGTTGGCCAAAATTAAGCCACTAAATTTTTGAAATTTTTAGCGCTTTTAAACTTAGGAGCATTTTTAGCGGGTATCTGCATTTTTTTACCGGTGGCTGGGTTAATCCCAGTGCGAGCTGAACGTCTAATTTTTTCAAACGAACCTAAACCGCTCACGTGGACCTTACGACCTTTTTTGACATTACCGACGATAACTTCGACCAATTTGTTTACTACTTGCTCAACATCTGATTTGTAAAAATCTAGTTGTTCAGAGATTTTTTCAATTAACTCTGTTTTATTCATCATGCCCTTTCCAAAGTGAAAAACACCCTTTAAATTATAAGTCTTTACGGCTTGATTGGGAAATCGCCGCGCCCGATTCTAAACAATCTAAAATTGTCTGCGGATTGCGCTGGCGGTAAACTATTCCGTATAGAGCCTTACAAATTGGCAACTTCAGTTTCCGCTGGCGAGAAATTTTTTCGACCGCCTTAAGCGCTAATAGTCCTTCCACGGTTTGACTCGAATCGCGGCGGTTGTGGGCCAGTTTTAAACCAAAAGTGTAGTTGCGCGACTGACTAGAACTGGCGGTCAAAATTAAATCGCCAAGACCGCTCACTCCGTTAGCGGTTTTTTGCTTACCGCCCAGAGCCTTGACTAAAACGCTTAATTCTCAGAATCCCTGCGTCAAAACTACCGCCTGGGCGTTGAGTCCGTAGCCAAGACCCGCTAACAAACCGCTCGCGATGGCAACCACGTTTTTGTAAATAGCACCGACTTGGGCTCCAAGCGCGTCTTTTTCTAGAAAAATTTTAAGGTAGTCGTTAGAAAGCAAGGCTTGAATTTCGCGACTGAGTTTTTGATCGGAGGAAACGGCCGCTAAAAAGGTCAGTTTACGCTCAACGATTTCGCTCGCAAACGAGGGTCCATAAAGCGAAACAAGTCCGCGGAAAACCCGATCTTGCCTAATTTTCTGAGTTAGAAAAGCGTGGGCAGTCTGTGAACTGCCCGGGTAAAAACCCTTGGCTAAGTTAACGAGAATGGCGGTTTTTTTGACTCCGATGAGGTCGCTGATTTTTTGGTAGACTTCCCCCAACACCTTGGAGGGAACGGCTAAGAAAATGTGCCGCGCGTCTTGGACAGCTTCTGAAAGGTTGTCCGTGACTACTAAATTGCTAAACCGGTGATTTTGAAAATACCGCCGGTTGAACCCGCTTTTCAAATCGGTTAATTCCTGCTGATCAACTCCGTAAATCCAAACTGGCCCACCGTTTTTATCAACCACGGCTTGGGCAATCGCGCAACCCATTGCTCCGGTTCCGACCACCAAAATTTTTTGACCAGCCATACTTTTTATTATGCCTTTGATTGGCGTTTATTTTCTAATAAAAAACGAATCGGCACGCCTCACAAAGGATAAATTTCACGTATTTGGTTTTCAATGAAACGTAAGTAAGAAAAGTGGGCCAATTTTTTGTCGTTAACAAAAAGTTTGAAAGTCGGGGTTCTGGCTTGGACTTGCTGACCAAAAAATATTTCCAGTCTCTTTCCCCGGTAACTAGGCGCTGGTTTAATTGTTTGAACGTCATTGATTAAATCGTTGAGATGACGGGTGGGGATCTTTGTTTTTAAACCGCTTAGAATTTTGCCGAAAGTTTGACCGATTTGGTGAATTTTTTCTTTCCGCAACGCCGAAACGCAAACGACTGGGACCCACTTTAAAAAGGGTCATTTAGCCACTAAATTGCTTTGAAATTTAGCGCAACTAGTTTGAGAACTAACCAAATCCCACTTGTTGACCACGATTAAAAACGGTTTTTTTTCTTCCTCAACGTAACCAATGATGCGAGCATCAAAGTGGGCTAGGCGCTGACTGGCATCCAAAACTAACATCACAACCGTGGCGCTTTCTAGGGCTTGCTGAGTCCGCAGGTAAGCAAAGTAGGCTACGTCTTCTTCTAAACGTGACTTACGTCTTAAGCCAGCCGTATCAATAATTTCTACGTCCCGGCCGGCCAACTTTATTTTTTCGTTCACGGCGTCGCGAGTGGTGTGTTTTTGACTCGAAACGATTGAGCGATGCTGACCGCTTAAAACGTTGAGAAGCGATGATTTACCAACGTTAGTTTGACCTAGGATGACTAACTTAGGGCAGAGGTCGTCCGCCGCAGTCAATCCTTTTTTAAGGTGTGGCCGCAGTCAATCCCATACATCAGATGTGCCTATTCCGTGCAAAGCGGCGATTTCTACGATCGGATAACCAAGCGATCATAGTGACTGATCAAGCGGGGTGCTCTGCTCCATTTTATTGGCCAACACCAAAACTGGTCGACTAGTTTGCCGCAGCATTTTCGCCACTCGCAAGTCATCTTCAACCAAACTAACGCGTCCGTCAACCACGAAAAGAATTACATCTGCCTTAGCAATGGCAAACTCGGTTTGCTGGCTAATTTGATTGCTGTCAGGTTTAACTTCTAAACCCCCGGTGTCAACCAAAGTTAAAGTCGTTCCCTCGTGAACTACCTGGGCAAAATTGCGGTCCCGAGTCGTGCCCGGCCTAGAACTTGTGATTGCTTGACGCGTTTTACTAAGGCGGTTAAAAAGCGTTGATTTACCGACGTTAGGACGGCCCACAATCGCGATTAAGTTAGCCATTAGGCGGATTGAGTCCTAACTTGGTTTTAATGATTTGGTTGATCTTTTCGACAGTTTGTTCCACGCTTAAGTGAGAAGCATCTAACACTTGTACGCCGGGCACTTTCTGGAGCGGATCCAGCTGACGGTTTTGATCGCGGTGGTCTCGGGCTTGGATCTCAGCCAAAATTTGTTGGTAATTTGTTTCGTAACCGAGCGTTTTGTTTTGGTTAACCCGCCGCTGAGCACGAATTTCGGGTTTGGTGTCAAGGTAAACTTTAATCTCGGCCTGGGGTAAAACGCGAAAAGTGGTGTCGCGACCTTCGGCTATCAGACCTTTTTGCGAAGTGTACTTCTTGAGCACCGCGTTAACGTAATCGCGCACGAAATCAAGCGTTGAAAGTTGCGAAGCGANTCGTCGAAGGATCGGCGCCCGCAGCTAAGGAAAAGTTAATTGAGCCGTAAATTTTGTCAGGCAAATCAACCCCATCGCTTCGCATTAAAACCGCTAGAAGGGCCATGCCTAGAAAAGCGCTCAGAGCCGCTTCGCCGCGGTTATCTTTGGTCAAGCCAAAACCCACTCCAACCGCAAAAATGATCGGTAAATTAGCAAAAACAATGTTGCCAGCGCCAAAAATCACTTGGTGCACAAAAGCGCTAAAAGGCGTGTCCTGGGGCACCTGGGCACCGATACGTAAAAACAGCGCCGCGATCGGTAGAACCGCGATCGGAAACATCAAAGCTTTGCCAATCCGACCTAGGGAAGCGACTACGCGCGCTAGACTAAAGTGAGCGGAAATGGTTTTAGCCATGACTCACCTGCTTAGTAGTTCGCTTACTATGAACAGCTACGCCCACGGTGGTAAAGATTGCCGCTGTCAAAAATAAGACAAAAACGAGCGCTAAACCGGCCTGAATGTTTTGAACAATCTGAGCCGCTAAAGTTGGAACGGTTGGTCACTCTGCCAAATGTCAAACCGGCACCTCTTGCCAGTCGCCGTTTTGATCGGCCAAAATTACCAAGTTACCCAGCGGAGCTCGCTCGCCAGTCAAATCGTAGTGTAAATTGGCTGACCGATGGGTTAAAAGATCAGCGAGTGTTTTAACGCCTTTGATCGGCTGGTAACCTTCGCGCACGCTCTGGGTTACGTCAATCTGGTCTGGATCAATGATGCCCTCGGTCGCTTGGGCAGTCGTATGCGGATCGTTTAAACAGGCCCGCATTTGCTCGGTGTAATTTATTTTTCAACGACCCTCCTCTTGACGAGCTTGACTTGCCGCGGCCAAGGTCACCAAAACGACCACCAAAGACACCAAAATAAGACCAGTCAAAAACCACAAGATGACGTAAACTTTAGCACCAGTTTTTAAGTTTTTGAACCGTTTCAAAAAACTAAAATTTTTCATTTTATTGGGTACTCCATCCTCATTTGTTTATTAAGAAAATGATAACGCAAAGAATGGTTGTTTCACGAAGGCTAAAAAAGTCTCTCCCAGGTCATATAATGTCTCCATGTCTCCGCAGTTACGCATCTCGCTGATTATGATCGCTTTCTTTCTCAGTTTGTTTATCTTTGTGTTGCTACTTTACTTTGGTTTTAACGGTCAGCGCAAACTAAGAAATAACTGACTCCAAAAAATTAACAACCGTCTTAGCGGCGGAATTTTACTCAAAGCAGACCGGGTGATTGTCCAAATTAAACGCATTGCCCAGTCAAACGAGCAGTACCGTCCACTTTTGGAGCAGTTGATCAATTCTTACGATGAAATTGAAACTAACCACAAGAGTGCCCGAGTTGCTTTTAAGGCGTTTGAAAAACAAGTTCACCGCTTGTCGCGCAAAGAATTCAAAGTCGGCACCGCCCACTTACGTACCCAAGTTGAAACTTTTGAAAACAGCGGAGAAAAATTTGAAAAAATTGCCCAGCAGTTTACGCGTAAAAACCAGTTCATTCGGGCGGAAATGATTTACCTTAAAAACAACTTGCGGACTATCATTCAGCAGTACCGAGACCACCGCGTTTTGCTCAACCCAGTCGCCCACAAAATTGATAAGACGCTTCAAACTCTTAACGACTACGAAAAAGAGTTTGAACGGACACTTGACCTAGGTAAAAACCGGGCCTCGCTCAAATGACTCAACCGGTACGAAAAAGCGATTCTTGACCTAGCAATTACGATTGATCAAGCGCCGGTGATTCGTAACCATCTTTACGCCCGCGTACCCGAGAGAACTTCCCGACTGGCCAAGAGTTACCAAAGTTGCCTGGGAAAAAACTCGGCCCGGTCAGTTAATGTGGAAAACAAAATCAAAAAAATCGTTAAAATCCACCAGCAAGCACGACTTTACTTTGAAAATCTTGACTTAGAAAAGTGCAAACTTTCGCTGATTGGATGCCACCAAATGATTAGCAAGTTTGAAAAAGATTTTTACGTTGAAGTGGAGTCGCGCAAGTTGTTTAAAAAGCACTACCAAAGTTTGACTAGCGAGTTTCAAAGACTGCAAAATCACATCCATAAACTGCGAAAAATGTACCGCTCTGCCGTTGAACAAGGTCGGCAAATCGGTCACGAGTTGCTGGATAACTTTGACGCTCTCGACCGACAAAATAAAGTCACCCTAGAAAATTACCAAGAATGAAAAACTGCCATCGCCAGCCACAGCGTTTCCGCTTTAAGAAAAATTGAACAAATGAAAACGATTGTTTTGCAAATTAGTCAAATGGTCAATTTGGCTAACCACTGCGAGAAGTTAATTTGAGATTTGAGCGTTAAATCGGTTAAGTACCAAAATAAATTTCGGAAACTTAAATCGGCTGTGGAAGAGTTGATTTTTGAACTGCGGACCCATAAAATCGTCCTTAACCCCGAACGAAAAAAAAGTTTGACAGCGGTTCAAAGGCAAATTTCGCAAATTAACCTGCTCGCTTTTGAGAAAGAAGTTGATCTTGGCACCAGCGAAAAAATTGACCAACTCACCCAGCAAATCGCCAAACTTTACCAAGCGGTCAACCTAGATTTACAAATCGCTCGCATGGCAAAAAACATGATTAAAGAACTGTCGATTCAGCGGGGACTTAACAAACGTTTAGCCTACGTTTTGTCTAAAGCAGAAAAGGACTTCATGGCCGGTCAGTACAGCGAAGCTCTCAACGCAATCATTGTTTACCTTGGGGAAGCCAAGTATGCTTAAACATAATTTAATTTTGGTCCGTCTGGGCGAACTAACTTTGAAGGGAAAAAACCGCCGCGAATTCATGGGTCAGTTAATCAAAAACATCCATGCTAATTTAGGTGTCAAAGTTAAGAGCGAGTTTGACCGCCTGTTTGTTCCCTACAGTCTGGCTAACTTAGAAAAGTTAGCTTATGTGTTTGGAATTAGTTCCTATTCGCCGGTTCAGGCGCTCAGCCATGATCCGAAGACTTTAAGGTCGGTTGTCGAAAAAATTAACTTACCGCCGTCTCAACAAAGTTTTCGCATCAGCGTCAACCGCCACTGAAAAGATTATCCCGAAACGACTTCGGCGCTAGAAAAGTTGCTCGGATCTATCGTGGACAAACGCCACCCGCACGCGCGGGTCAACCTAAAAAATCCCGATTTTAACCTTGAACTAGAAATTCGACAAAAACAGGCCTATTTGTTTTGGGAAAGGCGACCCGGACTAGGCGGCTTGCCAACCGGAATAAACGGCCAAACTTTGCACCTCATTTCGGGCGGGATTGATTCACCAGTCGCGGCCCTAGAAATGATGAAGCGCGGCGTCCACGTTGATTTTCTCAACTTCATTACCCCGCCGAGTACGGATCCTAAAAGCGCTCTTAAGGTTCACGAAATTATTAAGTTTACCACCCGTTACCAAACTCATGCCCGTCTATTCCAAATCAACTTTTCCAAACTACTCAACTTAATTGCGCTTACGGAAAAAACTAGTTACCGCATTAACTTGATGCGGCGCTCTTTTTACCGCATTGCCGACCAGATTTGCCAAAGAGAAAGTTACCTTGGTATCTCAAACGGCGAAAGTCTTGGTCAAGTAGCGTCGCAAACTTTAGAATCAATCGCTACCATCTCTTCTCAAACGCAGCTACCGATTTACCGACCGCTTTTAACTTTTGACAAGTTAGAAATCATCGCTAAAGCTAAAAAGTACGGAACTTACGACTTCTCAATTTTACCCGCCCAAGAAACTTGTGAACTTTTTGCTCCGACTAGCCCAACCACTCAACCCAAGCAAATCGTAGCGGCTAAATTGGAAGCAAAAATGCAACCGTTTCTCAGCCAACTGGAAGAGGATGCCCTTCAGAACCAGTGCCTGGTGTACGAATTTACCCAGTCCAAACGCTAATTTTCCGGGATTGTTCCGCCGGCAAAGTCTTCTAAACTAGAACCACTATAATTACTCTATGGTCAGTTTTACATCTCTTCACACCGCAACGGAGTACTCTTTGTTGGAGTCAACGATTAAAATTGACAAACTAATTGACTTTGCTAAGCAAAAAAAACTGTCCGCCCTAGCGATCACCGACCACAATGTTTTGCACGGCGTGAGTGAATTTGTCTATAAATGCCAGCAAAACCAAATAAAACCGGTGGTAGGACTTGATCTTGACGTAGAAAACTACCGGCTGATTTTGATCGCGCAAAATTACGCGGGCTACTTGGAACTTATTCGTTTATCGTCACAAAAAATGCACGGACAAGCGGTTCAGTTGAGCGACATTAAGCCAGCTAACCTATTTGTAATTGACCACCCGCGCTTAGGCTACTATCAAGAGCGCCAGGAAAAGTTGACCGTAACTAATTATTGGGTCGGCGTAAGCGACCCCGCTAGCTCAGTCAGCGGAGCTGTTTACGTGCCTGAAACGCGCATTTTGGAGTCCGAAAAAGAGAACGAGGCTTTAGAAATACTGCGCAGCATTGAGAACCGCTTTGGGAAAGCGGCGCTCAATTTTGCACCTTACCAGTTTGAGGCGCCGAGCAAACATCAGGCGGTCAAAAAGGCGCTCAACCTTGTCAGCCAAATTAACCTAGAGTTTCCCGCACCTAAAATTGACCTGCCTTTGTTTGACACCAAAACACCCCAAAAACCGGAGCAATTTTTGGAAGAACTTGTCCAGCAAAAAATTGACGCTCTAGGACTTGATCCAAAAAACAAAGTACTCTACACGAGGCGGGCTGAACACGAACTAGCGATCATTGAGCAGCTCGGTTTTGCCAACTATTTTTTAATTATTTACGACCTAGTCGCCTGGGCGAGAAGTCAAGACATTCTCGTCGGCCCGGGTCGAGGTTCGGCCGCTGGTTCGTTAGTGGCCTATCTTTTGATGATTACCGAAGTGGATCCGCTTCGGTTTGACTTAGTTTTTGAACGTTTTCTTAATTTAGAGCGAAACACTCTCCCCGACATTGACATTGATTTTCAAGATAACCGACGTTTAGAAATTCTCCGCTATTTGTTTGATAAGTACGGTTCTGAGCACGTTGCTTTAATCACAACTTTCCAACGACTCGGCGCCAAAATGGCTCTCCGCGACGCGGGCCGATTTTTAGGTGTCAACGTAGCCTTAGTTGAACAACTAACCCGCCTAGTGCCCAATAACTTCACGCTTGAGCAAACTTACCGACGCAACAAAGCTTATAAAATGAGCGTTGATCAAAACAAGACGCTCCAAGCGCTCGTCAGCAAAGCCACTTTAATCGAAGGGTTGCCGCGCCAACTGGGTACCCACGCAGCTGGGGTGGTTTTGAACAGGCGCCCGATCACTAGTCGCGCGCCGACTTTGAAGGGCTACCAAGAACTTAACCAAATTCAATTTTCAATGGACTACCTTGAGCAGCAGGGACTACTTAAAATTGACATTCTCGGTTTGCGCAATTTAACGGTTTTGCAAGCCGTGCAGCGAGAGGTGCAGAAAAACTACCGCAGAAGAATTAATCTGCGTCAAATCCCTTTCGATGATAAAGCGACCAACCAACTTTTAACCGCTGGTGACACAAGCGGTATTTTTCAATTAGAGTCATCTTTCGGCATGAAAAAAACGCTGGTAAAAGTTCAAGTATCTTCGCTCAACGATGTGATCGCGATTATTTCACTTTACCGGCCGGGGCCGATGGATAACATTGATTTGTACGTGGCTGGCAAAAGAGGGCATTCAATCCCAAAACTTGACCCGAGCATTGATCCCGTTTTGGCATCGACTTACGGGATTATCGTTTACCAAGAGCAAATTATCCAAATCGCCCAGTTTTTCGCGGGCATGTCCCCCGGTCGAGCCGACGTTTTGCGCTGAGCGATTAGCAAGAAAAACTCGCAACTACTCAACTCGGTTAAGCAAGAGTTTTTTGATGGAGCCCGGAGCAAAGGTCATTCAAACCAGCTGACTGAGCGCGTTTACCAGTACATTGAAAAATTTGCCGAGTACGGTTTTAACAAGTCGCACGCCGTGGCCTACGCGATGCTGGCCTACCGTTTAGCTTACTTAAAAGCCCGTTTTCCGATCGAGTTCTACACGGCGATCATGAACTCGGCGCTTGATTCGCCCGTCTTGATCCGCAACTACATTCAAGAGGCTAAAAGTAAAAACATATTTACCTCTGGACCCGACATTGTTAATTCGCTCGATGTGGTTAGTAACCAAAACAAAAGATTAGTTCTGCCCCTCACGATTGTCAAAGGCGTGGGCGAAAATGCCTACGGTAAAATCGTCCAAGCCCGCCAAATATTGCCGTTCAAAAATTTGATAACCACTCTCCAAGCTTGCAAAATTGTCAAACTGAATGACGGCCTAATTAATTCTTTAGCCAAAGCGAGCGCTTTTCGCGCTTTCTTAGATACGAGCACTTTAATCCATAACTTGAGTAAGTTAGTCCGCTACGCATCAATGGTAGTTGTGGACGGAAAAGTTAAGGAGAGTTTGGCCGAACTACCCCAAATTGAACAAGTGCCGCCCAATAACTACCAGCAAGCCAAGTGGGAAGTTGAAACGACCAGTCTCCAAGTCAGTAACTATTTCACCGCTCCCTACGAACAGACAGTCAAATTGATTAACTTACCGCTCGATCAAGCCCACCAAATTGTGGTCTGACTAGAAAAAAGATTTACAACTCTGACCAAAGAACGTCAGAGAATGGGGGTGCTCTACTTAATCGATTCCTCCTTTGGCACCGAAGTGTTAGTTTTTCCAACCTACTGAAAACAAATCGCCAAGAGCACTACCGCTGGTCGACTTTACCAGGGTAAAATTAAGCGGTCTAAGCGCCAAGGTAATTTGATCTGAAGTTTAGAAAGCGACTGGAAGGAAGTGGAAGTTGACAAACAATAAAAAAATGGTTCTCGTGGACGGTAATTCTCTGTTTTTTCGAGCTTACTACGGGACGATGACGCCCGGGAGAGAAATTTTGACCAACTCGGCTAACTTGCCCGTCAACGCCTTGCTCACCTTTGGCCGGATGATGCTCAATCTTGTCTTCAGCCACCAACCTAATTACTTGTTCGTAGCTTTTGACACCGGCCAGAAAACTAAGCGACACGAGATGTGTGAGCGCTACAAAGCGAACCGCATTCAAGCTCCCCAGCCGCTTAAGCAACAGATTCCGATCATGCACGAAATGCTCGACAGTTTAAAAATTAAACACTATTCCTTAGCCGGTTACGAGGCCGATGATTTAATCGCCAGCATTGTCAACAAATACCAAAATCAACTGACGGTGACGGTTTTTTCCGGGGACCGCGACCTTTGGCAACTGGTAGCGCCCAGCGTTAGTCTAGTCTCACCGCAGAGTGGACGGAAAAAACCGCTCGTTTTAAACTCGGAAAATTTTAAAAATTTAACCGGTTTGGCTCCCGAGCAAATCGTCGACTACAAAAGTCTAGTCGGTGATAATTCCGACAATTTGCCGGGCATAACTGGCGTGGGTCCCAAAACGGCGCTCAAACTGCTTGGGGAATACGGATCGCTGGAAAAAATTTACGCCCATCTGGCCGACCTGCCCGCGGGCGTCGCCTCCAAACTGACCAAAGACCGGGAGCAGGCCTTTTTAACGCGCCAATTAGTGCGACTGGAAAAACACCTGGAGGTACCTTTTAACTTAGACGAACTCAAGTACGAACAAAAAAACCTCTTTTTCGGACTTAAGTTCTTCCAAAAGTACGAGTTATACTCGTTGGTTAACAAATTGAAGGCCGAAATAGACCCGGTTGAGTTTTAGGCCGATTTGTTCACAAATCGCGGGTGTTGATAAGTCAATTTTTGCCCTAAAAACCGCTGATAACGTGCTTTTTAGGGGCGGCTAATGTGGATAAACTCGGAAAAATAAGACCGTTTTTAAGGAAATAAGTGGGACTAATTTGGGCAATGTTATAGTTAATTTGTTCCTAATTTTTGAGTCCGCTCAATCGGATCTGTCCCCTAATGCCAAAATTTTTCATCGTTGAAAAAAATGTCTTTCTTAACAAAGATCAACTGCTTTGTCTCGGCAGTTTTTACCAACCGATCGTCGGCCTTCAGGCCACCGCCCTCTACCGCTTACTACTTGACTACGCAAAAATCGCGCGGCAAAGCCAAAACTATTTACCTTTTAGATTCATCGCAGAAAATTTAGGCTTAGACGAGCAACAAATCGAGACGGCTTTCCAAACTTTGGGTGGCGCTGGTTTAGTGCGCACTTACGTCAGCCACGATCAATCGCAAACTTTGATCGTGATTAACTTACCGCTGGAAAGGAAAATGTTTTTAAAAAACCGGCTTTTACTCAACTTGCTGAAGCAAAAAACTAGTCGTGATTTTTTCCAGTACCTACTTTTGAGCGTCAGTGAGAACCAGTTTTCTAAGCAGACGATGGCCGAAAACACCGCTAAATTTCCGGAAGTTTTTGGCTCACAGGCGCTTGATTTTTCCACTAACGAAAACACCTTGGAAATAGATCTGGCCCAGTTTGAAAATCCCCGAGACGCGATTAACTCTTTGCCAAGCGGCCAATACTTCCACTACTTGACTAAGCAGCGACCCTCGCCGAGCCTATTAGCGGTTTTTGAGCAAATCGCTAAACTCGGTTACTTAAGTCCGATCGTCAACACGATTACCGACTACTCTTTCCAAGTTAACGATGGAAAAGTTAATGCTAACCACGTTTTGAAAATCGCCCAAGATTTAAAACACAAACAAATTACCACGCTTGAAGAAGTGCGGAGCGAGCTCAGTCGGGCCCGCGAATCCAAACTGATTTTTAACTCCGAAGACGCTCTGATTGAAACTTCTCAATCAGCGCCCAAAGGACAACAAAAAATTAATCTTAAGAAACTTTTTGAAGATTTAGGGGAGTTTTAATGGACGACCTGAATGTGCAAGAAATTTTGGCCGAACTGCTTCAAAACAAGCGGATTGCTGAGCGCGTGCGCGAACTTAATCTCACTAAACAACAAATGATCCAGGCGATTCCGATCATGATTGACATGAGCGAACAGAGCGAAAGTTCAGAACATCCCTACTGAATTTCTTTCTACTTAACCGACAGCGGACAAGTGCGCCGGATGGAGGTGCTTTCACCCCACGGGCAAAAAAACCTTTATCTCAAGCGGATTGTCACCGACCATATCCAGGCGGTTGACTTTGAAAACCACAAAGAATTTTGGATCAAACCGAGCCGGATTGAAATCGCTAAGTGGATCCGCGCTTTCTTTGAAAATCCCGATCAAAGCAAAAAAGGGCTTTATTTGTGGGGTAAGCACGGCACAGGCAAAACGTTCATACTTAAAAGAATGGTGAAAAAACTTGCCAAAAATAATTACGAAGTAGGTTACGTTTTCATGCCCGACTTAGTTAATTATGTTCGCCGCGCTTTTCAGCAAAACGAAGAATACGACAATTTAAAAAATTTGCTTAAAAACGTCGACTTTCTTTTTTGCGATGACATCGGCAACGAAATTATCACGGCTTGGTTTCGTGACGAATTCTTGTACCAAATTTTTGCTTACCGCCTAGAAAAACAAAAGCCAACCTTTTTTAGTTCGCCTTACCCACTGGAAAAACTTTTGCAAATCCAAGCTAAAACCCAGAACCAACGATTGCCTGAACTGCACAAAGCCCAAGCTTTAATTAGTAAAATTAGTCAACTTTCTGAGCCGCTGGAACTCAAAAATCGCGACATTTAAATTGCCGTATAATGTGAAAAAGAGTTTGACAACCCGGGAGATAACATATGAAAAAAATCGCCATTAACGGCTTTGGTAGGATCGGGAGACTCGTCTTCCGACAAATTATTAAGGACAAAAATTTTGAGGTGGTAGCTATCAACGATTTGACGGCCCCTAACGTTTTAGCGCACCTACTTAAATACGATTCAGCCCAGGGAAAATTTGACTTACCGGTTGAAGTGGGCGACAACTTACTAATCGTGGGTGGTCAAAAAATTGCGGTTTTTTCTGAGCGTGATCCAGAAAACTTACCGTGAAAAAAGATCGGCGTTCAAGCCGTGGTCGAAGCAACTGGTTTTTTTAGGAGCAAGGAAGCGGCCAGCAAACACATCAAAGCCGGTGCTCAAAAAGTGCTCATCTCAGCGCCTGGTTCGGGCGACATGAAAACGATTGTTTACGGAGTCAACCACCAAAGTCTTAAAAGCAGCGATCAAATCGTATCGGCTGCTTCGTGCACAACTAACTGTTTGGCGCCAGTGGTTAAGGTGCTCCACGAAAAATTTAAAATTACGCGCGGTTTTATGACGACAGTTCACGCTTACACGGCCGACCAAAGGTTAGTTGATGCTCCCCACAGCGATTTAAGAAGAGCGCGCGCGGCCGCTGTTAACATCGTGCCGACTTCCACCGGAGCTGCGGCGGCGATTGGTCTAGTGATCCCCGAACTCAAAGGTCGATTAGACGGAATTGCGATGCGAGTTCCGGTCGTAACTGGATCAGTCGTTGACCTGGTGGTAGAGCTGGCTAAAAACGTTGACAAGGATCAAATTAATCAAGCGCTGCGCGAAGCGTCTTCGGAATCGTTTGGTTACACCGAAGAACCGATTGTTTCTAGCGATGTGATCGGATCTTTGCAAGGCTCAATTTTAGACGCCAAATTGACGCAAACGATCGATGTTGATGGCAAAAAAATGCATAAGTTAGTCGCTTGGTACGATAACGAAAGTTCTTACGTGGCCCAGTACGTGCGCAGTCTTAAGTACTTGGTCAACTTGTAAGACAATGTGAAAAATTCTTCTTTCGGCCCAGAACATCGGGCAGTTGCCCGACCAAAATCAGCGCGAAGTAGCGCTAATTGGTCGTTCTAACGTCGGTAAGTCAAGTTTAATTAACGCTCTAACTGGCTTTAAGAAGTTAGCCTACGCCTCAAAAACCCCCGGTCGAACCCGACTAATTAACTTATTTTCCAACCAGGGGGAGTACGACCTGGTGGACCTACCCGGTTATGGCTACGCCAAGCTAAGTCAGAGTCAAAGTCGTGCCTTTGAGAAAATGGTGCGCGACTATTTTCTTAAACGACAAAAATTGAAAATTGTCCTCCTGCTGATCGATAGTCGACGCCAAATTTTGCCGATTGATCAAAAATGAATCGACTTGCTCGAACAAAGAGATGACTACCAAATCTGGATTGTTTTTACCAAGTACGATTTAGTCAACCAAAGCCAAAAAAGTTCGCTAGCCAAATCAGCTGTGCAACTCGGAAAGCGTTACTTTTACTTATCGGTTCGCAAAAAAGAGTCCGTCGAGATTTTAGCCAAGGCAATTCGGACACACCTTGGCGATCCAAATGGTTTATAATGCGCTTGAGCAAATGCTCCTACCCTAACCCAGGGTCACACGTCCAAAGGAGGCATTTAAATGCCTAAGTATGAAATTTTGCTGATAGTCGATCCCAAGGCTGACAGCCAGCAAGCCGAAAGTCTTGCCCAAGAAGTTTTTAAGAATGACGCTTACAAAGTTAGTCCCTTTGAAAAAAATCAGCTCGCATACCCGATTAACAATTCTCTGACCGCTAAGTACGTTTTAATCAACATTGAAACCGATGCCAGCAGTATCGCGGAGTTCACCCGCCGAGCCAACTTAAACAAAAATGTTTGGCGCTACTTGGTTGTCAACTTAGACCAAGAAAAAACTGACCGCAAACCTCGTCCCGGTTCGCGATCTTTGCACCGTCACCAAACGGGTGAAAAGCCGCGTTGAAGCTCTGAACGACCCGCGCGGGAATGGTCAAAAAAACCAGCCTCAACCCCTGATTCGCAAAACCTAGTTAAATCAAGTCCAACAGAAGGTGATGCGACTCAAGAAGTTAACCAAACAAACGCAGAAAAGGAAAAGTAAAATGAACAAAGTTATGCTCGTCGGGCGAATAGTTAAAGATCCGAACGTCTTCCAAACTAGTCTAGGAGTTAAGTACGCGCGGTTCAGAATCGCTGTCAACCGGCCAGTGGCTCGTAACCAAGCCGATTTTGTTCCCATCGTAGTTTGGCGCCAACAAGCTGAATTTGTGGAAAAATACCTCAAAAAAGGCGCTCTAATCGCAGTTGAAGGTTGGTTTACTTCCTCGGTCTACCAAGACAGAAATAACCAAGTTGTTGTTCGTTACGAAATTACCGGCGATCACGTGAGCGCCCTAGAAACTAAATCAGTCGCCGAAGCGCGCAATCAAAACCAAAGCATCTCCCGCACCCAGGAGTTACAAATTAACGCCGATCAAGACGAAAAACCTAGCATCAAAGATGAAAATCTTGCTTCCGACCAAAAGAAAGATGAGTTGGCCGAAAGCGACGTGCCTTGGGACCTTGATCTTTAACCCATCAAAAGTAAAGGAAAGTTTATGACGATTCGAAAAACTAAACCTCGTTCAAAAGTTAAGGGCGGTAAACGTCGCCGCAAGAACCAGTACATAGGGCGTGAAGTCAAGTACGTGGACTACAAAAACGTCGAATTACTAAGTAAGTTCATTAACATTCACGGTCGAATTTTGCCAGCCCGCGTCACCGGAGTCAGCGCTCTCCAGCAACGGGCAATTTCTAACGCCATCAAAAGAGCTCGTTACATGGCTTTGCTACCTTACAGCAACGAAAGAATCAAACGCTAATAACGACTATTTTAGATTTTAATCAAGCGGGCAAAAACCAGTTAACGATCGGAGAGTTTTGGTTGGGTGTTTTAAGCATGGCTCGGAAAGTAAATCACTATATAATTTTTGGTGAAGATGAAAATTAAACGTTCAAGCTTAGCCGTGATTATTTTCAGCGCTTTGCTATTCGCAACTTACTTAACCATCATTGTCTTGCTCGGGTTTTACTTCCGGATCAGTTTTACTTACCGAATGGTGCTTGTCGGACTTTTAGCCGCCACGATTGTGATGCTTTTGATGCTCGGTGCTAACAACTACTGGTCGATCAAAAGACGGCGGGAAAACATCGGTAATTCGTACGAGTTTTACGTCGATGATCTCATCAACACGACCGGCGTAGGCGTGATTATTTTTAGCAAGGACGGCGAAATTATTTGGGTTTCGCGGTTTGTAGACGAACGTTTTGAAAAAACGTTGATCGGTCAAGATTTAAACGTGCTGGGAGAAGACTTTGCCGAAAAACTTCAGTCTGGCAAAGATAAATTTCGCTTTGAAGCTAACGCTCTGGTTTACGAAGCGCAAGTCAACGCCCACAACCGCACGATCGTAGTCAAAGATGTGACAACCGAACAAAATCTGCTCCGCGCTTACCGCGACGAAAAAGTTGTTTTTGGAGAACTTGAGATTGATAACTACCAACAACTCCAAGGTGTTTTGCCCGAAGACGAACTTTACCGAGTCCAAACGATCGTTTTAAAGATGCTAGACCAACTCGTAAACCGCTACAACATCATTTACCGTCAGTACGTACACGGCAAATACATCTTGGTCTGCAACGAAAGCGTGCTGGAAGAATTTAAACGTCAAGAGTTTAGTTTTCTTGATGAAGTGCGCAACGAAAACGTGATGAATGGCGTTCGCTTGACGATTTCAATTGGTTTTGGTGCCGGATCAGCTCAACAAAAAGAGTTGCTTGAACTAGCCAAAGATGGACTGCTTCAAGCTCAGTCGCGCGGCGGCGATCAAGTGGCGGTTGAATACAGCAACTTAAAACCGCGCTACTTCGGAGCTAAGACCGAGATTGCAGCTCCTAGTTCGCGGGTTAAAATTAAACAAATTACCTCCATGATTGAGGAAAAAGTTCGCCAAGCGTCGGTGCGAAACGTGATCATTTACGGTCACATTGACGCCGATCTTGATGCGATCGGAGCCGCTTTTGGAGTGTACGAACTACTCAAAAACATCGGTAAACCGATATACATTCAAAACAAAATTTACGATAAAACCGTCGAAAAAGTGCTTGATGACTTCTTTGAGCGCGACGAACTTGAGATTTTCATCACCCCGGCTCGAGCCCAAAAACTCACTTCCCGGGGAACGGTGATTTTTATCGTTGACACAGCCGAAATAAGCCGGATTGAAAACCCGCGCGCGTTTGACAAGGCTAACTTAAGCAATGTTTACGTAATTGACCACCACCGCGCCAGTCAACTACCCAACGAAATACCAATCGAAAACATTTACATTGACACGTTCGCTTCTTCCACTTCCGAAATAGTCACTGAAATGCTGATTTTTTCCCGCTACGCGGTCAAACCGTCCAAAAATTCGGTCCAACTGATGCTGAACGGCATCTACCTTGATACCAAACAATTTCAAAAATCGATTTCTTCCAAAACCTTTGACGCCGCTTCTTGGCTAGAAAAACACGGCGCTCAATCGCAAATCGCCTCCGAAATTTTGAAAATTCCGAGCAAATACTCAATGCTGGTTAACGCTATTTTGAGTGAACTTCGCGAAGTTAAAGAAGGCTATTTTCTAGCTGCTTACGATGGCGAAGTGCCCGATGACATTGTTTCGCTGGCAGCTGACGAAATTTTACGGACCCAAGGTCGCAAGGCGGCTTTTGTGATCGCCAAAACTCCCGGCAAAAAAGTTTGGAAACTTTCGGCGCGCGGGATTAACACCAACGTCCAAACCATTGCTGAGCAAGTCGGTGGTGGCGGACACTTTGGAGCTAGCGCGGCTCAGTCAACCGAACCGCTCAACGTTTTCCTTGACAACGTAATTCAAGCAATCGTCTCCCGGAAAGGCGATAAATAATGCGGGTTATTTTGCTTGAAGACAGCGAGTTAGGCAAGGCCTACCAAGTGGTTGAGGTCAAAGACGGCTACGCTAAAAACTACTTGATTAAACGCCGAGTAGCTGTTCCCTACAATCTAAAAACTAAGCATCTCCTAGAGAAAAAAATTACCGATCTGAAACAAAAATCTGAGCTACGCAGTTTTAAACTCGCGCAACTCAAAAGCGCAATTGAAAACCTTGCTTTCACCTTCAATCTCAAAGTGGTTAACCAGCGCGTTCACGGTTCAATCACCCGCAAACAAATTTGCAAAGAACTGCGCCAGCATCAAATTGAAATCAACCCCTTTTGGATTGAAAACATCAAAATAAGTGCTTTGGGAAAAACAAAAGTTCCAATTAAACTTTCCAAAGATATTACCGCTTGGCTTCCGATCGAGGTGAAAAGCAATGGAAACTAAAGTTGACAATTTGCAAATTGAAGCGGAACTGCTGGGACTTTTATTCATTGAACCAGCCTTAATTGACAAGGTGCGTGGCTATCTCCAGGTCGAAGACTTTGAACAGGAGAAACACCGCGTAATTTACCAAGCAATTCTCCAGCTGCTCCAAGACAACGTGGAAATCGAACAGTCGCTCGTTCTCCAAGAAATTCTCAACACAGTTAAGACCCACCAGACGTTCCAAAACACGACAGCCCAAACCTACTTGTCCCAACTGATTGACTTAGCCGGGATCCGGACTAATTTGGACAAGTACGTCCGCGAAATCGCTAAACGCTCGCAACGCCGCAAAATTAAAGCCATGCTTAAGCGCGTTAACCAAAAAATCACCGATGAAAGACAAGACCCGGACGATTTAATCCAGGAGTTCCAACGAGAAATTTCGCAAAGCCGCAGTTTTGAATACCGCGATTTTGTGGGTGCTGAAAAAATTATTGAGAGAACCATCTACGAAATCGAGCAAAAAGTCAGCGGAAAAACCGTCTCCGGTCTACCAACCGACTTTCCTTCCTTTGATGAATTAACTTTGGGATTTCAAAACGGTGACCTAATCATTGTGGCGGCGCGTCCTTCAATGGGAAAAACTGCGTTTGCTTTAAACGTCGCAACTAACATCGCTAAGCACAAGCGGGTGGGAATATTTTCGCTAGAAATGTCGTCAGTGCAACTTTTCAACCGCATCTTAGCTTCGTTTAGTTTTATCCACGGCAACAAAATTCGTCACCCCAAAAACTTAACTCCCAACGAAACGCGCAAAATGTACGTCGCTACACGCGAAATCAAAAAGTTAAATTTATGAGTTGATGATTCGCCGGGACTCAAATTAGCTGATTTAGTCTGAAAAGCTCGGCGCCTAGCCAAAGTGGCACAAATTGACTTGCTGGTGATTGATTATTTGCAACTGATCTCGATTACCAACCGTCTGTCGGAAAACCGCCAGATGGAAGTGAGTCTTATCTCTAGCACGCTCAAAAAATTAGCCCGCGAACTTGACATTCCGATCGTGGCTCTCTCACAGCTTTCGCGCCGGGTGGAACAGCGCGAAAGCAAAATACCGATGATGTCCGACCTACGTGAATCAGGTGCAATTGAACAAGACGCTGACTTAATCGTCTTTCTCTACCGCGAAGCTTACTATAAGCGCGACAAAAATTTAAACTCGGAAATAGATCAGACCGAAATCATCGTGGCTAAACACCGCAACGGAGCGACTGGCAATTTGATGCTCTCTTTTAACCCTAGTTACAGTCTGTTCACCGATAAGAAGGACTAGCAATGTCGTGAGCTCTTCAATTAGCGTTTGTAATCGTCTTAATTTTGTTGCTTTTCTTCTCAATGTTTTTTTCGGCAGCTGAAACAGCCTACTCGTCCGTTTCCAAGTACACGATTGAAAAAAACTTGCGCAAAAACATTCGCTCGGCCCGCTTGATCAAAAAACACTACAAATCTTTCGGATGAACGCTGGCGACTATCTTACTTGGTAACAACTTGGTCAACATCGCCTTTTCCTCTATTTCAACCACTTTGATTACTAGCATGGTGACTAATTCCAACATGGTTAACTCACCGTTAGTGCCGATCATTGTTACGGCCATCGTAACGCCGGTGATCGTCCTATTTGGCGAAATCATTCCCAAACTACTGGCTAAGCGTTATTCTTACGGCTATCTATCCAAAGTGGTCTATTTAATGGAATTTTTCAACATTTTGCTTTTCCCGCTCACCTTTCCTTTCTCACGGATTGCTCTTTCCTCTAAAACTAACATCACCGAAAAAGAAATTCGTGAAATCTTGTCCATCGCCACCCGGCAAAAATTGATCAAGCAAGAGGGCGCTTTAGTTGTCTCCCGGGCGATTGGTCTTAACTCACTCCGAGCCAAGGACATTATGACTTTGCGCAAAAACTTTGTCCACGTTAAAGTGGAGGACACGCTGGAATACTTGCTCGAAATTTTTCGCCGAACTGGCCATTCGCGTCTCCCAGTCATGCGCGGAAACCGTTTCGTAGGAGCGGTCATGCTAAAAGACATTCTCCACAAAAATTTGGGGACGGCGGCCGATTACATCCAGAAGATTCCCCACGTTGACAAAAATTTGTTGGTCGGTAAAGTTTTGGAAAAATTACGCATTAACAAAACTCACATGGCCTTTGTGACAACCCGCAAAACGCAAGGAAACGCCGTGGTTGGTCTAGTCACGGTCGAAGACATCATCGAAGAAATTTTTGGCGAAATTTATGACGAACACGACAACTCCCATTTAATTAACCAAATTGCTCCTAACCGCTGGGAGGTTAGCGGCGATCTAAAAATGCGTGTTTTGGCCGATCTAATTAAAAACGTTGATTTTGAAAGCAGCCAAGATTTAACCGTCAAACAGTGGGTGCAAAAAAGAATCAACCGCAAAATTCACCTTAAATTGAACTACATTTACAAAAACAAAGTCTATTTCCGCGTCATTCAAAATAAAAAAGTTTTGGGTACCAAATTCTCGGTAAGATTAAAGTGAGAAGAGATTTAATTAGACTAAAATGACTTTTTGGTTTAAAATTACGAAGTTTGGTCTTGAGTTAACGAGCAGTAGATGAAACAGCAAACAATATCTTTCTTTATGCAAAGGAAACGCTTTTCCTGGGTTTGACTAATCGGGGCCGCTTTTTTATACGCGTTTGGAATTAACGCCTTTGTCAACGCAGCCGGCATTTTCCCAACCGGGCTGATGGCCTTTGCAAACTTAACAATTTACTTGGCGCCCGCGGCAACGCCCTTTGCTTCGCTAATCTACTTTGCGCTTAACATTCCGCTGATCGCGCTTTTTTGGAAAAAAATTAGTCCCCGTTACATTTATAAATCGCTCTACTTTTTAGTCTTGCAAGCGCTTTTCGGACTATTTTTTCTCATTCCCGGAGTTGGAGAATTTTGAATCCAAAGTTTTTGGTCGGGGCGCGACATCGAGTCGATTCGCGCAGAGCGTTGAACAGTCATTCTCCTCGCTGCAATCGGCGCTGGCATTGTAGCGGTCGGGATCGGAGTGGCTTGAAAAACCGGTGGTGGCACAGGCGGAACCGACATTATCGTGTATTACTTTTCGCACCGCTACAAAAAATCAGTCGGTCTGATTAACACGTTTGTCTCTCTTTGCATGGTGGCTATTTCCTTCACAATTTCGGTGGGACTTAACCGACCGACTTACAGCCACGAGTTGTGGTTCATAATTTTGATCGGTACCATGACTTACCTTTTTGTTAGCGTCATTATCATTGATTTAATCTACCCTAAGTATTCCAAAGTAAAATTAGATATTTATTCCAACCAACCTGAAAAAGTTTCGGCCTACTTAAAGAACAGCAATTTTCACCACGCTTGGTCAATCATCCCGCTGAAGTCTGGTTACACTGGTCAAGATAAAAAAGTGATTACGACCACCATTTTGCTTTTAGAACTAGGCGATATCATTCGGAAACTTTACGCCATTGACAAAGACCTTTGAATCATCGCGACTAAAATTAAGTTTAACTACGGTCGCTTTAACACTGCTAGCGTTGACTCTAGTTAGTTTAAACCGATTTTCTGAGCAACTAATTGATACTGTTTGTCGGCTACTTGGTTAGCACGGCGAGCGCCTTTTTGCACGATCTGATCAACTTGGTCTAAATAGTGTTGGTAACGATTTTGGATTAACGTCAAACACTGCTTAACTTCGTGAGCCAGAGCTTGCTTAAGCGGTAAATAGCTGTTTTCTCCGGCGAAAATTTGACTGACTGTCTTGAGACTTTGGTTAGTCAGAGCGGCGTAAATGGTTAGCAAGTTTTTAATACCCGGTTTTTTGTCGTCTAAGTAAACTTTGTTTTCTGAGTCGGTTTTTGAACGCAAAATTTTCTGAGCCGCCAACTCGGGATCGTCAAGCAGAGCGATCAAACTTTTCGGGTTGGGATCCGATTTGGACATTTTCTTAGTCGGATCGCTGAGCGACATAATTTTGGCTCCGACGGCCGGCAGAAGCGGCTCGGGCACTTGAAAAGTTGGTCCGTACTTATTGTTAAAGCGCTGCGCTAAGTGAGCCGTCAACTCAAGGTGTTGCAACTGGTCGGATCCGACGGGCACCAACTTAGGATTGTAAAGAAGAATGTCGGCGGCCATCAAAGTCGGGTAAGTCAAAAGTCCGCCCCGAATTTGCGTCGTCTGATTAGCTTGTTTTTGGCCTTTATCTTTGAACTGGGTCATCCGGGATAACTCGCCCACCGTGACGATATTTTGCATAATCCAAGCGAGTTGACTGTGGGCCGGCACGTCAGACTGGTAAAACAAAGTCACCTTCTCAGGGTCAAGACCGCAAGACAAATAAAGAGCCGCGGTTTGTTGGCGGTTTAATGACAAAGTTTCCGGATCAATTTCGATCGTCAAAGCGTGTAAATCGGCCACAAAAATAAACAAATCGTAACGATCTTGCAGAGCAACTAACTGTTTAATCGCACCGATGTAATTTCCCAAAGTTATTTTTCCGGTCGCGGTAATACCGGTTACAAGGCGAGGCTTGGACATGGTAAGTGTATTTTACCCGATTAGTTTTTATAACAATTTGGATAATGTATAATCAGTGTGCATAAGCCTAGGTTAACCATAAGGATGTAAGGATGAAAAAAGTTTTTGACGCCGAAAAATCAGAATTAGTCATCAAAGCCGAAGTTGACGGCGCTCAGTGGGTGACCGCTCAAAAGAGTAGCTTTGAAAAAATGCGCAACTCGCTTTTGGTCAAAGGTTTTCGCAAAGGCCAAGTGCCCGAAGCAATCGCTAAACAACACATTAGCAAGCGGGAAATTAAAGCCAAAGCGATTGACAAAATACTTGATGATCTAGTCAAAAAAGCGCAGGAATTAATCTCTCCCGACGATAAAGTGCTCGATCAACCGGTGCCTAAAATCGCCAAAATTAGCGACCAGGAACTGACGATTGAACTGCGTTACGCTGTTTACCCAAAAATCAATTTGGCCAATTACAAAAACTTGGGAGTTAAATACCAAGAGACTTCGGTTCAAGAAAGTCAAATCGAAAAAGAGCTGGAAAACTTGCGCGAGAAACACGCTCTGTTAGTTCCCTACGAAGGAAAAATCGAAAAAGGTCACCTAGTCAAATTTGATTTTGAAGGCCTTGTCGAAGGCAAGCCGTTTGAAAACGGCCAGGCTAAAGACTACGTTTTAGAAATCGGATCCCAAAAATTTATCCCTGGCTTTGAAGACCAAATGATCGGGTTAAGCAAGGGGCAAGAAAGCGAAATCAAGGTTAACTTTCCCAGCGATTACAACGTTAAATCTTTGCAAGGTAAACCGGCGGTTTTCAAAATAAAGATCCACGAAATTAAAGTTAAGCAGCTGCCTGATATAGACGATAAATTGGCCCAAGAAGTCGGTTTGAAAAACGTCAATAATCTCAAGGAGTTGCGCCAACACATCCGCGAAATGTTTGTTGAACAAAGCGCCATCCAAAGCCGCAACAAATTTATTCAGGCGGTTTNCCCCGCCGTTAGTGTTGGCCGGAAACCAAGCGTTACGCTGGCTAGTAAAATCACGGAACCACTGGTTAAAAGCGTCCCAAGTTTTGGGACCAACCGCGAACCACCCCACGTTAGTTTGGTAATAGCCCGAAGAAGCCGAAACAAACAAGATTGAGACAACTAAAACGCAATAAGTGCTGGTTTTAATTTTGATTCACTTAGGCAAAACTAATCGCCCGCTAGTTAGGTAACGCAGTGCAATGTACACGACTAACGCGTAAAAAAGCGGGTTGTAAAACCCAAGCATTAACCCAACCGTGTAACCGTGGATAGTGGTCATGACCGGAATGTCTAAAAAAGCAAAAATTTGGAAACTAACCGCCATGATGAGTAAGCAAGTTCCAAAGATTTTCTGATCTTTTCACCACAAGTAAGGGGATTCTTTTTTTGTTTTTGACATCGGATTACGCCACAATTATAAACTTAACTCGCACCGTTAAACTTCGTAAAAGGTAACTAAAACAATGGGGGTCTTTTCAATTAGGCGCACCAGTAATTTTTTCAACCTTTTTCGAACGCTGTTTTGAACTTCCTTAATATCCCATTTTTCAGCTTGCTCAACTTTTTGCTCTAAAACTTGCCAAGTCAAGGCGTGTAGTTCTTCAATTTTAGACTTGCCGGCCACGCCCACAAACTGGATAGCGCTGTTTTCGCGGACGATTTTTTTGCTCTTCGGGTTAATTTGAATCGCAATGCTGACCAAACCATTGGCGGATAAAACTTCCCGTTCCTTGATTACTTCGTAGGAAATGTCGCCGATTCCAAAACCATCGATTATGACTTCGTCTTGCTCTTTAATTCGTCCCTTCTGGGAAACGAGACGTCCGTTTTGGAGTCACACCACTTTGCCGTTTTGGAGAACAATTGATCGGTCCTGGGTAATGCCTTCTTGAGCCGCTAAATTTTTAGCAACCACTAAGTAACGGTAAAGAGCCGAAATCGGAATAAAGTACTGCGGTTTTAAAACTCGCACCGTTTCGCGAATGTCAAGATCGGCCGGACGAAGCGAGTAGTAATCGCTGTAAGTCACCTCGGTGATATTAGCCGTTGTCATAGTGACTTTGTCGAGCATTTGGGTGTACTCTACTTCAAGACCGTTAATCGGCGGTGCGATCATAACGATCCGATCGTTACTTTTTAACTTGAGATAAACATCGGCGCGCTCAGCGATTCGAACAAAGCGCTGGTAAAGTCTTGACCAAGTGCCCGTGATCAGCACGACCGCGTTATCGTGCTTACTAATTGTGCGGTAGTCTAAAATGCGCGGTTCGGATAAGTTAGGGTGCTCGGTTTTGAGAAAGTTGTAGAGAGTCTGGTAAGTCCTTCCGTACAAAACAACTGGGCGGTTGTACTTGACGCACAACTCAAGCACTTCTTGAAGAACGTACATTTCTTCGTCGTAAGCTCCGACGATAATTCTCTCCTGAGGAGAAGCGTTTCTAAACTGGGGTTCGATGATCGGAACCACGCTTTTGTGCTCCGAGGAACGTCCGTGAAAATTAGAGCGGCGTGCGTCTAACATGAGCGCAAGAATTTTGCGGTTGGGCTGAGCGATACGGTTTAAACTAGTTTTGCCAAATTGACCAAGGTCATCGATGATAAAGTTAGACATAAAAACAATGTCGCCGTCGGGCGTCAAAAACTTGTAGCAGTACGAACCAACGATTGAGTTAGCGACTTCAAAGGGCTCAACTTCCAAAGAACCAAAATTCATGCGGCGGTTAATCACTTTAATCTCGTAGTCGTGGTGGTTTATTTTGTACTTAGCAATGCGGTCTTTAATCACTTTGCTAGTGAAGTTAGAAGCGTAAATCTTGACGCCCTTAAGATCCATAATCAGTCAGGGCAGAGCGGCAAAAACGTCGTCGTGGGCGTGGGTAATGAAAATGCCCTTGACCGATTTACGGCGCTTGATTAGGTAATCAAAACTCGGGATGATGCCGTCAATTCCATAGCGATTGTTGATCGGAACTTTGATCCCCGCGTTAATCACGTAAATGTCGCGATTAACCTCTAAAACATAGCAATTCTTGCCGTTTTCGTCTTGTCCACCGAGTGCAAATATGTTTATGTCAGCCATCTTAATTGGGTTCCTTTTGTGATTGAGATCAAATTAGTGGTGCTCAACTTTGGTAAAAGAAGGAGTTCTATTCTTTCGCCATTATATACAATAAAACCGATCGTAGATCAATATCGCACTATCTTGGCTAGATAAAAACAATTAATTCCCACGTCAAAGATAGTGGTTTGCTTGTCTATTTGCTAAAATCTTATCGTATAATAACTCTGCCCTAAATGGCGGGGTGGAGCAGTGGTTAGCTCGTTGGGCTCATAATCCAAAGGTCGCAGGTTCGAATCCTGTCCCCCGCTCCCATGGTCTAGTGGTAAAGTGGTTAATACACCTCCCTGTCACGGAGGAAATCGCGGGTTCGATTCCCGTCTAGACCGCCACGGCTCTGTAGCTCAGTCGGTAGAGCAACGGATTGAAGCTCCGTGTGTCCCTGGTTCGATTCCTGGCGGAGCCACCATATCACTTCCCTCACTCCTTGAAACGCAGGGGGTGTTTTTTTTAAACAAATTGACCGTTTTACCAATATTTAGTTGGAGGTAAAACGCCCTAAATGAGTATTGAAAGCATTAATAAAATTCCCTACCGTGACAAAAAACTTCTGATCACTAAAGTTTGCTTAATGTTTAAAAAAATTAAAAACGCCCACAACATTTACGAAACCAAACTTAAACACTCCCACAACTTATCTGATTCGATGAGAAAACAAAATTTACTCAACATCAAAACAATGTCGATCTTTGAAACGATTTTGTCTTTGTTGCGACGGGATTACGTGCGCATTTTAGAGAAAGATTTTATTGAGATTGACCCCAATCCGCACTGATATTTACAACACTGATCCAAAACCACATACTACAAACTTAAGCACGAAGCAATCGACCAGTTCCTTTTTATGCTCTATGCTTAGCGAACGACTTGACTTAGTTACGGTGGAAGAAAAATTCGAGCTCAAACCGTATTTGTTTCTCAAAGGCGAACTAACTTGACCTTACGTGAGCGGCATGTCTGAGCCGGCTTGAATTAAGCGAAATTTGATCGATGATACTTTTGACGTTGATATTTTTATCCACGAAATTCCAATGATCGGGCACGGCGCAGGCAGTTCCTTTTTAAACATCGATAACTCCCATCAAATTAGCCAGAATTTCCAGACAAGTTTTCCACGTCCGATTCTTAGACACACTTACCACCGCAGCCAGTTTAACAACCGAAAGTTACGCTCGACGAAAATGATCGCCTTTGGCGTCAGGCGTACTTACGCGGGCAAAGCGCGGCCGATTGATTACGTTACTTACATCTTAACTCCGCATTTTTACTACCCGGTTAGTGAAAAAACGCTTTTGCCCGGTCAAGCACTGTACCTAAAATTTCCGAAAAAAATCGCGTTCAAAATCCCCCGGGAAGACGGGCATGGAGATCGGCGCTTTAACTTTAAAACTGGTAAATTGAAACGCAGTATCCCGATCACCCAGATCCAGTACAACCACATGTTCGTGGTGCCTTCAAAAATTGATCCTTGAAAACCTGCGCAAGTTTTAGCCAAGATTTACGTTCACAACGACGACGGCACATTGCCCACCTTTGATCATTTTGCTAACAGCGGTTTTTTGAAAACTTCGGCTCTAGCAAACAATCAAAAACTGGTTACTTACTTTGAAGGAAGTAAGCAACCGATTCAAACTAATTTGCGAACTAACCACGAAGCATTTACTTCCTTCTTAGTCGGTCGCATCTTAACTTTCCAGACCACCTTTTATGACTACCAAACTGGTCAAGTTAAAATCGGGAGCGGGCTAAAAGCTCAAATTGGCGACCAAGTGCCGTGAAACTTTCACGGCACCTACCAAAGAGAACTCGTGACTGGACTTAACGGCGTTTACACTCGTTTTGCACTCACTTACATTACCAAAATTGAAAAACCGATTCTAGACGCTTACCACGGACTAATTAGACTCTTGATTAACGAGTATTACTCTCCCAAGGACGAAGTTAAAAAAAGTCGTTATTTTCGACTGGAAAACCAAAAAATTCTTTCAGACTACCTTAAGCAAAAAGGGCGAACTTTAAACTTAGAAGTGCTTAGGCGGCTCAGTGAAAAGTAAACTGCTGAAACTGCTGGGGGCGTTAATCCCACTCGCTGTTTGCGTAGGCTCGCTGGCCTTAATTCTAGTCTTAGTTTACACAACCAAAAAAAGCGAACCTGATCGGCAGCAAAAGGAAAAACCGATCACCTTTAAACCGGGCGTTTTACCAGACTCAAACCGGGAGCTCTTCCCTAAAGTAACTAGTCAAGACTTTTACCGCCACCTAAGAATTTCCTCCTCGCAAGCGATTATCACCGAATCGATGGTGAGCGAGGTGATCGCTCACGTAGTCAGTCGAGTTGAAATCGGTAAGAAAGATCGTTTGTGGTACGGAGTTAACCAAATTAGCGCCCAAGAAGTGGTCGTTAGCTTTGAACTTGAGCGCGAAAAAAAGCGCACCAGTCGTACTTACCGCCTGCTAGTCATGTAGGTCTCGCCTAGGCAGACTGGTATAATTAAGACTATGAATGTTAAGAAAATGGTCTTTGAAAAATTGAAAACGCTGACAAACCAAAAATTTGATGAAAGTTCCGAAGTGCTGGCCATCGGCATTGATTCGCTTGATTTGGTAGAACTAATTACCGATGTTGAGGAACAACTTAAAATCGCAATTTCTGACCAAGAATTAGAAAGCATCAAAACGATTGACGACATTATCAAAACGATTGAGAAGAAACTTCCGGGCCGCAAGTAGACTCATGGTATCCAAACAATTTGTCGGCCGAAAAAAAGCCAATTTAATTAAACAAGCGATCGCGTTGATCAAAAAATCTGATAAGGTGGCGCTCTTTCACCACGTTTTTCCCGACGGAGATACGCTTTCTTGTTCGTACGGTCTGTGTTTAGCTTTAAAACTCCGCTTCCCTGAGAAAGATATTCGCGTGGTAGGCGATTTTAAGGCGCTCAGCGATCTGTATCCGTTTTTAAAACTCGCTAAGGAAAACTTCGTCAATAGCATTGACCAAAGTTGACTGGCAATTGTTGGTGACGTTGCCGTCTCAAATCGAGTTGCTCGGTTTGAAGAATATCAAAAAGCGGGTCAAAAAATTTGCTTTGACCACCACCAAAATAGTTTGGATTTTCGAGCCGATGTTTACATTCAAGATCCCCGGTACAGCGCGTCCACTTTACAAGCTTTTGAAATAATCGAAAGACTGAAAGTAAAACTTGATGAGCAAAGCAGTTTTTACTTATTAATCGGGATTTTAACCGACACGGGAAACTTCAGTTTTAGTTTAGCCGATCAAAAAGCTCCGCTCTATTATTCGGAGTTAGTTAAAAATGTCCGCGATAAAACGCTCGATTTTTTCTTTAAAAATTTCTACTCTAAAACTAAAGAATTGCTCCTAGCTCAGGGCGAATTTTTCCAACATGTTGATTTGCAAGGCAAAGTAGCCTACGGCGTGCTTGACCAAAAATTCGTTGAGAAATACCCCGAAATAGCTCCCAAACGTTTGTTGCCGCTCATCGCTAATGTCAAAGACTATCCTGTTTGACTACTCTTTGTCAGTCAAATTGACGAACAAACTAAACAAAGGTATTGAAAAATCAACTTCCGTTCTAACAGCGTTAACCTAGTTGAACTGGCTAACCGCTTTGAAGGAGGAGGTCACGCTCGCGCAGCCGGAGGCCGAGCACCAATCGAGCAAAGTCCGGCCAAAATAGTTCAAAAAATCAATAAACTACTTTTGGTGAGCAAAAAAGTCGCGCTAGACCAAAAATAAATTAAACCGATAGGGGTATAGTTCAATCGGTAGAACAACGGGCTTCAAACCCGTGTGTTGTGGGTTCGAGTCCTGCTACCCCTGCCATTTTTTTAACGGACTGCTAAAAACTATGGTTAACCCATTTGAATGACTTAGTCAGCACTACCAAAATTCGCCCGCGGGCGTTTTGCTAATCAGTTTAACGATTGATTTCATGTTGATAGCAACGAGCGGGTTAATAATCCACCATCTGTTAAAAAAGTGACGACTCGAAATTGTCGGATACTTAGCGATCGGCTTTATTTTAGGCAAGAGCGTTCTCAACCTCCTTAGTTACCCTCTGGTCGGCTCAAAAGGCACGAGTCAATTTGGCTCTGACCAGTTTGAATTTTTGGCCAATTTAAATTTGGGTTCCTACTTAATCAGTTTTGCCTTGGTAGTCGTGCTACTCAAAGCTGGCTTAGGGATTAGCGTCCAAGTACTACGCAAAACTTGGCGCGACAGTTTTTTGCTCAGTTTTATCCCTAATCTTTGTGAGGCGTTGGCGGTAACTGTTTTGAGCCACTTTTTGATCAAATTACCGTGGCTTGAATCCGTGATGCTCGGTTTCATTATTTCGGCCGTGTCTCCAGCCGTGGTCGTTCCTTCCATGCTCAGAATTGAAAAAGAGGGTTATGGCACCAAGCGCCACGTCAGCCAAATAGTTTTAACCGGAGCTAGTTTAGACGACATCGTTAGCATTACCGTCTTTGGAGCGACGATCGGAATTTGAGCCAAAGTGCACCAACTTTCTGACTTCCCCGTCGGCGGACTAATCAGTTTTTTGCCAACCTGACTGAGCGGAGTCGAGGAAATCATTCGCTTTGCCCTCGGTTTGCTGCTGGGACTTTTGCTGGGACTAGTTTTGGCAAAGTACTTTTTTAAAAGTGTTCACCAAAAATTTAGCGTCGCTATTTGCTTAGGTCTGCTCTTAGCAATGCTTTTTACCTTAAACCTTTGAGCGGGCGTTTTGCTAATCGCGGGAACAATCATGGTTGTCGCCGCCGGCTTTGCAATTAAAAATGTCAACCCATCTTTTGCTAAGCGGGCCGAAAAACCTCTCGACAAAGTCTGGGAAATTAGCAAAGTGCTGCTTTTTGTTTTAATCGCGGCTAAAATGGACATTCACCAAGCTGATGCTGGGCAAATTATTTGAATTTTGCCAGTCCTGCTGGTCGGTCTTTTAGCGTGCAGTTTAGGGGTAATGATTTCGTTAATTAAATCGCCCTTGAACCAAAAAGAGCGGGTTTTTTGCGTGCTGGCTTACCTACCAAAAGCGACTGTACAAGCCGCTCTAGGCGCGGTGCCACTGGCGTTAGTAAGTAACTCGGGTAACTTAGTTTTAATCGCCTACGCGACAACAATTTTGTCTTACGCAGTTTTTGCGATTCTAATTACCGCTCCGCTCGGTTTAGTGCTGGTTGAAAAAACTTACCGACAACTACTGGAAGTTGCTTAATTAATCGACCGTTTGACGGTGTGCTAAAACACCGGCCACGCCGGGACCAATGTGGTTAGCGATGACGGGCGGAAACAGTTTGACGTTGGTGATCGGTAAATACTTTTCAGCGATTTTTTTCAGATGATCAATTTCGGGATGGTTGCCGTGGTAGATGGAAAACTGGAAAGCAGGGCGTTGGCGGAACTCCTTAGTGATAATGCGAGTGATTTTTTCAAACGTTTTATCAAAAACGCGACCCTTACCAAACTTTTCTAATTTTCCGTGTTCTAAAGCGATGATCGGCACGATTTTAAGTAGCTTGGCCATTGACGCTAAACCGGGTGAAACGCGGCCGCCGCGAACTAGTCAAGTTAACGTCTTAGGAATCGCTAGGCCGAACTGCTGACTGGTTAGTTGCACCGCTGCCTGTTTGATTTTTTCCCACGGCTGACCTTGCTTAGCTAAACTTAAGAGAATTTCACAATCGGTTACGATTGAGTACCCGACCGCCTCCGAAGGGACGACAAAAACGTTAGGCATGGACGCGCTGTTGTTGATTAAGTTTTGGGTCTGAGCGGATAAATGTTTAGAAAGAGGGTAAATTAGCACGTAGTCGTACTTAGCAACCATTCTTTTGAGCGTCTTCTCAACTAAACCAAGCGGTGTCGTGGCAGTTTTAACTTGCATCTCAAGTTTGATCATGTTGTAATACTGCTCAGCTGTTAAATCAACGCCATCCAAATAATCTTTGCCGTCAATCGCGGCGATAATGGGTAAAAATCCCCATCCTCTCGCTTGAGCTTCCCTTTCGCTTAAGGCACAAGACGAATCGACAATAATCCCTAGTTTCATGGCGAGTTAATTATACTTAACCCCTTAAAATTAAGTGCGTTAAGTTGGTCTCTCATCGGTCAAAACGTTTAATGTCAGTCGTTTCAACTAACTTATTTAAAGTGTTTATCAAAAAGAAAGTCAGGTTTCTTTAATTCGGCCGCAGCTCAAGAATGACCAAGGTAAATTTGCTCAGCCTTATCGTAGTCGCCATGGTCAAGCGAATTAATTTTCTCCATTTGCTCGGCGGTTAAACTGAAATTATCGACTGTCAAGTTCTCAGCCATGCGCGTTCCGGACGAACTTTTCGGGATTAAAATTAAGCCGCTTTGGTAAACCCAGCGCAAAATTACCTGGGGAACGCTCCGCTTAATGTCTTGGGCTATGGCCGTTAAAATGGCGTTTTCACGGGCTGTCATCCGACCGTCTAAGTAAGATTTTAAGTTGGAATAACCAGTCACGGCGATGTCGTGTTCTTGACAAAATTTAACTAGTTCTTTCTGCTGAACGAGCGGTTGGAATTCAATTTGGTTGACAACTGGCTTGTGGTGTGCAATCGCCAAAATTTCCTCAAGGTGGTTAATCATAAAGTTGGAAACACCGATACTTTTCGTCAGTCCTAAGTCTTTGGCCTTTTCTAAGTAGCGGTAAGCCTGGACATTTTTACCTTTTACTGGTCAATGCAAAAGCAACAAATCAACATGCCTAACTTTCAGGCGTTCTAAGGACTGTCGCACCGATTTAATGAAAATCTCCTCGCTGTTGTAGTTGGGCAATCAAACTTTAGTGGTGATGAAAAGTTTGTGACGCTCTAATTTTTCAATCGCCTGTCCGATTTCGTACTCATTGTTATACACTTGCGCTGTATCAATGTGACGGTAACCAACTTCGTAAGCTTTCAAGACTAATTCGCGAGCCTGCTTGGGTTCAATTAACCAAGTTCCGTAACCGATTTGAGGCATTTTGTTGCCATCGCTTAACTTTATCAGTGTCATTTTGCCGCCTTTAAGATCAAACAAGTAGTTTCAAAGGTAATTTTAAACCTCTTGAAACAAAGTTAAACATCTAAAACGACTTTGCTTACCGCGCCTTGCCCAAGCGCGGTTGTATTAAAATTAGGTTGATGCTAAAAGGCGCGGCTTACATAAACGGGCAATTCGTTGAATCGGCAACTAAACTAACCATTGTCGGTGCTTTAAAACAAAAGCCAATTGGAACGGTTCCCCAGCTAAACGCTGAACAAATTAACTTGGCTTTTGAAGCAGCGTCGGCAGCTTTTAAAACTTGGTCGTTCACTGAATGGGAAAAACGAGCCAAAACGTTAAAACGGTTGGGCGAACTCTTAAAGGCCAACTCGGAAAAAATTGCCAAAACAATGGAGCAGGAGATCGCTAAACCGCTTGCTCAAGGTCAGCAAGAAGTGCAAAGATCAATCGAATACATTGACTTGACAATCGCGGCGTACCGGAAAATAAGGCGTAAAAAAGTGACCGTCGCAGGCAAAACCGCCACTATTTACCGCGTCCCGCTCGGCGTTGTTCTCGCTATCTCCCCTTTTAATTACCCGGTTAATTTGTCGCTCAGCAAAATCGTGCCAGCTTTATTAGCGGGCAACGCGGTCGTCTTCAAACCAGCCACCAACGGCTCGCTAGTCGGTTACATTTTAGCGACCTTGTTTGCTGATCTTGACCTACCGCCGGGCGTTTTTAATTTTTTGACCGGCTCAGGCAGTCAAATTGGCGACTTATTAACCCAGCATCCAGCCGTAAGTATGATCAGTTTCACGGGCGGTATCAAGGTCGGAAGGCGGATCGCCCAGCTAAGACCGCTCATTCCGATTGTGCTTGAGTTAGGCGGCAACGACGCGGCTTATGTTCGACATGACGCGGATTTAAAACTGGCGGCGCAGTCAATCGCCAAAGGAGCCTTTGGCTTTGCTGGTCAGCGGTGCACAGCGGTTAAAAGATTAATTGTCCACGCCGATGTTAAGAAGACTTTTGTGCCACTTTTAATCGAGGCCAGTCGCGAGTTGCCCACTCTGCCGCTAGTTAACACCGCTGCGGCCGACTGAGTCGTCAAACTGCTGGCTGAAGCGAATAACCGCGTTATCTTGGGCGGCAAAAGACGCGGTAACCAATTTGAAAACACGATCGTCGAGACTAGTCCCCGTAGTTTGGCCTGGAAAGAGGAAGCCTTTGGACCTTTGCTACCGCTGGTAATTTGCCAAAGCGATGACGAAGCGATCAAATTGATTAACCAGACCCACTACGGACTCCAAAATTCGCTGTACACGCGCGACACCAAATGGGCCCAAAGCGTGGCTCTCCAAATCGAGTCGGGCACCGTCAATATCAACGCCGCTTCTTCGCGCAGCCCCGACCAGTTTCCTTTTCTAGGCGTGAAAGATTCGGGCGTCGGCGTCCAGGGCGTTGAAGAGGCGCTCCTATCGATGACGCGCTATCTGAACGTGGTTGAATAATGAAACGAGCTTTGCTAATTGATCTTGACGGCACGCTGCTCAACGACCAAGATCAAATTAGCCTGTTTGACCAAAAAATGATTAACCAGGCTCGTCTGGCTGGTTGGCAAGTTTACTTAGTGACTGGTAAGTCACTGCAACACTCGTACCAGTTTTACCAACGTCTTGGTCTAGATTCCTGGTTCATTACTTCGGCTGGGCAAGTGATTAGTCGCCGCAAAAAAATTGTTTGGCAAAAGACAATCCCCTTTTCAGTGCTGAAAAAACTCTTCAATCAATCGCTCCTAACCGAGCATGTGGGCGATTTCATGGTCCAAACCTCGCAAGAGATTTTGGCCACAAACGCCGCTTCACCGCTGATTAGTCCGCTTTTTGGTCAAAAAATACCGGTTAAAAAAATTGCTTGAGACGAGGAATTTCAGGCGATCGGCTGCTACTTTACTTTTCAAAAACGCGCTGATTTAGATGTTTCAAAAATCACCCGGCGCTTAGCAAATCGTTATCAAAATGAGTTAGACTTCCACCCTTGGGAAATCTGGCCCGAAAAACTAATTATTCACGTCGTGCCCAGCCAAGTCACCAAGTACACCGCCTTTGTGAAAGTCAAGCAGTGGGACCAAATTTCTTACACGGTTGTTTTTGGTAACGGTCGCAACGACATCCCGCTTTTTAAAAAAGCCGACTTAAGTTACGCCATGCTGGGCTCGACGCCGGAAGTGATTTCTTACGCCACCCACGTCAGTAGTTTTGACCATAACCACAGCGGAGTCGGCCAGGAAATCCAAAAACTTTTAAAAAAATTGTTGTAATATTTTCGTTGTCTAAATGTCGTAGCGTTTGAAGAGCGCAAAACGGCAACTAGTTGCGGACTGTTTTTTTAAATTTAAGGATCAGGAGCAAAACATGGCAGGGCAAAAAATTTACCAACGTTTGTTTACCTCCGAATCAGTCGGAGCCGGGCACCCTGATAAAATGTGCGACCAAATTGCCGACGCGATTTTGGATGCTTGTCTCAAGGAAGACCCTAACAGTCGCACCGCGGTTGAAGTGGTCGCTTTTAAGCGCACCATCTTCGTTTGTGGGGAAATTAAGACCCACGCCAAACTTAACTACCGGGAAATCGTCGAAAAAACTATCCAGCCGCTTGGCTACACCCAGGATGACTTTACGATCATTATTAGCGTCAACCGCCAATCGCTTGACATTCAAGCGAGCGTTGATAAAAAAAATGGTCAAATTGGAGCCGGTGACCAAGGGATTAAATTTGGCTACGCTTCGCGCGAAACTCCGGAAATGATGCCTTTACCGATCGTGATTGCTCACGAATTACTTAAAACGGCCGAAAAACTGCGCCAAAAGAAGCAGTTTCCGCACGCCAAAGCGGACATGAAGTCGCAAGTTAGCATCGACTACGCCCAAACTCCTTTTAAGTTGGACACAGTCGTGATCTCGATTCAACACGAACACGATTGCGATCTCAAAAAGTTTAAGCAGTTCATTAAAGAAAAAATTATCTGGCCCGTCGCTAAACGTTACCGTCTTAACACCGACTGCAAAATGCTAATCAACCCGGCCGGCAAATTCACGATCGGCGGGACTTTTGCCGACACTGGTTTAACTGGTCGGAAAATAATCGTTGACACTTACGGAGGCAAAGGCCGTCACGGCGGTGGTTCTTTCTCGGGTAAGGACTACACCAAGATGGACCGATCGGGAGCTTACGCCGCTCGTTGAATCGCCAAAAACATTGTCGCGGCCGACTTAGCCGACGAAGTAGAAACCCAAATTTCTTACGCGATCGGAGTCAACCAACCAGTTTCGGTTAGTTTAGAAACTTTCGGCACCCACAAAGAAGATCCGGCGTTAATTCTAAAAGCCGTTAAAAAGGTTTTTGATCTCTCGCCCTCGGGAATAATTGAAAAACTAGAACTCAGAAAACCGATCTACCAGAGTCTGGCGACTTACGGTCACTTCGGACGACTTGATTTAAAAAATCTGACTTGGGAAAAAACCGACCAAGTTGAAAAATTAAAAAAGGTCATTAAGACTTTGAAGAGAGCTTAATTTCTTTGGTACCAAAGTAAGCGTGCAACGCCGAGGGCAGTTTAATTTTTCCGTCCACTTGGTGGTTTTCGATTAAAGCTGCCAAAGTGCGGTCAAGCGCTAAAGCTGAGCCGTTGATCGTTCACGCGTAATACTTTTCTCCGTCGGCGGTTTTGCCCCGAATTAGACTGCGACGAGCTTGAAAATCGCGGCAAAGCGATACCGAGGAAATTTCGCGGTAGGTTTTTTCGGAAGGCAACCAAACTTCAAAGTCAATCGTTTTGCTAGCCGCAAAGCCAAGGTCGCCAGTCGAAAGTAGCACCTGCCGGTAAGGAAGTTCTAATTTCTCCAAAAGTCGAGCGACTTGGTCAACCACGCTTTGAAAAACGGCCGGTCCATCGGCCGGGGAAGTGATCGCGACCAGTTCCACTTTGTGGAACTGGTGACCGCGGATTAAACCGCGCGTGTCGCGGCCACCTGAGCCGGCTTCAGCCCGAAAGCAAGGCGAGTAAGCGGTTAATTTAATCGGCTCGGACAAATCCAAAATTTGTTGACTGTAGTAGCCAATTAGGCTAACCTCACTAGTCGGGATAAGGTACCAACTGCGGTCGGCGATTTTAAAAAGATCATCGGCGAACTTAGGTAGTTGACCACTGCCGTACATGGTTTTTTCGTTAACTAACAAAGGCAAGTTTAACTCTCGAAAACCGCTTGACAAGTGAAAGTCAAGCATCAGATTGCCGCACGCTCGGATTAAACGAGCGCCCCAATCTAGGTAAGTTCAAAAGCGGGCTCCGACCATTCGAGCCGAATTAACAAAGTCAAAAAGATTTTTTTCGACGCCGAGTTCGTAGTGCGGTACAACCGAACGCGAAAAATCAAACCTACTCGGTGCCCAAGTTTTGAGAACTTGGTTGCTGCTCTGATCGGGCCCAACTGGCACGTCTTGCTCGGGTAAATTCGGAACACTCGCCATTAAATGGTTTAAAGTTTGCTCAACTTGGTTAACTTTTTCCTTAGCAGTTTCGATTGTCTTTTTAAGTTGACTAACTTGCTCAATAATTTGGTCTTTAGCGCTTTGGTCGCTTTTGCTCAGCGCAGCAAAACGTTTACTTAAAACGTTCCGATCAGCCTCTTTTTTTTGAAGATCCGTCAGAATTTGCGAACGTTCACGCGCCAAGGTTGCGATTTGGTTAAGAGTCTCGCGATCAAAACCTCTCGTTGCCAATTTGTCTTGTACTAGTTGCAAATTCTCGGTGATCGTTTTTAAAGAAAGCATACGTCAATTATACCGAGTGAATTTGACGAACCTGTTTTTGTCCGTAGCGCTGAAAACATGTCTCAGCGCGCGTAGTATGATTGGTTTATGGGAAAAAACGGCCTTAACATCAGCGACTTACTGAGCCCGAAATTAATTTCAGAAATGGGCGGTTTAGAGACTATGCTCGGTGAGCGGTACTCGCTAATTAAACAAATTGTGGACCATAAATTTGCGCCTTCTTTGTTGCTCTACGGACCCCCAGGAGTGGGTAAAACTACCTTGGCGCTGGCGCTGGCCCGTGAGTTAAAACTGACCTACCACGTTTTTAACTCGGCCCTTGATAAAAAGCACGCGTTGGAAAAAATTATCCAAGCCTCGCGGGAAAAACAAATGTCAATCTTGATCGTTGAAGAAATCCACCGGATTAATCGTGACCGCCAAGACATCATTCTCCAAGCGCTTGATCAAGAAAAATTGTTGCTTTTTGCTACCACGACCGAAAACCCTTTTTTCGTAGTTAATCCCGCTCTTAGAAGTCGGGTCCAAATCATCGAAGTTCATCCGCTCGGTTGGCAGCAAATTTTGCGTGTTTTAAAAACCGCCGTCCAAAAAATTGCGGCGGTACAAAAAATCCAATTTGCTGATCAAGCGCTGGAATTAGTGGCTAAGGCTAGCAACGGCGATTTACGCTACGCGCTCAAAACGATTGAACTGGCCGCCCGACTTTTCCCCAAAAAACGTTTAATTAACCCCGCCACAATGGCCGGTATTTTTAACTCAACCCATCTCACGGGCGCTCACTACGGCGATCAGCACTACGATCTTCTATCGGCCTACCAAAAATCGGTTCGTGGCAGCGACGTAGACGCCAGTCTCTACTACTTAGCCCGACTTTTAGCGAACGGCGATCACCAAGCTTTGATGCGTAGGATGCTCGTCACGGCTTACGAAGACATTGGCCTAGCTAACCCAATCATCGCCGTCAAAGTCAAAACTGCCACCGACTGTTTTCGCCAACTCGGTTTGCCCGAAGGCATGATTCCGCTCGGGCTGGTGACGATCGAAATGGCGCTAAGCGAAAAATCTAACAGCGGCTACTTGGCAATTAAAAAGGCCTACCAGGTGGTCACCAAGGGCGGTCAGGCGCACTCGGTGCCAATTCACCTCAGAGACGCGCACTACAAATCAGCCGCTAAGCTTGGTCATGGCCAAGGGTATCTTTACCCCCATAACTTCCCCAGCCACTTTACTGAGCAAAGTTATCTGCCAAAAGAACTTTTAGAGAAACGGTTTTTTCAAATTGATCGTTCAAACTTATACGAACGTAAATTAGCTGAGTTGTACGAAAGATTTACCAAAAAAACTAAATCTTAAGGTCGGGATTATCGCTGATGTAGCCGTAGATTTGTTGCTGATAAATTTGTTTAGACCGGTTAACTTGGCGTTGGTTTTGGTAAGTTCAACCGATCAGCGGCAGTTTGATCTGTTTAAAAGTTTTGATGTAACGCCTAGAGTTAAGTAGCTGAAAAGGCGCGTGCAAATAATCAAAGTTAGCGTTAGACAATTTGGCTAAATCGCTGATGCGGTTAAACAAGAAACCCTTTTTAAAGCGGGGCGGCAACTGGAGAATCTTTTTTTGTAAATCAGTGTCAAAACTGGAGACGATGATTTCAGCCGCTAAATTTTTTCAACTTTTGATTTTGTCAAAAATAATCTTAATTTCCTGGGAGCTGTAGTGGTCAGGCTTAATTTCAACGTTGATTAAGCGGTAATCTTGACCCAACTTAGTCATAAAATCATCTAACAAAAGCGGGGTAAACTCGGGCTGATTTAGAAAAAAATCGATCCGTTTAATTTCCGCAAAACTTAAGTTTTTCACCCGGCGCGGATCATTAGCGATGCGGTAAAAATCTTCGTCGTGAAAAATTAAAACTTGGTTGTCGCGGGTTAATCGAACATCAAACTCAACCGCTTGGCAAAACTCAAGCGAGTTTTGGAAATCAACGGCCCGGTTTTCCCTTTTTCCCGAGCGGAACCCGCGGTGAGCAATTAGGTAAGCCATTAGCTAGGTCGGTATCCGATCCACTCGTCAAGAGTTTCATAGTGCTCTGCTAAAGCGTCGTACCAACCTAAAACATGCCGAACATTTTCATTTTCATAAACATGGTGTTTGACGTAGGGAAGTCATTTTTTAGTGTGTCGGTAAGCGACTAACGAATCGCCCTGAGATTGAAAGTGGTAAACATTTTTAAACGTAGCTAACTTTTGGCGACTAATGAAAGTTTTGATCGGTCAGCGCTGGAGATAAAAAACGAGTAAGAGCGGTAAGTAAGCTAGTCAAATAAAGATCCAAATTTGCCGGTACCCGAGTCATATCACGTTTTTAAAAAATGAAAAATAACCCGCGTCAACGATAAATTTATCGGCTTGCCGATTACCAAAGCGGTCAATAAAACGGTAAACAGTGGCGCCGCCCATCGACTCGCCATAAACGATCAGTTTGGACGGACGCAAACGTTGCTTAACAAAGTCGGCCACGTCTTTGAGAAGTTCGGCCTCTTTTTTTCCGAGCGTGGTTTTGCCAAACCGACGCGAATCGCTCCAGCCGTAATTGTCGTAGGCGATCACGCTGTAATTACGCGAATTCCAGTACTCAACCAGTCGCAAAGCGCTGCAGTGGTTGCTAACCAAACCGTTGACAAAAATGACGATTTGAGAACTTTTTCCGTGGCGATAAAGTTTTAGATCACCAAAGCGAGTTGGAATGGTTTGAAAAGGGCGTTCAAAATCAGTTAAGTTAGGTAGTTTTAAACCGCGTTCGATTAACTTCTCCTTTTCCCAATTTAAAACCGAGCGGTGAGTGACTTTTCGGTAAGCTAAACACCGGACGCGAATTCAAACGTAAAGAGTGATCATGGCTAAATTTTCCCACGCTTAACGCTTTGCTTTTCAAAAAGATGCTCATCGGTTTCACGAGTTAAGTAATCTTGCTCACGGAAGAAAAAGGCGATGATGAGCAATGAAACGGCGACTGCGATTGACATGACCAGCCAAACGAGAAAACCTTCGGCGCCAAAAACAACCGTTTTAGATAGGAAGGCGTTAATTTGGAAAAAAATTACCCCGCCGATCCCGTACGTCACCGAGTTGAAAATCACAAACACGGTCGGACGGGTGTTAAGAGTTGAAAGTCGCGAGACAAATTCGTAACCTAGCAAAATTGTCATCGTCGCCACACAAGCCTCAGCTACTCCGCCGAGCAGGTCAATCACCAGAGGATCCAAACCTTTGACTAGGTAAACGGTAGTCCCGATCATCAGTCAACTCAAAGAAGAGAAGGCCGCGATTAAAAGGAGCATTTTCTTGAGTGAAAAACGACCGATAATTTTCAGCATCACAAAGGCAAACAAAACCCGTGGCAAAGTTGAAAAAATCTTCTGGTAACCGATGTGCTGGACATTTTTAACCGCCTGGGCGGTTTTGGTTAAATTTTCGACCGTGTTAACCCAAATGGAATTAAAAGCTTGGATGGTGCCGATCATCAAAGTGAAGGCCAGTAAACCGATTAAAAACGACTTTTTAAAAACAATGTCTTTCCAAACCAGTTTTTGGTTGATGACGTTGGAATACTCAACTTCCTTAATTTTACGTTCGCTCAGTTGGCGACTAACGTGCGATTCGCTGAAGACGTTGTTAGGCATTAAAAACGCCAAAACTAGCGCTAAAAGCACCAGCGATGCGCCAACGATGTAGTAGGGGGTTCCGCTTGCGTAAGCAATATTCTTAGCGTGAAAATTAAAGTGGAAGTAGATCTGAGTCATGAAAAGCGACCCAACTCCGGCGCCCACCTCGTAAAAACCGCGAACAAACGCAATTTTAACGTTGCTTTTCCGAGCTACCGACGTTGCCCAAGGGTCGAGAGCGGTGCGATAACCGTAGCCAAAGGCAAAAATGGGCGTGAAAACCACGATTAAAAGCAAAAGCGACGAAGCTAACGGCGCCAAGGTCATTAGAGCAAGCGCAAAAATTAACACTAGTGGTAAAACAATCAGACGGTAATTTTTGCGTTTGTTGACGGCCAAAATAACTAATGGCCCCGAGACGAAAGCGGCAAATAGACCGCCGCCAGCAAAAATCAGTCCCTCCAACTTAAAAGCTCAGTTAATCCGGGCGTCGTAATACTGCACTAGATTGCTGTCTTGATCGGAACTGATTAAAGAGTCAAGTTGCTGGTAAAAAGATTCGGTGGAGTCGACTCCGTAATCTTTAAACACGATTAAAATTTCTTGACCGCTCAAAGATGTGAAACTGACTTGCCCGCTAGTTAAGTCATTAACTAGGCGACCGTTAAACAAAATGACTTTTTGGATAAACCACTCTAAGTCGTAAAGCAAGGCCGAGGTCAATCCCACTATGACCCAGAAAGTTATTAGGATAAAGGTGGCTCGACGTTTTTGCTGACGTAAATCCATGGGGCCTACCCATTATATCGTCCGGGCTAGATTAGCGAAAAAATTAGACCCATTTTTCCACTAACGCGAGTGCCTCTTTGCGAACTTCCTCCAAACTTTTGTAGTTGGTGTCAATCCGATGGTAATTGATTTTTAGCTTCAAAAAAATGTCCTGCATGAACTCGTCGTACTGGGTCAAAATCTTGCGGAAAAAATCTTGGTTGGCTTGGAAATGTTTGAGCTCGGCCGAACGACCCCGCTCTAAAACCCTTTTTTGAAAAGTGCGGAAATTCAAGGTCAGTAAAATGTATAGTTTGGGCACCCCGAATTTACGGACTAATTCCTCCACTTCAGCGACTCACAAGTCGTACCAATAGGCAAAACTAGTTTTGGGCAAAGTGTTGCGCGCGAAAATAGGCGCCTCAAAAATTGAGCGGTCTAAGACGTGCGCTTTGTGGGCACGAGCGTGATTTTCGTACTTCATTTTCCGCAGTTTCAAAAAGTAAAACTCGATTACTTCCGGGTGAACATTTTTTTTCGAGTAACTAGCCTCAAGCAAAATTTTCAAAATTGGGTCGTCTTCATCAATTTCGTTGACAAATTCAAAGGGTAGTGACTCGGTTAAAGTTGTTTTACCGGCCGCAATCGGTCCGCCGATTACGATCAAATTAGCTAGTTTCATTTTAGTCCTCGTTTGGTTAACTCTTCTAAGACTACGTTGGCGATTTGCTCGACGCTGAGATGGTCGGTCTTAATTTCAAGGTAGTTTACGCCGTAGTCGGCAAAACTACTGAGCATGTGGGTGCGGTAACTTTTGTGCAATTTTTTAAAGTAACGGCGGTTGGCACGGTAGTTACTAACTTCCACGTAGCGGTCGCGCGCAAAGAGACGTTTTTTAAAAGTTCGTCAGGAACAAGTTAGCAGAATGTAAAGTTTGGGCAAGCCAACTTTTAAAGCCAAATTATCTCAGCAATTGGTTCACAGCGCTTGGTAGTACTGAAAATCACGCGGCGACTTGAGTAAAATTTTGGCAAAAAGTAAATCCTCTAAAATAGACCGGTCAAAAGCGTGGGTCTTAGGTTGGTTAGCCAATTCTTGGTACTTATCAAAACGTTTGAAAAGCATGTCAAATTGAAACACTTGGGCGGCCAATTTATCGCCGCGGTAAAGTCCCGCCAACAAAATTTCTTGGAGTTGATCATTTTTGATTAACTCCGGCACAACTTTAAAAGGTAAAGCATCAAGCAAAGCGGTTTTGCCAACGGCAATCGGGCCGCCGACAACTAAACAATTCGCTATTTTGTGCATTTACTTCCTAAATTTTGGGCGTCAAAAGACGTATGGCGCGCCCAGAAGGACTTGAACCCTCAACCTCTTGGGCCGTAACCAAGCACTCTATCCAATTGAGCTACGGGCGCAGTTTGGAGGCACCAACCGGATTCGAACCGGCATTCAAGGTTTTGCAAACCTCAGCCTTGGCCATTTGGCTATGGTGCCCTGTCAGACCTAAATTATACATGGTCTGTATATATAATGATACTACCATGGTGCACCAAATTTTTATTGCTGTAATCATCGCACTTTTTATCGCTTTTGAAGTTTACGTTCTAGGCAAAAAAATTTCGTTAACCAACAATTTATTCATCAATAACGAAAGTGCGGTTTGATCGTTAGGCGCAACGACCTACTTAGGATGCACATTTTTAGCTTTTTTGCCTTTTGCTTGAATAACGCCCAACATCGTTTACTTGATCATAATTTTTGTCGCCAAAGATTTCCTAATTTTCTCCTACATTTTTGTCGGCAAAGTCCGTCTCCGGCTGGCCAGCATTGACTACCAAACGCTTTTTTTTATTCTGCTGGCCGCCCTGACGATTTTACTTTTTTATAACTTCGTAGTCCAAAGAGAAATTGTGGCGGGTCCCGAAACTAGTCGCTTTAATTTTTTTGGCTTTCTCTGGGGATGAACTCAAACCGTCTTGAGCAGTGTCAGTGCCTTAAGTTTAGAATTTGTGAAAAAATGGATCGTCGGATTTTTGGCTTTAAGCGTAGTGGTTAGCGCAGTCGGGGCCCTAGTGATGCGTTTTTCCCGCCAAAGAAACTTGGGAGACTACTTAATTAGTTGGTTACTAACTTTTTTGATGGTGATCTTTTTTAATTTCAACGGGAAAGTTGAAAATTTGCTCGGTGTTTACCTAGTGCCTTTTTTGCTTTTAATTGCGCTTAACATCGTTCAGTTTTCGCGCAAAAGGTACAGTTTTGTTTTTGTAATTGGATTCCTAGTCGCCTGAATCATAGAAAACCGACTTTTTATCACTTTGAGCGCTTTATCAATCGCCGTTTCGTTGATTTACATCTTTCTCAAAAAGCCAATGCCGGCGCTCTTTTTCTCCCAACTGATGATTCCGATTCTCGTGATCTTGGTCAGTTGGTTAAACTTTTGAATCGTTTACCCTTTTTTAGTGGTGCTGGCAATCGTTTACATAGCGATAACGATCGCCAAAACAACCGAATCAATTGCTAAACTTAACCGTTCACTCCAAAAAAATAACCACGTCATTCCGATCCTATTTCTAGTCACGATTTTGATCGTGGCCACGTTAGTGCTGGCTTTTTCGCCGCTCAGCATAACCGAAATTGCCCAGGAAAAACACCTTGTTTTTGATTACCAAACTTTCGGCCAAAACGGGGAAAACGTAACGGTGCTCAAAATTGTTCAAGCCGTTATTTATGCGTTAGCAGTCGCAGCGCTAGGAGCGGTTTTAATTGTCTGGTCAATTTTGCGCACTAAAATTATCCACTGACGAACCGGGGTCGTAATCGCGGGTCTGATTTTTGCGATCGCTTTCAACCCTTTGATCTACCCCGCTTTAGCTTTGATCGGTCTAGCCGACAATTTTACCTACTTGAGAAGCGTAACCTTTGTGCCGCTGATTTTGTTAGGACTAATTAGGTTGCGCAACTGAATGTACAAAACTATCGAAATTTAACCAACTTCAAATTTTTGCCAGCCAAGACTTGCGCGACTCCCCCGTTACGAAAATCCGGCCCTAAAATAGAGGCCATTTTTTTGAGCACAGGATCGGCGTTTTTAAGCGCTATCAAGTGGCCAACGTGACCCACGACGGTCGAGTCGTTGAGTGAGTCGCCCACGTGGGCGGTTTGTTCAATTTTTTTGACCCGGAGTAGTTTTTCCCAAACGTAGCGGTTAGCTTTGCCCTTAGTGGCGTTCTCGTCGGTAACTTCAATTGTCCATCCGTGGGTTGAATTAACCACTGATGCTGACGGCACTAAGTTTCTTAGCTGCTCGGTTAAACGTTTGATTTTGCCTCTCCGACGCCCCCAAATCATAATTTTGGAATAGTTCTTGGGACTCACGGCGTAACTGCGCGTCACGCGGTAACCCAGTTTGCGGACAAAAAAACGGCTAATCAAACCTCTGACTCCGTAGGCGATCGTTTGGTCATCGCATTTAAAAGCGAGTTTGTTTTTGCGAACAAAACCGAGCACAGCTGAGATTTGGCGCGAGTTCATGCTGCGCACTAAAACCGGTCGGTTGTTTCGGTCCACGATTAATGCGCCGTTAGCGCAAACTGCGAATTTCACGCCCAACTGCTCAATAAATTTGGTCGCTTTTATACCTTGTCGACCAGTCGAAATAATCGCCTGGACGCCGCTGGGTAAATTTTTGATCGCCTGGACGTTCGTCTCAGAAATCTGGTCGTTTTTTTGATCAACTAGCGTACCGTCTAAATCAAGAAAAAAAACCTTGATATTAGCAACTAAGTTTTGCATGTTTATGAACTGCTCTCTGGCACTGGTAAAACTAACTTACCGCTCTCAATTCAGCGCTGTTTTAAACTGGCTCATTCATCGGGATTGCGACAACGCAATCAGTCAACCAAGTCGGCGTCAACATCTAAATTGTAATTTGGTGAACATCCCGAGGACGTGACTTGTTGGTACCATTTCTCAGCTTTTTCCAGGTGGTCTTTGACTTGCGCCTGGTTAACTTTGAAATTTCAGTTCTTAACTTTGCGGCGCTGAATGTCGTATTTTTCGGGGTTCTGGTAGTCCTGTTCTTCCAAAAAAGCGGCCACAATCGAAAAACGCTCGGCACCGATTAAATAAGCGTAAATTTGCGCTTGGCAAATGTAGTGGCTGGGCGGGTTTTTTTCGCGCCAAAAAGCCCAATTCTTTTCCGCGGTTGTTTTTATTTCAAGCAAAATGCCTTTTTCACGCACGTAAGCATCGGGCAACCCACCCACAACGGGATGAGTGTCGGCAAAGTAGTCGTAATCATACTGAGCGGCGTCAAAAGTTTCGATTGAGTGGCTAAATTTTTTGCGCAGTAAATCAAGCACGATCGGCTCAATTTTTTGACCAGCGTTTAAATATTTGCGATCCAAAGGCGGATGGTCGATTCAAAATATCCGGCAGAAAGCGGCAAAGGGCGAGCCGAAACGGCTTAAGTTTAAAACGTTGCCGATTAAAGATCCACCAATTTTTTTAATCCCAAACTTACCCCACAAATTTTTGTGACGAAGTTTGTTTAAAAAAGCCGGCAAAATTTGGACTCGTTTGTTGACTTCATCGAGTTGGTATTCTTGCCCGTTGTAAAAATGTCGTTTGATGTTTCCGCCCCAATTTATTTTTTAGACAAATTTAAGGATGCTCAGCACAAGCTGGGCCTCCCAGTTGTTGAGCTGGGCTTGATCTTTTGGTTTAGGAGAGATAAACTCGATCTTTTCGCCTTGGTCGTATAAATCACCGGGTGAAACGCTAATCACTTCAGGGTCAGCCTCCGTGTTTGAACTTTTCACCAAAGTGTACTGTTTACCATTAACCCAGTTTTGCCAAATCTGTGACTGAGAAATCGTGTGCGACAAATTATGGTACTCCTGGAGCATATCGTTGTAGTAAGTAAAACCTTGTCCAGGTATAGAAGCAAAGGAAGCTAATCGAACCGCCAAAGTCAGTCCGATTGCGTGACTGGTCACGGCCGTCAAGTTGTTGGCGGGCTCACTTTGAGTTTGGAGAATGATCTGATTAACTTCTGCTTTGGTTTTAACCGCGCCGTAACCTAAGCCCACTTCTTTCTGAACTTTCTTCAATGCCTCGGCAACCTTGGTGAAGTTAAAATTTGCGCTTTTACCGCCACTTTTGAGAACTAAATTCGTCTTACCGAAGTTAATTTTGTCCAAGTAATCTTTCAAAACGGCAAAATCTTCTTCACTAACGTACTTTTCGTTGTCCTGGGCGTCGGTCAAAAGAGTCATCATTTGGTCGCCTCTTTTAGGCATGAAAATTTTAAAATTTTTGTCAAGTTGGGTAAAGACATCTTTAACCGAACTGGTCGCATCTAAATCAATCACGACCGAATTTTGCTGCTCTGGGTCTTCCCCGTTTGAATCCTTCTGACCTCCGCAAGCGACGAGCGCAATGGCGGGCAACGACGTGATGCTTAAGAGCGGTCAAAATATTTTAAAAGAGCGGTTTTTTCTCACAACTAATCCTTTGGTTTGGGTGTATCCCAAAGATTATACACCTTGATCCAAAGGGCCGACTAGCTAATCAGCTTCGGAGTAAATTTTAACGATGTTAAACATTAACTGAGCTTCAAAGTTATTAAGTCCAGCTAGATCTTTTGGATAAGCCAACGCCGATGGGTCATCAAAGACCGCTTTTAAAACTGCTAGGTCGCGACCGTAAGCGCCGTCTTTGTCAATTTCATAAACGCCAAGTTCCTTAAAAACTTTTTTGTCTGACACCGGATCAGCTAAGAAAGTGGTTGGTTTTTTATTGGTCTCAACCACCTGGAAATCGTCGCCTAGACTTAAGGTATTTTCGTAAAGAACTGTCTCTGTCTTTTGTGGCTTGTAAGGGTCAACGGTTGTTATGCGAACTTTGAACTGGTGCCTATTTTGCTGTTTGTCCTGGTCTTTTGTCGGCTCTTTGGAATCGACTTTTTGACCGTTTTGATCTGACTTCTGATAACTGACTTGGGTTTGCAAATTAATTTTTAGACCGATCTTTTCAAACCGTTCGACTTCCCACTTTAAAAACTCGCTGATGGCTTGTTTGATCGTTTTGATCCATTTTTCCTCTTCAAAACCAGTCTTTTCTTCTCCCTGCTTCCAGGTTTGCTTTTGATCGTTTAAAACTGAGTTTCAGTTTTTAATGGTGATGTTTTCCCACATGTCTTGAACCGCTTTAGTGAAGTTAGCAAAATTGTTGGAAAGTTCGCTTTTAGACGAAACTAGCCGGTATTTTTTTCCTTTTGACCAACTTTGCCAAACCTTGGAAGCGGTGATTTCTTTGGAAAATTCGTGCAAAGCATCTAAAACATTGAAGAAGTGCTGTCCGGTATCGCCGGGCAGCGCAGCAAAATTGACAAAGTTAAGCGCAAAATTGAGACCCAGCGCGTGACCAGCAATAGCGATCATGTTGGTAATCGGAATTCTATCGTTGCCATCCCAAAACATTTTCATAACTCTATCAAGTGCCTTTTTTTGGCTGGTAACTTGGCGGTAGTTATCGTGTTTTAATTCTTTCTTAAAAGCTAAAATGTGCTCACGAAATTTGTCCATCTTAAAAACTTGACTGGTCTCTCCGTGGGAAATTTTTAAACTCACAGCCGAAGTGTTAATTTTGTGGGCGTAGTCAACAAATTTTCTGTACGAAGCCTCGGTAATAGCAGGTTGGGTGTCGGGGTTTTTGGGAATGGTAATACTTTTGGACGGAACGAGCTTGGCTAACAATTTAGTCGCCAACTCGGGCATAAAGAGATTGTACACACCGTTAAAACGCTCAAAAAAGCCGTCGATTCCTTCAACCTCGTTAAGATTGATTTCGGTGGCATGCTGATCTCTTTTTTCTCAATCCTCCTGCTGTTTTTTTTCGTCAACTCCGCTTGAACAAGCGAGCGCCGATAGAATCGGTGCGCTCGTGATGAGAGCCGGCGTAAGTGTTAGTAAAAATTTCCGCATCGTAGTTCCTTTTTAAGAGATTGAACTATCTCTACCTTTCGTGAATAGAAATTATTATACACTTTTTTTTAATTTTGTGTCATGATAGAAATAGAAAATTAATTTGCTTAATTTACCGGTCTCAATCTTTACTCAGCGAGACCCGAAAGTAAGTAGTAAAGGAACTTCCCTTTTCAAAGCGATTGCTCAGAAATCGCCGCGTCTAGGTAATAGGATCCGTTCTCCTCAACGGTTAAATCGACTTTCTTTTTTTTCAACCAATTCTGGAAAACTGGCTGGTAAAACATGGTGTCGATTCAAACGTCTATTTTGCCAACCATTTGGGCAAAGTTTTCAAAACTGCTAGCAGGTAAGTTAACTAGTTTGGAAAGTTGGAGTGCAAAACCAGGTTTATAAGCCAGCAAAGCCGCCACCAAGCTAATCGTGGTTAGTGACCTTCCCGCTTCGGCAACTTGAATAAAGTCCTTGGGGGTCCCGTTATCGCTTAAACCGTTTTTCTCAACGTCGTATTTTTTATCATTAGCGCCAGAGTAGTTGGCAAACCCGTTGATAATTTGCTCAATTTCCGGTTTAATGTTCAGTTCAAAAAGACGGGTGCTTACGTTTTCAAACTCAAGCTTTAGTTTGGTAATTTCGCTTAGAGCGTAAAAATAACCGGCCTCGTCACTCGGGTTAGCGTAGTAGTTTCAATCGGCAACCGCTCAGGCTTGGTCAAACGGCCGAGTGGTGCGCAAAGCGCTAATCGTTCCGAGCAGGTCAATTAGTTCGTAATGGTTGTTGACAAGCGCTAAATTAACCGTCTCTTTTTCAGGCGAATAAGCTCGCGAAAGTTCTGTCCACGGACGGACTTGGTACTGTCCGGGCGAAGCCACGTCGTGTTTAAACTCGTAACTAGTTTCGGTGTCGCCACCAAGCGGTTTTCACCGCGACCAAGTCGTTGAGCAACCTAAAGTGGAAATTGGCGCTAAGATCGCCAGCGTTAGTGGTCCAAAAATTGCCAATTTTTTCATCTAAACTCCGATCGCCTCGCGAGCTTGCTGCTGTTTCATCGTCATAATGCTGACCACCGTTGAAGAAACAAATATCACGCCGATGGCTAAGAAAGCAATTAATACCGCTCACCAAGAAATGGCAAAGGGGATCAAAATCGAGCCGAAATTGATCACGAAAATTTTCAAGGAAGTCAAAATCCCAAACGCAACTGGTACGCCGATCAAAATTGAGGCACAAACGGGCAAAGCGTAAATCAGCGCGAACATCCGCATGATTTCACCTCTTTTGTAGCCGAGCGTCCAAAGAGCGGCTATTCTTTGGCGGTTGGCGCTAATTAACAGGCCGGAAACGATGGCCGCGAATAAGATTGACAAAGTGACGGAAATCATCTGAATGATTCAAATGATGTCTGAAGACAGGCGGGAAATNTGCTGTTTATCAACGCTTGGCAAAGCCGCAAAAGAGTAGTTAACCACCGTTTTATCATCTTTGATTCTTTTAACTGGCACGAGTTTGGTCTCAAATTTGTGCGATCTAACTGCGTCGCGGAAAATTCTGATTTGTTCGCTGTAGTGGGTGAATTCGCCTTGATATTCCTGAACTTGCTTAATGTCAAGAAAATTTTGTTTCCAACGAATCGATAAATTGACGATGAAATCAAGCGTGGATAAGGCACGGTTAAAAACTTTCCGGTAGTTGACTTCTTGAAAGCGAGCGTTGCCTGACCCCCGGATGAAAATGCCCCAACCCGCTTGGTCAACCTGAGCCTTAAAAAGTCCAACTAGGTAATTCACTTTTCTTTTCACCTTTTTGTAAGTCGGCGCGTAACAAGTTATCAGCACCAAGTCGCGTCATTCGTAAATGTCGTACTTAAACCTGATCGGCAACTTTAAAATTTCGCAAATGAAAATTTCACGCACGTTGGGAACATGGGTGTTTAAGTTGAAAGCTAGAAATCCCTTGAATTTAGCGGGGCGATTGGCAACGTCTTCGGGCGTGGTTAAATGGTTGGATAAATCGGTTTGAACTCCGAAGTCTATTTTCCAATTGACCACGATTAAGTAATCCGAAACTTTGTCGAGTTTGCTCAGTTTCACGTTGAATAAGAGAGGTACGCGCTGTCCGAAGTGACGCGTACTGCTGTACTTAAATGCGTAGGAAATCTCAGTTTGGCCGTTATCAATTTTTTGGAGAGCTTCGCGGTAGAGTTTAGAGTTCTCCGGGTGCTGGGTAATGATTTGAACCACAAACTGACGACTTAAGTGGCGTCGCAATTTGTTCTCTTTGATCTGATCGTCCACGGCAAACTCGTGAGTTTGGAAATTATCGCTGCCCGAGTAATCGGCTCGGTAAGGAGTAACTTTCCTAGTCATGGGATCTAGTTTGTACACAAAAACGCCGCGGTGTTCTTGAACGTTAATGTTTTTTTGTCAAAAATTAGAGAGCAGCAAAACACTGAGCGCCAAAAGTAAGCCGCCGAGTAAAAAACCAACTACCAAAAAGTACGAAAAAATCGTCACTAAGATCCGATCCTCTCGATCGATTTATGGTTTTTCATCAGCGTTTTAATTCCGTAGGGTTTTCTAAAATCAATGTCAATTAATTCGTTGTTGACGTTGATGACAGTTCCTTCGCCAAAAATTATGTGGGAAACCCGGTCGCCCGCAACAATGTTTTCGTTGGCTAAGTTCATAGCTTCCGAATCAAGGTTTTCGGAAATAAAACTTTTGGTGAAACGACTAGTGTTAATACCCATTTCTTTCAGAAAACGCGAGGGTCTTTTTTGCGACTTGTAATCAATTGAATAACCCCGGGAACTGGAGATAAAGACTTTTTTCATCGCCCGCGTCAGCGCCACGTAAGCGAGTCGCCTCTCTTCTTCCAGAGCCGCTTCGCCTCCTTCGTCAATCGCGCGTGCTGATGGAAACACGGTCTCGGAAAAACCAGCGATGAAAACGTTTTTAAACTCCAGCCCCTTGGCCGCGTGGGCTGTCATTAGCGAAACAAAGTCGTTGGTCCGGCTAATGTTTTCGTAATCAATGTAAAGAACGATTTCCTCCAAATAATCGGCTAATTGTTGACCTTGGTGCTCTTTTTGCCAAACGTCAATCGACCTAATCAACTCGTTAATGTTTTCAAGACGCGACTTATCCTCCGGCGCTTTTCAAAGATCCAGGTATTTGATCTCAATTAAGAAACCGCGCAAGACTTTGGCGATTGGATTGGTTTTGAGTGCGACCCGGTACTTATTAATTAAGTTGATAAAATTGGCCAACTCGTTGCGCTGTTTAATTTGAATCGGTAACTCTTGAAAATGATCGGTTAAAGCATTCAAAAGCGGCTGACCTACTTTCTTGGCAAAATCGACCAACTTAGCCACGGTGGTACCACCGAGCGAACGCGGCGGCACGTTAATCATTCTCAGAACCGACACTTCGTCGCCGTTGCTGATAATTTTTAAGTAAGAAATAGCATCTTTAATTTCTTTACGCTGGTAGAAACGCGTCCCTCCGAAAACAACGTAGTTCACGTTGCCGCGGATCAAGGCCCTTTCAATCGATTGGGATATGTAATTGGCGCGGTAAATAATGGCAATGTCTTTCAGTTGGGTTTTATTTTTCTTGAGTTCGTAAATTTTTTGCACTATTCAACGCGCCTCGGCTTCATCCGAGAAAGCCGAAAAAAACTCAATTCCTTCGCCCTGGTCGTTATTGGTATAGAGATTTTTATCGATTCTCATCCGGTTGTGCTTGATTAGTTTGTTAGCGTGGTTGAGAATCAACTGGGTTGAACGGTAGTTTTGTTCTAGTTTAATGATTTTGGCGCCCTTGAAGTACTTTTGAAAGTTGTTGATTAGATCAACGTCGGCCCAACGTCAAGTGTAAATAGTTTGGTCTGGATCGCCCACGATGGTAATGTTTCCTCTTGAAGCAAGCGTTTCTAAAATTTCGTACTGGGTGTAAGAAGTGTCTTGAAACTCATCGACTAACACGTAATCAAATTTTTGCGATCACCGAGCGCGGGCGTTGGGATTCTCTTTGAAAAGTTTGTGAACAAAAATGATTAGGTCGTCAAAATCCAAAGCTTTTACCCGCTCTAATTCGGCCTGGTAGTCGCGGTAAACCGCCGCCTCAAGTTTTTCGTAGTCTTTGCGAGCATCGGCCATTTTTTGGCTAGGGCTAATGTTTAAAACTTTGTTGCGTGAAATGTAATCTAGCATTGAACCGTGGGAAAACTGTTTTGCGCTAGCGCCGTGCTGTTTGTAAATCGTGTCTAAAATCTGCTTTTGGTCGGCGCCGTCGATGATGTTGAAATGGGTAGGGTAACCAAAGTGACCAATTTCGCTCCGCAAGATTTTGGCGCACAGCGAGTGGTAAGTGGAAATTTGCGCTTTTTCGGCTTGAGCACCAATCATCTCCACGACACGTTCGCGCATCTCGTTAGTGGCTTTATTGGTGAAAGTAACCGCTAGAACGCGTTCCGGACTAATCCCAATGTCAACAATTAAGTAAGCAATTTTAGAAGTCAGCATTCTAGTTTTGCCTGATCCCGCGCCGGCAATCACGGCTAAGGGGCCTTGGACGTGCAAGACAGCTGCTTGCTGCTGGGAATTTAACTGGGTTAAATAAGTTTGTTTGCTCATAACTACTCTTCCTGTTCGATGAAATTGACTCTAGGCTCAGCGACTTGGCGAGGCGCCAGCGGATCTAACTTAGGTAAGGCAGTCTGACTTACCTGGTTCCAACGCCGCGTGTAAACAACTCGCACTTTCGCAAAGCGATCGTGGAGAGCTAGACGGTCGGGGTGAAAGACAGTTGAAATCAATAGAAACATCTGTCCGAAAATCGTTACCGAACTGAAAGTCATCAAAATTCCGATCCGGAAAGATTCAAAATTATCAAAAACAGTTTTGCCAGAGGAGTTGGTCGCGAACTTAATAATTAAACTGTGGTTAATTAAAATCGTTCCCGAAACAAGTAAAAAAACTCAGCTGATTGACCAAAATAACTCGTGGCGGATGAGCGCCTTTCAGAGCGGTCGGCTTTGGCTCACAACTTTGATTCTCAGCAAAAGTTTACCGGGCGTTGCACCGCCTAAAACGATCGGGCAAACCAAAAACAATCCTAGAACGATCAAAACGATTAAAAAGGCGTACAAATAAAACAAGTAAGGATCGCCAAAACTTCAAACCCCGTTTTGTTTGCGCAAAAAAGCCCATGTTAGTAAACCCGATAAAACAAAAAGCAATCCGTAATCAAGCGCTAGTGCGCTTAATCTGCGTCAAAAGTGAGCGGTCTTGAGTTCTCTGTTTTGGCTGGTCATAGTTTAGTTTAGGATCCTATACAACTTAAAGTATTCACCACGACTAATCGCCCTGCGAAAAGCCTCGGTTTCAGAGTTTTCACGGCGGAAATAGGGGTTAGTTTTAAAACGGGGTTGGTAGTAGTTGGTTCATTGGTTTTGCAAAAACTGGTGGTATTTGTCGCGCAGACTAGCGTTATCCGTCGCCGTCACAAAGCCGGCTAAAATCACGTTAAGGTGGTAGTAACTGAGGTAATCTAACTCGGCTCCGTACTTGGGAGTTCCGTTTTTTTCAAAAGTTTTCCGAAGTTCAACCCACTGTCTGGCGATTGATAGTGGAGTCACTTCGCTAAATAAATCGTTGCGAAGACGAATGATTTTTTGATCAGAATTAACGTACGTGCTCGCTTTTTCCCAAGCGCTTAAAAAAAAGTTAATCGCAAAACGCGAGTTCACCGTTTGACGAATTTCCGAATCTAAGTTGGAGTTAGCCAGAATTTCCCGGCGGTAGATTTTGTTGAAATCAAACGGATAAGAGTAGGCGACGACTTCGGGTCGATCGGTCAAATTAATTTTTTGGGGTTGACTTTGCCTAAGTTTACCTTTAAAACTGATCGGACTTCGCATCGGAGCGCGAAATTCAATGATGTCGGCCGGTTTGCTTTTGATCAAATCAAGCAACTGACTGACTGCGTCGCGTGCGAAAAGATTGGACGAGGAAGTGATTAAAACGTACTCGCTGCTGGCTTTTTCAATCGCTTCTTGGAGTGCTTTGGTGCGCCCAATCCGACGGGTGTTGTAAACTAGACCGATTCGGTTGCCAAAAAACGGCCGAAAGGCGTCTAGAACGGCTAAATTATTCTCAATGTTTGAGTCTAAAACGATGACAATTTCAAAGTCCTGCACATCTTGGTGCCGCATAGCATTTAAGAATTTGCGCAGAATTTTTGCTTGTTTGTAGACGGGGACTAGAATTGATAATTGCATGGTAAAACGGACTTAACCTATCAATTTAATTCTACCATTTATGAATATGGCGTTTAGTGGGCTAGTTGATGTCTAAAACGACCAAATTTTCAATGTGGTAAGTCTGCGGAAAAAAATCAAAAGCCTGGTTGTAAACAACTTGGTAATTGGTGAGAAGCTCAAGGTCCCTTTTTTGGGTTTCAATTTGGCAAGATAAGTAAATTATTCGTCGTGCCTTGCTGGTGTTGAGCGCGCGTGAAATGGCCCGCGTGAGTCCAGCCCGCGGCGGATCAACCACGATGATATCGGGATTCACGGCGTTAGCGCTAATTCACTGGCTGACATCTTGGCAAATTAAACGCACGTTTTTCACTCGGTTAATCGCTAAGTTAGTTCGGGCATCTTGGCAACAGACTTTGTTAACTTCAACCGCGTAGACTTGCTTAACGTAATCAGATAAACAGATTGCAATCGTGGCTAAACCGCTGTAAAGATCAACCACGACCGCCTCGGGTCAAACTAGCGTCTGAATAAGTTGGTAAACCCGGCTAGCCATTTCTTTGTTAATTTGGTAAAAAGAGTCTAATGTCACCCGAAACTTCTTGCCTAAAAACGTGTCGTAGGTGGTAAGTTTTGTGCCGGGCGGACCGGCAATTTCGCTTTCTAACCTTCTGACGATGTACTTAGGCTGGTCGGCTGGGTAAGCGTTAAAATCAATCTTCATCAAATCAAACGTGTTTTGGTCGGGCTTAAAAATTTGGCGTCGGTAGCGTCCGGGCGCTTTAAAACCGCCGTACGACAAGACCACTTTGTTGCGGTAGTAAGTGCGCTCTCCCACTATGATCGGCGGTAGTTTGGAGCCGAAAACGTTTTCAAGTTGACTTTGTTTGAATTGATCTTGAGCCGCAAAACTTAGGTGAGCTAAATGATACACGCCCAATTTTGTCTTAGGATGATCAAGCGGCAAAGCTCGCTCGGGCGAAGTGTTAAGTAATTCAATCGCTCGTCCAAAACCTTGATTTCGCAGCTCGTAAAAAATAACCACCCGAGCCTTTTCGCCCGGCAAAAGTTGTTCAATCAAAAAACTTTTGCCCTGGAATTTGACAATGCCAAGACCTTGACGATTCAAGCCTTGGCAAAGTAAGTAGTCAATCGGACAGTAACGACGCGGGAACTTATGTTTAAATTTCTTGGTACTCATGGACGGAACTATCTAAGATTCGTTGGGGAAAGAGTTTTTTGATCAAGTAGTAAACTAACACCATCGCTTGGACATCGTTTTGGCAATACTGCTTAAGATCCTCGACTTTTTCTTGTCATTCGCGGTCGCCGATGATGCCAAGCGCCCGCTGGCAAGCAACATCCATAGCTTGCATGCCGTTTTTAATGTTAAGACTTTGGTAGTCAGCAATTTGGTAGGGAAGGTCCGAGTGGTGAGCGTGAATGTACTGTTCCAAAAGCTTGATTGAAGACTTTCCCCTTAGTTCAGGAATCAAAATCGGCGGCAAAATTCTCGGGCTGTTAACTTGAAACAGCTTGGCTAGGTCAAGACACCTCTCTTTTATTTGACTAACCATTTGACTAACTAAGTGGTACTCGCCGTGTTTTTTAATCTTGAGTCTGAACAGCATTTCGTTGAGACGCGAGTGTTCGTAAGAGGCGTTATAGACCACGTAGGCATCGGCCGCTGGGTCGTAGATCGCTCGAATGATTTTCACAAAGTCGTCAATGGTTAAATAACGGGGGTCAAAAACGTAGTTTTGCCGTTCAATTTCCCGCTCTTGCTCGGTTTTGATGACCGAAACTTGGTAAACAACTTGGGTAAAAGGTAAGTAATGGTCAAGCGGAGCAACGGGCAAAGTGTAAGCTTCAAAGTCGTATCAGACAGCCCGGCCCGTCTTAACCGATTTAATTCTCTCAACCATCAAGGTGCTGAGAGCATTTTCATAAAACATTGGACCAGAGGCGCCGAGAATTTCGCTGACGACTAAACTTTGGCGAGCGATGTCGCCCAGGGAAAGTTGCTCGTGAAAGTACTTTTTGACGACCACCCGGTTGTTCCAGTTGTGGAAAGCCGAGTTAGCTGTCAGTTCAACCACCTCTTTCCAATGCAAGCAGTAGCAGAGCTGGGTGCCAAAGTAGCACGGCCGAAAAGGGAGTAAACTTTTGGTCGCCGCGGACTCGACAATTTTTTCCAAGTAAAAATTAAAACTGGCAAATTCAAATTCAAGCGCTTTGTTCTCGATTAAAAACTCGTACAAAGTTAAGTTCGGACCTTTGACGCGTGTGACCTTAGCTTGCTGAAGCTGGGCAAAATCGGTTTCCGAAACGAGAGTTGTTTTCGACGGTCCTTTGTTGAAATTGATCGTGGTAGTCTTAAAAAAACTGACCTCGCCCCGACGGTAATTTTTGCTAGCCACAATGTAAAGCACAATTTCTTTGATTGGGATGGCTAGTTTAAGCATAACTTGCACATCAAAATAAATCTTGTACAAATCGCTGCGCTTAGTTGAAGTTGATAATTTGATAAAAGCGACGGTGGCGGTTTTTTTATCGTAGAAAATTGGGTTAGCTAAAACTTGGTAATTACGGTAGTCAAAACTTCAGACCGGGTTGTAAATAAAGGCGACATCAGGGTCTTGGTAGTATTTTTCAGTCTGAGCAACTTTCTTTTGCCATTCGCCGGCACTGACAACTTGGAACCCCGGGTAATGCTGAATTAGATGGGCTAAAAATTTACCCATTAAAATTTGGTGCGAACGAGCTAAAACCGCTTCGCCAAAAGTTAAATCGTGTTCAAGAAAAGAATCTTCGTCAAAATGGAGCTCTTCATCTGACCAAGTTTGCGCTTTGGGAAGGGGGTTCCAAACTAAGTAAGGTTGGGAACAAATCAGCCGTTTGAAATGAATGAAAGTAATTTGCTGGCTCATTTGAAATCATTCGCTTATTTTTTAGACGACTTTTTGCCTGTTTGCTTGCTTTTTTTAACGACTTCTTTCTCTTTTTTCTCTTTTGAGCCCTTGGTCTCTTTTTTGCTGGCAACTTTGGCGTCAATCTCTTTGATGATTTCTTCGAGACTTTTATCTGATTCCAAAATCTTGGCCGGTTTTATTTTGTGGGGTGGCCGTTTTTTAAACTTGTGGATGTACTCAATTTCTTCCGAAACAATCGTTTCTTTCTCGAGAAGTTCTTCGGCAATTAGATCCAGTAAATCGCGGTTAACTTTCAAAGTCGCAATCGCCTTTTGTTCGGCTAACATAATCAGTTTGCGAACCGCTTCGTCGATCCGCTCCGCGAGCGCATCGGAGTATTCGCGTGCCCGGTAATCTTGCCCTAAGTACTGCGGTCCGTAATCACGTTCGTAAGCAATCGGACCTAAATCAGACATCCCGTACTGGGTCACCATTGCCCGTGCGATTCCGGTTGCCTTTTCGATGTCGTTTGAAGCACCAGTTGAAACTTCGCCAATTCCGTACATGATTTGTTCGGCTGCTCGACCACCCATGAAAGAGATGATCTTAGCCTCAAGTTCGGATTTAGAGTAGTTGTACTTTTCTTCCCGCGGGGTCATCAGCGTGTATCCGCCCGCGTGACCACGCGGAATGATGGTGATTTTTTGAACTTTTTCGGCCGAAGCGACTTTTAAACCAATCACAGCGTGGCCAGCTTCGTGGTAAGCGATCATGCGTAGTTCTTTGGGGGTGATGACGCGGTGTTTTTTGGCCGGTCCAGCCGCTACCCGGTCAATCGCCTCATCGATTTGTTCAAGCGTGATAATGTTGGTGTTTTCGCGCACCGACAGCAAAGCCGCCTCGTTAATGATGTTTTCCAGTTGAGCACCAGAGTAACCCGGCGTGCGCTTAGCGATACTTTTAAAACTAACGTTGCTAGCGATGCGTTTACCTTTCGCGTGCAAACGTAAAATCGCTTCCCGCTCTTTGACATCGGGGTTGTTAACGGTGATCGTGCGGTCAAAGCGACCAGGCCGAAGCAAAGCTGGGTCAAGCACGTCAGGTCGGTTAGTAGCGGCAATAATTAGCAGTCCGGCGTTTTCTTCCATCCCGTCCATCTCAACCAAAATTTGGTTGAGAGTTTGCTCGCGTTCGTCGTTACCGCTCAGCGACGATCCGCGCTTGCGACCGATCGCGTCAAGTTCGTCAATAAAAAGAATGGCGGGCGAAGCTTTCCGAGATTCTTTGAACATTTCCCGGACGCGCTTAGCACCTAAACCGGCAAACATCTCCACGAAGTTAGAACCCGAGATGAAAAAGAACGGCACCCCGGCCTCACCGGCCGTTGCTTTAGCAAGTAGCGTTTTCCCCGTTCCCGGCGGACCGCCGAAAAGGATCCCCTTCGGAACGCGCGCTCCGGCTGCGCGGTAGCGCTGGGGATGCTTAAGAAAGTCAACCACTTCGACAATTTCTTCCTTAGCTTCCTCTTGACCGGCCACGTCGCTAAAACGTTTTTTGCTGATGATTTTTTTGGCTTGACTTTTGCCAGGCGACATAATCGAATCGGTAATCCCGCCACTCTTACGCATCATCCAAACAAAGAAACCGATTAGCAACAAGGCTGGCAACAAAGTGAACAGGGCGCTTACAAACCTATTTTCGGTTGGCGGGCCGGAACTGATAATTTTGGGCTCGTTGGAAGGAGAGCCTTTGACCGCGTCAACCAGTAATTCGTAACCATCACCAGTCGGACTAAGGTAATCACTCATCAAGGCTGGGTCAGCCGAAACAACATAGTCTTCTTTTTTACCGCCAACTACCTCAATTACATAAATTTGGTGGTTGTAGCGGTTAAATTCAATTCGTTCAAAGTAATTGTTGTCGGCAGTATCCCCAGCGTTAAACTCGACCCTTTGGTTAAAGTGGGTCACATCTTTGGCGACTTTGCGAGAGCCAAAACCAAAGAAAAGTCACCAGGCTAAAACAACTAACCCGACGATCAAAAGCGTCGAAACAATGAAAGACGACCAGTTAAATTTTTTGGGGTTGCCCGAAGTTGGTTGACCAGGTTGGTGATGAGCCATCGATGCTTACTCCTTGGAACTTAATTGAGCGAGCACAACTAACTTTTTAAGACGCCCAACAAAGTTAAGTAATTATAACTAAAACGAATTCAAAACAGTCTAGTGGTCAATTTTCTGGAGTAATTTACGGATGTTTTGCTTGTAAATTTCCACGCCCGGTTGGTCAAAAGGGTTAACATCGTTTAAGTAAGCGCTCATGGCGATCGCTCTTTGAAAAAAGTAGACTAGTTGACCGAAAACTTCGGGCTGAAAAGACTTGATTTTAATCGCGATAATCGGAACTTTCCCGACATTAAAATGAGCTTCTGAGGTCGCCCGGTAAACAATCTGGTTAATTTGGTTGAGCGTTAAATTGGCTAGGTAATTTAGTCGGTCGGAATTACGCGGCTCGTTAAACATCTTTAAATCTAGGAGCGGGTTTTCGACCACTAGCATCGTTTCAAACAAAACCCGTGATCCGCTTTGGATAAACTGACCAAGCGAGTGCAAATCGGTTGAAAAAACCGCTGAAGCGGGGAAAACGCCCTTGCCGTTTTTGCCCTCTGACTCGCCAGCCAATTGCTTCCACCACTCGGAAAAGGCCGCCATTTGGGGCTCGTACTGCACCATCAGTTCGACCGGGTATTTTTTAGCTAAGATATGGCGCGCTACCGCGTAGCGGTAAGCGTCGTTTTGGTTTAAATCGGTTGAGCCGTAAAGTCGGTAACCTTTGCGAGCGCCCTTGGCAACTAGGTCAATGTCAATCCCTGCGCAAGCGAGCGGAAATAAACCAACCGCGGTTAAAACTGAGAATCGACCCCCGATCTGATCGGGAATTACCAACGTTTGCCAAGAATTTTCACGAGCCATTTCAATTAAATGGCCCCGGTTAGCGTCGGTAGTCGCAACGATATACTTGTGAGCGTTAAAGTGGCCGACTTTATTTTCCAGCAGTTTGCGTACGATTTTAAACGCCACGGCTGGCTCAAGCGTTGAACCTGACTTGGAAATAACGTTGATGGCAAAATTTTTGTCTTCCAAATAAGCGAGCTTTTGGGCTAAATCGGTTGAACTAAGCGATTCACCCATGAAAACGATTTCCATGTCAGCGGAAATGGAAAATTTTCCGAGCATCATTTCTAATCCGGCTTTAGCGCCGGCAAACGAACCGCCGATTCCGATCACCACTAAAACGTTGACACCCTCAATTTTTAACTTTTTGACGATGTTTTTGATCGTTTGAAACTCGGTTTTTTTAAACTTGTTTGGTAAGTCTTTCCAACCTAAAAAGTCGTCGCCCTTCACCTGGTGCGTCTCCATACGTTTGGCTAAAACGGCGACTTTTTTGTGGTAGGTTTGCACTGCGTCAAGAACAGTGCTCTGCGATAAATCCAACTTAATCATTGATTAGACCTCGTACCAATTTCTTTAAGTTGCCAAACCCGTGGCGGGTAGGAGCAATTTTAAATTCAAACGGATTACGCAAAAAAAGTGGAACGATCTTCTTTCACGATAAAGTTACTTTTTGATTGTTTGGATCAACTCCTAAAACATAGAAATCGTACTCAAAACCAACTTTGAACATCTTGTCAAGACGGCGAACGTAGTAATCAGAAACTTGCGAAATATGGAGTAGTCCGCGTTGCCCCTTGGCTAACTCAACCTCTAGGTAAGTTTTCCACAAACTAATAACTTTACCCGTTACGATGCTGTGACTTGTAATTGTTGCTTTGACACTTGATTTCATAACTCTTTTTTAACTCTTTTTCTCTTGAGCGGCGTTAGATAGTAACGTTTAACGCTCCACTTTTGGCCGGTTTGTCAATCCGGTCCGAACCAACGTTCCAGCAAATGGGCATAGTTCTGCGGACTAGGCAAACTGATCCCGTGGAAATTTACGGTCGTCGTTTCGGGGTCAAAACGAACTAACCACGATTTTTGAACCGACTGACGACGGTTGCCCAACAAATAAAAACCGTTTGGTTCGTGGGCATGGAGATCCTCAATCGCATCCCACAAATTGTGAGCGCAATCGGATCTTATTCTCAACCAGACATTTTTTCAAGATCGGAACCGCTCAACTTTCTCAATTGTACTCGGCACTAAGATTCTAATTTTTATGTGCTGGTTTTGCTGGTGTCAATTTTTCCGATCTCAAACAAAACTGGCCCCTAAGTGTTTGTAGCGCCTATCTAGCGATGAATCAACCACTTGCGCAGGGGCTAACTGGAGCAATTGGCGGTAACTTTCTACGTTCATAACAACTTCCAAACGCCAATTCAAAGTTGAAAAACCTTGGTGTCGGTGCGCGCTAAGCAGACTTTGGCCGTCCAAAGCGTACCAAATTTGGTGCTTGTGACAAAGATCAGCAAAGTGTTTGGCTAAGTCAATTTGGGCTTGAAATAGTTTGTGCATCTAAAACGATAAAATTATAATGTCAGACTGGTGAAATTAGATTAAAAATGTCGGCTGGTGCAACTCACGTTTATAATCGGTCCTTGTTATAATTAAACAACCGAAGATAGCCACTGCTACAAGGAAGATCAATCTATGAAAACAAAGACTAAAAAAGCTATCATCATTGGCTCGTCAACCATTATCGCCGCCGGAGTGGTTGCGTCAATTGTTGTGCCACTTATTTCAATTTATAACCAACCCGAATTTAACTACCAAGGGAACGATAAACTTTATGACGATGTGTCGGGTAAAACGGTTGAGGATATTCTAAGTAAACAAGGTCAACAAGAAAAAATTCAACTGGACAAGTTTGATTACCAAGTTGCTTTTTATCTTTACGACTTTGAGCAAAAAGGCTCGCTTGAACTCCAAAAACAACATTTTAACTGGGACATCTACGAACTGCAGTCCAAGATTAAAGCCGAAAGAGAGAAGGTCGAGGAAAAACAAAGCGTAATCGAGGAGCGTATCCGTGGTTACCAAGATGACATTCGGAAAGTACAAGATAAGTTGAGCGCGCTTAACCGAGAAATAGGCGCTTCGGAAGGTCTCGACTACGACCGTGATCGTTTTGCCAGCGAGTATCCGAAAGTGCTCTTGCCACTTGAAAAAGTTCGTCAAAAACGCGAAACTGTTTACAACGACAGCAAGGAAAACTACGTCAGCAAGTTCTCCACCCGTCAAGAAGGACTTAACGCTTGGCCCGACGAAAGACGGAGACTCTACAACAACGCGGCAACCGATAAGGAAGCAATCGATTACCTAACCCACAAAGAAATTAGCGAAAACTCCTTTGCTCAATTCAAATTCAAAATTAACAGCGATTACACGTACGAACAAAAAAGAGCCGAGGTCAACGGTAAACCGATTTTCAGTTTTCTTAAGGACGCGGTTGAAAAAAAATACGATGAGACCGAGCCACCGCCGCTTGATGAAGTTGAAGACACTCGCAAAAAAGAAAAGGTCTACTTCACCGGAACTAACTCGCGTATTCCCGCTCGTCTAGCGATTAACTTTTCGTCCGAAGAAGGTCAATCAGAAGACGCGTTAATTCGCGAAGTGCTTAGTCAAAATTTAATCAAAGTCAACCACGCTCTAATCGCTGCTAAGCAAAACACGAGCGGATCATCTTTGCCGTGGACTTTTGAAAAAGACAAGAACGTAGTCAAAAACTTGCTCTCATTCTTTGGCCCCGACCAGCGACGCGTACTAGACTTAGTACCTAACCTTTTTGCGACTGGCGCCGACTCAGACCAAGCTAACCAAGACAAAATTGAGGAAGACACCGCGATCTTCATTGACTTTTTCTCTAACGATGATTCGGGTAAAACCAAGTACGGTTCGCTCGGAATTAGAACCGTTACCGACTACGTTAAAGAAATGGTGCCTGGTTTTTCTTTCGGCATTTTAGCTCTTCTCAACACTCCGGAACTGCCTAGCGATGATCCGCGCAGCGGCAAGAACTATCTTCAAGACCTAGTTGAAAACATTCAAAAAGGTGCCCAGGAAGCTTGAAAAGACGACCAACCAACTAACCAAAAAGACTTGGTGGAAGCACTGAGCAACTTAGGCGACACTGAGACTGAGCGAATTTTTGGGAAAAGTTTCCGCGACACTTTTGATCCAGAAAAAGATGGTCTTCAGCTTTACTTCCCCGCCGGTGAAGGTGCTCAAGTAATAATTTCAAAAAACGGTGTTCACGCTGTCAAAGTAACTAGTTTTGATGAGCCGTCGAAAATAAAAACCGAGATTGAGCGCGATCTAACCCAAGTAGCCCAAGATCAAGAGGTCAATAAAGCCGAAACCAACTGGGCCAACTTATTCAACAACCACTTCACACAGCAATTTCGAATTGATTTCATCATCCGCGAGTACAACCAAGACGACGCTCTGAAAAACTTTGTACTTGAGCAAGATGAAGACATCAACTGAAACGACATCGTTAGACTAGTTGGTTCAATGAAAAACGCTAACTCATGGGAGTCAGCTAACACCGCACTAGGTAAAAAAGTCCGGGAATTTTACATCGATGCAATCGATAAGGAATTGCGCACGATTGATCCAACTCTTCGTCCCGAAGAAGTTTACAACGTGCTGATTAAGCAAACCATTCGACCAACCAGAGAGGAGAACGATGTTTAAAAACCGCCGACTTTGAAAAATCACGCTTGGTGCTCTTGTGCCGGTTATGCCGCTCGGTTCACTAATGGCTTGCGCGGCCGAATTAAGCGACCGCGATTCGGAATTACTCCGCAAATTCACTTCTAAAGAAGGTTTGAATTACTTAGAAAAGTTGTGGTTCCAAAAGGTGACCGACGTGCAAGGTTTAAACATTAACCACGAGTCGCCTTGGAATGATGCGGTTATCAAACGTTTGATTAAGTTTTACCTCGCTCAGCAATTAGCAACCAACTCTGATTACCTAAACGGACTAGGTTCGCAACTGCTCAAAATTACCGACCAAGAAGGTAAAGCGATTTACAACACCACCGAGGACAACAACCGAAATTTAACTAAAATCGGCTTTTTACGCCAGTACCTAGATGGTTATGAAAACGAATTCTTGGAGCAAACTTACCTAGCCGAGTCAAAGCAAACTCGGATTGAAAGAATTAGTCAAATTTTGATGTCTGAGTTAGCGATCGGTTTTGCCAACACGATTTACAAATATTTGATCGTTTCGGAATACCAAAAATTAACGCGGCAAGAATTTGAAACTCTTTACCGTAAGCAGCACGAAGACGACGAAGATACGAGCGAAAAAGAGTACAAGTTTCGCGCAATTGAAAAAGAAATTGACCCCGGCGTTAATTTTCTGCTAACTAAAAACTTGCTAAACAAACAGTTGTTCTTCAAATGGGAAATTAAATTGGATGGTGACAAAAGTAAAGATTTTATTCAGAAAAGACTCGGCGAAAACAAGTATCCCTACTTAAGTGATGCCATCAAAGAATTCTTGCCCGATGCTGAAGGTGATCAAGATCTCCAAAAATTAATGTCTTGAAGCGATAAAAGAAAAAAATTACCGACTCAAATTCTCAACTTAACTAGTTTTGTAGCCGAAGTTGAAAAGCCCGAGGAAGAGCCTGAGCCGACCCCAGATCCAGTCGAGGAAGAAAAACCAGTTGAAGAAGATAAACCAACTGTTGAACAGCCCGATGAAAATGGCGGTGGAAATGACAACGTCGAAAGTTTTGCCGACCGTTTGTCCAAACTTCGTGCCGAAGACGATGAGACACCTAAAGAACAAGTCATGCTTAACCTAAACAAAATGTTTGCTTACAAAGGCATTTCTAAACAAGAATCTGGGCGCGGAAAACTGCGCTTTGGTAGTTTAAGTTGGTTTAAAAAAGCGACTAGCGCCGACTACTGGTACGGTTTTTTGCAAGAAAGCGATCTAGTAACTAAGGACATTGAGTTTCTATCTAAAAAAGAACCAGTTTTCCAATTAACCCAAATGTTGGGCATTATGCCGGTTTGGAAAGAAGAAAAAATCACTCTCAAAGGATCGCTTTTCCAAGGTTTAGAAGACCAAGCGGCTTGAATTCTTTATTCTCAAGACGACTCGCTTTACACTGAAGCTCAGCGGTATTTCTCCGACAAAGAAGATAAAGGCGGCAAAAACATTCGGATTACGGTTAACAACGAATTTTTACGCAAACGCCTCATCGACCGCGGTCTGAGTTACATTCAAGACGACAAAGATTAATAAAAAACACCACCGAACATTCGCTGCTCGTTATGGCTGCTCCGTTTCCGTCCTGACCAGGTTCTGAGCCCACAAATTCCGGTGGTAAAAAAATGATAGCAAAACTTAAAGCGTCTTAGTTTGAAGCGCTTATCTAAATCAAAGAAGGGATGATGTGAACGTGGGTGTACATAATCTCTTGACCGGCCGATTGACCGTTATTAACGACTAAGTTAAAACCTGAAACACGCATGCTTTTAACTGTCTCTAAAGCTAACTCGCGCGCTTTGTTCATTAAGTACTGGTAATCTTTGGAACCGATGTCAATTAAGTTGGTTGAGAAATTTTTAGGCACCACCAAAAAGTGTCCAGGACGAGCTGGTCGAATGTCCTTAAAAGCCATTACACGGTCATCCTCATAGATAATTTTAGCTTTAACTTCTTTGCGAATAATTTTTTCAAACAGCGTCATTGGCTTCCTTTCTTCTCAAAACTAATTATCCGATAATTTCAACTATTTTGTCGGCGATTGCATTCGAATCGTTGTCGCCAATAATCGTTTTAGCAATCGCTTTAGCGCGCACAGTTCCGTTAGACATGGCAAAAGAACTCCCAACCGCTTGAAGCATTTCTAAATCGTTGTCCGAATCGCCAAAGGCGATCATTTTGTCTAACTGACAACCAACCAAAGCACATAAATCTTCGAGACCCGTTTTCTTGTTGACGCCGGGCGGATTTAAGTCCACGTAAGTTTGGTTGGCGATAGCAATGTTAGCTTGCTGTCCTAAGTCGGCGCTCAGCTCCTTAGCCAACTTTTCGGCGTTGTGCTGATCTAGACGAAAGGCAACTTGCATAACTTTTTCTTGTTCGGCTTTGGTTAAAAGGTCGTTTTGATTAAGGTCGTAATTACTTTGGAAAACTTCCCTTTCAGTCCGCAAAACTTGTTCAAACCAGGGTGGTCGGAGTGGTTTGGTGCAAACAATGCCGCGGTAAGGCGCTTTGTTAGTGTGAAGCGTAACGAGTGGGCAACGCGAACTTGCAATCTCAAGCGCTTGCCGAACTACATCAGCAGGCAAACTTTTTTGAAAATAAAACTTTTCCTTCCCAACGTCATAAATGTAACTGCCGTTGTTGCAAACTAGGTAATCAACCAGCGGACGCTGGGAGAACAAATTTCGTAAGTTAGCGTAGGGACGACCGGAACAAAAAACGATTTTGTGCCCTTTCTGACGCGCTTTAACTAACGCTTGCACAGTTGCTTGGTTGATTTGGCGTTGACTGTTTAAGAGCGTCCCGTCAATGTCAAACACAAAATACTTAGACATCTTGGTTTCCCTTAGCACGTAAATGCGGAAAAAGCAAAACTTGCCGAATTGAGTCTTGTTCTGTGAAAAGCATAACTAGACGGTCAATCCCAATCCCACAACCGCCAGCCGGTGGCATTCCGTGTTTTAAAGCGTTAATAAAATCAAAATCAATTTCGTTAGCTTCCTCGTTGCCCGCTTGCCGTTCAACTAACTGCTTCTCAAACCTAGCCAACTGCTCGGTCGGATCGTTTAATTCGGTAAACATGTTGGCAAACTCTTTGGTAGCGATGAAAAGTTCGGCCCGGTCAACAAAACCTGGGTCTTGGTCGCAATCGGCAGCTAAGGGTGAAATCTCAACTGGGTAATTGGTCACAAACGTGGGCTGAACTAAGTTTGGTTCAACCAAAAGTTCAAACAATTCGTTAATGATGTGGCCAGTTTTAAAGTAGGGCAAAACTTTTAGCTTATGTTTTTGAGCGACTTGCTTAGCTTTTTCAAAACTAATCCCGCTAAAATCAACGCCCGTCGCTTTGCTAACCGCGTCAACCATCTTTAAACGTTGGAAAGGCTTTTTCAAGTCAATCTCATGCTCGCGGAAACGAAATTTGTCGCGCTTGAGTTTAGACGCCAAATGTTTGAAAAGTCTTTCGGTTTGCTGCATCATGCCCTCAAGATCCGAGTAAGCTTGGTAAAACTCAATCGAAGTAAACTCGGGATTGTGGCTCGTATCAATTCCTTCGTTACGAAAAAGACGACCGATTTCGTAAACTTTTTCAAAACCGCCGACTAAGAGTTTTTTAAGCGGTAGTTCGGTCGCAATTCTTAGGTAAAAAGGTTGGTGCAGGGCGTTATGGTAGGTTGAAAAAGGTCGGGCTGCTGCTCCGCCTAAAACCGACTGTAAAATCGGAGTTTCAACTTCTAAGTAGTCTTGCTGATCAAAGTAACTTCTGATCCAAGAAATAAGGCGGCTGCGGGTTCAAAAAATATCCCGGACCTCCGAGTTACTGACAAGATCTAAGTAGCGGTGGCGGTAACGCTCTTCAACGTTAGTTAAACCTTTTCATTTTTCTGGCATTGGTCGGAGCGTTTTGGTGAGAACTTTTATTTGTTGAGCTCGAACTGCGATTCGTCCGATGCCAGTTTTCATCACAATGCCCCTGACCCAAATAATGTCGCCTAGGTCAAGCAGTTTGACAACGCTTTGAATTTCTTCTAAATCTTTGACTAAATAAACTTGCACAGCTTGATCTTTTTCGTTTAAATTCAAGAAGGGACCGCGCATGGAAGTGATGCGACCCGCCACGGTCGTTTTAGCGGCGCGACTTTTTAACTCTTCTTGGCTAAGGTGCGCGTAATTTTTGAGCAAACTTTTTTGGTTGTCTTGAACTGGCAAACTTTTGTGGTAGGGATTAAAACCAAGCTCTCTAAGTTTGGCGCATTTGTCCAAGCGAACTTGCTCTAATTCGTTAATAGAACTGTGAGATTTAATTTTTACTTGCATGAATCCTCGGGGAGTCGCGGAGTGCGAAATGGCGGATAGTGAGGGATTCGAACCCTCGCGAGCTTTAAACTCCTACAGCATTTCCAATGCTGCCTCTTCACCACTTGAGTAACTATCCGACTAATAATGAAATAATAACATCGTTTATAAATCGGCCACTCCACGTGGGAGCGGCCGGATCTTGGAAGATATGGTGCCGACTACTGGAATCGAACCAGCTACCCCTTCCTTACCATGGAAGTGCTCTACCGATTGAGCTAAGACGGCTTGAGAACAGTCAGTGTTTTTTCGACGAAATGTCTCAGCGCTTGACCGACTCCGTTGTGAAGCGAGTCGCTGACAATTAGACCGGCATTTTTCTTGATCTCTGGGCCCGCGTTAGCGACAACGTAAGAATTTGGACTTAGACTGAGCATTTCAAGATCGTTTGGTGAATCGCCAATCACACCTATTTTACCGATCGGAAGGTTAAATTTTTTACAAAATCACTTAATCGCGCTGGCTTTGTTAACTTGCTGAGCAACAATTTCAACTCGGCGCGGCAGCATCCTAACTAACTTGAGCGGCCAATCGGAGATTAGATCACAAATTTGGTCAATCTTGTTTGGCGGACCAATTAGTTCAACTTTGAGAACCAAGCCGGTTGGTTGATCGGCAAAGTTAATCTTTGAATCTTGGATAAAGCGACGCGTCTTGGCAACTCTGAGCGGATCTGATCGGTTTGAAAAATAAAATTTTTTCTCCTCCCACCACTGCGCGCTCACTCCGTGAAAGTTGGCCTCGACAACCAATCGCTTGGAAAGGTGATCGGGGATGGCTTGTTTGTAAAGAGTTTTTTGGTTTTTTCAATCGTAAATAAGCGAGCCGTTAAGCAGGATTGAATAGGGCGTTTTAAATTCTTCTACTAGCGATCGGACGTTGTTGGTTAGGCCGTTGCCGGTCGCAAAAACTAACGCAACCCCGCGGTCAGACGCTCACTTGACGTCAAGAATTGTTTGGGGGTGAAGTTGCTGACGGAAATCGTAAATAGTGTTGTCAATGTCAGAGAAGAAAATGGCTTTTATTGCCGAGATTATACCGGAGACAAATAAGTTTGCTTTTCGGTAATGACAAGGTCAACTTTAACATCGTGATCTTGGCTGGGCAAAGTGTCAATTCGCTGAATGTCAAAAGCAAGCATAATTTTTTTAAGTCGCTGATTTTGGACTAAGTAGCGATCATAATGTCCGCCGCCAGTTCCTAGTCGAGTTAGAAAACGGTCGAAAGCTAGTCCGGGCAGAATAATCACGTCAATGTCCTGGGCTAAAACGATGGTTGAGTCGGACTTGGGTTGGCGGGTTTGCCGGTACTTGTCAAACAAAAAGTGAATCGAATTAATTAAGCGCATTGAAATTCCCAAATCAGGCTCAACCCGCGGTAAGCAGACTTCTTTTCCGCTCTGGATTAATTTGTAAATCAGGGCTTTGCTGTTAACTTCCAGACCAACCGGAAAATAGAGACCGATTACGCGGGCATTTTGAACCCAAGGATGGTTGATAACGCGCTCAAAAATCTTTTTTTCGTGGTTGGTTTTGGTCTCTGGAGCCAGTTCTTTAATTCTTTGGCGAACTTGCCGGCGAATAGTTTCTTTTTGCATTTTAAAAGTAAAAATGCCCGGAGTTAGGCACAACTGTTTCGGGCACATTGGTCGTGGTATGGCGGGCAGACAGGGATTCGAACCCTGGGTACATTTCTGTACATCTGTTTTCAAGACAGGCGCCTTCAACCGCTCGGCCATCTGCCCTGGTGGACCCAACAGGATTCGAACCTGTGACCAACCGATTATGAGTCGGTTGCTCTAACCAATTGAGCTATAGGTCCGAAAAATGGTGACCATTTGGTGGCTCAGGTGAGAATCGAACTCACAACCTCACGGGTATGAACCGTGCGCTCTAACCAATTGAGCTACAGAGCCATGGTGGAGGGTATGGGACTTGAACCCACAACCTCCTGAGTGCAAATCAGGTGCTCTAGCCAATTGAGCTAACCCCCCATATGGTGAAGAAGACAGGATTTGAACCTGCAACCTTTTGGTCCCAAACCAAGTGCTCTACCAAGTTGAGCTACTTCTCCAATAATCAAACGCCACAACATTATAAGATAAAAAAGTTGGCTCTTTTACATTCTTAAATTTCCCGGAGTACGCGGAAATGGAATGGCGTCGCGGATGTTGTCAAGACCGCAAACATACATCACCAAACGTTCAAATCCCAGTCCAAAACCGGCCGATCTACCCCCACCAAAACGTCTTAGATCAAGGTACCAATCTAACTCTTGGGAAGCGATTTTTAGTTCCTTAAGTCGCTTGGTCAATTTTTGGTAATCAGCTTCGCGCACCGAACCGCCGATCAGTTCTCCGACCCCGGGCACGAGCAAATCAAAGTTAGCAACCGTTTTTTGATCTTCGTTGAGTTGCATGTAAAACGCTTTGATTTGTTTAGGGTAGTTGATCACTACCACCGGAGATTGGTAAATTTTTTCGCAAAGCGCTCGCTCGTGCTCAATACTCAAGTCTTGGCCAAAAGAAATTTTTTTTAGTCCCGTTTGCTGGTGAATTTTGTTGAGTTTTTCAAGCGCTTGACGATAATCAATGGTCGGTATTTCCTCCTTAACTAGTTTGTCTAAACTATCAAGGTGTTGGTTTGGTACGTTTTCCCTTAACCATTTGAATTCGCTTTCTAACTGCTTACGGGTGTTATTAACAACTTGTTTTAACATTTGAACCGCCAGAGCGATGTTTTGGTCTAAGTTGTAAAACGCCACCTCTGGCTCAACCATCCAAAATTCAGCGATGTGCCGCGTTGTGTGGGAAAGTTCGGCTCGGAAAGTGGGCGCAAAAGTGTAAACTTTTTGAAAACCAGTCGCGTAAGCCTCGGCGTGCAACTGACCGGTAACCGATAAATTAGCTTTGCGTTTGAAAAAATTCTTATGAATTGGGCTGTCGACTAAAAAGGTTTCTCCAGCCCCTTCTCCGTCGTTAGCGGTGATAATTGGACTTTGTAAATAAAGGAAGTTGTTTTCCCAAAAGAAGCGGTGAATTTCCTGAGCCAATTTTGATCGAACTAACATCACCACGCGAAACAAGTTAGTGCGGTGACGTAGGTGGGGCAACTTGCGCAAGGTTTCCCGGTTAATACCTTGTTTTTGGATCGGAAATTCTTCGTCAACGTTAGTTAAAATTTGAAAATTTTCGAGTTCTAATTCGATTGGTTGCGGTTTGCCGGGGGTTGAATTAATTTTTCCACTTATTTCGACCGCTTGGCCAATTTTAATTTTTTCTAAATCCTCAAGCTTTTTTTTGGCGACAACTTGAAGATTTTTAACGGTTGAACCATCGTTAAAAATTAAAAATCTAATTTTGTTATTTCCCCGGTTAGAAATAACTCACCCCCGCAGGGTTAGTGCAGATAACGTTTTTTTTTGGTCTAAAAGTTTTCTAATCGTCAAAACGGCACTCTTTCCTCTATTGTCGTTGGGGAAGAATTAATTGGACTAAATTAGGGTTGGAATTTCCTTTTAAAACAAAAGGTTTTTCCACTTCCAAGAAATGGAGTGCCACTTTACCTTTGAAACGACTGGCTGCTTCCTTTAAATAACTGCCGTTGAAAGTAATTCTAAAATCTGGTCCGTTCCAACTGATGTTATTACTTTTAACCTCGGTGTGACCAATCTCATTTTCACGACCAAGTATTTCTAATTCCTGCGGCTTTAAAACAAAACAGAGAGAATTTAAACTTGAACTTTCTTTGTAAACAACCAAAGCTTTTTCGACCAGATTAATCAGTTCGTTAGTTTCAATTTCTAAGCGGTAAGTAAACTCGCTCGGAATCACTTTACCCACGTTAGGATAAATGCCGTCGATTAATTTGAGTAAAACTTGGGTCGTTTGGTAGGATGTTACGATTTTATTTTCCTTGAGACAAAGTCTGATCAAACCTTCGGCATACTCGGGGATGAAGTCTTTGACATGGCGCGACAAAATTGTGATGTTAAAAGTCTGGTTAGTTTTAATGGGAATGATTTCCCGGGCAATTCGGTAAGTATCGGTCGCACTGACAATTAACTGGTCATCTTTAATCAATAAATTAACGCCGTTGAGAATTATGTTGGTATCACGATTTGAAGCCGCAAAAGCAACGTTTTTAATTGTTTCCCGAAGTATTTTTGCGTCGACATCGATCTCTTGTCCGCTAACTTCAAAACTAATTTGTGGGTACTCAGAAACATCTAATAGATTGATATTAGAAAAGAAATTTTGTGATTTTAGAACCAATTGCTTATTTTCAACCTTCATCTCGAGTGGCGAACTATGTTTTTTAATTAGCTGAACAAACAACTTTCCCGGCACTAAAATTTTGCCAGTCTGAATCACTTGCAACGATTCATCAGTTGGAATTGTTTCTTGAATTGATAAATTTCCGTTTGAAACTAACATTTGCACTTGATCAGGTAAAGCGGTGATTAAAATACCTTTCAATGCAATTAAATGGGCATTGCTATCGAGTGCCTTTAAAACATTGACAAGATGTTTTTCAAATTTGCGTTTGTCTAGTTTGATTACCATAGAAAGTTAATTTAATTTTACTAGTTAAACTGAGTCAATTCAAAAATAAGTTAGTTAAGTTTATGTTATTGGTTAATTACTAATATTAAGAATGTTAGTTTAGGGGATAAATTGATAAAAAGACGCTATAAAGGGATTTATGATGGGGATAAAGTCGGGGAAAAAATGTGGAAAACTAGCCGCTATTTTTAATTTTGTTTTCAATGTTACGCGCGGCGATTTTAATCGTTTTGTTGATTGACATTAGGTGGTCAATATTTTTGACCGCGAAGATGATCGTTGAATGATCTCTTCCTCCAAAAATTTTGCCTATTTCGTTGAAAGAAAGTTTGTTAATTTTACGGATCAATCAAATCGCCATGTGTCGAGCTGCCACAAAGTTTTTCTTGCGGGATTTTCCAACCAAATCTTTGCGGTTAATTTTGTAGTAATCACAAATTACATTTAAAACTCTCAAAGGTGTCATTTCAATTAAGTCACCACCTAAGTCTTTGAAAATGTTACTTATAACGGTGTAGGTATACTTGATTTTAGAGTTGCTTTCGGCAAAAAATAAAACTCTTTTAACCGCTCCTTCCAACGAACGAATTGAATAGGCGTTATTTTGGGCGATAAAGCGAATGGCATCTTTTTCCCACTGCTGGGGGTTAAGATTTTCCTGCTCAATTTTAAATTCCAAAACTTTGATCAAATCGTCAATTTCTGGTTCTTGAATAATGGAGGATATACCCGAAGAAAATCGACTAATAAACCTTTCTTCAAAACCATGCAACTCGTTGGGCAATTTGTCGGAACAGATCACAATTTGTTTTTGTTCCTCAATTTGTCGGTTGATGATGTTAAACAACACTCCGAGTGTTATGTTGCGATCACCCAAGTTTTGGATATCATCAAAAAGCAAGTAGTCGTACTTCAAAAAACTTTCGGTAAAACTGATAATGTCTTGATTTTTACGAATAATTTGGGTGACATCCCGGGTAAATTTATTGGGTTCAATGTAGATAACCGAGTTACCACTTAAGATAGCTTGGTTGGCAATTGCGTGGAGTAAATGAGTTTTGCCTAATCCCGATTTTGAACTAACGTAGAAAGGCGAAAACCGTCCCACGTGGGCGATGATTTTTTGGGCTATTTGAACGACTTCGCGGTTGAACTTTGAAACCACGTAATTATCAAAATTAAAACGCGGATTAATGTTTTTAGAAGGGGCTGGCAAAACATTTTCAGCCAGGGAAATTTGTTGACCTTTTCAAATCAACTTGTAACCCAACACCTTATTAAAAACTATTTCAATCGCGTGTTGAAAAACCTCTTTGTATTCAGATTCAATTAGTTCAATCGCTTGGCGTGAATTTACTTCAATTAAAACGTGCGTCGGAGTGGTGCTAATTATTTTTAAATCCCGGATAAAGGAGTTAAGAATAATTTCGTCGCCGATCACACCTTCCAAATAATTAACTAGCGAAGCTGAATTAGTTTTGTTTTCAATTTGATCAGGTTGGTAAACTACTCGTTGCATAGGAAAACCATTTTAAGTCTAAAACCATCATATAGAGAGAAAAAACCACCGACTTAAAAATTAACTTAACCACAGGAAAAGAGTTAGTTTTCCACCAACTTATCAACCTAATTTAACTCGTTTTTAAAGACTTTTTTGGGTTTATCCACATTTTAACTTGTGGAAACAAACATCAACCAAAAAACAGTTTTCATTTTAACCTACGTCGGTTAGTATCTATAATTGGTGTTGGACATTTCGGTAGTTTTTTGGTATAGTCATTATTTATATAACTACGTTAAATTAACGCCTAGCGCGTGGAACAGAGTCGATTATGGAACGAACTTACCAACCTAATAAACGCAAACGTGCTAAAACACACGGTTTTAGGGCGCGCATGTCGACCAGTGACGGTCAAAAGGTCTTGTCTGCTCGACGAGCAAAAAAACGGAAAAAATTAACTGTCTCAAGCGAGTAATGGATAAAAAGTTTGTTCTCAGAAAAAACTGACAGTTCAAAGACGTAATTGCTAGCAAAAAACAGTTTGTGACTAAGTACCTGGTGCTTTATTACCGACCCAATCAATCCAATCTTAAGGTGGGAATTTCGATCTCCAAGAAAGTAGCTAACGCGATTAAGCGCAACTACTACCGTCGTCAAGTTCGCCAAATCCTTTCCCAAATGTCAGAAGTTTTTCGGTTAAATTACGACGTTGTTCTAATTATCCGCAAACCTTTTATGCCGTTGGATTTCCAAGGTAAAGCCCAAGCTGTGAAACAAATTTTTGAAAGGTTATAGCGTGAGTTACGGTCAAAGATCAAAAAATTACGATTGATTTAAACAAAGCGCCGACGGAGATAAGAAAACAGCCGGCGAGAAATTTAAAACGTTCGCCAAGTTCTTGCGAATTTTCATCTACTTCTCCCTCTTTTTCTTTTCAATGTACGGCTGCGTACAATCTTTCTTCATTAAAGTTGATGATAACGTCAGTCGCGGTTTTGAAATTTACGCGAGTGAAAAAAGCGTCTCTCCGCACGTAACTAGTTTCTCGCTGGACAAAAGAAAAGTTGAAATTGGTCAAATTGACGAGGTTTATTTTGTTAGCGCCAACGCCAGCAGCAACATTTTTTTCCGGGAAGACGAGCGTGATCAAGATGGTGAACTGGTCTTAGAAAAAGCGCACCAAACGATTAGGACGCAAAACCAGCGCCAAGACTTACGTTTGTCTGATGCTTGGCAAGGAATTAACGAGTCGTTTGTGGTTCGCTCTAACGTGGACGATTTAGCATCAGAGGGCAAAATTCACCAATTTTCGGGCAGCGGCAACTACGCCCTTTTGTCTTCGTTAGCCGAGGTTTACAACTTGGGCGGTCAGACCAGCGTTAGTTCGCTGGAAGAGATTAAGTTTTGGGTTCAGGGCAAAACCAAAACCGATTACAGGCAGGTTGGGATTGGACTTTACAAAAAAAGCGGTCAAGAGTGAGTGGCACTGGGCGATGATGATCAAGAATCCGCCCAACCTCGTAACCAATTTAACATCGCTTTTCTGAACCACTTTTTCAGTCAAAACCCCTTTTACTTAGATTTCATCAGCAAAGACCCGCGCACGATCGTGGAAAACATCAACGACGAAAAAGCGCCTAAGGAAATTGAACGGTTTTACATTCTGCAGAAAAACGCCCTAGTTAGCGTTTTGGGTTACGTCGGCGTGAGCGGCGATTTCCAAAGCTTTAAATCAGGGGGGAACTTAGATCCCGAGCAGGATAAATTGATCCTTAAAAGTAACTACATGCCGTTAATTGGCTACGAAAAAACCGATTACCGCCCGGTTGTGAGCTGGGGCCAAGCGTGGTCGCTCGGACCTTTTTACGGATTGTTTGTTTTTCCAATCGGAAAACTTTTTGCCATGACCGTTTCGGCCATTCCTTTGCTGGCGGGCTGGGAGACGTTAATCGCGATTGTAACGATCGTGGTCATTTCGCGAATTATCATCTTTGCTTTGTCTTTTAAATCAACCATGCAACAAACTAAGATGCAGGAAATGCAAGCCAAGAAAGCGATCATTGACGCCAAGTACGCGCCCTACGAAGGCAATAAACAAATGGAGAATCGCAAGAAGCAAGAGCAGGCCGAACTTTACCGAAAAATGAACATTAATCCGCTCGGCGCTTTTGCCAACTTATTCTTAATGATGCCGATTTTCTTAGCGATTTGAAGGGTAATCGGTGGAGTCCAGCAAATTAAATCAACCGTCTGGTTGGGTATTAACTTCTCGGCTACCTCGTGGCGAGAACTTCTGTCGGGTCAATTCCAGTATTTACCATTGATTATGCTGGCCGCCGGTACCCAACTCTTTGCCCAATTATTCCCGCGTCTATTAACTCGTCGGCGCGACAAGTTGCGCATCAACGTTTACCAAAAAGCGGCCATGAAGAAAAACAACAAAATGCAGAACATTAGCATGTTCATCATGGTTTTCCTAGCGGTAATTTTTAGCGCTGGCATTCAAATTTACTGGATTGTCGGCGGACTTTGGCGGATATTCGAAGTCTACATAACTCACAAAATTGTCAACCACCGCAAAAAGTCATCCAAACGTAAGCGCGACCGGACCGTTGTCGCTAGTTAACTAACCAAGTTTATAATTAGCAGATGTTTGACACGATTAGCGCTTTAAGCAGCGCGCCGGTTAACCAACCGATCGCCATTATTCGTTTGTCGGGACCAGACGCTTTTAAAGTGGTTGGTCAAATTTTTAGCGGCTGTGTGGGCGCTCACCAAAGCATTAAACCTGGTTGAATCAAAGACGAAGACCAAAACGTTGACCAAGTCTTGGTGGCCAGTTTTCAAGCACCCAACTCCTTTACCGGCGAAGACATGGCTGAGATTTACGTTCACGGCGGCGTGGTCAACGCTCAAAGAGTTTTGGAATTAACTCTCAAGCAGGGGGCTCGCCTTGCTAACCGCGGCGAATTCTCCCACCGGGCTTTTCTGAACGGCAAGATTGATTTAATTAAGGCCCAGGCCATCCACGACTTAATTTTTGCTAAGACGCTCAAACAAGCCCAGATTTCAGCTCATAAACTAACTGGTCAAACTAGTCAACTAATTGAAAACATGCTTGGTGAACTGAGCGATTTGATCGCGGTTTGTGAAGTGAACATTGATTATCCAGAGCACGACGATGTTGAGCAAATTAGCGACCAAAAACTAATTCCGGTCGTCAGCAAGTTGCTCAAAACTTTGCAGCTAATTGAAAAAGAGTCGCACTACGCTAAAAGCGTTTACGAAGGTTTGCAAGTCGCGATCGTTGGCGCCCCTAACAGCGGTAAATCTTCTTTGTTAAACGCTTTAATTGACCAAGACAAAGCGATTGTTTCAAGCGTGCCAGGCACGACCCGGGACGTGGTCGAAGGACAGTTGGTGGTTGGTGATGTTTTGCTTAAGTTAAGCGACACAGCCGGCATTCGCAGCACCGCTGACAAACTAGAAAAAACTGGTGTGAGCAAAAGTTACCAAACGCTTGACCGAGCCGACTTAGTTTTGCATGTCATTGACGCCAAGGCCGGCCCAACTGGTTCCGATCGGTTAATCGAAAAACGCGTTTTGCCTAGCCAAATTTACTTAAAAGTTTTTAACAAGTCGGATTTGATCACCGAGTCAAGCCATCAAAAAGATTTGGTTTTGGTCAGCGCTAAACTGAAGCAAATTCAAAAACTAGTTCAAGCTATCAAAGATAAATGCCAAAAATCCGATTTGTCCGATCTCCACGTTTTAACTAGTGCTCACCAACTAAGTCTGATTACCAAAGCGCGCCAGGCGCTTAGCGACGGACTGAGTGCTTTGCGAGCCGGACAAACTTTCGACGTCGTGATTGTCGATCTTCACCAGGCTTACAAAAATTTGGCGAATGTGAACGGGAAGGCCGATCACTATCAGTTGCTTGACAAAATGTTTGCTTCCTTTTGTTTGGGCAAATAATTGTCTAAACTATTTTGACAAGAACCTCTTTACCGGTGCCTTGTTTTTTATTGCGAAAGATGTGGATTACTTCGACTGGTTCATTCATTTTAGTGTGCTTACCTTGCAGTTGAGCGCGTCTGAAGGCGATGATTTGGTGTTCAATGTTTTCAAGAGTGTGACTTTCAGCGATGATTTCTTGGGAACTTTTTAATCGAGCACGGTACTGGTACATTAATCGTTGGTCTCACTTTCGTTTTCAGTTTTTATAACACTTAAATTATCGCATAACTGGTCGGTCTTGATCGTCAGCTCAACCCGCGGTCCAGCCCGGAAAAGAACCTCGGTTTTCCGAAAAATTCCCTTGGCGATTAAGTTGTCTTCGCTGCCGTCGTACTTATCGTCATGATAGACAATTTCTTTGATGCCGGCTTGAGCAATGAATTTGGCGCAGTTTGAACACGGGAAAAGCGAGGTGAAAAGTTTGGCGTTACGGGTGTCTTTGATTGAGTTCAAAATCGCGTTCATTTCGGCGTGGACCACGTAGGGGTACTTAGTATGGGCGTTTTGACCCTCTTTTTGCCAAGGGAAAACTTCGTCCATGCCCTTAGGCATGCCGTTGTAACCGAGCCCGATCACGCGGTTGTGCTCGTTGACTAAAACTGCTCCGACTTGGGTGTTGGGGTCTTTAGACCTCCAACCGGAAACAAGCGCCAAAGTTAAGAAGTACTGGTCTCAATTTAATATCATCTAGGCATTATAGCCGCTATCTTTGCGATAATAAGTGCGCCATGGAGAAATATTTGCAATTGTTGCGACATGTTCTCAGCACCGGTCAGCGTAAAAAAAGTCGCACCGGAGTTGACACACTAAGTGTTTTTGGGAGTCAGCAGAGATACGATTTGAGCGAAGGTTTTCCGCTTTTAACTACCAAACGGATTCACTTTCCGAGTCTTGTGCACGAGCTCCTTTGGTTTATTAGCGGCCAAACTAACATCAAGTACTTAGTTGATCGCGGTGTGCGAATTTGAAACGAGTGACCTTATAAGCGCTACCAGCAGAGTCAGTTTTACCAGTCAGACCACGACTTATCCTGGTTTGTTAACCAAATTAAAAACGATCCATCTTTCGCGAAAAAATGGGGGGATTTAGGACCGGTTTACGGTCGGCAATGACGTAATTTTGGCGGCGTCGATCAACTGGCAGAGTTGATTGAGCAAATCAAACACCAACCTGATTCAAGACGCCTAATTTTGAGCGCTTGAAACCCTCCTGAATTAGCGGCGATGGCTTTGCCTCCCTGCCATCTATTGGTCCAGTTTTACGTTTCAAAAGGCACTCTATCTTGCCATCTTTACCAACGCTCGGCTGATCTTTTTTTGGGCGTCCCTTTTAACATCGCTTCTTACGCTCTGCTGACCCAAATGATCGCCCAAGTCTGCGGTCTTAAACCGGGCCAGTTTATCCACACGACCGGCGATACGCATCTTTACATAAACCACCTGGACCAAGCGCGCGAGCAACTAAGTCGCAAACCATTCAATTTACCCCGCCTAACTCTTAATCCAGCGGTAAAATCAATCTTTGACTTCAAGTTTGAAGACATCACTTTGCTAGATTACCAGTCCCACCCTCGGATCAAGGCGAAAGTAGCTGTTTAATGGTCAAAATGATCGTGGCTGTTGGTCCTAACTGGTTAATCGGCAAAGGCCAGCAATTGCCCTGGAAAAACTCAGCTGAGCTAAGTTTTTTCCGCCGCATGACTTTGGGACAAAGTCTGCTCTGGGGCAAAAACACTTTTATTAACTTGCCTGGCGCACTTAAAAACCGCACCCACTACGTGCTAAGCGATGAGCCGCTTGAGCAGGCGAATTACGTTTTAAATTCCACCGCCGAAGTTAAAAAACTTTTTAAGCAGTTTGAAAACAGCCCGGCCGACGTTTTTATTTGCGGTGGTAAATCGGTTTACGAGCAGTTTTATTCTTACGCTCAAGAAATATATGTTTCGCAAGTTGACACCGCCGCTCAGGGCGACATTTTTTTAAAAATTGACTTATCAAAGTACCAAAAAAAGTTGTTTTTCCGTGGCGCGGGTTATGAAGTTTTTCTCTACCGCAGACGAGCGCTTAGTTAATAAAATCTAACGAATTTGACATTTCTAATTGGAGTACCATGGGGAGTTAGAGAAAGATAGATGTGCCGGAAACGAAAACTTTAAAGATCTCTGTTCAGAGCGCTCCTGTTGCCAAAATGGTTTTGGATGTGCGCGATCGTCCGTCTTTGAAGTTTTGGATCATATTGTCTTTCCAGCATGTTTTTGCTATGTTTGGCGCGACCGTTTTAACGCCCTTGCTAATTAATTTAACCGCTGATCCGTCGGGACAAACCAAAGTAATCGGAGTTGATGTAGCGCTTTTTTCGTCCGGAGTTGGGACGTTAGTTTACATCGCGGTTACCAAGGCGAAAGTGCCGATTTACTTAGGTTCATCGGTGGCTTACATCGGCACGATGGGCTCGCTTTACCCGCTCTATGGTAACAGCATGTTTTTAGGTCTACTTGGCATCGGAGTCGTCTACTGCGTAGTGGCGCTGCTTATTTATCTTTTTGGCACCAAATGAATTAAAAAACTACTTCCTCCGGTCGTGGTAGGACCGATGATAATCATCATCGGATTAAGTTTGGCGCCGGTGGCGATTAACCACATCTTTTTGTTAGATTCGCAGCAGGGTGGCATTTTTGAAAAAGGCAACTGGAACATAGACTGGTGGGGTGTCGGCGTTGCCCTAATCACGATCGCCAGCGCCATGCTAATCGTTTTGCTTTGCCGTGGCAAAATGAAACTCGTGCCGATCGCCAGCGCCATGCTAATCGGCTTGGTTGTTTCGCTAATTGTTTCGACGTGGCACGCGACGCCCGAGTTTACTAAGTACCAGCAAGTGGATTGGACTAGCGCGAGCAATTACGTTGGGCTGCCCGATTTTTCTAACGCGCTCTTGAACGGCCAGGTTGTGGGAGAAAAGCAAAGCTATTCGCCGATGCCGCTTTTAATTATGATGCCGATGGCTCTGGCGACGATCGCTGAACACATCGGCGACCACACTGTTTTGGGCAAAATTACCGGGCGCGACTACTTAAGCACTTCGCCCGGACTGCACAAAACTTTGTTGGGAGATGGCTTAGCCACCATGGTTGGCGGCTTAGCCGGCGGTCCGGCTAACACTTCCTACGGAGAAAACACGACCGTGGTTGGTCTTTCGCGGGTGGCTTCGGTTTACGTGACTGCCTTGGCAGCGTTAATGGCGATCGCGATGTCGTTTGTTTCGGTAATTTCAACCGTTTTACACCTCATTCCGACCCATGTCTTAGGCGGTCTCGAGTTAATTCTTTTCGGTTTTATCGGCACCAACGGTTTAAAAGTTATGTTAGACGAGAAAGTTGATCTTCACCAAGCTCGCAACATTTTTATCGTTTCAATTATGTTAGTAGTCGGGCTTGGTCGGGCAATTTTGGGTTGGAATTTACACCAGGTTGCCATCGTGTTTTCGCCCACATCAATCGCGATTTTTGCCGGTATAACAGCCAATTTTCTGCTCCCTAAGGAGCGTAAAATTGACGTTGATAAGGTCAGTTTTATAGCCAGCGCTAAGCGCAGGACGGATCCGCCTCTTAATCAAAAGTAAATTGAGCCAGGAGTTATTTTAGACTAACTTTTTGCTATCTTGCCCCGCGTTTAGCCATAATATTAGGTACACAACTTCGTTGTAAATTGTCAACCAATCGCTAAGGAGCCCCAACCAATGTCTGTTCCCACAACTACCCTTGAAACACCCCCAGTTACTTACTCTGAAAAATATTTACGTCAACTTAACCAAGCCATCGCCGAGCACTTTCCCCATTTAACTCCGGTTAGTCCTGAGATGAGCAAAACTTACGAGGGAATTAGCCGCTTGGTCATGCTAGACCGTTATTCCCAGAAGGACCTTAAACTCAAAACTTTAACCGTTGGGGATTTGGTAGTGGCCAAAATTAAGTACGACGTCAAGTTCCCGACCTTAGGAACCGCTTACGTACTGGACATTCAAGACGAGTTAGTGACTATTCAAGTTGAAAACGAATACATCAATCAAATTGACCCAAGTTACCATCCGACCGAGGACGGGGTGATCCAAGTTCAAAAGGGAACTTTGAACAAACCGCTTGAGATTTACTTTGAACAGATTGCCCGTCGGGTAGCGAATGCGCTCGGAGCTAGCGAAAGTCAAACTTGAAAAGAAGAGTTTTACCAGCAAATCGCCGCTAACAACATTGTTCCGGCTGGACGTGTTTTGTACGGAGCTGGTTCTGGCACCAACGTAACTTATTTCAACTGCTTTGTGATGCCGATGCCACGCGATTCGCGGGAAGGCATTTCCGAACACCGTAAAAATGTGATGGAAATTATGTCGCGTGGTGGCGGTGTTGGAACGAACGGATCAACGCTTCGACCCAAAAACACGGTTGCTCTGACAGTTGGAGGCAAATCTTCCGGGGCGGTTTCGTGGCTCAACGACATCGCTATGCTGACCCACCTTGTTCAACAGGGCGGTTCACGTCGCGGCGCTCAGATGATAATTTTGGCCGACTGACACCCGGACATTGTTGAGTTCATCGTTTCCAAGATGCAAAAGGCGCCCATTCTGAAGTGGATTGCCGACAACTTTCCCGATCCAGACATCGTTCGGGAAGCTAACGACAAGTTGAAGTTAAAACCTTTGTCAGACTTTGAGCGCAAAGTTTTAGAGCAAGTTATCCAGAGCCAGGCTCCGCGTGATCTGAAGGAAAGCGCAATCACAAAATTAGAGCAAGGCGGTTCTTACGAAGTAGTTGAACCAGAGTTTTTGACTGGTACCAACATTTCGGTTGGTATTTCAGATCAGTTTATGGAAGCGGTGAAAAAAGACGCTCTTTGGTCGCTGCGTTTTCCTGACATTGAGAAATTAACGCCGGAGCAGAAAAAGTTTTACGACGAAAAGTGGCATGAAATCGGCGATGTTCGGAAGTGGGAAGAGTTAGGCTATCCCGTCAAAGTTTACAAAACCATTAAAGCTCGCGAACTGTGGGACTTAATCAACTTTTGCGCGACCTACTCAGCTGAGCCGGGCGTATTTTTCATTGACCGAGCTAACAAAATGACAAACGCTAAGGCTTACGGCCAAAAAGTTGTCTGTACCAACCCTTGCGGCGAACAGCCGCTAGCTCCCTACTCGGTTTGCAATTTGAGTGCCATTAACTTGGCGAATATGATTGAACACCAAAGCGGCGAAATTCTCTGGGATAAACTGGCTAAAACTGTTAACGTTTGCGTTCGCCTCCAAGATAACATCATCGACGAAACACCTTATTTTTTGGAAGAAAACCGTCACCAAGCGCTTGGAGAGAGAAGAGTTGGTATGGGCGTAATGGGTCTCCACGACTTTTTAATTTGAAAAGGCGAACGCTACGGATCGAGTCAATCGCTCAAGTTAATCGACCAAGTTTTTGAAAAAATCGCCACCACCGCTTACCTAACTTCAGCCGAGTTAGCCCGCGAAAAAGGACCCTTCCCATTTTTAAACGGACAAGTTGAGAAACTTTGCTCGACCGGGTTTATCCAAACTTTGCCGGCCCAAGTTCACCAAGCGATTCGGGCTAACGGCGGACTAAGAAATTCACACTTACTGACGATTGCTCCAACTGGAACGACTGGGACGATGGTTGGCGTTTCAACTGGTCTAGAGCCTTACTTCGCTTTCAAATACTTCCGCTCGGGCAGACTGGGTAAATTTATCGAAGTTGATCAAAAAATTGTCGCTGACTGGAAAAAGCACCGTAATTGGTACAACGGCAACCAACTGCCGCCCTTCTTTGTTTCGGCCATGGACTTAACGCCTGAAGAGCACGCCGATGTGCAAGTTGCTATTCAGCGCTGGATCGACTCTTCAATTTCTAAAACTGTTAACGCCCCGCGTGGTTACACCGTTAAACAAGTTGAAAAAATTTACATGCGACTTTACGATAACAACGCCAAAGGCGGCACTGTTTACGTGGATGGTTCGCGTGATTCGCAAGTTTTATCAATCGATAAAGAAGATAACCAGCTTGACACCCAAACGATTTCCGTCTCCGAAATTACCCGCGACAAAGTTGAGCAGTTAAAAGAAAAAACGGCCGACATCCCCGGACTTAAGTACGGGAAAGATATCGGCGTTCAAGTCGGCAACCTTTGCCCAGTTTGCAAAGAAGGGACAATCGAAAAATTCGGTGGATGCAACTCGTGTGCTAACTGCGGCGTGCAACTGAAATGCGAAGTTTAATAACTCTTCTCAATCCGCTCGTGGTTGATTAAGTTCTTTTTGACGTAGTATTTTTCAATTTCCGCCTCGGAAAGACTGAGTAGTTCGGCCAGCCCCAGGTAAAGCCGGAAAGCACGGCTGATTTTTTTGCGACTAATTTTGGTTTGTAAAGCGCTAACTGCTTGAAAAAGACCGAGCAACTGCGAGTTAATGTCGTGGCGGTTGGTAAATTCCGGTTTAAAGGTTTGTTTTTTAACTTTAGCTCCGATCAAGAGCGAGACGAAGAAATGGAGTCCGTCGGCGTACTCCTCCAAAATGTTTTCGCGCTGGTACAGGCGCTGTTTTTTTCAGTACTTGAAAGAAGCGATTTCGTTGGAAAGTTCGGCGATCTCAACGATTAGCGCTAGGACGCGGTGGAGAGTTAAATCGGTGTTTTTAACTTGGTGGTGAGTTTCAATCGCGTGATCTAATTTCTTTTGCAGATCGATAATTTTGTCTAATTGCATGGTTAATCAACCCCAATTATAGGTAATTTAAAATATTTTTACCGCGCAGTTTTGGTCGGTAGTATAATCGGTTTGCAACTCAATTTAACGCCAAGTGTTAAAACATGGAATTGGTTGAAAATACCAAACTGTCCTAGCAACCGTTACAGTCGGGTCTTTGTTTAACACCGATCACTAAGGATGAAAGCGGGCGCTTTAAACTAATCATGTTCGTTTGTTTGAGCAACCCATCTCTCCAGTTGGGTTGCAATTTGTATTTATGAAAAAAAGTCAATTTTACGCAGTTTTATCAATCGTATCGGTGCTTTTAATCGTCTTTGCCAGTTTATTCAGCGTCTACTTTCAAAAGTATCAACAGCTTGATGCTAGTTTAGAAAAAGGTGCTCACTACGGCGGCAAAGAAGTTCGTCTAATGTCAAAAACTTTTGACGGTCAACAAGAAATGGACCAAATCTACGTTACCAAGAGCGAACACAAAACGCTTGAAGACTTGATCTTGTGAATTAATAAGTTTGAGGTTGAGCAAAAAATTACCGACGAACAGCGTTTTGGTTTTCGCGATCGCCACGGTCTTTACGGTCTGTTTGTCAACCGCGTTAACGGCGTTTTTGCCGACTACAACGACGAGTCTGCTAGTTGGTGAAAAATCCTTTCACCGACGGCGCCCCAGCCGATCACTAGCAACCACGATCCGCTTAGTTATTCGCGTAGTTTTGCTTACGAGTCTTTTAGCCAGGAGTCGCAGCAAAGTTGGACGACTAACTTCGGTATCTCAGGCATACCGCTCGTTGCCGACACGATCGTTATATTTGTTCAAAGCGCCAAATGAACGCTTTAAAGGAGTTACTAAGATGAAAAAAATCGCTTTAACCTTGCTAGGTTTAACTTTGCCAGTCGCTTCGGCTGTGGCTTGCTCAAGCAATTTAAACCAGACCACTCAGACGGGTGACCAATCAAGCCGCGGCAAAAAACCAGCCGCTAACTTTGACAGCAAACTGGACATGGAAGTGATTCAAAAGTTGCCAGTTTTCAAGGTCGAAGGAAAACCTTACCAAGTTCAAGAAGATGGCCTCTACCTAGTTAAAAACGCTTACCAAGGCGTTTTTTGATCGGGAGATCAGCAAAATGGCACCCAAGTTGACGCGCAAGTCGTTCCGCTTGGAGCAAGTTTAGCTTACCACGTCGGAGTTTCGCTGTTTAGCGGCGGAGATTCGCTCTACGTTCTTTATAACGACGATGAGAACGACGGTTATTCTATCGCCAATTTTTTAGAAAGTTTTTACCTTCACGACACCAATTTAATTACTAACGACCAGTCTCTGGCGATCAATCGCCAAGGCGCAGAGGCGGTTAAATTAGGCCAGCGCTGGGGCTATTACACGGGGATTCCTTTCGTTAAAAAATCCGACCTAACTGGGTTAACGCCGCGCTATTACGGCGAGCAGTCTAAACTACCTAAGCACCAAAGTTGAGACGAAAGTTTCCGCGAGTTTTTGGAAAGAGAAACCAACCAGTCCGCGGTCGATTTAGCCGCCGAGTATTGAAATGTCAAAACAACCCCCGACCAAAGCGGTAAGTTTGAAACCAAAGATCCAACCGGGTCTGGCGCAAGCAAATTGTGATACCCAATCGTAGGTCAAGAAAATTACTTTTCTTACCAAATCACCCATCGAAACGCGGTCAAAGTTACCTTTAATCAGACGGCTCAAAAACCTTACATTGACGCTCAGTTTGCGCTTGCTCGAGACAATTCGCTTGACTTAACAAGACGTGAAATTAGCGCACAAGATCTCAAAATTTACTCGGTAATTGTCGGAGGAAACGATCGCCACGGCGACTACCTTGACCACGAGAGCCAGGTTTATCAGTTTCGCGCTTTGAAAAAAGTGCCGTCCGGAAATTCCCGTCTTCACAAGCTAGGCGATCAGTACGAAACTTTCCACCAGCGCGACGCTAGTTGATTGGGTAAAAAACTGACCAGCGATTTGCACTTCCAAAGTTTTTCTCTGGACGGAATAAAAGGCCCAGACTTCCGAGTTAACCGCTCCGAACTACCTTCATCCAAGTATCAAAACGTTTTTAATTTGCACGGAGCTGGTCCAAACGGAAAGCATTACCAATTAGTCAGCGTTGATGGCAAAAATTACCAGTTCATGATTGTGATCAACCAGAGCCCTCAACCGCTTGATCGCTACGATCTTTTTGAAATAGTTCAACGAGTTGTTACTTAGCGCTAATTGACTTTAAGTAGTCAAGCGAGTTTAAACTTTCTGACTAAACATGATGGCACTGAGAAGAGCGAGTTAACTCAGTTAGTTTAGATGTCGCATTAACGCGAGGAACCATCAACCATGAAAAAAATTCTGTTAACCCTATTAACACCCGTTTTAGTTAGCCCAGTTTTGGCCGGACTAGCTTGTCATGCCCAAGTAACTGATCAAGAAAAACCGCCTGTTAGCGATCAACCAGAGCCGGACCAAGAAGACAAAATTTTGCCCCAAAAAAATCGTCTTAACATGGAGGCAGTCCAAAAACTACCCCGCTTTGAAGTGAACGGCAAACCTTACAACGTCATCAACGACGGACTTTACTTAGTCGAAAAAGATTACCGAGGCATCTTTTGGTGGGGTGATAAAAAACACGGCACGCAAGTCGACGCTCAAGTTGTGCCACTTCACACCGGAATGGAGTTTGGAACCGGCCTGTCTCTGTTTGAGAACGGCGATTCTTTCTACGTCCTTTATAACGACGATGATCACGACGGACACTCAATCGCGCATTTCTTAGGTAGTTTTTACTTAGACGATACAAATTTGATCACCAATCACGACGCTTGGAAAGTTAACCGTGCTCACTTTGAGGCGACTAAAATTTTTCGCAATCAACACGATTATTCAATCGGGATACCTTTTCAAAAAACTGCTTCGCTCCAAGGCGCAACGCCGCGCTATTACTGTGAGCAATCCAAACGTATTAACTACGGGGCTTGGCACGATTACTTCGCGGATTATTTAGCCAAGGAAACCAACCCCGATGCTATCGCAGTTGCATCTAACTTTTGAAACGTTAAAACTACTCCCAACCAAAAGGGTGAGTTTGATCACAAAAACCCCGGCAACCCTGGTGCGCACCAAAATTGGTACCCCCTAGTCGGCGATGCTAACTACTTTTCTTACCAAGTCACCCATCGAAACGCCGTCAAAGTCACTTTTCACAAAACGCCCAACAAGCCGTACGTGGATGCGCGCTTTGTTTTAGCACGCGATAACTCGCTCAGTTCCGAAGGCCATGTTAGCGCCCAAGACGCCAAAATCTACTCGGCTGTTATCGGTGGCAAAGATTGGCACGGAGAGTACTTAAAGGCGCTAACGTACACATACCAGTTTCGCGCCGTTAAAAAGGCTTTTCCCAAAAACGATCGGATTCACAAACTGGGCGATTCTTACGTGTACCATCAAAAGAAACACGCGACTTGGTTGGGCCAGCAATTGGATCAAAACCGCAACTTTAAAAATTTTCGTTTGGCCGGAATAGACGGTTCAAACTATGGGATAAAGTTCCAAACATTTGAGGATAAACCGAACGAGTGGATCGCCGATCTGCACCACTTAGTTCCCGATGGCTACCATTTTAGGTTAACTAAATCAGTCCTAGGTGATTACGTTTCCTACCTTCTGACTAACGTGAGCCGTTTCGGCTTTGGTACTAGTGAAATTTTTGCGATTAAGGAGGCGCTAGTAGAGTAGCTACTAAACTATGTTGCACATTTACTGGGGATTTGGCAAAGGCAAAACTTCGGTTCTCAACGGCTCGGCGCTGCGCGCCAAGGGCGCCGGTCTGAGGGTCGCCTACTACCGTTTTCTCAAGGGCAGACCGAGCAGTGAAAACGAAGTGTTAAAAATGATCGGTGTACCGCCGGTCCATTTTCACCACACCGATAAATTCGTGATTGAAATGGACGAAGGCGAAAAAGAAAAAACCCGGGCAATCGTCTACGAAGGTCTTGAGCAAATTAAAAAAGATTGTCAGCAGTACGACATGATTCTGATCGATGAAATTTTAGATTTGACCGCCCCGAGCGTTGGCTTAGTTTCCGAACAATACCTCGTTGATTTTTTTAAAGAACTCGGGATTGAAAATCGTGAAGTGCTTGTTTCGGGCCACGTAGAACTTAAAGAAGTTTTTAAGTTGGCAAGTTTAATCACTTACTTTGAGCCACGCAAACATTACTTTAACCGCGGACTGAAAGCGCGCAAAGGGATTGAGTTTTAAACTATGACCACCCGTAAGATCACCGTCAGCGCAATTTTAACTTCGTTAGTCGTGGTGGCTAAGTACGCCCTAGGCTTCATCGTAGGCGTGGAAGTGGTGACCTTTTTGTGCATTTTGTACAGCGTATTTTTGCCGTTCCGACTTTCGCAAACAATCATCTTTGCATTCGTTCTGATCACCGGCATAATTTACGGTTTTGGAACGTGGTGGTTAGTTTACTTTTTCATTTTTCCGTTGGAAGGACTTTTTTCGTTCTTATTCAAACGCCTTTTGAACAAGAACCAACTTTTCTTCGCGATCTGGTGCGGTTTTTGAGGGTTTTCAATTATGTTTTGGTACTACCCCTACGACTTGCTCCTGTTTGGTTCTTCGTTTGCGCTAGCGCGTTTTGCTACCGCGGTTGTCCCTAATTTGATCGGCGCGGTCAGCAATTTTATTGCGGCGACGATTTTATTTGAGACTAGTAAATTTCTGTTTGAAAATGTTTTTCGAGTTGATAGTAACGATTTTTGATAGAAGGAGTCAAACATGTTAAAGAAAATGGTAATTTTACCGGCGCTAGGTTGCGTGACCACTTTGGCGGTCAGTTGCGCGGCCGAGCCAGCGGTTTCCAAAGAGGACACTAAGGCTGAGCGTCAAGCTTTACTTGAGCGGGTGAAAAAATTGGAGCAAGAGCTAACTAATCTTGGCCAAAACCACACGCGCTTGCTTGAGGAAATTGAGGATCTCAACCGCAAAATTAAGCAGTTAGAAGAGACTTATTTTGGTGCCGAAAACGAAGTGCGCATCATTTCAAAAACAATTGATGGTCAACAAGAAATGGACGAAATTTACCAAATTCAACCTGGTCAAAAAATGTTTTCCGACTTACTTTTGTGAATTAACGATTTCGAAGTTGAGCAAAAAATTGTTGAGGAGCCCCGGTTTGGTTTTCGCCCAATCCACGCTGAGTACGGTCTGTTCGTCAACCGCGTCAACGGGGTGCTAGCTGATTACAGCGATGAATCAAACACCTGGTGGAGAATTTTATCGCCCACGTTTGGATCTAAGTTCACCGCTAACCCAAGTCCGCTTCTTTACCGCCGTAACTTTGACTTAGCTAAGTTTAGCGAAAACGATGTTAACCCCTGGGGAGTCAACAAGGGAATTAGCAGTTTGCCGCTGATTGGACGTCAAATTCTAGTTTTTTGACAAAGTCCGAGTTAGTCTTAAAATCCACGGCTACTCCCCGTCTATGTGAGCATGTAGTTTTTTATATATAAAAAACTACATGCTCAATTGTAGATCGGGAGTGCGACAGACCAGTTCAGCAATTCTTTTAGGTAACTGGTGGCGCAAAGTTTAACGCTGCCCCGATTAGTCAATGGCCTAATTGAGCTCGCATGTATAATTAACTCAGATATGTCTTACAAAGCTCTTTACCGCACTTACCGTCCGGATGAATTTAGTCAAGTTGTCGGTCAAAACCACATTGTGACGACTTTAGAAAACGTGGTCCGTCAAGGCAAAGTTTCCCACGCTTACCTTTTCGCCGGGCCGCGCGGAACAGGCAAAACGTCGGTAGCACACATTTTTGCTCGGGCAATCAACCAAAACGCTCGTCAACTTGATGAAGATTTAACGCTTGACATCATCGAAATTGATGCTGCTTCAAACAACGGAGTGGCTGAGATGCGTTCGATTATCGAAAATGCTCGGTTTGCCCCTGTGCAAGGCAAGTACAAAGTCTACATTGTCGACGAAGTGCACATGCTCAGCAAAGGGGCTTGAAATGCGTTGCTAAAAACTTTGGAAGAGCCACCTCGCCACATCGTTTTTATTTTAGCCACCACTGAACCTCACAAAATACCGGCCACAATTCTTTCGCGGACCCAGCGTTTTAATTTCAAACGGATTGAACCCGGGGTAATCGAAAAACAGCTTTCACAAGTCTTTGAACAGGAGAAGATAACTTGCGAACCGGAGGCGCTTAAGTTTATTGCTAAGTTAGCCAACGGAGGTTTGCGCGATGCCCTTTCCATTTCCGACCAAGCCGCTGCGTTTGGAAACAATTCGATTACTTTTGAGGCTATTTCGCAAGTTTTCGGATTGGTATCAATCGGCAGACAGATTGAACTGATTAATTCGATTTACCAAGGGCAGAGCAAAGTTTTTCTGCTCGCTCTGAGCGGTTTCATTGAAAACGGAGTCGATTTAGAGCGACTGACGTTTTCTTTAATTGAAATTTTGCGCGATCTAATCGTTTACCGCAAAACTTCCGATTTCAACTTGATTGAGTATTTGACGCTTGAAGATGTGAACCAACTGGTTGTTGATTTAAGTTTTGCTTACCAAATGGTTGACACTTTAATTGAATTAGCTAGTCAAATTAAGTTCACCCAGTTGCCCAACCAACTTTTTGAGTTAAAAATGCTCGCCCTTCTCAAAGCGGAACCAAGCAGCGCTGCGGCGCCAGAGCCAGCAGTAGTTCGCTTAAAAAACAAACTGACCGACGAAAAAGAGTCAGCCGAGTCCGAGGACATTACCAGCGCTCAGGAGCTTGCTGCGGATTCAGAGCTCCACGACTTGGATTTTGAAAATTTTGACCAGATCGCTCCCGATCACCCCCAATCAGTGGCGCCAACAGTCAGTCCCGCTAAGAAAAAGTTGGACTGGGAAGATTCGTTGGTTATTCCGCTCAGTCAAGACCAAATCGGCGGTAAAAAGATAACCAAGGCTAAAGAAGAGACTCTCCCTCAAGATGACCTTGACATTACCCAACTCTTTGGACTTGATGATCAGTCCGAGGAAACCGAAAAAACCACTCCTGACCAACCAGTCAGTTTCACTCTCAACGAACTGATTAATCTGCTAATTATCGCCAGCCGGGATCAACTGCAACTGGTCAAGCAAAAGTGACCCCTTTTAACAGCTTTTGCTGGGCAAGAAAAATATGCTCAACCAGTTAGTTTGTTGAAGAACAGCAAGATCATTACGGCCGGCGAGCACTTCGTTTTAGTTTCCAGCGAACAAGACGAGTTGATTGAGACGCTTAACTCCTACCGCCAAGATCCCAACCTACACCAATTAACCCGGGAAATTTTCGGTTCTCCCCGGTGAATCTACGCCATCACTAGGCAGCAGTTCGAGGAAGTAAAAAAGTCCTGGAGCATCATGAAAGCCGAGGGCCAGTTACGGGCTGGTCAAGCTATCAAGCCACCCCAACTAGTTGTTCAAAGCGATCCGCACGAGGCGATCGGTCGCGACATTTTTGGCGATTTATTTGAGAAGTAACCACTTCAATTAGAAAGGAACGGAGATGAACATTAACGCCATGATGAAACAGGCTCGCAAGATGCAAGCCGAACTGGAAAAAGCCGAGAAAGAACTTCACAAGCGCAAATTTGAAATTAACAAACAAGGTTTAACGATCGTTATGCTTGGCAATCGACGTCTTGAAAAAGTTGACATTGATCCAGCGCTGATTGATCCGGAAGATAAGGAAATAGTCGAGGACCTTTTCATGTTGGCTGTCAACGAGGCCAACGAATTAATTGACCAGGCCGAGGAGGCGATTCAACCCAAAAACACTAACTTGCCTCTGTAGGGCAAATTAGTTAGGGTTTGCAAATTTATGGTTCAAAAAAACAGCCACCGACTTTTTGTAACTTTTGAAGGGCTTGACGGATCGGGCAAAACAACCGTGGTTGAGGAAATTCAAAAGTGACTTAACTCTTTAAAAATTGCTAACATCGCCACCCGCGAACCCGGTTCGTCTAACCCGATTACTAACCAAATACGCTCGCTAGTCTTAAACGAAAAAACACCCATCAGCGTTATGGGCGAGTTGCTCCTTTACTCGCTTGACCGAAGAATTAATTTAGAGCAGCAAATTTGGCCGGCTCTAGCAGCTAACAAAGTTGTTCTTTGCGACCGCTACTTAGACTCTTCGCTGGTTTACCAAGGTTACGCGGGAGAGCTAGGGATTGAACAAGTTTTGAAGATGCAAAAATTTATCACCCGAAACACGTTTCCTGACATCACCTTTCTTTTTGAATTACCGCTTAAACAGGCAAAAGTTCGCACCCAAAGTCGTTCCAAACTTGATCGTTTTGACGCAGTTAACCGTCAGTTTCGCCAAATGATTCACGAGGGTTACGACCAGGTGAGACAAATGTTTGCCAACCGGTTTCACATAATTGATGCTTCACGCGACCGAGCAAACGTTTTGCAACAAGTTCAAACCGTTCTTAAGAAAGTCTTAAAATTAGACTAGGTCAAACTATGGCAAATCTAGAACTATTTCGCGAAACGAATCCGATTGCTTACCGGATTATTCGTAATTCCTTCCGCAACAAAAAAGTGGCCCACACCTACCTATTTAACGGCGGAATTGATACCGACTTAGAAGAGGCGCCCGAAATTTTAATCCAAGCTCTGATTAGTGAGAACGATATTTTTGCAGGTCAGTCGGGTCGAGCAACCAAAAGCTACCCCGATTTAATCGTTGTTGATGGTCAAAAAAATAAAAAAACTCATCACCAAGGAGCAAATTAGCGCAGTTCGGGAAAAATTACAGTTAACGGCTTTGGACGATAAAGGCGTCAAAATTTTGCTAATTAAAAAAGTTGAAAACAGCAACAAATACGCGCTTAACATGCTGCTTAAAATCATGGAAAGTCCCCCACCAGCGACTTACATCATCATGACCGCCACCCAAGTTCACCGGGTTTTAACTACGATCAGATCGCGCTCGCTGGAAATTCGTCTCCGACCCGTTTCATTTGCCAAGACAACCGAAATTTTGCAAAGGCACCAACTGTCGGCCGAGTACGCTCGCGTTTTGGCTTTTCTAACTCGTAGCCCAGAGCGAGCCGAGCGGTGGATTAACGAACTTCAATTTGCCGATCTTTACCATCAGACGTGTCAAATCTTGGCCCAAATTTGCCGCCAACCAGCTCAAAGCATCCAACTCAAAAAACTGTTTACCCCGGCCAACCAAGTGCTTTTAGCGCTGATTTTATTGGTAGTTGTGGAAGACATCGCCCGGGCTCAGCACGGCTACGAATTAATTAATCCCGACCACCAGGACATTGTTAACTGATCGCTAGCGGCCAACTTTGCCACCCAACGCGCTTTTGCGGCGGTGGAAAAATTTCTTACGATGGTCAACCACAACGTTAACCAATCTCTTAGTTGAAACACCTTAGTTTTAAATTGAGAAAACTGCTATGGCTAAACTTTACTTAGTTGCCACACCGATCGGCAACAGCCAAGACTTAACTTTTCGGGCCAAAGATACGCTTGAAAAAGTGACCTACATCGCTTGTGAAGATACGCGTCGGATCCGCAAACTGCTCGCGATTTACGGCTTAAAGGGAAAGAAATTGCTTGTCCACCACGCTCATAACGAGCGCCAAAGCACGCCGGGCATTATCCGTTTGGTTGAGCAGGGGGTTGACGTGGCATTAGTTAGCGATGCCGGCACGCCGGGCATTGCCGACCCAGGTTTTTTACTGATGCGCGCTGCGATTGAGAAAAATTTGCCGGTCGAAGTAATCCCCGGCGTTTCGGCTCTAACCACGGCCGTGGTTTTGGCTAACCTAGACCAGTTCTTCACTTTTTTAGGTTTTTTATCAGCCCGTAAGATCAAGCGTCAAAACCAACTGAAAAAATTACCTGTTGGCACTTTTGTGATTTATGTGCCTCCGCACCAACTAATCTCCACACTAGAAGATTTAGCTCACGTTTACCAAGACGAGGTCGATGTTTTTGTTGGCAAAGAACTAACTAAGCAATTCGAAACTCATTGACGCGGCACGCCGACCCAAATTAAAGCCGCTCTAGATTCACAAGCAATTAGAGGGGAGTTTACGCTCGTTTTTAAAGTTCAGAGCCAAAGAGCATAAAATAACTTTGCGATGGGAAATATCCACCAAAGAATCCGCTCGATTACGCTCTGCGCTTTGATGTTGGCGCTGTTACTGGCGGCTGGAGTTTTAGCTTGGTTAATGCCTGATTTACCCAACGGTTTAGGGTCAGTTTTTGTTTTACCCGAACTGTTAACGGTTGGATTTTCCTTTTTCTTCGGCTGAAAAAAAACTTTGTTGACCGGCTTAGTTTTTTACGGAGCGCTGGCGTGAGCCGCACCATCAATTTTAATCAGCGGAATTTTCTGAGCTCAAAGCGCCGGCACTGCGGCGGGAGTGTTGGTACTGGACTACTGACTGCCGTACTTATTTTTAACTTTGAGCGGGATTTGAACTGCCAAAAAAAGATCGGTTTGGTTTAACTTAGGCTGAACTTTTTTAATGGTCGGTGGCCTTTACTGCTCGCACGTGGTTTCCGGAGTAGTTTTGTGATCGTCTTACGCCTGGGAAGGTTACTCGGTTTGAGCTTATTCCTTAGTGGCGAACAGTTTTCGCAGCGCAGTTTTACTGATTGCTTGCGCTGTGAGTTTGCCGCTCTGCATTCGGGCGCTTGGCAAAAACAGTTGAAATTGGAGGCGTGGCCAAATTTATGCTTCGCGCTAAAAAACTTTTTACCAGCCTCAGCAAAATAACAGACCAGCAAATTCTAAGTTGTCAACTGGTTCACGCCGGTTATACGAACGACAACTACCTTTTTGAGTTGACTAACGGTCAAAAGTACGTTCTCCGCATTCCGCGTCGCCACAATGATTTTGAGCAGGAAAAGAAACTTTACGAACTTTTTGGGCTCGGTCAAGTAACACACTTTTCGACGTCCAACGGCATCATAATTCGCCGGTGAATCGACGGACAGCACCCCGATCTTAGCTTGGAAAGCAACCTTAAAAAGTTGTTAACAACGCTCAAAAAAGTGCACCGGACAAAAGTGAATTTTCCAGTTGCCAAGCAGAATTGGCTGGCCTATTTAAGCGCCAACGATTTACCCCGTTCGATCACCCAGCTTTACCACCAGGTAATTCAGCAAATTAGCGCTCGTCAAAAATTAGTCTTAACCCACCACGATTTAAACCCAGCAAACATGCTAGTGGACCAGCGCGACCAAATTATTTTGCTTGATTGAGAGTGAGCTCGATTAGACGATGCTTACTTTGATTTTGCGTCGCTGGCTCTGTTGCCCGAGGTTGATCAAGAAAAGTTAATTCACTTAGCCAGTCTTGACAAGACATTACTCAGACTGTATCAGTTTGCGGTTTTAGTTTTTAGCCACATGTGGTGCAACTACGTAAACACGAGTGCGAGCCAAGTTTTGAAGCAGCAACTAACCGAGCGGATCAATTTTTTCGCCCGTGAAATCGGGTAAAATGTGGTAGTTAAGTCGCTAAGTGGCGTACGTGGTGAAATGGTCAACACATCGGATTGTGGTTCCGACATTCGCGGGTTCAATTCCCGTCGTACGCCCCATTTTTTTTGTTAATTTAGCAATCTTCGTTTTTGTCTTCCATTCCTAGACGGTAGCAGTGACGGCAACGCGCCTGGTACTCTTTGTCGCCGATTTGAATCAGTTCTTTTCCGCCTTTACGCCGAAAAGTCAAGGTGGCAGCCGCTCCGCAAACCACGCAGACAGCGATTAATTTATCGACTTTATCGCTAATTGCTAACAAAGTTGGCATCGCGCCAAAAGGTTGAGCTAGGTAATTTTTATCAAGACCGGAGATTACCACTCGCACGCCTTGGTCGGCCAACTTAACGACCACTTTAACAATTTCAGCGTCAAAGAACTGCGCTTCATCAATCGCAACCGCTTGGAAATCTGGGGTTCACTTTTCCAAAATTTGGCGAGCCGTGGTGACGCTAATCGTTTCGATTGAAGTACCAGCTCGTGAAAAGATTGCGTCTTTGTTCCAGCGTTTTTCCAGTTTTGGTTTAACAACCAAAGTTTTAACTTTGGCGTACTGCAAAATTTTGATCCGTTTGATCAGCTCTTCAGACTTACCCGAGAACATCGGACCGGTGATCACTTCAATTAAACCGCTGGGAAATTTAAGGTACATCATCTCCGTTTCATTATAAAATCTCCGCCTTTAAAAATGCGCCTTAAGAGCAAAAATTTCTCGCCACAACTTACGAGCAAAGATATAATTTCATTCGTGGAAGAAAAGTCTCCTTACAGCCAAGAATTTACCCAGCAATTTTTACGTAAACAAAACCAATCCAAACGTAACGTGGGTAAACTGTTGGCTGGTTTAATGATTTTGCTACTTCTAATCGGAGCGATTTTTGTTTTGACTTACGCAATTTCGCTCGCCAAAAAGATTTAGTCGCTAAGAAAGGAATCGATGAGTCTTAGAGCCGGTATCGTGGGCCTACCTAACGTTGGCAAATCAACGCTTTTTAAAACGTTAACTAAGCTCTCAGTTGAAATTGCTAACTATCCTTTTGCCACCATTGAGCCCAATGTCGGGGTAGTGGAAGTGCCTGATCAACGTCTTAACCAGTTGGCTCAAATCGTTAAGCCAAAGCAAACGTTGCCGGCCATTTTTGAATTTACCGACATCGCTGGTTTAGTCAAAGGAGCTAGCCAAGGCGAGGGGCTAGGGAACCAGTTTTTAAGCAACATTCGCGAAGTAGATGCGATTGTTCACGTCGTGAGATGTTTTACCGACCCAAGCGTGATTCATGTCGCTAACCAAGTTGACCCAGTTTTAGACGTTCAAATAGTCAATTTGGAGTTAATCCAAGCTGATTTAGAGAGCGCCAAAAAAATTCGGGCTCGACTGCACAAAAAAGCTCAATCAGACAAAAAAGTCGCCCTTGAGTTCAACTTTGTGGAAAAGTTAATTTTTCACCTTGGCCAAGACCAAATGGTTCACGACCTGGATGTCAGCGAGATCGAAAAGGGTTGGCTGAAAAGCTACCACCTTTTGAGCGCTAAACCGGTTTTGTACCTAGCCAACGTGGACGAGCAGCATTTAGCTAATCCCGAACAATCTAAGCCTTTCCAGCGGTTAAAAAGTTATTTAGAATCGTCTGGCAACCAAGTTTTGGCACTTTGCGTTCAAGCCGAAAGCGACTTGGCTGACTTAGAAGGGCAGGAAAAAGACGAATTTTTGACTCAACTAGGCGTCCAAACGAGCGGGGTGGATAAATTAATTCAAGCTAGTTACGCCTTGCTTAACTTAGCGACTTTTTTTACCGCTGGTCCCCAAGAAGTGCGAGCTTGAACCTTTAAACAAGGCATGAACGCCCAAGCTTGTGCGGGCATTATCCACAGCGATTTTTCCCGCGGTTTTATTCGCGCCGAAGTAGTTGGTTTTGAAGATTATTTAGCCGCTAACGGTTGGTCGGGAGCCCGAACAGCTGGCAAAGTTAGTCAGGAAGGTAAGAGCTATTTGATGAAGGACGGAGACGTGGTGTTATTTCGTTTCAATGTCTAGGCGTTTTAGACCAGGAATGTATAATGGTGAAAAATTATGAAATTAACCAAATTATTTAAATCAAGCGAACTTAAACGGGCTGAACAAAATCTCAAAGAAATTAATGGACTCAGCAAATCGGTTGCCAAATTAACCGACGAAGAATTGCGCCACAAAACAACCGAGTTTAAGGAACGTTTGATGGCCGGCGAAAGTCTTGATGAGATAAAAAACGAAGCTTTCGCAGTGGTACGCGAAGCAACCGAGCGAGTTTTGAAAAAACGTCTTTTTGATGTGCAAATTTTAGGTGGCTTAATCATCCACGAAGGTTCAGTGATCGAGATGAAAACCGGTGAAGGTAAAACGATCACTTCTATTCCGCCCGTTTATCTTAACGCTCTGCTTGGTCACGGCGTGATTGTCTCGACTGTTAACGAATACTTAACTAAACGCGACGCCGAGGAAACAGGGCTGGTTTACAACTTTTTGGGGTTGACGGTCGGAANACGAAAAAATTTACGGACTGGGTGAAAAATTTCGTCCCTTTGTTAAAAACGGAGTCGAGTCGGTGGTTTGGAACAGCGACAGTTCTTGTTTAACCAACCACGACTTAGCTTACGCCGGAGTTCCGCTCGTTTACTCAACCAAAAATTGAGCCGCCTTGGTCAACTCCGGTTCGCAAGTTGACTTTGAAATCGGCTCTCCAACTAGCGATGCACTTTCAATTCTTTGCCACGAAGAATTTTTGGACTTATTTCTTTTGAGTGGTTCAAGCATCAAAGATTGCGTTAGTCAGTACACCTTGTTAACCGGGCGCATTAAGGGCGTGCCTGACTTAGCTTACGGCGTTTGGTTGAACCGCCTTTACTACCATAACGCTGAGCAACTTTGGGAACAAATCCAACTCGCTCAAAAAAACGCTTATCCGCTGGACGTCATTACGCTAGATCCAAAGTGGTTAAAAGATCGCTACGTTAAATCGTGCAACTTTGAGCTTAACGAAAGCGTCTTCGGTAATTTTGCCCAGTTAATTGACCAAATTAAAAAAGCCAACTTAGAAGTTTGCTTTTGGATTAACCCGTACATCCAAGCCGACGGAGGTTACGTTTGGAAGCACCTCAGCAAAAACAACTTGCTACTCAAAAACCACGAAGGACAGTTGGTCCACCCTTGAACCGGAACCGAAACTAAGCAAAACAACAATTACATCGTTGATTTCACCAATCCCGAAGCTTACCGCTGGTACAAGGAGCAGATTAAGCGTTTGTTTGATTTAGGGGTTCGTTTTGTCAAGCCTGACTACGGCGACGGAGTGCCTAAAAACGCCTTTGTTAGTTCGCGTCAATTCGGCGGAACTTTGCGCCAGTGGTTCATCTACCTTTACCTACGTTGCTGCTACGAAGCAAGTCTAGAGTACTTTGGCGATGGTCAAGCGCTAATTTTTGCCCGACCCGGTTTCATCGGAACCCAAAAATTTGTGGGTAAATGGTCCGGAGACAGTTACACCGATTACGCCTTTTTAAAAACCCATCTTTGAGCAGGTCTTAGCGGCGCACTAGCGGGACACGTGATCTGGGGCACCGACATCGGCGGTTTCGCCGGACCTCAACCAAGCGAAGATCTTTACCAGCGTTGGACGCAGTTTGGCATGCTAACTCCGCTCTCACGTTACCATGGCATCGGTGCTCGCGAACCGTGACTTTTCAGCAACCAAACTTACCAAATCGCGCTCAAATTCGCCCATCTCAAGCGTTCTTTGTTGCCCTACTTTAAAATTTACGAGCAAGAGGCGGTCAGTCAGGGACTGCCCATTTTGAGGCCGCTCGTTTTAGAATATCAAAGCGACAAAATTGCCCAGTTAGTCGATGACCAATATTTGCTCGGTCAGCAAATCATGGTTTGCCCAATTTTAACGGCCAACACTAAGGTTCGACAAGTCTACTTGCCAGCCGGTCAGTGGCACTTGTGGGGTGAATACGAAAAAATTTACCAGGGGCAAAAGTTAGTTACTTTGGATTGCCCAGTCGATCAAGCGCTGGTTTTTGTGAAAAGCGGTAGTTTGATCATCACCGTGCGAGACGTTGGTTTTAAATTTGCTGATTTAAACGGTTTGACTTTTTTAGCTCATCGCTACGGCCAAGTTGCTAACCAAACGCTCAGTTTTAAATTGGGCGACCAAGTGCATGTAATTACCTATGAGGACGGCCATTTAAAAATTAATTCCGACCAAAAAGTTGAACTAGTTCCGGCGCTAGTTAGTGCCTAGCGGCTCACCGAGCGGTTAGTTGTTTAGTATAATTCGCTCATACTTAGAAAACTAAGCGGGGGTAAAGAAAATTAGTTCAACCATTCAGTCGCGTCGCGGCACTCTTGATTGAAGTTTTACCCGCAGATTTTTCGGCATCGTTTTCCCAGTCATCTGTCAGGCGATAATCATTTTGCTGGTTGGTCAAATTGACATCATCTTTGTCGCCAACAGTTTTAGTCAGAATTTGCCCGGCGTCGGCGTTGTGCTGGAAATCTTTCAAATTTTTGTCACGCTCAGCATTTCGGTCACTATTGCCTGCAGCATCTACGTTGGTCAGTACAAAGGCCAGGAAAACAACTTTAAAATTCAGGAATCAATCCGGTGCGGGTGAATTTTAGGCGTGCTAATCGCCGTTCCCGCCATTTTAGTTTTGACTTTGGCTGGCGGAAGTTTAATCGAAGCGATTCTCAGAGTTGATCCGCGTTACACGTTTAGCAAAGATCAAATTGAAGCCGGCTTTGATTTCTTATCGGTTTTAGCTTTTGGTCTGATTTTCCAAATTTACGCCATGATTAACTACGGAGCACTCCAAACGCTTGGTTTTACCAACCGAACTTTGCTGGTTTCGCTGGTAGCGTTCTTGGTTAATGTGCTGGGTAATTATCTTTTCGTGGCTTTAGCCGGCCAAACGCTGGGAATCGTCGGCATCGCCTGGGCAACGTTAATCGCTCGCGCCGTGGAAGCGGTTTTAATCACGCTCGTTTTTTGGCAGAAAAAAGTTCGTCCCTATAACCCGTTTAGCCGACCTTTTAAAGTGACGCCGACCGTTTTATTGGGAGTTCAAAGGCAGTTTTGACCGATTCTATTCTCAAACGGCATTTACCAAATGCTGGTCTTTATTAACCGGGTTTTGATAATTCGCTACGGCGGCACGGATAGTTACCAGGCAACGGTGCTGATTCTGATTTTTATGAGCGTGCTTTACGCCTTTTGGTCTTCCTGTTCGATCGCGGTCTCTAACTTCGTCGGGCCTGCGCTCGGCTCTAACCAAAGCGACTTAGCGATAGCCAACAGTAAGCGAATCACCAAACTGTTTTACGTGATGGTTTCCATCGCGGCCGCGATCATGTTTCTCCTGGCTTGAACGCTGATGGGTGTGATTTACCCGAACGTTGGCGCCGGTATACGTTCCAATGCGAGTTGAATCTTAACGTTTCAAGTGGTTGGTTTTCTGTTTTCTTCCGGTTCGGTGCTCCTAATTGGGTTCTTACGAATCGGTGGTAAAAGTGCTTTGGCAGCCGTGGTAGACATCGGTTTTTCAACTCTGCACCAAACTTTATTGGTTTGGATTCTTTACAAGTTTTTCGGCATGGAAACGCGTTTTATCTTCCTAGTGATGGCACTGGCAGAGATTATTCAAACGGGCCTATTTTTATGGCTGGTCTTGAAAATTAAGTGGGTGCGCAACATTACCGAAAGCGAGCCGATTGTTAACCAAATTGACGGAGTTTAGATGAGACTTAAACGTCCAAAGACTTTAGCGGTGATTGGTTTACAGTGGGGTGACGAAGGCAAAGGTAAAGTCACCGATTTTTTAGCTCAGCAGAGCGACGTGATTGTCCGTTTTCAAGGCGGTAATAACGCGGGACACACAATCGTCACGGGCGGTGAAAAATTTGCCCTTAGCCACCTACCCGTCGGCGTTTTCAATCCCAAGGCCATTAACGTGATCGGTCAAGGTTGCGTGGTTAACCCTCAGCAGTTGCTAGAAGAAATTAACCAGTTGAAAGCGCGCTGAAAAAAACCGTTTCAACTTTACATTTCCGATCGCGCCCACGTGATTATGCCTTACCATCTTGACCTTGATCGGGTTAGCGAAGAAAAAGGCAGTCAGCCGATCGGCACGACCCGCAAAGGAATCGGGCCGGCTTACCAAGATAAATACGCTCGACTAGGAATTAGGTGGGCCGATTTTATCGTACCTAGTTATTTTCGACAAGTTTTAGCCCGCGTTTTGCCGGTTAAAAATCGTCAGTTAGCGAGTTGAAAACTACCCATTTATAAGCCGGAGACTTTAACTGAGCAAAGCGCTCTAGCGGTTCGCGAATTGGCGCCTTACGTAGTTGACGCGGGTCGTTTAATTGACCGAGCGATTGGTCAGCAAAAACGAGTTCTTTTTGAAGGTTCGCAAGGGGTCATGCTTTGCGTGGAGAACGGCACTTACCCGTTTGTGACTTCTTCGTCGCCGACTGGTGCTGGTGTGGCGCTCGGCGCTGGCGTTGATTTTCACGCTCTGGAGCGCGTTTTGGGGGTCGTGAAAGCTTACAGTACCCGGGTCGGAGCCGGTTTTTTTCCAACCGAGATTAACGGAACGATCGCCGAGCAGATTCGCCAGCGCGGTCATGAATTTGGCACCGTAACTAAGCGTCCGCGTCGGATTGGTTGACTGGACGCGGTCATGCTTCGCCACAGCGTGCGGGTGGCCGGCGTTACCGAGCTAGCTCTGACGCTATTAGATGTGTTAGACGGTCTAGATGAAATACAAATTGCCACCGCTTACCAGTTGGGTGAGCAAACGATTGATTATGTGCCAGCTTCAATTTTTGAGTACCAAAAAGTTAAGCCACTCTACCAGACTTTATCGGGATGGAAAACTAGTTTGACAAACATGACCACTCGGAAACAACTACCGAGTCAGCTGCTTAACTACGTCAACCGAATTAGCCAACTGGTCGGCGTACCGGTTAAATATCTTTCGGTCGGCCCCGACCGCCGCCAAACGATTAAACTCTAGTAACCTTCGTTGTTCTTGAGCAAGATGTAACTGACTTTCTTAAGCGCAGCCAGTTTTAAACCGCCCGCGTAAGAAATGGCCGATTGGAGATCTTGTTCAATTTCTTTGAAAGTGTCCCAAATCGAACCGCGGAGCGGTACAAGTTCTTTTTTACCTTCCACGTGGCGTCTTTCGCCTTTGTTAAACTCAGAGGCTGAACCGTAGTACTCCTTGTAACTTTGGCCTTGGGCTTGAATGACCGGAGTGGGCGATTCTTTGTGGCCGGCCAAAATTGACCCGACCATCACAAAAGTAGCTCCGAAGCGAATCGCCTTGGCGATGTCGCCGGGGTAACGAACTCCACCGTCGGCTATGATCGGTTTGGTGGCCGATTTGGAAAGTCATTTGATGGCTGAAAGTTGCCAACCAGCCGTTCCAAAACCAGTTTTTAAGCGGGTAATGCAAACTCGTCCTGGTCCGACGCCGACTTTGGTAGCGTCAGCGCCCCATCTTTCTAAATCGACTACCGCTTCGGGAGTGGCGATGTTGCCAGCGATCACAAACGGTTTTTGACCCATTCTGAGGCGGATGTGTTTGATCATTTTTTTCATGGAATTAGCGTGGCCATGGGCAATGTCAATCGTAATAAACTCCGGAATTAATTTTTGCTGAGCTAGTTTGTCAATTACTTCGTACCACTCTGGTTTAACGCCGATCGAAATTGAAGCGATTAATTTTTGCTTTTGAGCCTTTTTGACGAACTGCACCGTATCCACGTTAAAACGGTGCATGACGTAAAAGTAACCGCGCTCAGCCATTTCAAGCGCCAACTCCTCGCTAATTATCGATTTCATGTTCGCCGGTACGATCGGTAGTTTGAAACGGTGGTTAGCAAAACTGACGCTCGCATCGCATTCGCTCCGCGAGTTGGTAATGCAACGTTTTGGTAAAAGTTGAACGTCTTCAAAATCAAAAACTTTCAAACTGACCTCCCAGCCAGCAGTCTGAACTGCTTGGACCCAGTAATTTTACCTAAATTAACCGCGATTATTTTTTCGGTCTAGGTTTGGATTTTGGACTAGTTAGTAAACCAAGTTGGCGGTAAACTTGGTCAATGCGACGAAGGTAGTAGCGGTAGTCAAAAAGTTGCTCTACTTCACCAGCGTCTAAGACCTTGTTTTCCAGCAGTAGTTGGCTCAACTTAATTTTGTCGCTCAGCGCTTTCTGGGTTAGCACTTGGATTAGGCGGTAAGCAGCATCGCGCTGGTAAAGTTTTTTTTCAATTAGGTAAAGCAAAACGCGCTGCGAAAAAATGACCTCTTGGTTGCGGGCCAGGTTGGCGAGCATTTGATCTTCTTTGACGACTAAGCTCGTCAAGATGTTTTCCATCCGTTTCAACATAAAAGCTAAGAGGTTTGTCGCGTCGGGCAAAATGATTCTCTCGGCCGAAGAGTGGGAAATATCGCGCTCGTGCCAAAGGACAACGTTTTCTAGACCGGTCTGGGCGTAACCACGCATAACCCGCGCTAGTCCGCTGATGTTTTCGCTTAAAATCGGGTTTTGCTTGTGGGGCATGGCCGACGATCCTTTTTGATCAGCCGTAAATGATTCGCTGACCTCTCCGACTTCCGAGCGTTGTAAGTGCCGAATTTCGACGGCAAATTTATCAAGCGACGAAGCGATCAAAGCAAGCGTTTGTAAGTAAAAAGCGTGGCGATCGCGCTGAAGAATTTGGCTGGCGATTGGACTCGGAGTTAAGCCAAGTTTTTGAGCCACGAATTTTTGAACCCGCGGATCAAGGTGGGCGAAGTTGCCGACTGCGCCCGATATTTTGGCGACTTCCACTTGCTCAGCGGCTAAATTAAAGCGCGTTAGTTGCCGGAGCATTTCCTGGTGCCAAAGCGCCATTTTGTAGCCAAAGGTGGTTGGTTCGGCGTGGACGCCGTGGGTTCGACCGACTTGGTAGGTGTTCTGGTAACGAAGCGCTAGTTGCTTAAGTTTGCTGAGCAGTTGGTTAATTTTGGTGCGCAACTCGGCGTTGACTTGTTTGAGTTGGCAAGACAAAGCGGTGTCAACCACGTCGCTAGCTGTTAATCCAAAGTGAAAAAACCTTTTTTCTGGGCCGAGAGTTTGCGATACTTGGTCGACAAAAGCGGCGAGGTCGTGACCGATTTGTTTTTCGATTTCGGCAATTTTGAGCGGGTTGACCCGGGCACGACTAGTAATTTTGGCCAACTCTTGAGCACTGATCAGACGTTCAAAACGGCTTTGAGCAGCCAAAACCGTTAATTCCACTTGCAACCAAACTTGGTACTTGTTTTCGGTCGTCCAAATTTGGCTAATCACTGGGTCGCTGTAGCGGGTCAACATCGCTTACATTATAATTGACACAATTACAAGCGAGTAACGAAAGGCTTTTATGCAAATACTTGTTACCGGCGGAGCCGGGTACGTCGGCAGCCACGTTGTTTACCAATTGATTGAGAAGGGACACCAAGTGGTGGTGCTGGACGACCTAAGCACGGGATACGCTGAGTGAGTCAACCCGCGGGCGACTTTTTACCAGGTCAGTTTGCTTGATCAAAAAAAGTTGGCCGAAATTTTTCAGACTCACAAAATTGAGCTGGTGGTTCACTTGGCTGCCAAGTTGCTAGTCAGCGAATCGACTCGCCAACCGCTTACTTACTACCAGACTAACGTCGGCGGACTAATCAATTTACTAATCGCGATGGAAAAAGCTGGCGTGGATAAGATGATCTTCTCCTCAACAGCGGCTGTCTACGGCGAGCCCCCGCGAGAAGGTCAAATAATTACCGAGCAAGACTCTAAAAATCCGATCAACCCTTACGGCCAATCAAAGTTAATCGGCGAGAAGATACTGGGCGACTTAACCAAGACCGGTCAGATCAAAACGGTTATCTTCCGTTATTTCAACGTGGCCGGGGTTAGTCAGGCGCTGATGAAACTGCCTTTGCCCGCTAAACCCCATCTCAGCCACCTAATTCCGATTGTCAACAGTTACGCGCTTGGTAAGTTGCCAATCCTAACTGTTTACGGCGATGATTATCCGACGCCCGATGGCACTTGCGTGCGCGATTACATCCACGTTGAGGATTTAGCTTGGGCGCACTTGCTGGCGATTGACTACTTAAAAAGCGGTCATTCAGGCGACTTTAACCTCGGGTCTGGTCAAGGTTACAGCGTCAAACAAGTGGTTGAAACTGCTCAGAAAGTTAGCCAAGTTTGGTTAAAATACCAAGTAAGCGCCCGACGCCCGGGTGATCCGGCTTGGCTCGTGACCAGTTATGCAAAAGCTCAGCGCGCTCTAGGTTTTAAGCCCCGCGCCAGTTTAGCCGACATGATTAAATCTGATTACCAGTGACGGGCCGGTGCTACGAAAGGAAATTAATGGCCGTTAAACAGTACCAGTCCCACGCCAAAGTTCCCGTTAAGTACACTTGAGATTTGGAAGCTATTCTTGGCTCGGAAAAACTAGATGATTTGATCAATCGACTAATTAAGCTTTACAAAAAATCGATTCAAATTAAAGACTCTAAGTACCAGTCGCCACGCGCCTTTTTGGCCGCCTTAAAACTGGGCGATCAAACAACCATTTTATCGGGTCGGATTCACAACTACATTTCCAACAAAATTTCCCAGAACATCGTCGACCACGAAATGGTTTCGCGGCGGGAAAAATTGACTTACCAAATTAACCAGTTAAGTCAACAACTCGGCGCCGAGGACGACCGCTTTTTTACCCACAGCGCAAAAATTCGCGAGTGAATTAAGCAGCCAGCTTTTGACGATTACCGCCACAGCCTCAGTGCCAAACTTGAGGAAGAAAAGCACCGTCTCTCCCGTGAAGTGGAGGAGTTTCGCACCGTTGAATGCCGGGCGGATGTATCGGCCTCCGAGGTTTTTTCAATTTTAACTAACAGCGAACTTGAGTTTGCTCCGGCCCGCAGTTCCAAAGGTCAAAAAATAGCTGTTACCAGCGCTAACCGGCAAAAATTAGCTCAACATCCGGACGCTAAAGTACGTAAAACGGCGGCGATTTCCTACCGCAACGCCTATCTCAAACACAAAGGAACTTTGGCGAATTTGCTTTACCAACACTTTAAAAAGATTTCCACTTGAGCTAAACTAGAGCGCTTTAACTCGTCGGTGGAAATGCTAACTTTTGGCGATCGAGTTGATCCTAAGATGCTCACGGTTCTATACGAGCAAGTTCAAAAACACCGGCAAATTTTTAAACGCGCTCGCAAGTACCACCAAATTTTTTACCGCCGTAAATTTGATCGTCCAATCACCGACTACGATTACGAAGTAGCGCTCGTGTCCCAACCTAGCGACTACACGATTGAACAAACTCAGGCGATCGTGATTGAGTCTTTAAAACCGTTTGGGAGCGAGTATTTTAAAGTCGCTCAAAAAGCGATTTTGAAAGAGCGCTGGGTTGATTACATGCCAGTTAAAAACAAGCGCACGGGCGCCTATTCAATCGGCATGTCCTACGCGATTGATAAAAAGTACATTTTGATGAATTTTGATGGTACGCTCCGCTCGGTGGAAACGCTCGCCCACGAGATGGGCCACTCGATGCACTCGTACTTCGCCGACAACGCTAATTCCTTGTCAAATGCCAGTTACCCGATATTTTTAGCCGAAATCGCCTCCATCTTTAACGAACTAATGGTGCTTGACCACCTACTCAAAAATTCTCATTCGCCGCGCGAAAAGTTTTTGATTCACCAGCGAATTATTTACGGGTTCCAAGCGACAGTCTTACGTCAAATCGAGTGGTCAAACTACGAGTTTGATCTTTACCGAGCGCTTGACCGCGGCGAGCCGCTTTCAACTTATGAGTCTCTCGCCCAGCTTTACCACCAAAACAGTCTCCGCTACAGTCTTAAGGGCGAGCAAAAGTTTGATCCTAAGAAACAGTGACCAGCGGTTTATGTGCCCCACTTTTACTACAACTTTTACGTTTATAAATACGCGATTGGACAAATTTGCGCCAACTTTTTTTTCAGTCAGTACCAGCAACACGGACCAAAGGCGCTCCAAAATTACATCGAAAACTTTCTTAAAGCTGGCGGACGAGATTGGCCGCTCAAAATTTTGCAGTCAAGCGGCATCGATCTATTTGACAAAAAGATTTACGACCACGCTTTTGGGGTAATCGCCGATCATGTTAACGAGTGGATTAAACTAGGTCGAGAAATTTTCAAAGTCTAATTAACTAGGTGAAAATCTGGTCACCTTTGTGAGTGATCCAGTGTCTTTCCAAAGCTTTGCGAACCGCTTGGGTTCCTTTGCCGTGCAGCGCTTGGTAGGCGGAGAGCCAACCTCCGTAGGTGCTGTTACCGCCCATGAAGAGGTAAGTTTCAAATGTGTTCGGACTGTTAGCCGGCATCCAAGCTACGTTATTAATGTGACCTTTTTTGACGAGACTATTGTCGATGAGGTTGACCGAATCGGGGTGCATTTTTTTGGTGATGATTTTTCGTCCTCTCTGGTGAGTGATTTCAAAACTAACCCGCGGAGCAACTTGTCCAAAGAGTTTGGCGATGTCTGGGTCGTCAAGGTAATCGTGTCTTAACTGAGGAGTGATTTTATGACCGCCCTTAGTTAAGTGATCGTTAAAATCATTCAGATCGTCGCCGATGCGCATAATGATTTGAACCGGTAAATTTTGGAGACGTTTGTCCAACTCATCTTGCCAACCTTGGTCGGGTTTTAAACCTAGTTCTTGCGGTTTGCGACTGCTTAGTCCGTGCTTATGAATGTAAGCGTAGCGCGACTCTTTCAGTTTTAAAGCCGCTAAATTTTGCTCGTTTTGCTCGGTTACTCCGTAGGGCAAAGAACCCATCGTTCACCACAAGTAACTGTCTAAAAAAGCGCTCGGATAACCTTGCTTAATTAAGTTATATCGGGTGGCAACTAATTCATCGCCGGTCGCAAAATTGCCTTGCCGACGGTTAGAAACAAAGACTACCATCGCTCCGCTTTTTCAAACCGTCTGAATAAATTCAATCGCGCCGGGGTAAACCGGTGCTTTTTGAGCCTGGGTCCATTTGTACCAACTCTCGGGCTTAAATCCTTCGCTTTGACGCAGCGCTAAAAACACTTGGTAAAGCGTGTTGTCAAGAATGGTTTCATCAATGTCCATCACCACCACCGGCACAAAACGTCCCGACTGAGGTTGGGAAATTCTAACTTTCGATTGACTGTCGACCCAAAGCGCTTGCAAATCAAGCAGAGCCTTATTTTTGTCAAGCGCTTGCTTGAACTGGAGCTTGGCATTTTGGTACTGGGTCATGATTAACGCTCGTCGTTCAGCCGAGGTTTGCCACAAGGTTGCGTAGTATAAGTCGCGGATGCCCTCTTCTTGATCACGGTTTAGATCTTTGCGCGTTTCCTTTTCGCTCGTTTGAGTTTGACAGGCGACGAGCGAAAGGGCACTCGGAGCAACTAACGCAGCCGTTCCGAGCCAACTCCACCAAATTCTTCGTTTTTTCACACTAACCTCTTTCTAATTTAACGCCAGCTAATCTGGCCGCTGGTCTGTTTTAAACTTCGCAGACATTATAATGTTGTTAAGGACGGGACCAGCACTGGAACATGATTGATCGTAGGAGTCTTAAGAAGTACCAGAAATACTTGTTGTCGCTCGCGGCTCTGACGACAGTGACTGTGCCCGTGGCGACTATTATTCACTTTGGCACCGAGGGTTTTGACACTAAACAAGAGCCGGATCAAGATGGTAAAGAACCCGAGCCGATCGTGCTTGAACTAAAAAACACCTACCAAACTAAATTAAAAAGCAAACCGACTTTGGATTTTGAGATCGGACAAAGTTTGACGCTTCAACAGGCGGGCGTGAACGGCCAAATTGCGCTGGGCCAACGCAAAGTGAAGTTGCAAATCGTTGACATTGACGATCAGCGCGGACAAATTCGGGTTAATTTACTAGATGCCGAGACCAACCAAAAAGTGGTTGACAAGGTGATCTTAGTGTGGGGGTTTTTAACTAGTTCTAGGGAAGATATTTTGTCCCACTTAATTCGCAAAATTCAATCGGTCTACCAAACAAGCTGGACTAACCAAACCATCGAAGAGCGGCAAATCATTGCTAACCGCTTTGTGACCCTTGAGCAGTTAGGGGTGGAGACAAAAATCATTTTTAACTTGCGCGGTGCCCAGGTGGCTTACATCGCTGTTCGAACTAACGTCCGTCTTGGCGCGGTTAGAGTGCGTGTCGAATTAAAATGGCGCGGAGTTGAGAGGTCCAAGGAATTTCAGGTCACTGGTTTTTTGCCCACTCCGAGCCAAAGCGAACCGGGTTAACACCTTGCTATGCGGAGTTAAGATTTAAACCAAGTTGGGATAAGTCAATAAGGAGGTCGGGTAAAAGTTGCTGGTTGAAACATGAGCGGACATCTGTGGCCGGGCAAGACAACTGGGTTTTTCTTTATAATGGTCCTCCCCCATGCAAGATAGTCAAAAGTACATCATCGTTAAAGGCGCCAAGGAGAACAATCTCCAAAATGTCAACGTGATAATTCCCAAAAACAAGCTGGTCGTTTTCACGGGCGTTTCGGGCAGCGGTAAATCGTCCTTGGCCTTTAACACCATTTACGAAGAAGGTCGCCGTCGCTACGTCGATTCGCTTTCTTCCTACGCCCGGCAATTTCTTGGATCAAGCCAAAAACCGCTGGTTGATTCGATCGAAGGTCTTTCGCCGGCTATTTCCATTGAACAAAAAACGACCCACAATAATCCGCGTTCAACGGTTGGAACCGTGACGGAAATTTACGACTACTTGCGTTTGCTCTACGCCCGGGTTGGCAAAGCGTTTTGTCCTAACGGCCACGGGATTATTTCGGCTCAAACTAACAAAGACATTCAAAACGCCATTTTTAACCATCCGACCGGAACTAGACTCAACATTTTGGCGCCGGTCGTTAAAAACGAGAAAGGCACCCACCAGCAACTATTGGCTAAACTGCGTCGGGAAGGTTTTTTGCGCGTGATGGTTGACGGCCATTTGCTCGAACTTGACCAAGAAATCAATTTGCCGAAAAACCGTCGCCATAACATCGAAATCGTGGTCGACCGGATTAGTCTTACTCCCGAAACGCGCTCCCGGGTCAGCGAAGCGATTGAAATCGCCCTTGAGCACGGCCGCGGTTTAATGCTGGTTGAAAATGTGGCGGCGAAGACTCGTCAAACGTTTTCCAAGTACCACTCCTGCTCGGTTTGCGACTTTAACATGCCCCTAGTTGAACCGCGGCTTTTTTCGTTCAACTCACCCCAAGGCATGTGCGAAGGTTGCAAAGGACTAGGTTTAAAGTTAGCCGTAGACGTGGACAAACTAATCCCTAACCGCCGGCTTTCGATTCGCCAAGGCGGAATCAAGTTTTACCAAAACTTGGTTGACACCGAAAATTTAGACTGACAAGAGTACAAGGCAATGCTGGACTTCTACGGAATTAGTTTGGACGCGCCGCTCAAAGACCTGGCTGCTAACGACTGGGAAATTATTCTCCACGGGTCATTGGAAGCAATTGATTACGACTTAGTTTCACGGAGCGGCATTAGACACCAGAAGCACGGTTACATTGAAGGCTTGATCCCCAAAATTGAGCGCCGCTACTTAAACACCAGTTCCGAGCAAATTCGCAGTTGGTACAAAAACACTTTCATGTCCGACCGCGAGTGCGACGTTTGCTACGGAGCCAGACTTAACACTTTTGGTTTGGCGGTTCAAATCGGCTCGCTAAACATTCACCAACTGACCACTTTGCCGATCGAAAAAGCGCTGGAGTTCATTTTGCAACTTGAACTAACGTCTTACGAAGAAAAAGTTGCCCGTCTAGTTCTCAACGAAATTACCCACCGCTTAGAGTTTTTGATTAACGTGGGTCTAGAGTACTTGTCTTTGGACCGCAAAGCCGAAACGCTCTCGGGTGGCGAATCCCAACGGATCCGTCTCGCGACTCAGATCGGTTCTAATTTAACCGGTGTGCTCTACGTTTTAGACGAGCCTTCGATCGGTCTCCACCAGAAAGACAACCGTCGTCTGATCACCGCGCTCAAGAAAATGGTGGACATCGGTAACACTTTGATCGTCGTTGAGCACGACGAGGAAACGATTCGCTCGGCCGATTACATTGTTGACATCGGTCCTCAAGCCGGCGACGAAGGCGGTCGGATCGTCGCTCACGGCGACTTAGAGCAAGTTAAAACCGCTTCCGAGTCGGTAACCGGAGCGTTTTTGACCGGCAAACTGCGCATCGAAACGCCGACCTACCGTCGCTCGGGCAACGGTCAAGTTTTAGAAATTAAAGATGCCCGTGAAAACAATCTTAAGCGCATTAACGTTAAATTTCCGCTCGGCAAATTAATCGGAGTCAGCGGCGTTTCGGGATCGGGAAAATCGACTTTGGTGAACGAAATTTTAGCCAAAGCGCTCATTCAGCGGCTAACCAACCCTTTTGTAGCGCCTGGTCAGTTTGGCAAACTGAAGGGGATCGAATTTGTTGATAAAGTTGTGCCAATTTCCCAGTCGCCGATCGGTCGGACACCGCGCTCTAACCCTGCCACTTACACGAGCGTTTTCGACGACATTCGCGATGTTTTTGCCCAGACCCAAGTCGCTAAAGCGCGCGGTTACCAAAAGGGACGTTTTTCTTTTAACGTTGAAGGTGGTCGTTGTGAGAAATGCCAGGGCGATGGTTTGCTCCGAATCGAAATGCACTTCTTGCCCGATGTTTACGTTTTGTGCGACATTTGCGACGGCAAGCGCTACAACCACGAAACTTTGGAAGCTAAGTACAAAAATAAATCCATCGCGGATGTGTTAGCGATGCGAGTGTACGAAGCTTGGGAATTTTTTACTAATCGTCCCAAGATCAAACACAAACTCCAAACGATCATTGACGTCGGACTGGGCTACATTAAACTCGGTCAAAGCGCAACAACTTTGTCAGGTGGCGAAGCTCAGCGGGTCAAGTTAGCGACTTTTTTGCAGAAAAAACCGACCGGTAAAACGATTTACATTCTCGACGAGCCAACGACGGGACTCCACCAGTGAGACGTTAAAAAGTTAATCAAAGTTTTGGGTCGCATTGTTGACGGCGGCGACACGGTTTTAGTGATTGAACACAACCTCGATGTGATTAAATCGTGCGACTATATAATTGATCTAGGACCCGATGGCGGCGACAAGGGCGGCTTAGTGGTGGCCAAAGGCACCCCCGAGCAAGTGGCCACCAGCGAGCAATCGCACACTGCTAAGTACTTGCGGGAGATTTTGCATGAGGGTAACTAAAAAACTACTGACGGCACGCGAAGTAATTGAGACGTTTGATTTAGAACTGATCAACCAAAAAGCTCAGTTAGACCTAAACCGCGTTGTGCGCGGAGCGGCCATTAACCGGGCCGGTTTAGAACTAATGGGCTCTGCTAACTCCCACCAAGAAGCCCACATCATCGGCTGAGGGACTAAGGAAAACGATTGGTTTAAAAAGATCGGTGCTCAAGCGGCCGTTAAAGCTCTTGGCAACGTCTTATCAACCCAGACGCCGCTGGTGATACTTTCTTCGGGTGTCAAGGGTCAGTCTTTGCGCTGAATAACTGAGCAAGCGAACCGTTTTCAAATTCCCGTCAGCCAAGTTAAGCACCACCTATCGGGAGTAATTTCCACGATCGGTCTTTACTTAGCGACTTACTTTGCTCCCAGTCAGCGAGTGCACGGATCGCTGGTCATCGTCAACGGAGTCGGGGTTTTAATCACCGGTAAATCGGGGATCGGTAAGTCCGAAGCGGTGCTGGAACTAATTCAAAATGGCCACTTGTTTATTTCCGATGACACGGTAATTGTCAAACGAATCGGTCGCCAAATTATCGGTGAATCGGCCCCGATTACGAGCGGCATTCTTGAAGCTCGTGGGATCGGGTTAGTTGACATTGGTCATGTTTACGGCTTCAAAGTTGTCAAGGAATCGACGACCGTTGACTTCGTGGTAGAATTAGTCGTGCCGGACAGCCTCCTCAAATTTGACCGTCTAGGCACCCAAAACTTGCGTTACGAAGTTTTGGAAACGACTCTTCCGAAAGTTAAAATCCCCATTTACCAGGGTCGCTCTTCGGCGACATTGATTGAGGCGGCTGCCAACGTTTACCTGGCTAAAAAAGACGGCATTAACCCGCTTGAAACGATTACTAAACGTCAAAAAGGGGAGCAATAATGTACGAAGACGGATCTTGAATTAGAGGCGAGCCGATTTGGAAAATCGGGTTTTTGAGTCCTTACCCCATCACAATTTTACTGGGCGTAATTGCTTCGTTTTTGACAGTCGCTTACTTTTGGAGACGCCAGCGCTACCCTTGGGAAGTGCTCCAAGTCATTTTAATTATCGCTATTCCAAGCGCCATTCTTGGCGCTCGTTTGTGGTACGCCTTTTCTAATCCGGATGCCTGGTCGAGATTTTTCGTTTTCCAAGGCATGTCAATCCACGGCGGGGTCGTCTTTTCTACTTTGGCGGTTTTGCCCTACGCCTACACCAAACGCCATGTGATCGACATGCGAACCGCCTTTGGTTTAATCGTGCCAGCTGTGTTGATCGGGCAAACGATCGGACGCTGAGGTAATTTCGCCAACCACGAAGTTTACGGACTAAAGGTCAGCGGCGCATCGCTCAACTGACTCGATTGGATCGGCATCAAGTCGCACATGTACATCAACCACGCTTACCGAGCCCCGCTTTTCCTATACGAGTCAATCGCCAACTTCGTTGGTTACGTGGTTTTGGTCTGGGTGTTAGTTAACAAAAACTACTTACGCCCGGGCGTGACCGGCGGGCTTTACTTTGTTGTCTACGGTATCATTCGCGCGGCGATGGAACCGATCCGAGACCCAGATGACATCATGCGAATCGGCAACGTACCGATTTCCTTCGTGGTGGCTTTACTAATGATTTGCGTGGGCATGTTTTTCGTGCTTTGGTACCAGTTTTTATCAAGACCGTTTTATCCTTGGGTTCAGCGGTTGCTGCCCGACGCGATTTTAATGAGTTTCAAAAAACACTACCAACTGATCACGCCGGTCAAACCGCGCCGGAAGTACATCTTTTGGGGGACTTTGGAACAGACCAGTCCGAAGTACGTTTTCTTTGGTCAAGCGGTTGAAAAAAGAGTTCGTCTTTGAATCCCCGTTCCCGACCAGACCAAGTGGTCTAAGCGGGAAATTAACGCCGAGTTAAAACAGCCGAAGTTAAAACCTCCGACCGACCAACAGGCGGGTTAAAAATGACCAAAACCAAACCAGTTGACTACGATGTAATCATTATCGGCGGAGGTCCCGGCGGTCTGAGCGCGGCCATTTACACTTCCAGAGCCAGTCTAAGAACGATTTTCATTGAGGAAGGCGCTCCGGGCGGAAAAATGGTGAAAACTTTCAAGATTGAGAATTGAAGCGGCGAGAGGATGATTGAAGGACCCGACTTATCGCTTCGCATGTTCAACCACGCCCAAGCTTTCGGAGCTCTTTACAAGTACGGCAAAGTTATGCGCGTTGACTCAGAGGGACCCCAACGCCAAGTGGTGACTTTGTCTGACCAAAGCAGTCTGAGCGCTAAGGCCGTGATCATTGCCACCGGGATGAACGAGCGCATTCCGACTAGCATCGTCGGAATTACCGAGTTTGAAAACCGCGGCGTTTCGTACTGCGCCATTTGCGACGGGCCGCTTTTTAAAGGCCAGCCGATGGCTGTGATTGGCGGCGGCAATTCGGCTTTGGAAGAGGCGGTTTACTTAACTTCGGTTGCCAGCCACGTTTACGTTTTCGTGCGCCAGCCATCGGAACTAATCGCCGAGAAAAAACTCGTTCAAGACGCGACCCATAAAAAGAACTTGACGATTTTTACGTCCGGTGAAATTAAACGTTTGATCGGCAAAGATCAACTTGAATCGATTGAAGCGACTGTTGATGGGCAAGATGTCAAAATGAACATTAGCGCCGTTTTTCCCTACATCGGTCACATACCCAATAGTCGTCTCGTGGCGCACCTTAATTTGAGCGATTCGGCGGGTTTTATCGAAACTGACCACTACATGGAAACCAAAGTGCCCGGTGTTTACGCGGTTGGCGACGTGCGCGCCAAAGAAGTTCGGCAAATCGCGACTGCCGTAGCTGACGGAGTAATCGTGGGCAAAATTTTAGCCAACCGAATTTAATTAACGCCCGAGAAGCGGAGGCTAAGCTTGGAATCATTTACCCAGCGCGTCAAAATGGAAATTGTTAGCCAAGATTTTGGTCAGTCTGAGCTGAACGCTTTCGTGCTTGGATTAGCTAATTTGTCCAGCCCGCCGTGACCACCTACGCAGCGCCTGAAAATTTTGAGCCCCGCTTTGCGTCAAAGTCTTGAGCAAGTGCTCGCCAAAAGTTCTGCTACAGTCAGTCAAAATTCGCCGAGCACTTTGACGCTCGGGCAACTTAACCAGTTAGCGGGAGTTTCTTGGCGCGATTATCCGGGTCATTTTTTGGCGGGCGTTTTTGTCAGCGGCGGATCGATTTCGAAACTAACTTCGCGCTGGTACCACTTGGAGATGCAAGTTCACTCTTGAACGCTGGCACGCACACTGCTCAATTTTTTAAACGAGCACGCTTTTCCTTTCCAACTAATTAAGCGTCGGGAAAGACCGGTTCTCTACCTTAAAAAAGCCGAACAGATCGCCGATTTTCTTAAATCAATCCACGTTTTTTCGGCCGTGCTTGAGTTTGAAGACCAGCGGATTGAACGTGACTATGTCAACTACTTTAACCGCTACTCTAACCTTGACACTTACAATTTGGCGCGCCTCGCCGAGGCTAACCAAGTTTTTCAAAGCGGTTTTAAAAAAGCCCAAAAATTAGCCGGCCGCCAGCACTTTCCCAGCAAGGCCTGGAACTTTTTTGAACTCAAAAAAACCAACCCTTATTTATCGCTCAGCGAACTAGTTTTACTTTACAACCAGCGGCACCAAAATAAGCTAACGCGGTCAGCTGCCAACCACTATTTAATCAAGTTGCGCCGCCTTTACGGTGCCAGTAAAAATTAATTTCCTAGTTGTATAATCTACCCATGGCGGTTATTTCGGATTGAATCTCGAGCTGATCACTCGGTGGCAAGTTATCAGTTTTATGGTTCCTTCTGGTCAGCTGCATCTTAGTCTGGTGTTCGTTTAAACTAGTTCAAAACTTAGGTGTCATTTCCAACAAGAGCAACTTAAACGATTCGTTTTTGGGCGGAACTTTTGTCGCTGTCATCACTTCCACGCCCGAACTAGTCACCGAGATTAGTTCCGTACTGCTCGGCAAACCAGAGATCGGAATTGCCGATGACATGGGTTCAAATTCGTTTTCAATTTTCTTAGTCGCTGTGTCAGCGATTATTTTCGTGCGCTCTATGTTTTTAAAACACCTTAACCGCTACGCCAAAATTTCGCTCTGGATGTCAGCCGGAGCGATCGTTTTTTTTACGGTTATGATTGCGGTCAACCGTGACGTGGTGATCGGAACGCCCGGCCGGTTCGCAATCGGAATTGTGCCGCTGCTCTTTTTCATTTTTTGGGTTGTTTCGCTGTGAGTTTCGCTTAAGTACGGAGATAACGACGACGAACCGACAATTTATAAAAGCAAAGATATTTCGCTCCGAAAAGCGACTTTTTTCTTCGCCTTTTGGGGAATGTGTTTGATCGTCTGAGCGCTAGTTTTAAACTGGGTCGCCCAGTCAATGGCCGACGGGTACCACCTGACTTCTAACGTCGTGGGCGGCGTGTTTTTGTCGATTAGCACCTCGTTGCCGGAGGCGTCGGTTTTCGTTTTGATGCTTCGCAAACGTTTGTTAGCCGCGGCCACGCTTTCCATCATCGGTTCGCACCTTTTCAACTTAGCGATTCCGTTTTTCGGAGACATGATTTACACGCGCGATGCGATCTTCAACCAGAACCCCGAAGTCAGTAAGTTGTGACCGCTCAGCCTCCAAGCTTCAATCATGATCTTGCTGCTCGCGTTCCAAACAACATTTTTGAACTTTGTCAAGAAAAAACGCTATTATTTGGTTGTTCCTTCGCTGATCGCGAGTATCTACATTGGCGGTTGGGTACTAATGGCGCTTTTGTAATTTGAACGGAGGATAAATAAAATGGCAATCATCGCTTTAGTTTGGATACTTTTCGCTTTATCGTTCGTAATCTTGATCGTGTCCTTGATGATGGCACCCGATTCGAACGCTTTTTCAGGTGCGATCGTCGGTTCCAGCGACCTTGATCTTTTTAAAATTTCCAAAGAACGCGGATCGAAGAAATTTCTCAAGTGGTTAATGTTTGGTCTTGGCCTGACCCTTTTGATCATTTCGCTAGTTATAAGGGCTTTGCATTAAATGGCAATTAGTTTAGATTTAATTTACCAAACCGTCAAAAATTCTGGCGTTTGCTCGTTTAGTTTTCTCGCCCGCAAGTTAAACGTTCCGCGTGAGCAAAACCGCTCTTTGTCGCGTGCTCTGAACCACTTAGTTGAACGACACGACCTCTTTCTCACCTACGACCAAGAGTACTTCGTTCCGCAGTTTTTAGGCGAACTAGAGGGGCTTTACAGTTCGGGCGCTAACCGCGGTTACGGGTTTGTTAAAGCTGAGGAAAAAAGCGTTTTTATTTTAAACCGTGACAGCGACAGCGCCTTAAACGGCGACCTTGTTAAAGTGCGCTACTTTAAAGATGTGCGCAACGTTAGTCAAAACAAAGAGACCCAGCTTTACCAAGGTTACGTGCTCGAAGTTATTAAGCGCAACAAAGAGTTTTTTGTCGGTCAAGCGATTTTGGAAAACGATTTTTTGAGCATTAAACCGCTTGACAGCAAAATTCGCGGACCTTTTCGGTTTGTGAAAAAACCGCTTGTTTCGCTGGGCGATCAAATTAAAGTGCGGATCGTCGAGGTCAGTCCCCGCGAAGTGCTGATCGAGTTAGTGCGGATCATCGGCAAAGCCGACGACGTGGCGATTGACATTTTGTCAGCCATTGAAGACGCCAACGTCCCCTACCGCTTTTCGACCGCGGCTCGCCACCAGTCGCAAAAACTCCCGACCCACGTTTTGGAAAAGGACTTGGTCGGCAGACTTGATCTGCGCCAGAAACTAATCGTGACGATTGACGGCGACGACACCAAAGATTTTGACGATGCGATTTGAGTCAGCAAAACTAAGCAGGGCACTTTTTGACTCGGAGTTTACATTGCTGACGTGGCCTACTACGTGCCCGAGGGCACTCCGCTGGATCACGACGCTTTTGAGCGGGGCACATCGGTCTACCTAGTTGACCGGGTGATCCCGATGCTTCCCTTTGAATTGTCAAACGGCATTTGTTCGCTGAATCCCGACGTGGATCGGCTAGTTTTAGCGATTGAAATGGAAATTGACCGCCGCGGCGAAACGCTTAAGCACCAAATTAGTCCGGCGGTGATTAAATCCAAAAAACGTTTAACTTACCAAGCGGTCAACAATTACTACCGCGGCGAAGAAAGTTTTCACAGTCCAGAACTAGAAAAAATGCTCGACCAGGCGGCCGAACTGGCGACCTTAATCCGGCGTAAGAAAGAGTCGGAAGGTTACATTGACTTTGAAATACAGGAGTCAAAAATTATCGTTAACGAACTTGGTCAAACAATTGACATCGTCGCACGCGACCGCGACAAATCCGAGATGCTAATTGAAGATTTCATGGTGCGCGCTAACGAAATGATCGCCCAGCACATCGCCAAAATGGAACTACCCTTTATTTACCGAGTGCACAGCAAACCGGATCTCGAAAAGTTAACTAACCTTGAGAACGTAGTCCGAGTTTTAGATCTTGATGTCAAAATACCTCGCCACGCTATTCCGGCTGAGTTTGCCTTAGCGATTCGTCAAATCAAGGCGCTGCGCTTTGACGACTTTATGAAAGTGATGATGTTGCGCACGATGGCTAAGGCGGTTTATTCTCCCCAAAACATCGGTCACTTCGGTTTAGCCTCCACGTACTACACCCACTTTACCTCTCCGATCCGGCGTTACCCTGACTTAATTGTGCACCGGATGTTAAGGCGCTACCTATTTGAAAAAGATCCCAAAGCGAGCGCTCACTTCCGGGAAATTTTGGAAGGCGCGGCCGAGCACTGTTCGCTGGCCGAGCAGCGTGCCATGGAACTTGAACGGCGGGTAGACGACATCAAAAAAGCTGAGTTTTACGCCAAACTGATCGGACGCTCTTTCAGCGGCCAAATTACCACGATTAGTAAGTTCGGTTTCTTCGTAGAATTCCCCAACAAAGCCGGGGGTCTAGTTCATTTATCCTCCCTGCTAGACGGCAAGTACAGCGTAGAGGAAAACGGGTTAGTTTTACGGAGCAACAAACGCCGCTTTGTGATCGGCGACATGGTTGACGTTACGATCGTCAAAACGTTTAAAAACGAAGGTAAGATTGAGTTAGTGCTGAGCGAGTTTTACGAACTTTGGCGCGAGAACAATTTAATTCAGCAAATTTAAGTTTCCCAGTCGGTCAACTTATAATTGGGTGGTGTTCATCCTTTCCCAAGTTGGTCTAATTTTTCTGTTGGTCTTTTTTTTCTTCGCCTCTTACATCGTGATCGAAAAAATTCGCACCAGCAAAACTGTCTTTGCTTGGAAAATTTACGATGCGGTCAAAGACATGGCCGAAGGCGTTTTGCACGGGTTTTTTGTGATCGTTTTCGCCCTGATCGCCCGGGCAATTTCCCCGGGTTATGCGACGCCGCTTTTTGTGGTAGTCGGGTTGACGCTTTTATTTGTTAAAAGCGCTTTGGTGGCTAGTTGAGCGGTCGTGCCGCCCTTTATCTACTACTTAGTGGCCCACGAAATCGACCTTCTTCTCTATTTGACGCTGGTCTGGTTTGCGCTGGGATTAATCGCCGGTCAAGTGGTCAAGTTTTGAAAAAACAAGTACTCCTACAACGCCTGGGTAATTAACGTCTGCTTGTTACTCAGCACTTTTACGTTGTTAGCTTGGCACTTCATTTACCAACCCGATTGACACACGAGCAGCCAACTCCATTTCTTTCCTTTTCTAACAACTTTTGTGGTCTACTCGTTTTTGGTTTTAGCAATCAACTTTTTGGTTTCAGCAAACATTTTGTACCAAGCGGTTAACTTTAATTTTTCCCGCTATTACCGCACCAGTTTGCGCGACGTGGCAATTGGTCAATTAATCAGCCAGCAAGCGGTTGACTTTGGCATTTACGGACTGTTTACTTTTCGCTATCCACCCCTACGTTCGATCGAAAAGAACTTGGAAATCCGCGAGAGCGTTTTGCTTGACTTTGAAAAAGCTTTTCCGAGCGAAGCGATTTTGTTCCGAGCCGACCAAAAGCGGTACGGTTTTTTTCTGCCCTTGCCGACCAAACCCGATTACCAAGTTAGTTTGAAAGGCAACGCTTTTTTAGACCGGCAAGGTCAAGACGCCCTGTCTACTTTGGAAAAAATTGTTAAACGTCGGTCAACGATTTACTTGACTTCCTGGGAGGAAAAAGTACCGGTCAAAATTTACGCCGGGGTTGCTCTTTATGGCATCCAGTCGCAATCGATTTGGCAACTAAACGACATGGCCAATTTTGCGCTCAATAACTTCAGCAAAAACCGCGAAAATGTGGTTCAACTTTTTGACCCCGTGGTTGATCGGCAAATTGTTAACCAAAGACGCGAACTTTCACTGCTTGACCAGCGAATCGGTCTCGATAACTTTGTCAACTACTTCGTGCCGCTTTACGAGATTAAAAAAGGTCAAACCGCTCTTAATTTTGTTAGCACCGAAAAAGTTGACTACTCGGATTTGAAGGAAACGGTTAGCGATTACATCGCTTTTCTGGGTTGGAACCAAGTCTTTGATCGTTACATCGCTTACACAGCGCTCAGCAAAGTGACTTCCCGTTCCAGCTTGGCTTTTTTTTACGCACCACAAATTTTGACCAGCGATTTTGACGGTCAAGTTTTTCTCCGTCGTCTCGAAAATTTGGCAGTTTTGCCGAGCCAAGTAGTTTTAGTTTTTGCCGACCACCTGCTGGCTAAAATACGTGATTGAAACAAACTGAAACTCAACGTGCTGGGACTGAAAAAACAAGGCGTTCGAATCGCTTGTTTGGCATCCAAGAATTTCCGTCTTAGTTGGCTTGAAGCGCTGAAACCGAAATTTTTGTTTTGCACCAACCGAGCGCTCAGCATTGGCGCGTCGCGGCAAGTTCGTCAGGTGGCACCCCAAATTAAAACGGTTGCCTTTGAAATTGCTGACCTGGAGAGTTTCACGCGAGCGCTTAAGCTTGGCTTTGATTTAGTCGGCGGTAAGTTTTTACAAAAACTGAGTCGTCCAGGCAAATTATCCGACCAAAACGCTCGTTATATCGCTGATTTTTTGGAAAAACGTAGTTTGCCCCGGCCACCTTTGGTCAGTTTGCAAAAAAGCGGTTAAAAAACTTATAATGGTAGTAAATTAAAGCCGGAAGTCTTAGTTTAACGTGAACGATCAACAAAATTTCAAAGTAATGGGAGCGGTGGTAATCACGCTCTTAGTCGTGATCGTGATCGTCCAACTTCTACCCTGGATCATTAAGTGGGCTCGCGAGCACCACTTCAAACCGAACTACAAAACGCTCGGTGAGTCTTCGCGAATCAGACTAGTCCACCAAATTAACGATGCGATTGTTGAACTCTCCCGTAACAAAGTGGGTGCGATTATTTCCATCATCAACAAAGATACATTGGACAACTACCGCACCGACGGCGTTAAGTTAGACGCCAACATTTCCTCGGCTCTAATTTTGGCGATTTTTAACAAAAATTCGCCGCTTCACGACGGGGCAATTATTATCCAAGATAACAAAATTAAGTACGCTGCCACTTACTACCGGATTACTTCCAAATCGATTAGCAACCGTTTTGGTGCTCGTCACCGAGCGGCGCTCGGTATTTCCGAAAGTACCGACGCTTTAACGATCGTAGTTTCGGAAACTTCCGGAGCGATCACTTTCACGCTCAAAAGTAAGTTTGTGGTTGTTAAAGCCAGCGAATTCCAAGAGAAGTTAACCGAGTATCTCAGTTAAACGAGCGACCAATGACTCTACAAACTGCTATTAAAGCTAAAAACGTCCCGCAAATTCGTAAAATCACTAAAAACACACCCGTTGCTGACATAGTTAAAATGCTCAAAGAATTTACGCCAACCGAGCGGGTGCTTTACTTTCGGCTGCTCAACACAAGCAGCCAGTCGGACATTTTTGCGGCGCTTGATCCGGATTTCCAAGAGGAGCTGGTTAGTTCTTTTACCGACTCGGAAATCAAAACGATTGTCGGCGAACTTTACACCGATGACATTGCCGATTTAGTGGAAGAGGTGCCGATTGAATTGGCCAAGCGAATTTTGTCGCTGGCAACAGACAAGGAAACCAAGGAGAACATCAACAAAATTCTCCGCTACCACGATAGTCAAATCGGTTCAATTATGTCGGTCGACATCGTTTTGCTGCGCCAAACTCTGACCACTAAAAAAGCGCTGGAGACGATCAAAGAAGAGAAAAGCGAGGCTCGGTTAGCCCATTACTTTTGCGTTGTCAACGCTCGCAACCAACTGGTTGGCTACGTGGCCCTAGAAGACTTAGTTTTTGCTAAGGCCGACACTAAAGTCCAAAAGTTAGTTCGGCCCGTCAGCACCGAACTGAGAACGACCACCCATAAAGAAGACGCGGCGATTATTTTTGCTGAGCAAGACATGTCGGTTTTGCCAGTTTTAAACACCCAAAAAGAAGTCGTGGGAATGGTTTTTGCCGACGACATGATCGACGTGATCAAGGAAATCGCCATTGACGACTTCCGTAAGTTTGCCGGGGTCAGCGGAACCGAGGAAAAAACTTACACCGAAACCTCAATTTTTACCACCTACCGCTCGCGGATGATTTGACTCTTAATTTTGATGCTCTCCTCAACGGTTGCCTCAATTTTTATTGACATATTCCAAAACGTGTCCCAACTTCGACTCGGCGCGGTTTTAACTTCGGCGCTGGTCGCGATTATCCCGGTTGTGATGGACGCGGCTGGTAACGCCGGCACGCAAACGTCAACTTTGGTAATCCGCGGTTTAGCCGTCGGCGACATTACCACCAAAGATTACTTAAAAGTCGTTTGCAAAGAGTTGCTCGTTTCGATGCTGATCGGTTTTTCGCTGGCGATCTTTAACTTCGTGCGCCTGATCATCTACTACTCCATTTCGGGCGACATCGGCGACCGTGACTTTATTCTGCTAGCCTTCACTTCCTCGCTAGCGCTTTGGATCGTGATCGTAATCGCTAAAACCGTTGGTTCAATCATTCCGCTCCTAGCTAAAAAAGTCGGTCTTGACCCCGCGCTTTTATCGGGTCCGCTGATTACGACTGTCATTGACGCGGTAGCCACGCTCGTCTTGTTTGGCATTTCCATCGGTATCCTTTCGGCGATCGGGGTTATTTAGCAAAATTTCCAAATTTGGGAATAACTGTTTCCAATTTTTTCTTTGTCTATAATGAGAAAGCACTAAGAAAATGAGTGCCAAATTAAACTAGACGGCTTATTTATTACTCCTACTCGCTTTTCATTCTTATCTCTGAGTTCAATTAAAGTAGTCAGTTCTTCGTAACCCCTATCATTACCGTGGTCTAGTTGGCGCCCAGCGCTAAGTCAAGACCGACGGTTCAAGCATTTTCTTGATGTACATTTAATTTGGCCACTTCTTAGTGAGAACCACCACTCACCGGGTGGTTTTTTTACATTTGCCAACCTGATCACGCTGTGAGATTGTAGTATCATGTAAGTAATTATTTTCCGGGTCAGTACTCAAATTGGTTAAGAGGCGTCCCTGCTAAGGACGTAGATCACTTCCGTGATGTGGAGGTTCGAGCCCTCTCTGGCCCGCCATTTTTTTTAGCCCCTGGCTGACGAGGAAGATTTTATAATTACTGAGCATGCATTACTTAAGACGCGGGCTAAGAACAACGGGCATTTACTTTGTTTTATTGTTTCTGTTTTTGGGCGGAATTTACCTGGTTTATTTTTTGACCCAGCAGGGCGTCTCGCCTTGAGTAAGCGGCGTAGCTTTAATTTACGCTTTATCGGTTGTCACGTCTTTGGCCCTCTTTAGTCAACGTCGTAACAAGTACGTTAAACTGTCTTGACTGCTTGTCTTCATTCTGATGCCGCTGATCGGACCGCTACTTTTTTTGCTCTTTGGCCTGCGCTACTCGGAGCGGACTAGTTTAGATGTTTACCGTCAGAAACAGAATTTTAAGTACGAAACAAGCGCTGATAATTTAACTCTGCCGATCCGTCAGCAACTTTTTCACAGTCAGAGCAAGATTTCCAACCGCGGCATTTACCAGGGCAACTTTGAGGTTTTTGCCAGCGGTCCGCAAGGTTTTGAGAAAGTCTTTGCCGATTTAAGTCAAGCCAAGCATTTTATTCACGTTAACTACTACATCATTAAAGCGGGCGAGATTTACGACGAGTTTCGGGCGCTGATCGTTGAAAAAGTGCGCGCCGGCGTGAAAGTTCGCATGATCATTGACGACATCGGCCGCTGGGGTTTGCCGTGGTACGAAATGAAGTTTTTACGTCAGCAAGGGGTTGAGATCCGCATTTTGAACCGGATCCACTTTCCGTTCATCGGTTCAAACAACACCTACCGTAACCACCGTAAACTGATCATCATTGACGGTCGGATTGTCCACACGGGCGGCGCCAACATCGGCGATGAATACGCTAATTTAGACAAACGTTTCGGAGTTTGGTTAGACTACAAAGCGCGCATCACGGGTCCGATTGTGCGCTCCTATTCGTTGCTTTTTCTCGGTGATTGGAATTCGATTGGACCGCCCCTGGAACCGCTTGAGTCTTACCTCTTGGAAGATAAAAACGGCGGTAATTCTTGGGCCGTGCTAGTTGAAGATGGTCCAGAAATTGACGATAACCCGCTCGAAAGTTCAATCGTGAGTTGGATTTTTAACGCTCACAAAAAAATCCAAATTGTGACGCCTTATTTCATCCCGACCCACGCTTTGATGAGCGCTCTAAAAGCAGCCACTTTGCGAGGCGTGGAAGTGGAAATCTTTATCCCTGGTTTGCCCGATAAAAAGAGCATTTACACCGCCACGCTTTTTTGGGTCAGCCAACTCAGACCTTACGGGGTCAAAGTTTACCAAACGCGGGGGATGATTTTGCACGCCAAAGTGGGCCTTTTTGACGATCACTACGCTTACCTTGGTACGTTTAACTTTGATTTTCGTTCGATGCATTCTCAGTTTGAGTGCAGCGCCTTAGTTCAGGGCGACGCTGCAGAGCAAGTCGGCGCTTTGATCGAGCATTACCGACGTCTCTCTAGTCTAGCTGAGTTGCCCGATTTAAAGCAAAAAAGGTTGCGCCGCTGGGCGATTGGGGTCTTGGCGCTCTTTTTTGCCCCCGCTATGTAGTCTGTTATAATTTTTTTAAACCTGGTAATTCAGCGGAAAAGAAGGAAACATGGCATCTTTTGAAGCAAAGATTATTGATCCAGTTGGACTGCACGCTCGACCAGCCGCGCTGGTAGTCGGTGTGGCTTCCAAGTTTAAAAGCGACGCTACAATCGGTACTAATGATCGCAACGGCAACTTAAAATCGATTATGAACGTGATGGCTTTGGGAGTTAAAAAAGGCGATTTAGTTCGAATTGAAACGCTCGGCGACGACGCTGACCAGGCGATCGTGGCGATTAAAAAGGCGATGCAAGCAAACCGTCTGATTTAAGCGGACTATGGTACTGAAAGGAATCGGAGGCTCAAGCGGCATCGCGGTTGGCAAGGCGCTAATTTTAAGCGAGCAAAAATTAAAAATTACCGCTCAATCAGCCGAAAGTTCGGCTGAAATCATTCGTTTTCGCCGCGCTGTTCAAGAGATAGTGGCTGAGATTAACGCCTTAGAGAAGCGTAACCGCGGCCAGTCTAACCAAGCCCAAGCCGATATTCTTGAAGCTCACCGCTCGATCGCGCAAGATCCGAGTTTGCGAGACGAAGTCGAGACTTTAATTAAAGAAAAAAAGACCAATGCACTTTGGGCGCTTGACCAAGTTTCGAGCAAATGGGTCGCGCTTTTTGAAAAGATGGAAGATGCCTACATGCGCGAAAGAGCGAGCGACATCAAGGACGTAACTAATCAAATCGCTTTCGCATTAGCGGGGGTCAAGCGCGTTGACCTTTCGCAAATCAAGGAACCAGTTGTGATTGTGGCCCACGACATTACTCCGTCCCAAAGCGCCCAAATGAACGAGCAAGTTTTAGCTTTTGTGACCGAGGTTGGCGGCCAAACATCGCACGCCGCCATTATTGCTCGAGCGCGGCGAATTCCAGCCGTGCTTGGCGTGGGCAACTTACTCAAAAAAGTTAAAAATGGCGATCCAGTTGCGCTTGACGGAGAAGCTGGTACTTTGATCGTCAAACCGACTTTGGAAGAAAAAAAACGTCTCCAAACTAAGGCGGTTGAGTTGGAGGTTGAGCGCAGTAGCGCTGAAAAGTTCCGCGGCAAAAAAACTTGCACTTTAGATGCTCACCAAGTTGAGTTAGCGGCTAACATCAGCACTTTGGAAGATTTGCCCAAAGTGCTGGCTAACGACGCCGAAGGCATCGGTCTTTTTCGCTCCGAATTTATTTACATGCGCGCTCAAGCTTGACCAAGCGAAGAAGAGCAGTTTAAAATTTACCGGCAAATTTTAAAAAAAATGGCTCCGCGCCTAGTGGTGGTTCGGACACTCGACATTGGCGGCGATAAGACGTTGGCCTACCACCAGTTTGCGCCCGAAGACAATCCTTTTTTGGGTAACCGGGCGGTTCGTTTTTCTCTGGACGAGCCCGAAATTTTTAAAACCCAGTTAAGAGCTTTGGTTCGCGCTTCGGCCCACGGCAACTTAGCGATTATGTTTCCGATGATCGCTACGTTAGACGAATTTTTAGCCGCTAAGAAAATTTACCAACGCGTTTACGATCAGTTAGTTAAAGCCGGCGTGCCGGTGGCGAAACGGATTCAAGTCGGAATGATGGTCGAAATTCCGGCCGCAGCCGTTTTGTCCGAACAATTTGCGCGTCACGCTGATTTTCTCTCGATCGGAACCAACGATTTAATTCAGTACAGCATGGCCCACGACCGGATGAACCAAAAAGTAGCCTACCTTTACCAACCGCTTAATCCGTCCATTTTGCACTTAATTAGAGCCACGATTGAAGGCGGTCACAAACACAATAAATGGGTCGGAATGTGCGGCGAAATGGCCGGCGACAAAAGGGCGATTCCGATTTTGATCGGACTCGGTTTAGACGAGTTTTCGATGGGAGCCGAATCGATCTTAACTGCCCGTCAGCAAATCGCCCGACTGACCCAAGTCGAGGCGGTTAAATTAGCTCAAAAAGCGCTCGTTTGCGCCAGTGAAAAAGAGGTTTTAGCGCTGGTTGAGCAATTCATGCGCGAGCATTAAATTGATGCTATAATGGAAAAGTTCTTTCCGCAAGTGTAGTTTAATGGCTAGAATTTCTGGCTTCCAACCAGACGATGCGGGTTCGATTCCCGTCACTTGCTCCATCGTATTTTTACGGCCAAACCAACCTTTTTCAAGTACTTTTTAATTGTGATGTTAAAATGAACCGCTGGCGCTAACGACGTAGGTCGAACGCTTTACAAGTTTTTGTTAAAGATGCTGCCCGACGTGCCACCGAGTCGGATCGAGCGTCTTTTTCGTCAGCGCGATTTATCTTTAAATGGCCAGCGGCGAGTGCTCAAAAATTACCGTTTAAAAAACGGCGATTGCGTGGTTGTTTACGGCTTAGCCCAAACTAATGCTTCGCCGCGCTCTTTTAGCGCTCGTCGTCCGGCGTTTGAGGTTCGCTACGAAGACCGAAACATTTTGCTCGTCAGCAAGCCCGCTGGTCTAGTTGTCCACGGCCAGGGCGACAATTTGGACGAGCAAGTTTTAACTTATTTGAACTTTAAGCCCGACTCTAGTTTTCGCCCTTCGCACGTCGGGAGATTAGACAAGCCAACTTCCGGACTAATAATCTACGCCAAAAATTACCAAACTCTTGTCCAACTCAACGCCCAGCACGCCCAAATTGAGAAAACTTACCTTTTTAAAACCGACCACGAGGTCAGCCGCGAAACTAGTTTTAAGTTAGGTGCTGATTCGCAAAAGGCTTGTCAAAAAGTGGATCCGCAAGGCAAACTGAGCCAAACCGTTTTTTGAACCGAAAAGGGGCGGCAATTTGCGCGTCTTAAAACCGGTCGTAAGCACCAAATTAGAGTTACTTTGGCCGCGCTGGGTCAGCCGATTTGAGGCGACAAAAAGTACGGTGGTAAACCGGCCGATCGCCTGTATCTACATTGCTACCGAATTAAGTTTGTTAGTTTAACTGCGCCGCTAGACTATTTAAAAGACTTGGAAGTAAGCGATGAACCAGGTTGGTAAACATACTCGGCGCTTTTGATTAGAATAGAAAGTATGAAAGTGCTTCTGGTTATCCCGGTTGTTAACGTTGAAAAAACGATTTTACAAGTTGTGGAACAAATCAAAAAATCGGTTCCAAAAGTTGATTACTTAGTGGTTGATCATGGTTCTACCGATCGCACGATTGACTTGCTTGATAACAACAATATGACTTACCTTTCAACTCCTTTGCCGACTAGTTATAGCCAAGCTTTTAAAATCGGTCTTCGCTACGCCCAAGCGCAAGAATACCAAGCCGTGGTGGAGTTTGATGGAGCCAACTTTTTTGAAGTGAGCGACATTCGCAAACTAACCGAGCAAGCCCGCAAAAATGACTTTGTTTTAGCGACGCGTTTTACCGATGCTAAGCGTTCTAAGAAAAGACGCTGGCCGGATAAAATTCTCACTTGAGCTTTAAAACGTTCAACCCGGCGCCACGTATCGGATCCGATCTTGCGTTTTCGTCTTTACAAACTTAAGACACTGGAAACACTGATTCGGGACGACACTTGGTCGGGCCCCGACGCAATTGCTTTATTATTAATGAATCAGTATCTTTTCACCGAAGTGGGCGTTAGTTTGAAAATAAACACCCCTGACCGCAAATACTGGGGGCTTTACCCGACGCGCTGACGCAGGTGGATGCAAGTTTTGAGGTGATTGATTTCAATTTTAGTCGTTCAACGTTTGAAAAGGAGTCGTGCCAAGCATGAATAACTTGCCGGATTTAAGAATTCAAATCGGTCGTGTAATTGGAATTAGCATGCCGACTTTGCTGCTGGCCTTGGCCTTGGCGACTTTGATTTGGTTTTTTGTTGAAATAAAACGTAAACGCGTTCAGCTTAAGTCAATGATCACTTGGCTAATTTTGAACTGCATCTACACTTTGGCAGTCATCTACATTTTTATCGTCCAGATGCTGCAAATTTTCGGCTACATCGCGCCTAATCTGTTCAGTCTCTTCGCTTTTTACGTCTTTGGTCTTGAACTGCCCCACGGCATGGAGTGGGTTTTTCTTTGAATTTTTGGACTTCTAATTTACATCTTGATCAAAACGCTAGTCAACTACATTCGCCTAACTGGCTTAGACCAGCGGATTGATTACTTAAACCAAGAAGTGGCAATCTTAAAAGGTAAAGTTAACCGCACGGCGGACTTTGCTAAAATCCCTTTAACAGTCACACCTTTGACACCGCGGGAAGTAAAGTTGAAACTAAAGGACCGTTTACGCAAGATGCGTGCCGAAGTCAAAATTGAGAAGCGGATTCAGAGTCTGGAAAAACGTTACAGCAAAAAGTCCATCAACTCCAAGAAAAACTCCTCTGACTAGAAATTCTGGCATTAAATTTTGCGACAAAGGTGATGCATACGGTGCAATTAGCACACTTTAAATTATCATATCCACGGATAGGTCAGAAGTAAATTTCTCAAAATAAATTGATAAAACATAAAAAAGACTTATTCATGCCTAGCGCGACTTTTCATTACTTTAATTTACGAATTATTGAAAATATAAAAGGAGCGCCACAGGCGCCCCTCCAAATATTTAGTTGGGTAGCTGATCCTTATAATCTGACGTTTTGTTTTATTAACAGTTCTTCTAGTTTTTCATATTTTCTCTTCATCACTGATTTTTCAATTATGGCGAATAACATTTTTCATGATTCATTATCCTTACCAAATTTCTGTGGATTGTTGCCAGAATATTTCCTAATGTATTCTATGGAACGTTCTGCAATTTCCGCCTTATTTTCTTCTCAGATTTCCAAGGGTTTATAAACTCATTCGTATGTACCATCATCTTTTCTATTCACGTTCGCTCTGAAGGCGGCCAAGATCGGTTTTATGATTCCATCAGGAACTATATATTCTAAATTCTCGTCGGAAAACAATGCCTCCCCTAATTGTTTTGTTTTTTTTGAATTTTTCTCTTTGTGACCAGAAAACGCGAAAGCTCCGTACCTCTTATTTGAAGCAGAAGTGGGAAAACCTAATTGTATCTCGTTGTAGAGGTCAAGAATTTCTTTAACGATGTGTTTGATGTCGCTAATCCATTTTTCTCTATCAACTTTATCCATTTTTATGAATTTTTTTAAAACCGTTTCTTTGGAAGAATAGGCTTGAATGGGATACATTGGATTATCGCCGGTTTTGTATATATCAAAGTTAAACATCATTAGAATGGATATAATGTCTCGTATTTCAACTTTTAACGTTTCCTCTGTTGCGTGTTTTTTCTTTGAATTTTTTAGTTGGTTTTGCTTATACGCAATTTTCTCTTCAATGTAATGTCCTCTTATTATTTCTTTAAGTTGATCATAGGCGCCTAGAGATTCTTGTAAGGTAGCTTCCGTAACTTGACTGGTCCTGTTTCTAGCTGATGATATTTCAACTAGTTGGTGTATATCATCAATACCTTCCAAAATTTCAACAAAAACATATTTATTTTCAATAATATTTGTGACTGCATAATTGTGTTTTTTTAGAGTCTCTGTGATTATTCTTAATGTGTGACCGCCGTCAATGTTGCCGTGCAGTTTTGGGTTAGAAAAAGAAATCTTTACTTTATTTTCCCTATTATCATATTGCGCATTTTCCACAGAGAAAACAATTCCTTTATTTAATAGATGGAAGTTATTAGTTTCCCTGTTAACCAAAGATTCCTTTATCGTTGTTGAGATCTGTGTATCCAAATTTTGCAATCTCGGGTTTGTGTCAGACCATGAGTCCATTATATTTTCTTGAATACTCCCTATTTCTACGTACATAACATATCTAATAACGTTATCGCCCAAAATTGGTGGTTCCATTTTTCTAAAATGTTTTACCTTAAACTCAAAAGAGTTTTGCATTTTTTCTCCTTTTTTAATTGTTTTTTGGTAAACAAAAAAACCCAATTCATTTTCAAAATCATTAGGCTTTGAATCTGTTAGTATTACTTTTTTCTCTCAAAATTTATCGTTAGACCTTGACCAGGCAAGGTAATAACCAGATATAAAAGTTGACAAACTTTTAACCCAATGAGCCAATCCAAATTGAAGATTAGCATATTAATTATACATCCAATTGGGAACCAAATATTTCATTTAGAAAGTTGAATAGTTCAAGTCGAAGACAAAATTGATAAGCGGATCCAAAACCTAGAAAAACGTTACAGCAAAAAGTCCATCAACCCCAAGAAAAACTCCTCCGACTAGAATTTTTAGCGCGCTAGCCTTACTTTATAATTAGGCTATGAACGAAAAAGAGGCCGCCCAAAAAGTGGCTGAGTTACGCCGTAAATTAGATCATTGAGCCAAAGAGTACTACGAAAAAAATGCTCCCAGCGTGACCGATGCGGTTTACGACGCGGCTTACCTCGAACTTGAAAAATTGGAGCGTTTGTTTCCAAGTTTAGTTACTCGTGATTCAATTACCCAGCGGGTCGGCGGACAAGTTGACCAGCGTTTTCAAAAAGTTAACCACAGCGAGCCGATGATGTCGCTGGCTAACGCTTTTGACAGCGCCGATTTACTCCGTTTTGACCAGCACATCATGAATCAACTTGCTCGCAACGAGCCGCTCGGCTACGTGTGCGAACTTAAGATTGACGGCGTTTCAATTGCCCTCATTTACCGCCAAGGATTTTTGGTGCAAGCCCTGACGCGCGGCGACGGATTGGTCGGCGAAGATGTGACTCACAACGTCAAAATGATTGCAGATATCCCGGGCAAAATCCCTTACCAAAAGGAGGTTGAATTCCGGGGTGAAATTTATCTCAACCACCAAGTTTTCCAGCAGCTCAACGACCAGAGCGATCAGCGCTTTGCTAACCCACGCAACGCCGCGGCTGGCACGCTACGACAGTTAGACGCCCAGGTGGTTAAAAACCGCCGTTTAAACGCTTTTTTTTACGCGCTTGTAAGACCGCTTGCACACGGTTTAGCAACTCAAAAAGAGGTGCTAAAGTTTATTAAAAACCAAGGACTGCCGACCGAGCCCCACGCCCGGCTGGCGGTTGGAATTAAGGCGGCGATTGAGCAAACTGAGAAGTTAGCCGCCACGGCCCGAAAATTAGCTTATGATACCGACGGCGTGGTCGTCAAAGTTAACGATTTAAATCTTTACGAAGACATCGGTCAAACCGCCAAATACCCCAAGTCCATGATTGCTTACAAATTTGCCGAAGAAGTCGGCCAAACTAAATTGGAGGCGATTTTCCCAACTATCGGTCGGACTGGCCGGGTAACTTATAACGCCAAACTGGAGCCGATTCGTTTAGCCGGCACGACCGTCAGCGCGGCGACTCTTCACAACGCCGACTACGTGCGCGAGCGCAAAATTAACGTGGGCGACATAGTGAAAGTCAAAAAGTCGGGCGCTATCATTCCCCGCGTGCTCGGAGTGGCTCTAAGTCATGACAAGAAGCGCTGCAATGTACGCGCTGTCAAACGCGTCTTTTACGGCTGGATGGCGAAGTTGATCAGTACTGTCCTAACGTTAATTGTCCTGCTCGCCTACTAGCTAGTTTAGAACACTTTGTTTCCAAAGGCGCGATGGACATTCGCGGACTTTCCACCATGACTTTAGAGCTATTTTTAAAGGCAAACTTAATTAGTGATTTACCCTCAATTTTTGCCTTAGCCGATCACCGGGACCAGATTTTAGATCTGCCCAAATTTAGTCTTAAGTCAACCGCAAATCTCTTAAGCGCAATTGATGAAGCTAAAACTCGGCCGCTAGCAAAGTTTATTTACGGATTGGGCATTCGTCATGTCGGAGCTAAAACAGCCAAAATTTTAAGTCAGCGTTTTGGCACGCTCGCCAATTTAAAAAGCGCCGAACCTACTCAGATCGAACAAATTTTAACGCTCGGACCGGCCGTGACTAACTCGGTACACAGTTTTTTTACCGACCAGGCTAACATTAAGATGCTGGATAAGTTTGCCCGACTCGGTTTAAAATTGGAGCAGTTCCAAGTTCGCGAAAGTCAAAACCTAGTCGGTGTTAACTTTGTTTTAACTGGCACACTTTCACAGCCCCGCGACGAGTACGTGAGTATGATTGAAGCCCGGGGTGGGAATGTGACTAACGCGGTAACCCAGCGAACTAACTACTTGGTCGTGGGTCAAGACCCTGGTTCTAAGTTAGCTAAGGCCGAGCAGCTGAAAATTAAAATCGTCCAAGAAGAAGAACTCAAACGAATTTTGCGCAAAGGAGTTTAGGTGGACCGAACCAAACTAACTAAGGTGGCTAACACTTTAATGCTGGAAGTTAATCCATCCGTGCTAGACCAATTAGAGCAAGAGTACGAAGTTTTAGCGGCTAAAATTAATCGTCTTAAAAAGGTTGATGTCAGCGGCCTAGAACCACTCGTTTGGGTTGGTCCCATTTGCCAGCTTGGACTGCGCGCCGATGTGCCTAGCCACCATCTAGATCGCCAAGTTTGTCTTAAAAACGCTCCGAGTCAGCAAAGCGGTTTAATAACCTTGAAAAAGGTGCTCTAAGTGTTTAAACAAAAAGGCAATTTGCGGAGTGCTCTGGAAGAACTGAGCCAAGATTCCAACCACTCCGTAGCTCACCTATACCAAAACGCGAGTTTTGCGCCCGGCCCGCTGGACCAAGTGGTCGTGACTGTCAAAGATCTTTACGCGAGCGCCGATGCACCGACCCAAGCTTCTTCGCGGATTTTAGAAGGTTTTGAGCCGGGCTATGACGCGGCGGTAGTTAGTAAACTGCGCCAGGCTGGGGCGGGCATCGTAGCTAAGGTTCACATGGACGAGCTGGCGCTCGGCGGCACTGGGCAACATTCGGCTTGGGGTCGAATTAACAATCCGCTCGATTCGACCCGCATGCCTGGCGGTTCGTCATCAGGTTCGGTAGCGACTTTCACGTCCAACATTGGGTTAGCGATTGGTTCAGACACGGGTAACTCGGTGCGTCTACCCGCTTCTTACTGCGGGCTAGTTGGCTTTAAACCTTCTTACGGAGCTGTATCGCGTTACGGCATGTTCGCTTTTGCCTGCTCTCTAGACACAGTCGGCTGAATTACGCACAATGTTAACGACGCGATTGTAGCTAGCCAAGTGCTTTTTGGTCAAGATCCGCGCGATCTAACCACTTGCCAAGTGGAATTACCTAGTCCAAGACCGCTTAAACCGTCTCGAGTTGCTTTTTTAAACGATTATGGCCAGTTGTCGCCGACGGTTAAAAAAGCCTACCTAGCGCTCAAAGAGAAGTTGGTTCAAGATGGCATTGAAGCTGAAATAGTCAATTTAGAGGAGCAGATTTTTGAGTTAATTGACCCAACTTACGAAGTAATTTCTTACTCGGAAGCTTCCTCTAACGATGCTAATTTAGCCGGGGTCAACTTCGGCAAGCGGGTTGAAGGCGAGGACTGGTCGCAAATGATGTTAAAAACGCGCAGCCAACACCTTGGCAAAATGGTTCAGCGTCGTTTTACGCTTGGGGCCTACTATTTACTAAGGGAAAACCAAGCCGAAATATTTTTGAGAGCCCAGAAAGTTCGCCGTTTAATTCACAACCGCTACAACCAAATTTTTGATCAGTACGACGTTTTGGTTTTTCCAACCACAACCGTTGCGCCAACTTGGAAACAAGGTAAACCAAACCTTTGAACTAGCGAGTATTGCGCCGTCTCCAACTTAGTCGGCAACCCTTCAATTTCAATCCCCTTTACTCAGGAAGACGGCTTGCCGGTCGGACTATTAATTGATGCCAAAATTTACCGTGACAAAAAACTCCTTTCTTACGCACTTTACTTTGAAAAACTGCTCGGAGCAAAACATGGCTAAAAATTACCAAGTGCGGATCGGGATTGAAATTCACCTTGAACTGAACACGAAAACCAAGATGTTTTCTGGTTCGCGGGTTGATTTTGAGGCTGAGCCCAACACTTTAATCAACGAAATTGATCTCGGTTACCCGGGAACTTTGCCGACCGTGAACCAGGCCGCGGTAGAAAAGGCGATTCAATTAGCTAAAGCGCTAGACATGCGAATTGCCGAGCAGTTAAAGTTTGATCGGAAAAACTACTTTTACCCCGATTTACCCAAGGGATACCAAATTACCCAGCAGTTTGAACCAATTGCTAGCGCCGGCATTTTACATCTAAGGGACGGTAAAAAAGTTCGCATCACTCGGATTCACTTGGAGGAAGACACGGCTCGTTCGCACCACCGAGGCGAGTTCACTTTGCTCGACTACAACCGCGCGGGCGTGCCGTTAATTGAAATCGTCAGCGAACCAGATTTATCCAGTGCCCAGGAGGCGCACGAGTACGTTAACTTAATTCGTCTAATCGCGCAAACGCTCAACATTTCTGACGCCAAAATGGAACAAGGTTCGCTGAGAGCGGACGTGAACATTTCGCTTAGCGAGCCAGGCTCAGAAATTTATGGCACCAAGGTGGAGATTAAAAACCTTAACTCACTGCAAAACATCCTTAAAGCGGTTGAGTTTGAAAAAGAAGTTCAAACCCAAACTTTGGCAAGCGGTCAAAAAGTCGTTCAAGCCACCAAGCGTTTTGATGAAACTAAAGGTCAGACCGTGACGATGCGCGAAAAAACTGCCGCGATTGATTACAAGTACTTTGCTGAGCCTAACATCCCGCCGATTAAACTTGACCGCGCTTGAATTGAAAAGATTGCGATTGCAGAACTACCATGGCAAAAACGATCGCGCTACCAAAAATTAGCCGTTGAGGCGCAATACGTCGAACAACTCGTTAGCAGCCCCGACAAAGCCCGTTATTTTGACGCAGTTAAATTTGATAATTACCAGCAAGGTGCGCGACTGTTCTTTAGTCACTTGATGGCTTTGGCCAACTACCAAAACCGCGGTCTTGAAAATTTAAAAGTTGAACCGGCTGAATTTGGCGCGCTCGTTAAAATGGTCGTCCAGGGTGACTTACCAATTGCTCAACTCAAACCAACTTTAATTAAATTAGACCAGGGACAAACCACGCTTGAGCAAATCACTCAAGCTGCTAAGACACGCGAAAAGCTCGGTGGCGGTCAAATCGGTGCGATAATTAAGAAAACTTTGGTCACGCACCGCGATTTTATTGAGAAGAACGGTGATAAACCAGACAAAGTCGCCAATTTTCTCGTTGGTCAAATCATGCGTGAAACGCGTGGGCAAGCCGATGCTAAAATGCTGAGCGAATTAGTGCGACTAGAATTGAAGACAGATGTTCAGAAAAAATAAGGGTCTTGACGCAGGTTACGAAAAGCCTAAGAAAGTTAAGAAAAAACGAAAACCTAAGCAATTTAAGTTAGTTTCGTCTTTGCTAGTTGATTCCCAGCGCAAAATCCCTTTTTATGAAAAGTTAATTAAGTTCATCATTTTTATAGCGCTGAGAATTGTGGTCAAACCAAGTCGCTGAAAAGATCCGCAAAAAAACTTTGAAATCATTGACCGCACTTACAAGCGGATTATGTCTTCCGATTTTATTTACATTCCCTCTTCAATCGCTTTTTACCTAATCATGTCGTTTATGCCGATTATGACGATCGTCATGTTCATTTACTCGATTCCTGGTTTTAAAGAGTTTATTTCAACCGGTGACCGGGATCCGATTGCGGAGGTGCTCGGCAAGTTTATTCCGGGCATGCGCGACATTATCGGTCAAATTGGCGACGCGGTTTCGGGTTGGACCAACAGTTTTAGTAGCGCACTACCAATTCTTTTTTTCTTAGTTATCACTACTTGAATCGCGGCCGGCGGATTTGCCAAATTGATTTACACTCAGTCCTACCTTTACGAGCACCGTTTTGTGGGCGGATACTGAATGAACAAGTTTCGCGGCATGATGTTAGTTTTGGAGTTCACAGTTATTTTGGCGATCGCTTTGACGATTAACATCATCGTTGATCGCGAAGTGCATTCTCTACCGATTGACTCAGTTGCTCAGGAAGTGATTATGTACATCTTTTTAATTTTTGGTCTTTTCGTTTTAATGCTGATTATGTTTCTTTTCTTCTACCGCTTTTCACCGCGTTTTCAAATTAAGACCCGCCAAGTTTTGCCTGGCGCGATGGTAAGCGCTTTGCCGACCAGCTTGTTTTTAGCGGTTTTTGGAGCGGTAGCCAACATGTGGAGCTACAGTCGTTACGGAACGGTTGGAGCGATTATGTACATCGGCGCATCGTCGTTAATCATCACCTACTTCATTTTTTTAGGTATTACAACAAACGCGTCTTACTACAAAACGTTTGTCGGGCCGCGAGTTGAAAACAAACGCACTTGGTCAAAAAAATAATTTCTGTCGCGCTTACTGGTATATAGTTCTATTACGTAGTAAACCGGTTCAGTTTGCCCGGTTAACGTAGGGGTGTATCCATGCAGCAAGAATTAGCGCGTAAAAAAGTTAACATCGGTCTTGACATTGGAATTGCTTCGGTTGGTTGAGCGATTCTAGATGAAGATCTAAAAATTATCAAACACGGAGTGCGACTGTTTGAAACGGTTGACGATCCGAAAGACCACCATTTAGAGAACCAAATCCGCCGCCAAAAAAGATCGGCTCGCCGACTTAAAAACCGCCGCCGAAATCTCAAACTTGATTACATAAAACTTTTAAAGAATCACGGCATGATTGATCTAGAAATTGACATCATGGATCGCGAGAGAAAGTATCTCTACGATTTTACGGCCAAGTACATTGTTGATAAAGTTGAGGACGGCGATTTCATGGGACTAGAGTTGAGCGCCGAGCAAAAAGCCCAACTTAAAACTTCGCGGGCAATGATTCTGCGTAAGCGCGCGCTATCCCAAAGTCTTTCCCAAAATGACTTAATCCAAGTACTTTACTGGTATCTTGCTCACCGAGGCAAAAAATACACGGTTGAGGACGAGGAACAAGATTCTGAGAAAGCCAGCAAGAAGACAAAAGAAACACCTTTCAAAGTTTTGACTGAGAAATACTATGATTCAGACAAACTGCCGATTGAAAACCAATGAAATTGCTTTCTGGCCGAAGGCTACTTCCGCAACGAGTTTAACCAGAATTTTTGACGCAAAGATTACGACCGAGAAGTCCAGCAAATCCTGGCTCAATCCAACTTGGATCAAGGTTTTCAAAAAGAGTACCTAGAACTTTTTAACCGCCACCGCAGTTTTGAAATTGGGCCCGGGCCTAAAAAAGGCTACGAAAACTTAGGTTTGAAAAATTACCAATTGATCTCGCCTTACAGCCGTTATTATGTTGATGAAAAGACCGGGGAACTTAAATCTCACCCTAATATGTGGGCCAGAACGATTGGCAAATGCACTTACTTACCTGAGGAAAATAGGGCACCCAAAAACAGTCTGACAGCCGAAATATTTAACTTCCTAAACGATTTAAATAATGTATCAATCGGCCACCCAGGCGATAAGAATCAAAAAGTTCATTTATCGCCGCGAGATAAAATCAAGTGCTTGGAAATCGCTTTGAAAACCAAGGCCAACACGAAAAAAATTATCAGTTACTTAATGGCAAGATACAACGTTGAGGAACAAGATCTTAAAGGTTTTCGGGTTGAAGGCAAGCACGGCGAATGGAAACCGTTAGTTACTCCGCTAACTTCTTTTCATTTTGTCAACAATGTTCTGAAAAAATTTGGTCGCGAGTTAGTTCTAGATGATTTGTTGAACGGACACGAATTTAAGTTAGAAGCGGTTGATAAAATCGTCGATATTTTTTCTGAGTTCAAAAGTGTTGAGGATCGTCGCACTAAACTAGGCAAACTAGACTTGCAGATTTTGGACGAAAAAATTGTTGAAGAATTAGCTCAAGCAAAAGGTGCTCGCCTCAGCGAAAACCACAGTCTTTCTTACAAAGCTATGCAAATGATGTTGCCAGAGTTATTGACAACCAATAAAAACCAAATGGAAATCGCCCAGGAGAACGATTTATTTAAAAAGAAAAATCGCATCCAGTCTGGCGAAAAATTGGTTTACTTACCTAAGAAATGAATGGATGAATTAGTTGCTTCGCCGACCGTTAAGCGCTCAATTCGTCAGACCATCAACTTGCTTAACGCCATAATAAAACAACACAAAGAATATCAGGTTGAGAACGTTGTGATTGAGATGGCGCGTGAGCACAACGGAAAACATGCCAAGGAAGCGATCAAAAACATTCAGAAATATTTGGCACAACGCAACGAGCAAATTCGTGAACTAGTTGATCAAATTAAAGATCGAGCTGAAAAAGAGGGATGGTCTTCTAGAGTAGAAGGTAAGGCACTTTTAAAAGTTTGGCTTTATGTACAGCAACATGGTCGTGATGCCTACGATGGCGAACAGCTTGACTTAGATAGAGTGGTGCGAGACTTTAGTTACACCGACATTGACCACATTGTTCCCTATTCGCAATCTTTTGATGATTCGCGCCATAACAAAGTTTTAACTAAAAAAATCCATAACTCCCGCAAGGGTCAATTAACGCCTTTTCAGTACTTATCATCCGAAGAGTTTGCTCGTATGAAGGCTCAGTGAGCAGTTTGATACGGCAAAGAAAGTCGCTTTGCTAAAACTGAGAAAAGACCCGGTGGGCAACCGTCTAAATACGAACTTATAACATCAGAGTTGGATTATTCCGATCCAAGCAATAACCATCGCTTTATCCAACGCAACTTAGTTGATACGCGCTACGTCACCAGAGAAGTGCTCGCGATTCTAAAAGAGTTTGCTGGTGCTGTTGAAGAATCCCATCCTTTTCATCTTGCAAAAGTTAAGACCATTAATGGGAAAGCAACTAGTTATTTACGCAAAATTGTTGATACCAGAAAGAAACCACTTAAAAGACCTGATTGAGCTGACAAAGACGGGTCGCTTGATGAAAACGGCATCAAAATTCGTCAGTGAAATGGGCACCACGCCGAAGACGCGGTTCTAGTGGCGTACTTAGCTCTTAAAAATCCGGGACTTGGAAAACTAATCGAGAAAAATCTTAGCAACCCTGGCCAAAGCATTCAAGATGTGCTAGACAAAGTTGACAAGGGCAGCAATCCGAAGACGAGCAAGATATTTGATGAACATAGTAGGATCATGAAACCTAATGAAATTCGCGAAGATCTAAATGCTAATATGGAAAAAGTCCGCTTTTCTTACATGGTTAATAAGAAGAGAAACACACAATTGTTTAATGAAACTCTTTACGGAAGCAAAAAGTTAAACGGCAAAATTCACAAGGTAGACAAAATTAACATTGCCAAAGCTACTACCAAAGTTGATGATCTCAAGAAGATTTTCTCTGATGACTACAAATACGCTGTTCCAATGAAAGTTCATGACCCTAAAACATTTTTAGCTTTGAAGACGATTTTTATGAATGGCGGAGGAAACAATCCATTCTTAAAATTAGCTGATGCACAGGGCAGAGTGCCAGTTATGTTTGAAAACAAAAAAGGTGAACAGGTTACTAGAAGAGTCAGCTCTATTAAAGTTGTTAAAGAAGAAAAAGAGTTAGACGATGTAGTTTTACGCAAAGGGAAAAGTGGGTCTATGAATTCGTTCTATGAATCCATGAAATGGACTGCCATCCACTTGTATCGTGACAATAGAGGAAAATATCAACTGATCCCGATTAACGCTGTGGTTGCAAAATACTACGCTGATGGCTCATATAAATTGAACGATGAGTATCG